CTGGGCCGAGAGCAAGCCATGAGATCTTGCTCTTGATCCTATGGGCGTTGGGAGACATCATCGCTTCTGGCTTTATTATTTAGGGTATTGTCGCAGACAAAATGAGGAGGGTCGCGGGGTGAGTGCTTCATTGACCAATTGAGCTCGTGGGGACGGGATTAAGATACAAGTAAGATTTGGATGGGCACTGGTAGTTGATATCTTGATGACATCAAGCCAATAGCGCTGTATATGACAGCTTCGGCAGATGCGTTCGAGACGTTGGGGCCGAGATGGGGAAAAGGGAAAAGGAAGAACCGCGGGAAAAGAGCACCTCGATGACAACAAGCGCCGATGCGAGTTGACTCGAGAGGCAACGGCCTGATCAAGATCTTTTGTTCCGCGTTGGACCTCGTAGCAATATTGTGATGTGATGATCAAAGTCAATGATCTGTGAGGTGAGTGGCTGAACGAGTTGGCATCGAGTCCTGACCGAACCAAGAACGATTTTCCCCAGGCCCCTCCTTCCAAATTTCGGCTTCAAGAAGAGACCAGGGCATGGTGGCGAACCCTCAGAGTAAAGAGTTCCCAGCTGGACGAGCTGAGCCGATTGGCAGATCAAGGCTTCGAGTGTAATCTCCCCCAAAATGGCCCACATGGCCAGGCGCGCTAAGTCGGAGATATTTCTTGGTTTTTTGCGGCGCAATGATGTGAATTCATGCCCATCACTTCTCCGATAAGCAGGAGTCCATGGTTCAGAGTATGTGTGTCTCTCATCCAAGGATGTCTGGCCAGCTCTTGAGTGAAGGGAAGCCGCCGCACCGCCGCCGCACGAGGCGGCACCAATCATGCCTTGTAGAGGCTGTGTTGCCAATCACAAGCCACGCCGGCAGTTACAAAGTAAAAAGAAAAAGCACGGCCATCTTGGTTGTTGGTTGAGCATGATATCACACGCATACATACATATGTCAGGGGAGGGAGGCGGAGTGAGTGATGAACCGAACCCCATTCGGGGAAATATGAAGAGGATCTTTATTTATTACTGAACAAAGAAAGAGAAAGGGAAAAGAAAAGAAAATCAAGGGAAGCAAAGCAGTGGACTGCCAAGAAATGCTCCCATCGATCAATGGACCAAGGAAGAGCAGGTCGGCGGCGATCATCGAGGCTTATTCGTTGGGGCGAGAACAAGAGGCTGTGGACTAGGCCTTGAACCTTTTAGCTTGTACATTACGACATTGCAAGTACATACACATCAACTCGAGTCTTGCTAATATTGATCTGACAAGACGCATTTTAGGTTATCATGCAATGAGTTGATCTACCCTCCCTCTCCCCTCTCCCGTTTTCCATGCCTCCCAAAGGATAATGCTTGGCATCAGGATCGTAGGTTGTGGGAAACAAGCTTTCTTGTGATCCTCCATGGCCTCGTGCTCTACTTCGGTAGTGAGCGCCGTTCTGAATAGATGGGCGGCCGACATGTTGGCCTGCCTACTTTTCCTGCCATCCCTTGGTGCCCGTCCACTGTTTCCTATCCTGGGAATATACGCTGTTCATCCTTGAGTCTATGTCTCAATGCACCATGTGTCAAACAGAGCACGCGGCAAGGGAAAGGAGGGAAGAAGGAGAAAAAGGTAAAATCGGGTAACTCGGCCGGTGATGGCAGCATCTCACGATTTGAATTGGTGGAGTTGGAAAAGGCCTCGAGGGGTTCTGCGAGTAAAGTTCGCGCATCTGAAGCTGATGGAGCCCGCGTGAAGGGCGGGACCAGGAGGTCTAGGGGCCAAAGGGGTCTGGAATCAGATCCTTTGCCGTATTATCCTCGCTCTTGATCTTCTGTGCCGACTTCCATCCAATGTACTCACCTGCGGCCAAGAGCCCGTCATCTACTTCGTCTCTCGTGCTGAGCGAAACGACCCAGCACTCAACCACTCGCCAAAGCCAGCCCTGGTCAGGGGCATTATTACTGATCCCATCTCCTAGCAAAAGAGGTTGCTGCGCTGCCGACTCGCTCGCACAAGGCCAGCCAGAGGCGTGGGGAACGGTAACAGTAGCATTCGACAAAGGCGCTTGGGGTGAAGGGAGCTCGCGAAACTTCGTGCAGGTTCCTTGGGGGCGACGCCCGAGAATTAGCCCTTCAGGCTTTCGACACGGCGCCTGTGTTTGAGGTTGAAGAGGAGAATTTACCGGAAAGGGAACTGCCACGCCCCCTGGAGTTGGATCGCCAGGGCCTGGCAGCAATCCCCGTATTTTAATTGGCCCCTTCAACCCCCTGGCCCCACCCCTTTGTCACCTCCTGCACGCCTTTTCCCCGTCCGGGCCCCTGCCCCCTGCTTCCCACTCCCCCAGAGCCGGCGAACTGGCCCTTCCCGATTGATGGAGCCCACTCAGTTCGACTCCGTACCTCGATCTTGTCACGCCCGTTCACGGCGGCTTTGTCGCTGACTTTCTTCAACGGTCGCCCTTGCCCTTGTTCGGGGGCAGAACCTCCCTTAATCTTGTCCAACAGCCTGGTTACCCCACCGCCACGCCACTTGCCCGTCCACTCAGCGTTCGCTATTCACATGCTTGGCATCCTTCCAGAGCGCACTTTCCCTTTTTTGGCAAGTAAAAACGCAGCAACGCAGGAACAGGCCCCCAAGCTTCAGAGCTTCAGAGTCTCGACTTATTTTCCCCATTGACTGGATCCCGCTTCGTCCAGACAAAACGTGCACGCCCATGCCGCACTAGGGCCTCGAGCTCCTCCGTAGCACTTGCCTTGTCGACCTCAGACAGCTGAGCTACTGCATATTGATTGCTCGTACCTTCTTCCGTGCTCTTTGTTTTCAATGTGCCTTGTTCCCTCTTCAGCCCAGCGGCTTTGCTCTTGGGATTTCATGCTTTGCGGGCCTCATGCGCCTGGAGCTGGTGGATGAACGCCTTCCTGGTCCTTCCTTCTTCGATTCACCTTTCTTTTTCTTTTCATTTTTAGCAGCCACTTTTGCTTTTTTTCTTCCACTCCTTAATGCTCACCTTCCAGCTCATGCTTGATACAAACGAGTTTATTATTGTGTCTGATTGATTTTTGAAACGATGGCATTTCCCCCACTTCGGGGAGAATCTTTTGCTGCCAACGAAGGCGGGTTTCTCTGAAGCATGCCTCGTCCTCCAGGCTTGCGCGGACATTACAGGGGAGATACCACTTTCCCAAGCACTCTCGAGGTCAATGCTGGGATCACGCATGCGCCCACTTTTCCCTTTGCCCCATGGTTTTGGCTAGCCCCCTACATCCATGTACACTACAAGTGTAGCCCTTCCTGTTGGTTTCTGACGTTTGGCGGTAAATAAACGAGGTTCCATTTCACAGGTAAGTGATGGGTCCTTCACTTTCTTTTGGCGTCTGACCAGCCTTGGCTTCGAGAAACTCGGCCTTGTTCCCTGCCCTGAGGTGGGGTGGGATCTATGCAGTAGGCAAAGTACCTCCCTTTTCTTTTCTCTATTCGAATTGAGGAACAAAGGGTCATGAGTAGGCACCATCTGCGAACCAGTGAGGCTTCAAGCCTTGAGTGGGAAACGCTGCACATGAGGGAAGAGTAATCTTAATGGAGGTTCAAAAGGTCTCCTAACGGGAGATCACATAACAAGGAGGGGTGGTGAGGCCAGGCCATTGGCGATCCGGAATAATACATACCAAAGATTCGAAAAGAGCGGGACTGACGGGTGATAATGCGAGTGAGAGGGCGAGGACTCCACGAGAAGGTCCAGCGGGAGCAAAAGACCCCTGCCAAAGAAAGAATGAGGAAGGAAGAAAAAAGGAGGGATTGAAGGGCAAAAAGTCCCACCAGCAAGCATGAATCGAGCAGAAAGAGGCGCCGTCGTATCCCCAGGGGTGGAACAAGCATAATGCTGTGAACAGTGCTACGGCTCCTACTCGTGCAACATGGGGAGTGGATTGATGGATCTCTGTGTGCGATTGCATGGAGAAAGGAAACGGACAGCCAGACGAAGCAGGGACAAAGACCGAGAACGGGACCTTGGACCAGGGCTCAGGGCCAGGGCCGGATCTGACGGTTTCTCCCCAGTCGTTGTCAGGCTTTCTGGCTGTTCGGATCGAGAGGGGGTGTGGGATGGACTGGGGGAGTCTGTGGCGTGCGGGAATCCAAACGAACATGCACAGCACCACATACACACACACACACACACAGACTGAGCGACACTGAGCGACGCAACGCAAACGCGGGTCTCGTCTTGTCTGCTCCAACTTCAAACGTATACATGGGGAGACTGGATATATCCCCATCCCACCCCTCGCCCACCCCTTCTTTCCCTCTCTCTTTCCTTGTATTTCTTTTCTGGAGATATTCAATTTGTTCTTTCTATATTGTTTCTCGTTTGACTTTTATATCTTCTCTTTTCCCTTCTTTTCTCCCCTCCCTTTCCTTCATCCGCTTTATTTCTTCCCTCCTTTTTAACACCCCTCCCTCCCGCTTCCAGTCTCGCCTTTCCTCCTCGATTTCTTCTTCCTTGTCAGGACTGGGTCGTGAATCTTGTGAGAGAGCGCTTCAAGGGGTTTCTTCTCTTCTTCTTTTCCATTCTTATTCCATTCTTTTTACAATCAGGGCACCCTAGTGGTCTCTCATTGTGTGGTTGGAACATTCCGGACAAACAGAATCCCTTCACCAGCCTTTTGTTGTTAGTTCCTTCCAAAGCAGGCCTTGGACCCTCGCTTTGCGCCATTCATTCATCCTACCGAACTTCTCAATACCGACAATCGAGTCCTATTCTCGCGCCATTCAATAGCCATTCTTTTCCTTGTTACCCAATCACCCTTCAGAGAGCTCGACGATTTCTTTAGGAACAAAAAGGTTGGTTCTCCACAAGCCCGAAAATTGCGATCTCCCGCCTTCCCTCCCTTTTTAGTGCAACTCCACTTACACGGAACCACCCTTGACAGAGTCAAAGAAGAAAACTCGAGCCAGACCCGCAAGAACAGAACGTCGAACATCGAGAAATAATCAAAAAGACGAACCGAGAAAGTTATCAAGATGGCTCCTCAGCAGCAAAGATCTAGCCTCTCGGCCCTCCTTCTCTTCCTTCTCCCACTTGGAGCCTTCGCCCAGCGCCTCGGGACCCTGAACTTCATCGGCCTTCCCATCTCCAACCCCAACGCCGCCAACATCATCCCCGACCGATACTTGGTTGTGTGGAACAACACGTTCCCCAGCGAGCAAATCGAGACCAAGCAAGCTCTCTTCACCGCAGACATCAAGAAGCGCAATGTCCAAAAGCGCAGCATCTCTGGTTCTTTCCTCTCCACCGCGGTGCAGACCTACCGCTACAACAAGTTCATGGCCATGAGCTTCGATTCGGATTTCGATATGCTCCTCTCCATTGCCGACCAGCCCGAAGTTGCCTACATTGAGGCCGTGACCCGTGTCCAGGCCTCCGCCGTTGCCGCCCAGCAGAACGCTCCTCTTGGTCTCGTCCGCCTCTCCGCCGAGACTCTTCGCGAAAACAACCGAGGCACCCCCGGCTACATCTTCGACACCAGCGGTGGCGAGGGTATCACCGCCTACGTCGTCGACACCGGTATCCGCATCACCCACACCGAGTTCCAGGGTCGCGCTACCTTTGGTGCCAACTTCATCAGCCCCGGAAGGGACGCCAACGATGACAACGGCCACGGCAGCCACGTCGCCGGTACTATTGGTGGCAGGACCTTTGGTGTCGCCAAGCAGGTTGACCTTGTTGCTGTCAAGGTTCTCGACGCCGAGGGTGGTGGCGCTACCGACGGTGTTCTCCAGGGCATGCAGTTCGGTAAGTTTATTCTTGTCTTAGAATCCATGGACTCTCTCTCGCCATCGTGTACAATGTATCCTGGAAATATCTAACAGCCTCTATTAGTTGTCGACGATGTCCGTGCCAACAACCGCTCTGGCAAGGCTGTCATGAACATGTCTCTTGGTGGATCTTTCTCTCGTGCCATGAATGCTGCCATCGAGGCTCTCCGTCAGGCTGGTGTCGTTCCCATCGTCGCTGCTGGCAACGAGAACGTAAGTTGGCCTCCAATCTATCACTTGAGCCGTCCCCGCCAAAGGGGTTGGTTTCCTCCCTTGCAATTACATGTTGGCTAACGTTTTTGGCAACAGGTTGATGCCGCCGACACTTCACCTGCCTCTGCTCCCAACGCCATCACCGTTGGCGCTATCAACGCTGCCGATGACCGCCGTGCCTCGTTCTCCAACTTCGGTGCCGTCGTCGACATCTTCGCTCCCGGCGTCGACGTCACCTCGGTCGGCATTGACAGCGACACTGCCACTGCCCGTCTCTCGGGTACCTCGATGGCCAGCCCTCACGTTGCCGGCCTCGCTGCCTACCTCATGTCCCTCGAGAGGATTACCGAGGTCGATAACGTCGTGGCCCGGATGACCGAGCTTGCCGGCACTACTGGCGCCAGGGTGCGCGGTAACAGGGGTTCCACGACCAATCTGATTGCCTACAACGGTGCTCTTGAGCTTCTGTAATTATTACGGCCTCTTTCCACCTGGAGGGGTTTAATGGGGGCCCTGGAAGGGCGAGAGTGCAGCGGATGACTGAATTGTGCATATAAGACCACGGAATATCTTCTCCATTTTGTTTTCTCTCTCCCACGCCCTCCTTCCTTCCTATCCTTGTTGCGTTCGTGTTTGGCTATCCCTTGGAAGAGGGGTAGCAAAAAAGCAAGGCTAGATTCTACGTCCAAGTGCCCGCCTCACCACTATACCCTTCGAAGGAAGAGTTTGTTGGGGGCGATGCCGCTGGGAAGGGGGAAAAGGGCAGTGGGACCGGGCATGCATGACGTGACAAGGTGTGTCTGTCGGTGTGTAGGCGTGTGTGTATGTGGAAGTTTGGGCTCCTGGTCACATAAGGGAAACAGGCAAGGGAAGAAACAATGCTTTTCAAGGGAGCGCGTCTTTGTCATTTTACCTCCCCAAACCGGGGATTTTTCTTGCTTCTTTTCTTCTTTTTTTTTCTTCTTCTTCTTCACATATAGAAAGATGCTCCGAAACCTGGTCTAATCCTGGCGAAAGATGGCAGGGCTTTGAATTTAACAAAATATTCTCCATTTTTCACTGTCTTTGGTGTACGAGTTTTGCAACCGATATTGATTACATGGAGAGGCTGTATGCAGTACAGTTGAGATTACTTTCAGCTGCCGAGTTCAATGTTGACCATATGGGCTGGCCGTCACAGCAGTATCGACAACGATCTTCTGGCGTGTATGCCTCCACCATTGAACCTGTCCTTGCGCAACACACTATCTTGGCAGCGAGTAGATTTGTGAAAGGCAACAAGTCAGCAGGAGCCAAGGCAGCAACCTTTACCAATTCGCCTCCTATGTAAGTTGATACATGTAGGCAGTACGATGACTGCGGCGGCTGAGCGCTAACAATGAATCAATCTTACCAAAACTATTTGCGTCGCCCTGGATGGCTGGCGCATCTACTACTAAGTCTCTACTAAATCGGCATACGAAAGGACTGCAAACGTCTGGATCGATGGTAATGGCAAGTGTTGGGTCGATCTAGAGCTCGACCTCCTTGGTTCAGAACACACACCCCCAGTCCCCCGCATCGTTTCCAAATTACCGTTTGGGTACCAAGATGACGGGGAAGAAAGGAGGAAAGGGGTAGGGGGAAAAGGAGGCAAAGAAACGGAAAGGAGACGAGCCGTTTGGGAAAACAGAGAATTGTCAAACATTCAAGAAGAGGTCTTTCCGGGGAGGATCGTGAATTGGGGGCCATGAGGCTTTGTCCATTCGATCCGGGGAGGGCACGGGTCTCGACCGGAACCAGAGGCCGAAAAAGTTCACGGGCTAGAGCGGAGGGAAAAAGAAAAAGAAAAGAAAAAAAGATGTGCTGCAGTTATCGGATGAACCATGAGCATGAGGCAAGGAAGGTGACAAAAAAGAAAGGAAAGGAACAAGACAAATCCGAGCCGGTGCCTCCGTCCCGGAACCAAGCCGCACGCGCAACAAAGGAACACAGAGTCGAACATGTCTCGAGGCATAGGCTAATTGGACGTCAAAACCTCGGCGCATGAGGCATCGCCGCCCGCGGTGATCAATTCCGCCGGTTGACCAGAGCCGCATGGCAAGGGGACACCCCCATTTTTTCCCGCTTCTTTTCCTTTTAGGCCAGCCCGTCGAATAGGAAATCCTCTTTGTTAGATTTATTGAGAAGGGGAGCAGAGCACGCGGGACCAGCCGCGGGGATAAATTGCTGGCTGCGTCTCAAGGACGTTTCTGCTTTTCTGCTCCGTTTTTCTTTTTCTTTTGGTCATCTTCTGGTGTAATAGGTCGTTCTCTCTCTGCCTTTTTTTTCTTATTTCTTTCTACATCTCGTCGGGACTATTCCATGCCGACGACTTTTCATTCTCGAGCACCTCGCTCCCTCGCTCTTCCTGTTCGGACCCGCTCCCCGACAAGGAAAAAGGACGAGATCGACGGTCCTAGCTCGGGCAAATCTCCACAGCCAAAAGAATAGAGAACATGGGAGACGGAGGAAAACCCACGGAAAGCCCTTGCGAGGCTGGGGCTTTGTCCATGTCGCTCGCTCTCCCGGAAAGGGAGCCGGAGCTAGGATGCGCCGCCGTAGTAATCTGACAAAAGGAAATCATGAAGTGAACTTGTCCCAACTTTGGGAACAAATTTCATCTCGTCTTTTGGATCTGCACAACGCATTTCTTCCTCTTCGTAAAGGTGCAAGGGCAGGGGCGATCTCGGGATCGGAAGGTAACTGGCGAGAGAAACCCCTAAAGCTCCGGCTTCGAGATTCCAGTTGTTTGTCCAATCTCACCTACGAATATGGCACGGAACAATGGAATAAGAAGAAGGTCTGGGCACGAGGTCTAAAAGGCCAGTTTTTATTATGAACAATATATATGCTTCGTGTTTCCAGGCTAGTTTTTGACATGATAACAAGCTCAAGCTGTGCTGTCCGTCGAGCGCACGATGCTGGATATGGACTGCAGTGAACATTTGTATGGGTGCCAACAGAAGGCCGTAGACATGAGCGATCCGGGTGGAATTACGAGGCACGCAACGACATGCGTGCGTACAAGGTTCTTGATCGAAATTGTGTGAATCTACAGGGGAACAGGGAGAGGAAGAGAGGTAAGTGTGAGTATGTGGGTGTTTGCACTTCAGACCTGGACAGGCTCCAGCGAGAGAAAACGCATTGGAACCCGCAGGTCCGGCCTGCCATCAGCGAGTAAACTTGGTGCAATGGGGGTTTGATATAAGCACTTCTTCGGCACAACCAACGGCCATCACCCTCTTACGAGGGGGCCGGATTGCAATTTGACATCCGTGCTATCAAGAGAGAAGAAAAAGGACAAAGGCAACGAGAGATTGATGCTTCCGCCGAAACGACACAAAGAATCACCAAAGTAAAGCCACCACTGGCAGGCTGGGCGACCAGGTGTTTGCCAAAGGAGCCACAAAAAGGGGACGTTCATAGCACATGACAAGGCCAGACGGTCAGTAGAAAAGAGCAAAAAGGTATCGATGGGTAGCGTGTTATTAGTCTTGTTCCAACAGAGAAAGCGCAGACGTGGTGCGCAGGTAATCCACGCCGTTAACTTTGTACCAACCTCCGAAACTCCCGTAAAGAAAGAAATCATCATATCCCTGTAACATGAGAAGCAAATCTCACCTCTCTTCATGATGTGGTAATTGTGGCATCCGAAATAAAAGCGCAGAATGAAGAAGAAAAAAAACACGTCAGACCGACCATTCAAGGCCTGGCAAAGGGCTTGGGAATAAAACAGGATAAATCAACCCATAGGTGTTCCGCGGGAGGCTGGAAGAGGGGAGGAAGGATTAAAGAGAAAGAGAGATGTTAGAGAGCCGAAGGTAATGGGAGGATATAATTCGGAGCAGCGCAAAAGGAGTCATTAGTTGCCTGCTTCAGTCGGTAGGGCGCAAAATGAAGAAACCGCGGAATTACAACTCGTCGCGTCCCATGGTCGTGGTTAATGGGCCGCTCTCGTCGGGATAGTACTTGGTAAAGAAGAGGTTGGCCAGGAAGGCGAAACCAATCTGTGTCGACGGAGAAAGTATCAGGTTAGCTTCCCAACTGCGGCATCCGGAGTGATTGTGGAAAGAATTGTGAAAGGGAAAAAAAACATGATTCAGATCAACTTACCATGAGAGCGGCGATGAGCAACATTGTGCCAATTACAACGGCGACCAGGAAGGCGCCGTCCATGAGGTCCATGCCCTGGGTATCCGCCATTTGGTCGTTTTCGTATCGCTTCTTGGCCCGCTCGGCCGTCTGTGGAGGGAAGATGGTGTCGATGAACTGCTCGATGCGGCTGCATTGCAAGCTGATGGCGACGTAGTTGGGGTCCCTGGGGTCGTTCTTGGCATGTATCCTCTGGACGTAGGTCCTAAACACCTCGGTCACTACCTTTAGGTTTTGTGTGGACTGGGACATGAGGCTGCAAGCGTCGCCCTTGGTGATCTTGACGTTCCTCTCAAACACGTTGGGGTTGTTGAAGACGAGTTCCAGAGTCGCAATGGCCATGCTTTGGGGAATGGCAACAAAGTTGAAGACGCTCTGGTCCTTGATCGCGGCCATATAGAAGAGACACTCCTCGCAGTGCTTGAGGGCGTTGAGCACCATGTGATTGAGGCACTTGACGGCTACCGCGCGGTTCTCAGGCTTGAGAAGGTCCGGGTAGTCCTCGACGTACTGAGACCAAATCTGCTTGGGCCAGAAGCGGCGACCATCCTCCCAATCCTCGTGGATATCTCGGATGATGTTTGTCTTTTGGAGGAACTGACCCATGGACTCGGTCAAGCTTGGCTTCTCGAGGAGCTTGGGGATGGCGAGTTCCGACTTGACAAAGAGTCGGGTAAGGCCGTCGCCCACGAGACCGGCAACGTAGTGGCAGTAGAGCTCGTAGTCTTTGATGGTGTTGACGCCGTTAGCGTTGAACTCGGCATTGAGTGCGTAGTCGGCCATGCCATTGCCCATCTTGATCGTGATGTCGTCGATGATTTCGAGATATTCAGGCTTGATCTTCTTGAGCTCCACGACGACATCGGAGAAGCGTACAAGGAGCTCCCTATCCTTCTCGTTGGGACCGCTCTCGGTGAACGTCCAGCCATCAATGACCATGTTCTTGTTGAAGTTGCGCAGCAACGGCTCCTTCTTCTTGATGTCAATCGTCATGTCATCCTCAATTGTGTCGAGACCGCGAAGGACGAGGTAAAAGAGAGCGACGGGGACAAGAAGCTCGGGGTTGAGCTCTTGGATGACGGCCGAGAAGCTTCGGCTTGTCAAGTTAAGCAACTCGAAGCATGATTTAAGGGTCTCTGACTCTGTCGAAGGGTCCCTCTTGTGGACGGGGTCGTGCCATAGCTTCCTAATTGATGGGAGACGAAAGGGTTAGCAAATATCGCGCATATAGCTCCTCGATCAAGGGAAAAAGACTAGAGAAGACAAGGAAGAAGAGACACGAGAACGAGTGTCAGCAGGGAGATGGGCGGCGATTGGAAAGGTACAAACCATTGAATGACGGCCCTAAGCTGATTAGGGTGTGCGAGGAAATAGAGAGCACCCATGATGGCGGAGAAAGTGAGTTGATGTGTTAGGAAGAAGAGCGGCGATGAGATTTTATTTTTCTCTCCCGTTGTTGCTTGCAAGTTGGGAAGGAAGCCACACGAGATGCAAGGAAATTTTTGGTGTGTGAGACAAGGCACACAGAAAAGTTCAGGTCAGACGTTCGTTGGACCCAGCCAGTGGCACGGGGCAGGACAGGGGGACAGACACGGCGATTCGTGAGCGCAGGAACCGAAGGGAGGAAAAGTGATGATTGATGGTGATGATTAGCTATACAGACATGGCAGGTGGAAATGACCTCCTAAGAAGAAAGGAAGGTCGGGGGATATTATCACAATTGAAGCATTGGGAATTGAAGGAGGAGAAAGATTGAAGAGAAGATGAGATGAGCCAGGAAAAGCGGGCAACTTGAACCAGGGGAGAAGCAAAGACCCGAGACCACGCTACAGATGGGGAGTTAATTTCTGCACCTGGACACACTGGAGCCAAGGGGGCAGGATTTTCTAGCGCCTGGTGATTGGGCCCGGTAAAGGGTTGACCCCGTTGACATGGACAGCAAAAAATTGTGGCAGCCTAGCTAGGGGCTCAATGTTGGGGAAATTGGGGCTTTCTGTCCTTTTGCCGCAATTGCGGGTCGTGGAGCCGGGTAATGGGTGTAGGGCCGCTTGCTGTCATTGTCCGCACTCCCGCTCTCCTGCTTGGATCCTTGGATGGAACGGTCCTCCCAGTATTGGAGTCTGGAGGATGAAGGAAGGCGTGCGTTGCGCACGAATTATCGCGTGCATCTCCATTCTTCATTCTCATCCCGCCCAATCAGATATCTAGTCCAACTGAATCCCCCGCGACTAGGAGACCAAGGGATCGATTTCGAAGCTTGTTCTGCTTCTAGTCGTGCTGGTGTCAAAGCAGAGCCGAAGCTGGGGAAGGGTTGGCAAGACGGGTTTTGTAGCTTCGTGCCAAGCCCCTGGGGAGGCACCGAAGTGCTTGCAGAGAGACCCTTCTAGCGACGAAATTGCCGTGACCAAAAAAGAGTTGCAGGCACCGTGTCCTTGAGGCCAAAGTCAATGGCTCCGTCGAATCCGGTTGGCACAAAAGTGTGTTGAACGCAGGCAGTGCATGGGCCAATTTGATCTCGATTGGTGATGGCTTGCCTTTCTGCGCTCACCCATCCAGCGCACCCTTTGCTCCTGCCTGGTTTCGGGCATACAACGCTTTCACTCCACTTTTTAGTAAGAAGAAAGCGAGGAAGGAGGTTCACCGAGGACTCGAACCCATGTTGCCCATTTCAACGGCAAGAGCCGCATTGTCTACAAGCTGGCACGGTGTCTTACTGTTTATGTAACATGGTGTACCTCGGTAGCGTACGGCAACTGAGGCCTGGTGGGGGAATCGTCGAAGGGAGGGAGGAATCAGCCAAGCCATCAGCGTAGTCGTCATGACGATAAGAACCTGGAACAACGTGTCGACAAAGCAAGCAGCATTTCTTCAGCGTGTTGCGCGGCAAGAAGGGCGGTGCTGGCCGAACAGTGGCTTTGTGGCTTTGTGGCGCCCGGTGCCCTCCCGTCTCGCTTTTCCAATATCATCTATATTTATAACTTATTTCCTCTGGGACAGACATGCTCCAGAGGGCACGAGACACTTTTGGGGAAGTTCCTTTCCGCAACAGACGGGATGAACACGCAAGCCCAACCTCTGGGCTTCCTCGAGACAACATGATGAATGTTCCTGCTGTTTGGCGTGAAAGGCAAGCGCCACATGCGATAAGCCCGTGATTAGTTAAGCATGCGAAGAACGAAGCTTTTGATTCCTTGCATGCAAACGTAGATATCGAGAGCACACTATGTTCCAGGCCCCTTTAATGCATGGGTGCCTTAACGCCTATTGAATCGAAGAACAGGCTTGAATCGGGGGTTTTTGAGTGGAAAATCGGCGGAGAATGGTCGGCGGATGGCCTGGCGATATGGGGTGTCTGCCAAGCAAGTATACTCAATAGGGACAAAGTAGGGTCCAAGTATAGCTACAAGCTTGCGTCACCCTCCTCGGCGTCCCCCACAAGTTCTCGGTACGTTGAGGAGGATCATCCAGCCCATCCTGTTCCCTCTCTGACGACATGTTTCCAGCGCTGCCTGTGCTCCTTCACAAGTCAGAAGCTGCCCCGCCGTCACCATCAACTTTCCGCCAGCCAAGGGAAAACACTACTGTCATAGGTGCAAGGGTGGGAAGGAAAAAAATATCAACACCGGACCTGTTGGTGAACCTAAATTACCTTACAACTTCCCCGTTCCCTTTTGTCGATCTTCCTAGACCTCTTTTCTATTTTCGCGAGACATCTCTTTGACACTTTTTTAACCCCTCGACTTTTGGTTTGTGCTCCTTTTATTTGCTGCATTCCTTGTCGTTCTGAGCCCCACCCTTTTCGACGCTCCCAACGCCTTCCCTCAACGTCCGCCCCGTGCTATCCGACTAGCCACCCAACAGCAGCCCCTCCCCCACCGTTTCGATATCGTCATGGTCGTGGACAAGGCCTACTACGACCTCCTCGGCGTGGAGCCAGGGGCGACCGACATTGAAATCAAGAAGGGCTACAGAAAGGCAGCCATCATCCACCACCCAGGTTCGTAAACACAAAGGGGCCCCCCAAAGCCTTGTTTTGCTTGTTTTCCTGTTTTTTTCTTCTTTTTGTTTCCTCGGCACGTCACATGAAAGAAACTCGCCCGCCCCTGCTAACCATCCGCCCTTACCACCTCTACAGACAAGAACCCCGATGACCCCAGCGCGAGCGCCAAGTTTCAAGAAATTGGCGAGGCATATCAAGTCCTCTCCGACCCTCAGCTCCGTGCCGCCTACGACAAATATGGCAAGGAGTCCGCCCGGCCCTCGGAGGGTTTCGTTGACCCCGCCGAGTTCTTTACCTCCATCTTTGGCGGCGACGCTTTCATCGACTGGATCGGCGAGATCTCCATCATGAAGGACCTGACAGCGGCCATGGAGATCGCCATGCAAGGAGAGCTCGAGGAAGGGTCCGAGGGCGAGTTCCCGGAACTGAGGAGGCCATGAAGGAGAGCGCAAAGGAAGCTGGCACGGCGCCGCCTACCGTCGTCGTCGAGGACGAAAAGGTCGACCCGTCTGCTCCTCCAGCTGCTGCTGCTCCTGCTGCTGCTGCCGAGGCCAGCTCCGCCGGTGCCGCTCGTACTCCCAGCCCCGCCGGACGGGCGAGTCCGCCGGCAGCGCCTCCCGCACCTCTACCCCGCGGCCCACCGCGATACCTATTCGTCCCGCCCTCATGGATAAGCCGTCGGACGAGGTCACCGCCACGGAAGGCTCATCCGATGACCTTGCTAAGAAGAAGAAGGACAAGGACAAGAGTGGCCTAAGCAAGGAGCAGCGCGACCAGCTCGCCGCCCTCCGCAAGGAGCAGGATCGTGCCCGCAAGGAGCGCATTGACACCCTGACGGCAAAGCTTCTCGACCGCGTCAGCGTCTGGACCGAGACGGACAAGGGCCCGGATGTCACGGCGGCCTTCAAGGAGAAGATGCGGCTCGAAGTTGAGGAGATGAAGATGGAGTCGTTCGGCCTCAACATCTGCCACGCCATCGGCCAGACGTATATCAGCCGGGGCTCGACCATGATCAAGAGCCAAAAGTTCCTTGGCATCACGGGCTTCTTCAGCCGCCTCAAGGAGAAGGGCGTCATGATCAAGGACACGTGGAACACCATCTCCTCCGCCCTCGACGCCCAGGCCGAGATGAAGAAGGCTGCCCTCCTCGAGGAGGAGGCTGGCGAAGACTGGACCGACGAGCGCAAGGCCGAGCAGGAGAGGAGATTGACGGGCAAGATCCTGACCGCCGCGTGGCGTGGGTCCAAGTTTGAGATTCAGGATATTCTCCGCGGCGTCTGCGATAACGTCTTGAACGACGAGGCTGTGCCTCTGACCAAGAGACTCGAGAGGGCCCACGCTCTCGTGGTGATTGGTGAGGTCTTTGTAAAGGTACGATTCCACAGTGAAATCTCTTGGTTCGCGATTACATATCATCATTTGACTAACTTTTTTTTCCCCTTTGTTAGGCAAGACGTTCTCCCGAAGAAGACGGCGACTACCTCGTCTTCGAGAAGCTCGTCGCCGAGGCTGCGATGAAGGATAAGGAGAAGCACAAGCACAAGTCCAAGTCCAAGGACAAGGAAAAGGATAAGGAAGACGAGAAGCACAAGGTTGCCGCCGACGCGCCCAACGTCCACAAGGCACCTTGAGCGGACCTTGTCCCCCTTGCTTCGCTCTTCCGCCATCTCCTGGACACCACTTCCCGCCCTACTCTTGACCCTTTTTTCCCCCTTGTTCACCTCGTCGGAATGCTCGCTACAGAATCAAATAGCCCCCCCATACCCGAAACTCTCTTCCGTGAGCGGGCGGTCTCACCAAGGAATGTCTTGCTTCCTTGAACTGAGATACCGCTGCCCCGCGGAATAAGTTTCTCCTCGTCCATTTGTTTTTCTTTTTCTTTTTTGGACAATAGCGAACCTGTGTTTTTTGACTTGCTTGTCCTCTCGCCCCCTAAGCTAGTCTCAGCCCTTCCCTCGGCTTAGTTAGTCCCGCCATGAATCAAACTTTCGGAAAGCCTCCTCCTCCCTTTTTCCCCTTCACCCTCAACTCGCTCTCGCTCTCTCTCTCTCTCCAACGCACCCTCTCGTCCATTTTCCCTCTCTTCACTTTTTTCCCGGGCTCGCTCAAGAACCAGTACACACCCCTTGTCTACCCTCCTCTCTTGTTTTTTTCCGCGTTACGTTGACGATAGACCTCTATTTCTTCTTTTGCCTCCCTACTAGGGCCATGTCTATGTTTTTTCTTCCTCCTCGTTTTGTTTTCTTTGTTGCCTAACACACTCATTGCACCATGGTCGAACGAGGTGGTTGGATAGCAGAGTTATCGGCCAGGCTAATACATGCACAATATAAACAAGACTTATCAGGAACCCGGATGGCACCCTTGGTATTTATTGAACACGTAGAATTTTTGAATGGACACTACCGAGGTAGATGCACCTTGGCTATCTCTTTTCATCCTCCTTTCGCAGCACTGATTACTTCTTTGGATGCGAAACGTATGTTGGAGAGATGGTTCCATGGAGTATATTAAAACTCTTTGCTATTTTGACTTTCTGTCCCACTTACACCGTCTCGGGATCAGTGGCAACGTTTGGTCGGGAACCAACGAGCTCGAGCAACCAAAGAAAAAAAAAGAAAAAAAGCAACATCAAACTTTTCTATATAGTCCAGGCCACACTTCAACGTGCCGATGGCATTCATCGACGCATTCCATTGGTTTCGTTAAGAGTCATGATCAAGATTAGCCAGCCCATTTACTTCTCTTCCTCTAACCCGACATTCATTCATATACAATTTAGTTGACGCCGCTGGCCTTCATGCGCTCAAAGCACTTCCTGTAGGCCTCGTGGATCTCGGGGACCTCGTAGTTATACTCCTTGAGCTTGGTGGTGAGCTTGGTGGTGTCGAGCTTGCAGTTGCTGCGGCCGGCCTTGATGACCTTGGACTGCTCCTCGAGGGTGAAGTTGGCCCACTTGAACTCGGGGCGGACAATGTCACGGAAGAGGGTGAGGACCTCGTTGTGGGAGATGGCACCGGGGTTGGTGAAGTTGTAGACACCAATCTCACCGTGCTCGGCGAGGAGGATGGAGGCGGGGAGGAGATCGGTGAGGATGGTGTTGGAGTTGGGAATGTCAACGACACGCTCGTACTTGGAAATCTTGGTAACGAAGTTGCGAGAGTGGAGGTCGTCAGAGACGGGCATACGGAGTCGGAGGATCAAGGTGTTGCTATAGTTCTTGATAATCTACATCATAAGAAGCGGTGGTTAGCTACCCTGTTTCTCTTCATCCCCTTTTGTAAGGTGGGGGAAAACAAGTTGAGGGAACAAAACTTACGGCCTCGACGTAAGCCTTGGTCTCCGAGTAGAAGCTGCCATCAAAGTTGGCGCTGTCGGTCTCGAGGAAGCCCTTGCCGCCAATGGGGTGCTCGTCATCGTACTGGTAGATGCAGCCGGTGGCGAAGACGGTGCAGTGGATGCCGCGGAGGAAGCAGGCGTCCGAGAGGTTGATGGTGCCAATGACGTTGGAGCGAATGGTGGCCTCCTTGTTGTCCTCGCACCAGTCGACGTTGGGGCGGCCGGTGCAGCCGGCGGCGTTGAGGACGTGGGTGGGCTTGACACGGTCGAGCTCGGCGAGGACGGCCTCGCGGTTCTCCATGCGGATGGTGGTGCTGTGGACCTCCTTGCCCTGGGACTCGAGGAGGGTCTTGAGGTGGCCGGCAACCCAGCCCTCGCCGCCCCAGATGAGGAATCGGTTAGCAGACATGATGTTTTTCTGGTGGTAGAAGCGGTGGGAGAGGGTTGATTGTGTGTGTGTGTGTGTAAGTGTGGATGCCGAAAGGTGCGGTCAAAAACACTTGCAAAGTAGTTGTCACGCGAGATTGGAGCTAGGAGGAGAGAGAGAGGGATAGAAAGGGAGCTGTAGAGGGTATGGAAGGGATAAAAAGGGTCCAGGAGGTCTGTACACGGCGAGATCTCGTACCGTGGAGCTGAAAAAGGGAAAGGGGAGTGGGGTGGGCGAGAGAGGGCCACACAGTGAGGCAGGAAGGGGGCAATGGGGCAATGGGGGCAATAGAGACTGGCACCTCAACCACGTTGCGGCGAACTGAGCTACTAGCGCATCATGACTAAAACTACACGCTACGATAAGAAGTAGGAAGCCAATCTTATAAATAGATACATTGGCTACAATGCCTTTTCCCTTTTGTTTGGTTGTCACTGATTCTCACTGATTCTCTCGTTTGGAGGGGGCAGGAAAGAGTCGGTGAAGATGGTCCAGCCCATTTTTCCCTCTTTGGTTTTTGCTGCTCTGGTCCATCTCCTAGTATTTCCCTTTGCTGGTTTAGGTTCAACGGAGGGGAGGGGCGGAGAAGAACAGGGACAGAGGCGAGGGGTAGCAAGGTTGTTGAATTGGGCAGAGCTCGAGGTGTGTTACCCCCAAGAGGGGCAAGGGTTCAAAAAATAGAACCGGGGGACTCCAGCCACTCAACAGCAATGGCGCTGCTGGGGGTTGCCGAAAGAAGGAAATCCCACTCCTTGCTCACTCGACAGGGGGAAAGGGCGATCCTCTTTGTGGTCGTCGTATGGAAAGCGCCATCGATGAGGTTTGGTACCTTGGGCTTGGGGTGACGTGCCCCGAGAAAAGTGGCGGCGGGGCAAAACGAGGCAGTTTTGATACTTTGATGGTCTTCTTCTTTATTGCCCCTTTTTTCTTTCTAATATACGGAGGGGCCTGATAGTATGGCTAACTGGTAGGCTTAGTCCTCTTGTCATCCCAAAACCCTAGCTTCGAAGCTTCCCACCCACTCTAGATTTGTCTACCAGACTCTGTGATTAAGGCTCGCTCGCAGGATACAGTACCAAGATCCGAAAATGGTGAGAAAGGGGTGCTGCCGGACTACTCGCCGGATGCCGGGACAGAACGAGATGGGTGAGGGCAGGAAAAAGAAGGAAAAATACAAAAGAAGGTTCGGGCACCGGCCGGCCGCACATACCCAACGCGCCCTCATCCACACCTCCGTAAATGATTCTTTTTCCGATAAGGAAGCTAAGAAAAGGGCATCTGTTGCCGTTTACCCAACTACGGTCCCCGCCGGGCTTGAAGCGCCGCACAGGAAAAGAAAGGGTGCTGAAATAGTGCTCGGGTGTGTCCCTGAAAAAAAAAAAAAAGAGAAAAAAGAAAAAGAGACATGGAGAGCGAGCTTCACCAAGTAGAGGACCTCGAAGCTTGGGGCCAGCTCCTTCACAAAGCAAGCAATGGTACGAGGTTCGTATTCGAGCGAGGGGCAAGGGGGCTGGAGAAGGTGGGATGTGACACCACCCCAAAATCACCGCCGCACAAAAGCGCATGGCAACGGAGGGGTTAGCTTTGCCCGGAACAGCATGGGTGCCCACATGCACGCGTTGGACCGCAAAAACGACCACCTCCGCAACCCGTGAGTGGATGAGCCAAGCAAGAGGTTTCCGGAAGCAGTTGTAAGTTGCTTGAGCTGCTACCTGTAGACAATCGAGCGGGTTTACCGAATAGCTATCCAATAGTTTCATCGAATACATGTAGATTCAGAAGCTCACAGTCGTCCTTGCATCGAAGCTTTGCCATCCCCAGGTGATTTGGGAAATTATCATTGTATTTGATTTTATTTTTCTTCTTCTGCCTTGATTCCGTATTCCGTTTCTAAATACAAAGGCACGGGTCCCTTCTAACCCTTCCCAAAGACAAAAGAAAAAAATGGTTGGTGGCCAAGAAAGCTAGGAAAGGTGGTTATTGGGTATCTGTTGGTACAAGTAGCTCAAAGAGCAAGAAGCAGGAGGGAGAAGAACACGAGAAAAAGGGGAGTCCTTGATTTTCGAGGCCACGAGACAAAGGGAAGATAGAGGACTCCAGTAGCCTAGCGGCTAGATGGGCCGCTTCCACGAAATAGTCGGACTTTTCAATTGGGGCATCGTTCGGAAAATAGCAAGGCGGACCAGCAAGGACCCGCGTCCTCCCAAGATTCCTCCCTACTGGATGCATCCACTGATGCGTTATTCGCCGTGTATGGGCTCGCTTCTTCTCGACGTGGTCCCGGAGCGGTATATGAAAGACGTGGAAAAGAACAGCAAAGAAGACTAGAAGCATTGATGCAGATGCAGACCCGATGGAAAATGCGAATATGCAGATATGCCAAAAATGCTAGTTCCCCTGATTATTCTTTCTCTTTGCTTTCGTTACGGCCATGGATTCGTCATTAAAGAAAGGAAAAAAAGAAAAGAAAAGAAAACCGCCATCTCCCTTGGATGGGCTTGTGCTGCATGGTTGTCCGTCTTGGGTATCTTTGGTATGACGAAGTATGAAACAATCCGATCCAGACGAGCGGGAAGCCGTGGGAAGCTAGATGAGGATTCGGGCATCCTAAGGCGAATATGTATAATAATAATAATAATAAAGTCCATCGTCGGACGTCAAGGTGCTGATTGATGAACAAAAGAAATAAAACGGGTGTTGATCGTCAAATTGGGTATATATGAGAGTGGTGATGTTGGCGTCCTTGGAAGGAAGAGAAACAGATGAAAGAAAAAAGGTGGACAATCTCAAGATGGCGCCCCAAGAAAGAGTATTTCAGTACATGGTGGTGTTATAATGTTGCTTCGGTCGAGGCAAGCCGCGGGTAGGGCGGTCTAGCAATATCGTCGTCGTCGTTCGCCGTGGAGAGGGCCTCGTCGGAAGACTCTTCCCCATTCCGGGCCCCGTGGATCGTATCTTCGGCGTCCGGGTCGAGCGTCACGTCGTCCAAATCATCGCCAACGTCGTCATCGCCCACGGCGTCCGCTTCCTCGGCGGCAGCGTCTTCCTCCTCGTCCTCGGTGACAAGGATCCGGCCGCCCAGCTTGATATCGCTAACTCGGACCTGGTACTCGAGCGCCTTGCGCCCTTCCTGGATCAGCTCCTCGGTCCAGTTGAGGCACTTTCTCAGGCTCTGGTTGATCTTTTGGCTGTCCACGAGTAGCTCGCGGTGCTTCGTCAGGTCCAGTTGCAGGCGGCGCTCGTCCCGCTGGCGGTGTCGTTCGTCGCGGGCAGCCCGGGCCTCGGGGCTCAAGCTCTCCGACCCGGAATCCGTATCGGAAAAGTCGCTCTCCTCTTCGCTCTCCTCCTCGGGTTCCTCCTCGCTAAGATCGGAGAGGCTCAGCGCTGATACGCCCGCCTCGGAGACTGCGCCTTCCGAGGCTGCCGTCGACGCCACAGACGCAATGGAAAGCCTGCCTGCCCGTGACAGCCGCCTGTACCTCCTAATCTCTGCGGTTTGCTTCCTTAGGCGTCGCTCGAGGGACCTATTGATGGCCGCGAGCGACGCATTGGTGATTTCCAGATCCTGCACTTTACGCTCCCGACGCGCGTTGGCGATGAGCTCGGTAAGATGATCGGCCGAGTGCGTGGCTTTGGTTGGGCTGTGAAGCTCGCTGTAGACTGCCTCGTGGTGTTTTGGTTCGTTATCCAAGCCCATGCGCTCCTCTACGGTCTGAAGTTGTAGCTGCAATGGTTGCGGTACTGGCATCGTTGGGCTCCCCATGCTAGCCGACGTAGAGACATCGGACACTGGTGAAGAGAGGGCCTTTGATGAAGGAGACGAGTCGGACACCGTCAAACTATTGGCAACAGTGGGAGTGGTGGTGGCAATGGTAGTGTTGAAGTTAGTGTTGACGAGGCTCCCCGTCCTAGAGTGGCCTTTGTGATGGGGCGGCCCATTCTCGAAACTAACCCTCCGCTTCGTGGCCGATACCGTGGGGAAATTGAAGCTTGACCGACGACCGACGTTCGATTCGGCGCGGGGAGGGACGATTGAGTTGAGCCTCGCAGCGTCGCTATCGAAGGCAGGGCAGCCATTTTGATTGGCGAGATGGGCCTCGGCGGTTGCGCCTGAACCGACGGCTGGTGCTGCATGGCGGCGTGGTTCAGTCTGGCAGTCGTCATACGCGAAGCCGTGGAAACCACAGATGGCGTTCTCGATGACGTGGCCTGGCCGTGGGAAGGACCAATGTCAGGCACTCCATTGGCGTAAATGAACTTGCTGGCACGGTTCTCGGGTGTGAGGCCGAGGGCCGGTGTAGGCGACGGGGCGCTGGCCCTGTTCTCGTGGAGCCCATTCGCGTAGAAAAAGGTCGGTCCTCCTTGGCGAGCAGGTTGAACGGGGGTTTCGGTTGTTGGACCCCTTTTGCGTCGCTGGCATAGAAAATTTGGATTCCGCCGCAGCAGGGGCGGCATCGGCGTTGGACTGATTGCCGTGATGGTGTTGGGCAGTTAAATCAGCCGCCACAGGGGTGAAGGCTAGCGGCCTCCTAGGACCGGCGTCACTGTCATTACCGGAGATCCCCAAGCCAGATCGCAAATCCCACGCGTCTCGTTCTTGGCTCGGAGTGCCGCTGGGACTGTTGTGGCTGCTGTCGACACGGCTCTGCCGGCTTCCCGATCTCGGCGTAATATTATTGCTCAAGAAGGAGGAAATCGGCGACGCATATTCGTCCCTCAGCGATGGCGTAGACACAGTCTGGTGATTAGGGGAGGTTGCGTTCGCCGGGCTAAGGGCGTCGTTGCCCCCGCGGCCTGGGCAATTCTGGGAGCGGGAGTAGGCGTCGTGGCCGTAGTCGTATGAGTCGACGCGGCAATCTTGGGCGTGAGGGGGCCCGATTGATTCCCTTGATGGCAGAGGCGGCCAGGTGTGGTTGTCGCGGGTGAGGGCCGGTTCCTTGTCGGGGGCCATCTTAGCGGTAAAGGTTTTCTGTTGGCGTGTCATGCCACCCGTATGCGCATTGTGGTCTTTGCGGGAAAGCGGTGCACGAAGAAATGCGGCGGCAGCGGCAGCAGCGACGGTATTTTTGGTGGCAGTGTTGGTGGTGGAGGTCGCGGTCGAGGCGTTGCGTTTTTGGCTGGACGAGACGGTCGCGTTGCGAGCCGACGACAGCGACGAAGAAATTGCCGAGACGTTGGTGGAGGAGCTAACAGACGAGAGAGACGAAGGTGGACGCGTCGAAGGGCGGGCGAGTCTCGGGGTGGTGGTTGCGGAAAGTGCACCAGAAAGCGTGGTCCTTGGGGCGGAAGACAAATTCGAGATGACTGTTGAGGGAGTGGTCGTCGCCGTCACGGGACGTCGCGATGATCGGATGGTGGAGGATGGGGTGATGCTATGTCGGGAACGGCCGTCGGCGAGGGCAGGATTGGTAGAAGCAGGCAGGCGGGGCTTGAGGCAAGCTAGCGAATTTTTGGAAACGAGATTCGCCGCCCGAGAAGATGCCGCGTGAGTTTTCGTCGGGGTCGGCTGCGAGGGCGAATAGAATCCGGAGAGCGGACGCAGCAGGGGGCTGTCGTGCGTGTGCGCGTGCGTGATGCAGCAGCGTCCGTCCGAGAGGATGTGGACACGGTTGAGGCGGAGGACGATAATTGTGGTGGTGGTGATGATGATGATGATGATGGTGGTTGTGCTGATGTTGATGATGGTGACGGCGTCGTCGTCAATGTGTTTGTTGTTGTTGTCGCGGGTTGGCGTTCCCGTGCCCCTGGCTCAATTGATCGGGAGAGACTGGGCGCTGAGACGAGACGGTCTCGGTGCTGAGGCGTCGTCGACATGCTGATTGCTTTGGCGGCGGGCGACGGTGGGAGGGTTGTCGCCAGGCACTCTCAGAGGCTTCTTACTGGCTGACATGGCCGGAAAATGACAACTGGAGAAGGCCTAATTTAAAAAACGATCCCCTATTATTTGATTTTCCGACTAGTTTGGGGGTGTCTTGGTGTCTTTGGTGTCTTGGTTGTTCTCGCCCTCCTTGGCGGATCCTCGAGAAGAAGAGGAAAAGTCCACTCTAGGAGTGGGCAAAAATTCCACTCGCAAGATTAGATATTGCAAGGGGAATAGGAGGGGAAATAGGAAAGAGAGAGAAGGAGCGAGGGAAGCCCGTAAAGGTGAGGTCATCGCCAGTCTTTCTATTCAAATTGTTCCACGCAGGCTTCTGAGCGCCCACCCGCGCCACGGGCCAGGCTCAACGTTGGAGTGGGCTAGGGGTCACCATGGACCCAAAATGCGCACTATAAACGCGATCTTATGGAGGGTGAATTCTCGCCCCTCCAATCGGTAATGTTTTGTAGTGTATAAACAGACGGTATAAAAGGACCCTGATATAAACATTGCAGGGAAACATGGACGAAAAGACCCAAACGTCATTTCCGTCCGTTGTTTTTATTCATGCGTTCGATGCATGAACAGTGCATTCCCGCTCGAGCTGGGCCCAGCTCCTCCTCACCTAGCTTGCCTCAACATTGACTGGATTAATATTCCAAGTGTGGTTTTTTCTTTCAAATTCTATTGAGCCCCATCCCAAGCCAAGGGGGTGACCCAACCGGGGATCCGCCAAAACGCTCCACCTAATATTATTATTACAACTCGTGCCAAAAATTGATCCGTGATCCTCAGACAGATGGTTGGATTCGCGTGCGGGTTGGTTCAGGGTATATGTAGGGCTCAACCCTTGGGTCCATGGAGAGCAATTGGATCTGGGCGAGTCGAATGGGGAAGATTGTGATCTCAAGGCGCAGGCTCTGAACTCTGGAAACACTTGAGGAGACTGAGAACTTGAGACTTGCAAGTTGTTGCTTCTCGAGATAGTTGGGTCGTGCTACCTGTGGACGAGTTATCCCGCGACGAGCTAATACGGCCCGGCACGGGTTGGGAAAATGAGAATTACCCCATCGATAAGTGGATTCACTACTCAATCCCACAACAAACAGAAACATTCTTACGGCTTTTCGACCTTATCGTGGCTAGAATCTCACTTGGTTTCCATAGACCATCCATATAGCAAGAGTTATTATATCGTGCGTGGCTCTAACACACAGCCCTGGAGCCATAGAAGCCGGGCGTGAGAGCTCCCCCACGATGTTCTAAGGAGCCTCTTTTGGCAGATGAATGGGAACCCGCGTGAGTCTTGGCTTGCGGGGGCAGGGCAAAAGGCAAAATATCCAGCCAACGAACACCAGGCGATAGGCCTTTTATGATGATTCGTCCGCGATCTATCCTCTTTTATTTTCTCAACCATGCTCGCAGAAAGGAGGGGGAAATACTCAACGATGACGATCACCCCGAGATTGCCCCGAAGGGAGCTGTATAATAGGCACTCCTCGGGACTTGACTACCGCTAATGGTTTTATCTCAGTCTTCTTGGCAGCCCTCTTGCACAATGTCTACTTGGAACAAAAGCTCTTTGTAGGGAAATATAATCCGGACCTGGGGCTTACAAGGACTGAAGGAGCCTCAAGAGTTGCCGAGCATCTTCAATTTGCCAATCCGCCCCCTAGGCATCACCGGCATACACTTAAACACTGGACATGTTCCTGCCTCGACTAATGCTGGTTGTTAATACCAGCTTAACTGTGGCTGCTATTGTCTGGAGACTAGATTCATCCAATGGATCGATCTATTCCGTTCAGAACTAGATGCACCGTTGAGTTCCTGATGTAAAGAGCTGACAGAAAAAGTCCAGTATGTTGGACGCATTCACTGATACTAATCGTTTCCACCCCACTGATGTGGGGGACGGAAATGACATTGAAGAGCAACGGTTTCAAGCTTGTTTACTTCCGTGCCAAACCCGTCAAAGTACATGTATTTTAGCATGCGCCCCACCATCATGTAGAGATGGAAAGGAGGGAAACACGAGAGAAGATTTGGTTAAATCAGAAACACGTCTTACTTTTTCTTCATAAGTAAAATAAACTAGAGTTAAGCAAAAGCAGGTTGGGAATCTGGTCGATATGTTGGACCCCCACTTTGCTCGTTGGACTCAGGTACAGGCACCAAACCACCCTTCACGCCCCCACATTCTCCCCACTGCACCCAACAGAGTCTGAAGAATTACCACTCAGCTCCACTCGGCTTCGACCACAGCCAGTCACGTGAAACCGCGCACTCCACTCCAATGTCCTGGAAGCCGTTTACTCCCTTCTCTGATCGAGGGGCACGAGTCATCTCTCGACAAAAGGCGTCAGCTCTCGAATCCCTGTTTCCTCCAAATAGGACAAATTCGGGGTCCAACACATTCTCCCCCGAATCACCAAATCCGGGGAAATAAACGAGGCCTTGACCTTCACCAACCTGCAGGTTCCAACTCTTCATCCGCCCTCCTTTCCCCGGGCTGTGTGTGTGAGTGTGTGCATCTGCGCGACGACCCTGCATCCCCGTCACAAGATTGTAGAAGAACAAAAAGTACAAGAGAGCCATGGCCGTCATCGGTATCTCTCTCATCGTCGCCTCCGTCCTCTGGGTCCTGGTCCGCCCGCCCCCTTGGCTCGCGACCTTCCTTCTCCCCTGGCGCACGAGGCGAGGCCTCGGAAAACCTCCCACGCGCCGCCCGTCTCACGGCGCCAGCAGCGATGGCGTAACCCCAAGCGACCAGGGGACGGAGCTGGATAACCAGCAGCCGCCGCGCCCTCGGTGGAGGTGCGCATCCAAGAGCCAGAGCCGGAACCGGAACCGGAGCCAGAGCGAGAGCCACACCCTTCCTCCAGCTACTCGTCGAGGACGGCGAACCCGCCCCCGCCCCCGCCCCCGCCGCACCCACGATACCACGCACCGAGACCAAAGCCGCCCAGGACCGCCTCGCCATGCCTCCGCCCCCACCCCCGCCGCGCCCACAATACGACAACAAGACGCCTCCACCCCGACGGGCGAGCAGCAAACAACGCCCAAAGCCAAGCCTACCCAGCCACCGCCCTCTTCCATCCCGAGCTTCTCCCTCTCCTCCGGGTCAGCCGGCACCACCACCACCACCACCACCACCACCACCACCACCACCACCCCGGCGCTCAACCTGCCCGGCACCCCCAACCTCCGACCCCCGTTCCCTCCTTCCCCGCCGCCAACTCCCCGCAACGCGCCGGCGGCAACGCCATCTCCGCCATCCCCACCTTGCAACCCCCGTGCCCTCCTTCCCCGCCGCCAACTCCCCCAACGAGCCGGCGGCAACGCGGCCTCTACCGGCCCGGGCCCCAACCGCCTCCCCTCCCTCTTCCCCAGCGGCGCCCCTCCCGCCCAAACCCTCCCCAACCGCGGCGGCCCCGCCCCCAACCGCCTCTCCTCCTCCGCCGGCTCCTCCTCCCTAGCCCCGCCCTCCTCCTCGTCATCTCTCGCCCCGCCTCCCTCCCACACCACCAAGCCCGCCAAACCCTCCCGCAAGGTCCTCCTCGCCCCGGGCCACTCCCCTCGACTGGGCCTCCATCTCCGGTCCCAACGCCGACCTCCGCAACCTGGCCCCCGAGACCCCGTACCTGCGCGTCTCCCCGCCATGCTCAAGCGCCAGACCGGTCGCCGCGGCACCGACGCCTGGACCGTCCTCGGCGGCCGCGTCTACAACATCTCCCCTTACGCCCCGTACCACCCCGGCGGCGTCCCCGAGCTGCTGCGCTGCGCCGGCCGCGACGGCACGAAGCTCTTTGGCGAGGTCCACCCCTGGGTCAACTACGAAAACATGCTCCAGGCCTGCTTGGTCGGCATCTTTGTCGACGACCACGAGACCCCGAGCGGCATGGACGACATGGACTAAAAGTCGGTAGCTGAAAGATTTACACCTAGGACGCAGCGTAGAAAGAAGAAAGACGAGGAGAGGAAACGAAAGGAGGGGGCAAGAAACATCCCGAGTGGTTACCCGCTCGTGTTTGGCTGTTTTGTATCATCATTATATAGATGGAGGTGGGGAGGGGCAAGTTCATTTGCATCAATGATACCCATTCTGTGGAAAAATAAATAAACACTATGAATAGATTTTGGTTTTCATCATCAAGCAATTCGCCCAGATCGTAGGACCTCCATCTCAGGACCCCTCCAAGATGAAAAAAATGAGTAGAAACGCCATTGCCATAGCACGCTATATCGTGCAGCTGCAGGGCCGAAGCCAAACAGGAAAAGAAAAACAAGACAAGAGGGATCGTAAACTACACAGCCAATACAATGGCCTTTGTTGCATCTCTCTGCCTGCGCCTTTCGCTCGCTCTCTTCATCTCCTCATCTTCTCCTGCCAAACTTGAATCCAACCTCCTCATCACTATCCTCATCCTCGCTCTCAGCCGCCGCCGCAGCTCGTCTCGTCTGCCTCGGCCTCTTGGCCAATTGCTCAACCACCGGAGCCGCGGGGGCGGCCTCTTGGGCTGCGTAGACGCCCTGGTCTGGCTCCGCGTCGGCGCCGCCTGCGACGAGGTGGTGCGCTGCGTGTTCCTCGTCGACCGCGTGCGCGTCGAAGAACCGTGTTCCAGACCGCTGATCCCCAACGAGATGTGGTCGTCGGCGCCGTTGCCGACATCATTGTTATCGTCGCCGTCATCGTCGTCGTCGCTATCCTCAGACACGACGGTCCGCCTCGATACGGCCCGCCCCAAAGAAGACTGGGTACGTGTTTGGCCGGAGGCCGTGGGCGCAGGAGCAGCACGGCTCGCTTCATCGCCGCGCGAGGGTTGACTGGGCCCCGTGGCCTGGCTGGTATTCCGAGTGGCGCCGCTCTCATCCTCAAGCCAGTAGTCGTCTCCGATGCCAAACTCCTTGCTCTTCACCTGGACGAGAGAGATGATGTTGCGGTTGGTGGGGCGCCCCATAGCCTCACCCCGTGTGCGGAACTTCTTGAAATTCTTCCTGCCGTTCCACTTTGGGTCCCATCGCCCGTCGGCAATGTCTTGTTCCCGGCTTCGGGCACCCGGTGGTACACGTACCGTCATCTCCTCAACGATAGCGAGTTTTCGAATCTCGGCGAGGTCGATATCCTCGGGAAGCTTGTTGAGATCCTCTTGCTCAGCACGAGCGCGGGCTTCGGCTTCTTCGCGGGACTTTCTCGCAACCTCCAGCACATCAATTTCCTTTTTAATTTTCTTGGGCTTTTCAGCCTTCTTGGGTTGTGTTTCAACATCCATGGTATCGGGTGTTTCCTCCCGGATGAGGGGATCCTCGCCCATCGCTATCCTTCTGCGCTTTGCAGCCGCTGCTGTGGGTGCAATGTCATCCATGACGTCGTCCTCATCATGTGGGTGGCGTCCTCTTCTCTTACGAGTGGCGGGTTGCGCAACAGCAGCAGTATCCTGGCTCGCCATGACAGAACCTTGTGATACGAAGAGCCCCTCCTCTTCGTCATCGCGAGAGATAATGACGGGCTTTTGCTCCTCGGTGCTTGGCGGGCCAACAGGCGCCGACAGGACTGATTCTGGTATGGAGGGGATATCGTCATCGTCGTCCAAGTCAAAGCCCTTGAATCGCTTGGTTGCCGGTTTTCGACCTCGCCCTCGTCGGGCTGGAACTGGGGCTGGGGCTGGGGCTGAGGGATTCTGATCAGCTTGGCTGGGCTCTTGAGATGTGCCCGTCCCTGTATGCGCCGAATCCGCCATTTCGCTATCCGCCGGGGCGCTAGCCGCATCCATGGATTGCGCAACAACAGACGACGCCTCCGCTTGGTGTTCAACTGGTCTATCAGCCAGAGGCAGTGGCCGTCTCAGGGTCGAAGCATCCTTGGAAAGGATAGCTTCCAGAAACTCCTTTTGCTCTATTGGCCGATGGTCCAACTGAAGCGATACAGTTGTCGTGAAATCCGTGTACCACGTTACTTCATCTCCTTTTGCTGGGATATACCGAACAACGACGGCCCCCTTCCCTCACTCCCATCCTCGAACGAACCGAGGCCCTTTTCACCAGCAATGGACTTGACGTAGCGCACAAAATCATTGACCTGTGTCTGGTGGGGACGACCTCGAAGTACAGCGCCTTGCCCTTGCCGTTCGTAATTGGCGCCAAGAGATTGTTCCATTGTGCCTTGTCGTAAAATACGAACGTGTAGCCATCAAACACGTCTTTCCTCAGAGGGTCGGGGGTGTATTGTGAAGCTGGGTTTTGGGTCGCCTCGGAACCCCGCGGCGGGAGGTAGTCTATCTCGTTTGGCCAGGCAGCCGCGAAGTCCACTTCGAGCGGGCTCTCGTCGCCCTCTTGTATGGTCGCACCTGCGATGATGGAGTCGGTGAAGGACCCCGACACGATGTACTTGCCGTTAATCAAGGCTTGCAAGCCCTTGGACGTGTTGCGCTTCTTCGACACTACGTGGGTCGTGGCTTTGATGTTGTATTCGGTGATAAACTTGATATCGAGTTGTTCGAGGTCGGTTCGCAAGGTCTCGAGAGGATTATTTTGCAGCTCGCGACTGGTAAAAGAGTAGGTGAGGACCACCGGCACCCAGGTGATACTACCGAAGCACTGAGTTAGTGCCTAGCCAACGCGCGCGAAATCCCGTCAACCAAAAAGAGCGTCATGCCCTGGCTTACCGAAATAGATCAGGGCATTTTCCTAGAGTAAGCTCAATGCTTTCATTGGCAAGAATATGAGTCTGGTTCTGGATGGACTGTCCATCGACAAACGTGCCTTTGGAGGTGTTGAGATCCTGGATCGCCAGGCGGGATCGGCTCGCTAGGTTTTGCTAACACTCTTTGTGAGTTTGCGATCGCAAGGAGCAAGGTAAAAAGAAGACCAAAAATAGATCTAGTCCTGCGATATGCGGTGTACGTACGGCATCCCCCTCGGGAACGGCATCGACGGTGATGGAGAGGTGCTTGCGCGAGATCGTCTTATGGGTGATGACGAGCTGGCCGGCTAGCGCGACGACGGCATCAGTATGGACGAACACAGCCTAAACCAATTTAAAAAGTGGCCCATACCTTCAGACGACGTCCGGCCGATCAGATAACGCTTTCCTGGCCGTAGCCAGAGTTTCCTGCCTATGAAGCACCGGAACACGGTCAGTTCATACAGTTGGGAATTTCGGGCGCGTGGGAGAGTCCAAGGGGCTACACATACCCTGGAAGGCAGGTCCAGAGCTATCGAGGACCCACATTCTAGATGGGTAAAGGCGAGGGCATCAGCATCCCAAGAAGCGCTGGTGATGAAATGCCGGGCCAAGGTCGGCCTTGTCGTCGTGCGCGGGGAGCAAGGCTGTGCCTCGAAGCTCTAGGTTGACAGCTTCACGTGCTGTACCTGATACCTCCAGCGGTGCTGGCACTATTTTCGTGTCGCGGCGTGCAGTGCAAAACGCCAAGTCAGGTGCCTCAAGAGTGGGGTCCAATCCAGGGTCAAAGGTCGACGGTCACGGCAGGCTGACATGTACGGACTGAGGCGTGGCTGGCCTGGCCATACAAAATTCTATGAGCCCTATAATCCGTCCAGGCCAGCCAGCCTCAGCTCTCTCAATTAATCGCAAGATTATTAAAATGCATTCTAGATCGTTTTCTATCTCTTCGGATCAATGCCACTTTCCCGCTTCACTTTCATTCCCCCTTGGCTCTTTTGCTACGTGACGGTTTTAAACCTTTCTGTCCCTTTTTTCTTTTGCCCTCCAGCTGTTCTCCTCTTGGTAAATCGCCGGCCGAATTAAAAGGGTGGAAAGGCTGGACGGGCATTTGATCAACATGGAAAGCACCTGAACATTGAACTGGTTGACGTGCTGCTCTTGCTGGGCTGCGCGACAGCCCTACGGAGCCGGCAATGGGACTTACGAGGTACACAAATCGGATAGCACGGCACCAAGCCAGTGGAGAGCAAAGTTTCCCATCCGGGCGGGACGGGCAAAAATAAGCCCTTGGATCGAGTTTCTCTCAACCTCCACCCAGTATTGACGTAAGAACCGAACGTGCAACCCAGTTTCCACGCTGCTGCATTGGCCACTCGCTGCATCGGTCTGGCGTTAGCTCCTGGCTGGGCTGCAGGAAATCTGTCGGCGAGGCCGGTAGTGGCTCTTGGCCCTATATCAGGAAAGAAGAAACCCCATCCAACTGCCAGCCAAGACTAGTCACGATTGGCGGCGCGAAATGGCAGATGACGAGGCCCTTGATCGCAAGCGGCGAAATAGCCAAGGAGAAAGAAGGTTCTGTCACTCACGTTACTCTTTCAACGTCCACGAGCCGCCCACTGGGGATAAACGAATTTAGGTGCTGGAGGAGGGGGTATAGGAAAGGCTATTGGCCGTTTATCCCGCTGGTGGCGCTGGCAATGGCACTTGTCAACGGAACCTTTTCGTAGTCGTAATCATTTGATCCAGCCATTGGATATTCATACTTACTTTTGGCGTCGGTGCCTTTCTCGTCTTCCACACAATATCATTCTGCAGCCCTGAGCAAAACAAGTCCCCGAACCGTTCTAGGCATTGGACGAGGTGCGTCAGATCGGCACCAAGGAGAAATCTGCGGGGTGGTGGGAAGGGCGCAATCGGTGATCCGCTTGGCACACTGAACTGAGGGGTGATGCGTCGTCTTTCCCCTCATTCGAATCGTCTCCGAAACCAAAGTTACCCTACCATTGCCCAGATTCGTGATTTCTCCAACTGCGAAGCAAGGCACAAGCGCAGTGGTGGGTTTCCGCGCAGGCCGTACATCTCTCGTCAACGCTAAGCCCGCACAAGACCAAAATAAAAAGGAGGGAGAGAGAAGGATAGAGAATGAGAAGAGTAGTACAGCAGGGACTCGACAAGGGAACGCAACAAAAAGTGCTAGTAGAGCGAATACGACTTGATTTGCAGCCCCTTACCGAAGGTTTGCCCTGCCCATCGCTATCGCTGGTGAACCAGTCGCGTGGTAACGAGAATTCGCTGTGAATGCCTAAATCAGGATCCCAGCGGGATTCAGCCACCACATGATTTTAAGCAAGTGCCACAGTACATCAGCATGTGCTCCGTTCGCCAACTTACCATGTAGTCAACGGTGCGCTTCATCAGTAGTCGTAAAATTCAATGTGGCTCCCTTGTCTGTCTAGCTGCATTATGCCTTTGATTCTCCCCAATCATCTTCCTTGTCGAGAACAGGGCCGCCGCCATGTCGCGTGTTCTACAAGTGTCTTGAGCCGTTTTGCCCATCTCTCCGAGTAATAAGAATAGAACTTCCGTCAATCGTCGATCAAATGGACATCTAATGTCTCGCTCCCTGTCCGGTGCCCGGGGTCCGGTGCTGGGCCTATTTGCCAGGTCCTGGTGGGCTCCACCCAGCGCACACTTGACCGTTTTCAGCGTCGCCTCGGCCTAAAGCTGGAGAAGCAGAGTTGGCCGATCCTTTGCCCCTCCTTCCCAACTGCTCCTTCCTCATTCCCCACCTCGTTCGCCTCCTTCCAAGCTGACATTGGCCTGCAGCCCACCGAAACCACACAGACTCGGTAAATGGCACCAGGGAACATTGAAGCGCCAGGGCCAAGTGAGCCACGACCTTCGCCAGGAGAGGACCACATAAGCGGGTGAGGCTCAGCTTGTGCTTGGAGTCCCGGCTTGCACTTTTCGACGTGCTGCACTGTGCCTTCTCCAACCACAAAAACAAAACCCCGGCTGACAACCTCCTTCCGTGGCACACTCCTCCTTGCGTCTCGTCTCGTCCTTTGCACTTCTTCCCCTCTTCCTTCTTTTTGTTTTTCCCTTTTCTTTCTCCCTTGTTTTTATCGTGAACACCTCACCGGTTTCTTCACTCGTCTTCCGCTTCCTTTTTATCCAGCCGAACCTGGGGTTTCCTTGCGCACTTTTACTACCCCGCCAAATCTCTGAATACCTCGAAACACGCGCGAGATCCATGTCTGGATATCCCGGCTCCCAGTATGGCCGTGGCCATGGAGGCTACGGTCCGCCTCCTCCTCAAAACTACGGCTACGGGCCCCAGCAGGGCTATCACCCTCCGCCTCAGCAGCAATACTACCAGCCCCCGCCCCAGGGAGGATACCATGCTCCTCAACAGCCGACCTACGGCCAACCTCCGGTCCCTCCGCGCAATTACCCCTCCCCGCACCCACCCCAACCGCAATATAACCAAGGCTACGGTCATCGCCCAGGTAAGCAAGCTCGACGGCGTTGGTAGGGTAGGAGGAGCGACACTCTTTGTTTTTTCTTGTCTGCTAATCGGCTCGTCTCACTCTCTGCAGGCCCCCTCCCTCGCAAGCGTCCTCTCACTATGGCCAACGCTCTGGACCGCCCCCGCCGCCCTCGGGTATGCAGCAATTTGGTCACGGCGCCCCTCCAACTACTCGTACCAATACTCCAATTGTACCGGAAAGCGCAAGGCCCTCCTGATTGGCATCAACTACTTCCGCCAGAAGGGCGAGCTTCGCGGCTGCATCAATGATGTGCGCAACTTGTCGGCTTTCCTCATGAACAAGAACCGTTTCCGAAGGGAAGACATGGTGATCCTTACCGACGATCAGTCCGATCCGAGGAGCGTGCCCACGAGGCAAAATATTCTGAGAGCAATGGCTTGGCTCGTCAACGGCGCGGAACCCAATGATTCACTCTTTTTCCACTTTTCCGGTACGCTAGTTTATTCCTGCGCCATAATCGGGCCCTTTGTTTTCTTTTTCTTTTTCTTTCCTTCAGTTCTTACTTTTAATCGGCGCTGTCCTCCACTCCACCATTTCCGGCGTGGACGGGTGACGGTGAAACGGCGCTAGCGACTAAGCTAACAACGACTCTTGGCAGGCCACGGCGGACAGACTCGCGATCTCGACGGCGACGAAGACGACGGCTACGATGAAGTCATCTACCCCGTCGACTACAAATCGGCTGGTCACATCGTTGATGACCAGATCCACGATATCCTCGTCAAACCTCTCCGGCCCGGCGTCAGGTTAACGGCCATCTTTGACTCGTGTCATTCCGGTTCCGCAATGGACTTGCCGTATATCTACTCTACCAAGGGTGTTCTCAAGGAACCTAATCTCGCCAAAGATGCCGGCATGGGCCTTTTGAGTGCAGTATCAGCGTATGCCAAGGGAGATATTGGTGGTGTGGCGAGCTCCATCTTCAAGTTTGCCAAGAAGGCCACGACTGGCGACGATGCGTACAACAAGACGCTGCGTACCAAGACCTCCCCGCCGACGTCATCATGTGGTCCGGCAGCAAAGACAGCCAAACTTCGTAAGCTTTTTCACGGCCCTTCCCTCGCTACCTCCCCACCGAGAGAGTTGTGCTAGCCGGGCAAACTGGGCAAGATGTTGTATGAGAGGACGACAAAACTAACTAGCCATCTTTAGGGCCGATGCGACCATCAATTCGCAAGCGACTGGTGCCATGTCCTGGGCATTCATGACGGCACTCGAGAGGAAGCCTCAGCAGAGCTACGTCGAGCTTCTCAACTCTATAAGAGACTTGCTAGAAACCAAATACTCCCAGCGCCCTCAGCTGTCTTCGAGCCATCCCATGGGTGAGTCCCCATAAACAAGAAGTCGCTGTTTTTTGCTAGTCATGGAATGCTAACGCGGCTGCTAGATACAAATCTTCTCTTCATTATATAATTTTGGCCTCCGCAGCCCATCGCGGGGAAAAGGTGGATCGGATGATTGAGCAGACATATTAGGGAACTGGCTTTCGGAGAGCCTCGTTTTTTGTCGATATCGTATACCCGCCATTTCAAGTGTCCAATCACGGCCAGGGCGCCAACAGCAATTTCATCTCAGTATTTCTTGGACATGTTGCTTTGCGGCCAGGTTGGATTTCGTTTCTCGCTCTTGGCGCTATCTCTTTTGCCTTGTCAGTGTGCGGTGAATGATGATGTTGGTTCCAATCTAGTTCATTTGTTCTTTTCTTCTCTCGTCCGTCCGGCCGGTCTTCTTCCTTTTCACCCTTATACCTTATCTTTTTCTTTTCTTTTCTTTTTGCTTCTTTCATTCTCACCATCTTCATGTGAGCATTTCTTTTGGGAGCTGGGAATGGCTTTTAGTGTGATAGGTTTCAGCCCATTGGACATTGGAAGAATGGATGTTTATGCGATATGTAGTGACACACGACGTTGATTTTCTCTCTTGGCCTCTGTGGAATATTTTTGACTCGCCACTAAGAACGTTGTCGGTTGCGCCAAACCGTTAGGGCGGCTTTAGATACTTGGTGAAACAGACGGTGGAGACAATAAGAGACTTTCACAAATTGGTTGGAAATGGATTCATCATAGGTGTGACATGTGTCGTGTAAACGCATTTCGTTTATATCCTAAACGCTAGGGTATCTAACTGCAAAACAAAAAAAAAAAAAAAAAGACCCATTTTCGAAACTGAATGCTTGTAAACTCCAACCATAAACCCCAAAAATTTGGCACTTTGCCTCATCACCACCTCACCTCACCTCACAGCATCGTCCAGCCGACCCTTCTCGGCCAGCGCATCGTCGGGCGAATCATACCCCATGCTGCCCCTAGCAGCATTGACCAAGGTGGCGAAGAGAACGACGGCGGTGGCAGCCCAGGACCCCCACTGGCCGACCGACTTGATGGGTTCCGACTCTGGGGCCACGGGCTGCATGCGCAAAAGGTAGGTCTCGGTGCGGTGGATCATGACGACGACAAGAGCGGGGACGGCGGCGGTGAGGAGCTTGCGAAAGAGGGAGACGAGTCTCTCACCGCTGAGAAAGGAAGACTTGGGCTGTATGATGTCGGGGGAGGAGTTGTTGTTGGAGTGCGACGAGGGACCGAAGCCGAGGTCGAGGACCTTGGACTGGCTCTGCAGGTCGGCGGCGGGGCCCTTGGCGGTAATGCAGCCGAGGGTGAGAGCGGCGAAGAAGAGGGTGGGGATGCCGACGATGCGGAGGATCTCGCCGATTCTGTTGCCCACGAGGCCTAGGGTGGGGATCTTGACGTCGGTGGTGCCAAAGATGGCTTGGGCGGGCATGAGGACGGCGTGGCCGGGACAAGCGTGGGCGTCGGAGTCGGCATCGGCGAGGAGGAAGGGGCGAGCGCCGGCGAGGGCGGTTTCCTTGAGGGCGACAAAGGCGATGACGGCGGCGATGGCGACGCCGACGCACCAGGCCTTGACGAGGGAGCGGGCGGCGGAGGCGCTGGCGGTGCGGGAGACGAGGAGGAGCCAGGCGGCGACGGCGCAGGCGAGGCCGAGCATTTCGAGGACGACGACGAGCTCGAGGGGTAGCGGGGATGATGTGGATGACGAAGAAGAGATGTGCTTGCGGATGTGGGCGAGGTGGACGATGGCGTCGACGGCAAAGATGGCGGTTTTGGTGGTGAAGCCGGCGAGGGCGGCGCGGAAGAGCCAGCCGCGGGGGAGGGGAGGACGAGGGCGAGGCACATGGCGTAGACGTGGGTTCGGGGGAGGAGGGTGTAGGGACCCGCGAGGGGGTTACGCAGATGTCTTGTTGGGAGGACATGGCGGCGCGGGCGCGGTTGGTTATCTTGAGTCCAAGAAGAAGAAGAATTTTGCTCGGTGGTGGGCTTTAAGAAGAAGTAGGAAAGGCGGGCGCGTCGCTATCCAGGAGCCGTTATCGTGAAGGGGCGACGAGGGAAAAGGAAGGTGAAGGGGTGAAAGAGTGAACAGTTTATACTCGTCGTTGAATGATGGGTTAGGCTTCATTCATCCTGGAAGCCTATTTCATCCGTCGAACCTGCGATCCTTGTTTCTCTCAACCCTCTTTTTTTTTTCCACTTTGAAACGAGCGACTAGTGGAAATCTCTAAGGAGGGAAAAGGGAGAGAATAGGAACACCTCGGTAGTTTACGCCCTCTTTTACCCTACTAGCTGTGAACCCACGAGATGACGGTGCGCGAGTGCAGAGGGAGGGGAGGGGGAAGGGTGCGGAAGCAAAACCCCCATTTTCCATTTCCGCGAGCTTTTGGCTTTGGGCCCTGCCCGCCAAGGCCATCCGTCTCCAAAAACACAGAGGAGCAGGGGTCTGTCCCTGACAGAGAGAGAACGATTATCGTGGTTGCATGCACCCACCCCGCCTCGAGCGGCTGAAGAGCGCGCGCGCGGAAACGGGAGGGATGGAAATTGATGGGACGAGCGTGGAAATGATGCCGCGCTTTTTCCTTGGTCCGTGGGTGAGGCGCAGCAAAGGAACGTGAGCGCTTCAATGTTCTTGGGCTGTGGCTTTGCCTCGGAACCAGGCCCGCCTTTTTGGGTTCCTTTTCTTTTGTTTGAAATGAGGATGAAGCCGAAACGAAACAAAAGGGTGGTTGTTTTTGAGGTTGTCGAGAGAAGGGGAGTCGGAAGTGATTGTTGGGGAGCGTTGGGCTGGAGGTGGCTCGATCTGATTCTAGTTCCGCCCTTTTGGTGTTGGATCTCAAAGGCAAAGAGGAAACAAACGCGCAAGGCAACAGCTCTCGTGAAGCCTCCGAACCTTTGATTTCCCTCGTAATATTTATCAGAAACCCTCTCGTTTTCTAATTGAACGCAAAGAAAAAAGCCTTACATGTGATACTCTATCCCAACAATCCGCAGCCTGTATCCACCCCTCACCAAAGACAGGGGCACCCATCCGTAGGCAGCCTTTCCGCAACGAACCAAGATCGAGATCTCCAATGAACAAAATCCCAATTGTAGGGATACAGCTATAGCATCTACCGAGGCATGTGAAAGTCATGGCACCGCAAAACGAGGCTGAGGGAGAGCTTGCACCACGGAAAGAGGGAAAGAGGTTGCGCCCCTACCTCCCTCCCCCGTTTTCGGAACTGAGCCGACGGACCCCATGTCTCGGGGCCCCAATCCAGCCTGACGTCCGGACGCCACGGCGTAGCTACCCGGGAGCGGGGCTGGCCAAACATATCAACGCCCTGTCATGCCGATCAAGGAATCCAGGCCGAGCGAGGGCACTAATATGAAACTTGGGAAGAACTGGAAAAGGGTCACTAGCTCGTCAAGTGTTTATACTAGTTAACTGCGAGATTCGCTTACACGCGCCTACACATCCCGGCTTCATCATGCCGATAGAAGCTACCCTATTCTAATGGATTTCAAGTATAGACACGTCTGCGAGCAAAGGAAAAAGAACATAAAACAAAAAGAATTATTCGTATATATAATATCATCAACATCATTAGGTTGCGCGAGTCGGGTTCTATAGGGTCTACATAGGTATAAAAGGGGGTAGCCAAAAGGGACATGAAAAAAGAAAGGACAAAGGAAAGAGGTGAAAGGCAAAAGGAAAGGTTCTAGCTTGTCAGCTCTTCTCATAAAATCCGGCAATGCTCTCGAATCACAGCCAAGACCTTTTCCCGATCATCCCGCGTATTGAAAACCTGAGCATGGTCCAGACTAGGCAACCACGTAACAGCCACTCTCCCCGGCGCAGGATGAGCTTGCCCGCCACTAGCCCCGCCGCCGGGCAGGTTGAGCTCGATGCCAAACTCGTCCTGGAGGTACTCGAGCACCGCGGGCGCCGAGATAATAATGTCCCTCTCGGCCAAGAAGACGGCCACACGACGCCACGTCTTCTCCTCCGCCGCGCAGTCCCCGCCACTACCCCGAGCCTTGTTGTCCTCCATCTTCTTCTTTTTCCTCACAAGCAAGTCGTCCTTCCACGCGATGCTCTCCCGCCAGAAAAATGCCGCCCGAGCACGTAAGCCACGCCCGGGTCCATGCGCGCAAAGAACCAGAGCTGCCACTCCGCCGTCGTGCGCGGCGGCCGGCGGGTAAAGTTGTAGGCCACGTACGGCTCGTGCAGCAGCAGGCTGACGGGGTCGACGAGTACAAGGGAGGCGATGCGAGGCGATAGCGCGGGCGAGCGCAGCAGCTGCGTCGAAACGGCGGTGCCAAAAGAATGGGCGACGAGCACAAAGTCTCCGATGCGGTGGTGGTCGAGGATCTGGCCGATCTGGCGCGCGATTTCGGCGTGGTCGAGGGGCTCGTCGAAGCAGAGCCGGGACGAGATGTGGAGTATCTCAATGGCGAGGATGCCGATTTGCCCGTGGTCTTTGTCGTCGTTGCCGTTGCCGTTGCCGTTCCAGTTCTTCCCATCCTTCTTCTTCTCCTTCTCCTGGGCTAGGTCCGCTATAGATCCGCGCGCCGCAGCTCCGCCGTCGAGTTCGGAGAAGAATTGCGCGTAGGTGCTCAGGCCGATACCGATGCCGTGCAGGAAAACAATGGGTAGCTTGTCGGGAGCGGTGTGCGGACGGTACCAGTACGTGAGGTCCGAGGCCGTGCTCCGGTCCGTGGGGATGACGTGACTCAGGCGTGGCGGGAACACGCGCGCGTTCTTGCGCAAGTCCTGGCCGTAGTGGGAGAAACCCTGCGACCAGAGGGCGACGTGGGTCACCGCATCGATGGCGAAGATGGTCATGTACCAAAACAGGCTGCGGTAACAGTAGTCGACGTCGTCGAGGGAGAGGCGTAAACACTTGGCCGTCCCGCGCCCGGGCTCGAGCTTACGGCCGAGCTTGTCTTCGATGTGGCCAACGTATTCATCAAGCTCCTCCCGCACCTCCGCATCGGCATCGTGCCCCTCGCCCTCACAGCCGGCGGGGAGGGGGCCGTACACTCCGCCAAATCTCGGTCAAAGAAGCCCCACATCAAAAACTCCCGGACGTTGTCGCGGCGCACCTCGCGCATGTCGGGGCAGTCGAGGAACCAGAGCGCGAGGTACTCGTCGCCATTGGACACGTGGTGGAAGCACTTGTAAAAGAGGGCGCGGCGCTCCGCGCGCGTGCCCGGGGCCGGGTGGTGCGCGGGACGCTGGATGCTAGCTACGTAGGCGCGGTAGACGGTGGCGGCGAACAAGATCTCGAGCAGGAACTGCGCGGCGACGAGGCGGAAGAGGAGGGAGGAGGCGAAGGCGGCGCGCCAGCCGCCGTGTTGGTGGGCGCGGAAGAGGAGGAAGGCGAGTTGGAGGAGGGCGGCGTAGCGGAAGAGTAGGATGAGCGAGCGTAGGAAAAAGTACGCCCGGTTCGATGAGATTATCATGGTTTGTAGGGAGAGACTTTTTCAAGGGAAACGGTGAGAGAATATAAGAAGCAAGGGAAGAGGAAAAGAGAACAAGACAAAAAGAAAAGGGTGAAGGTAACGACTGGAAGTGTGCGCTATGCTATTCTGCTAGGATCTGATCGATGAAGGGGAACAGGGGTATCGAGATGGGAGCAATGTGGAGGGGAAGGAATCTATATAGAGGCAAGCATGGGTAAAGATATTTACATAGGAATAGGAAAGGTGGTTGTGTCGAGATATGGCCCCCGAGGTTGCGCAACGGTCTAGAAGCAAGAATAGGGAAGAAAGAGAACACAAGTGTTGGGCTAGAAGTTCATCCCCAGGAAATATACACACGGGTTACACATGGACGCGAAGCCAAAAATATGAAATCTTTCAATCCCTTGACATTTTCGCCATCGCAGCCAATCGTTATTAAAAGGCTACTCGCCATCACACTGATAAAAAGGCGGCCTCCCTCTCCATCCCTTCCCATCGTGCCAAGAGGGGGTCCCTCTTCTCCAGTTGCAAACCAATACAGGACTAGTACGCACTATTATATGACAGGAGCGATGGCCCAAAACGACGCGGATGGAGAAAGATGGACGGAGGAAAGAAAGTGTGGCGTCGTCTATCGCGTCGGGCAGGAGCTGAGGTCGAAACTGCCAACACGTCGAGTCGGGATTGGGAGAGTACGTACAGCAACGGGGGAAGTGACGATTCGATGAGCCCCCGGCGTCGTGGGACTTGGCCTGGCCTGGCCTGGTCTGACTGGCATGCGCGGACAGGGGAAAGTTCGGAGGCCAATCGACTCCACTCGGGCCCCCAAACCGGGTTTAGGGTGGCTCGCCCGACCTCACCTGAAATTGTGGCTAACAAGCATGATTTTTTCCCCATTATCGAATCGAGCAACGGAGCAAATCCTCCCTGCGCAGGCCCGTTGGAGCAACACAGCACAAGGACGGCACTATCTGAGGGGAGGCCATCTTATTATTATCTATCAATCTTCCTTACCGCGGGAACCCTTCCAGCGAAGGGGAAAGTGGGAACGGGACCTGGCGTGCATGATCTATTGATCCAAGGAGCGTCAGCTCGGGAGGACGCTCTCTAGGAATAGATATTGGCCCCGCTGACAGCGAAACGCTCTTTTCCCATCTTTCCTTCTCCATATAATTATCCTTCTCCTTTTGTCCTTCTCCTCTTTCATACTCGGTTAGTATAGGTCATGGACTCTTGCGCAAGACATGGATATCCAAATATATCGAGCCCTCGGGGTGCGCAAGGCTTGTTGGTGGCGTCTCGCCGACGGCTCGGCAGCGGCGCCCTAAACGTCCGATCGGGGAAGTCATCGAATGTGTTGTTTCCTCTTTAGCCAATCGAACATGCTCGAGAGTTCTAGGAAGCTGAACTAGGAAGCTACAAGGACCGCGAGGCTGCGCTTGCACACGTCCCCTTGCCCACGAGCGTCGATGATGCGTGGAACTATGGGGTGTACCTGGGAAAGCCTCCTTACGCCTAAACCGGGGTCTTCGCTGGTATGCGAGGCTGTCGTCTCCATCCGGCCGAGACGGGCTGGCCGAACCCTTGGACATGGAAACGACCTACAGCTTAACTTGGATTTTCCGGGTCTTTGCCCGTTTATTCACTTCTTTTTCTCTTCCTTCTCTCCTTTTCTCTTTCCTATATGTTCTTATTCTGTTACAAGATGAGGGACTTGCACATATATTTATTTGATATTGATTGGAGATTGCAAGAAGGCCATTCCGGCAAATCAAAACTGGAAAGGACTCTTTTATGTGGGGTTGAAAAGTCTTGTCCGAATTTTGCTTCCTTTTTCAGCAGCAAGATTGACTCCGAGCCCTGTGCCCCACTTTTAGCCTCGAGCTGACAGCCCATTGATCTGAAGAGAAAGGCACATGTACTCAGCTAATCCCTACCATCGTCACCAACAAGTGGAACCCACAGCATTGTAGCTCAGGGGTAGAGCACTGGGCTCATAACCCAGGGGACCTAGGATCGAAACCTAGCAATGCTACAAATCGTTCTTTTTTTTTTTCCTCCCCTTATAATGCTTAGCCCATATCAACCTTCACCACACCACACACATTCTCTTCTTCTCTTGATATATTATAATACTTGATTATTTGTCCATCTTATTGCTATATTTTTTTTATTAAAGATTTGCTCACCATCCTTCTTTCAATAGCCATTACTTTGTTCTCTGCAAAATGTGTCCCATAGATAATCTCAATCTTCATTCTCCCACAAGCAGACATCGCTGTGCAGTGTCATGACTCCTCTTGTTAATCCACATCATCAATACTTGTATCCCCAGGCACATCCACCTTCTGCCCATCCGGCAGCCGGGCTGCCTCCCCGTTCTTTTCCTCCTCCTCGCCCTCCGAAGAAGCGGAGCTCGTAGGCCGACCCACCGCCGCATTCTTCCTCGCCTGCGCCTCGGGGATCTTGAGCGAGCCGGCCTCGTCCACGTCTTCCCGGAGATACAGTGAGAACATGACGACAAGGTACACGTCCTTGGTCTTGCGGTTGCGGAGTACGTATCTGCGGAGGCATTAGCAATAGTTCTTCTTCCAAGTCAAGACAACACGCCATCTGCGAGGCCCTAGCCCTTTTGTAATGAAAGAGAAAGAGAGAGGGAGAGAGAGAGAAACTGATACTCACCGAAGACCTTGGCCATCCCAATACCTCAAAATCGACAACTTGAACCCCGGCAACCTCAGCGCAAAATTATTAAAATCCAAATACGGGTTGAAAAAGTCCAACCCGTACGTCCGCCCATACTCCCACACCCACGCCTTCTTATTCACCTCTCGCAGCGCCCACTTCATCCTCTCCTTGCTCGTGCCCGGCATCCCCACCTCTTCCCTCCTCACCCTACCGCCTCCACTGCTATCCTCGTTGTCGTCATCGTCGTCGTTGTTGTCGTCACCCCCTCCTCGAAGAGAAGCCCCGCCCCCTCCGCATCCAGCGTGCCCTCCCCGCAATACACCGTATTAAACGAGCTCAGCGCCGGCCCAAACAAGTACGGCGCATCCGCATGTGCATCCCCTTCCAGCCCCGGATCGATCCACCACTTGACAATGTTGAGCGCCGTGTTGAACCCCGGCGGGAGGTGGTCCCGAATCGGATGGTCAAAGTCGTTGCCAAACTGCAGATCCTCTCCCGAGATCCCCGTCTTCGTATCCGCCTCTGTCGCCGTCGCGTCCGCTCCCGAGGACGATGCCGACGAGGGCGCCTTGGGCCTGAACCGCAGGCAGATGCTATACTGGTCCCCGTTGGCCTTGTGGGGCTCCGTCTCAAAGTAGGCCGACGTCGCGGGCGATCCCCGCGGTAGTCCCCCGTAGTCCCGGATCCGCACGTTGAGCTCTACGTCTGCGAGCGCCGAGCTGATCTTGACTGGCTTCGCGGCGTTGACGGGGACGGTGACGTGATGCGCCGCGTCGTAGCCGGGACCGGCTGTTACTTTGAGTATGTACTTGTCGGCCATGGCTGGATGGTTCAATATCTCGAACCGTCTCGGATGTCCCAACCCTAATTATAAAGTCACCACTATGGAGAAACTCTTCGGAAACGGAATCTCTTTTTCCTTACACTAGGGAAAGCTTGAGAAGGAAAACTGAGATGAATCCGAGCTTGAGGAATGCAGAATATCCTCTTTCGAGTAAAATATGGAAAAGTAGGCAAGAGACGATAGATTCTGGTGTTGGAATAAACAAGGTGGAAGAGAAACATGGCCCCCGAAAAGATGTCGATCAGGCACATCCCCCTCATGGCACTAGCCCGTCTTTGCCTCTACCTAACCCTCTCCCTTTGCCAATTGGATGGGGCGTTTATGCCAAGTTATCAAAGTTGGGGTGTATCTCCCGACTTCAGCTCCTCATATCCGTCATATCTTGAGAGTTAGCGACAAACTGGTAGTTTGATGCTCTCGTTGCGTTCTTTTTCGTTACATTTTCCCCTTTTTTAGGCCGCTGTTCATGGTGGGGAACAATCGGCATGGTATGGAGGGGTCGCAAGACATTGCTCAATGATCTCATGGCTGGCAATTATGGTCCGACGTCATCCTCACCGCTTTGCGCGTCGCCCGCAGCCCGCTACCCACCAACGCGCAATATCAACCATCTTTCCACCGGACACAACCGGGTGCTCACATCCCATGCCTGGATTCGTCTGCTCCGTACTCGGGATATATCTAAATCTAAGTGGTTGCTGTTGTCAGGTGGGGTATGCAGGAGCCCAAGAGTGCAGTGTACTTGTATGTGTAGTGTGCCTTCACCAAGAAAGTCAAATCGGTGATGAAGCCAGAGAGAATAGTCACATGTTAGGGAAAAATAATTTTACATTCGCAAAATTCGTCAAGGGGAGGGAAAGTGTCGTGTTCGCACTCTTTAAGAAGAGAAAAAAAAAAAAAGGTATCTTAGCCCTGTGTCCTGTTTATGCATGGGTATCCGTCGTTATATCATATCGATGACCGTCCGATTGGCTGTCTAAAAGTTCTGTCCCCAGGTCCGGCATGTGAAGGTGAGGCGCAATGAATGAGAGAGGCAAAAGGGGGTTTTAGAAAAACTGAAAGAGTAAAACCCTGAAAAAGTGAAAAAAGGAAAAACAGAGTATAGGTATGGTACGATACAATCAAGGTGCGAAGTGATCTGCATAGGAGAGGGTAGGGGAGTGATGGGACTTGGAGGTCTCAAAAGCCAAAGAGTGCCGACATCACAGTGACTGAGATTGTTCCGGATCTAGGAATTGGTCGATATCCACCCTTTCGAAGAAGCTGATATGCCCAAACCCAAGCCAATACTGGGCAATTCTGTTGGGGGAGATGAGCAAGAGTCGAGACTCCACAAATTCGTCTAGACATGATGCAACGTCAGCATTTGACCATGATTAAATGGGTACGCACAAGGGCGAGAAAAATCAACTGACCTCCTTGAAAGCCACTCCTGGCGATGTGGCCCTGACTGCGAACGACTCTGGCCCCATAGAAAGGGTGCTCCTCCGCAACGCCGACAAACCCTCCAAGTCCGAGGTCTTCTGCCACAAAGGTATACTCTCCTCGTGGAATGTTAGGATCCCCCGTCAGCTTGATGGCCTCAAGTCGGCCGCGATAAATCCGCGCATCGCGCCGGCGCTTCTCCCAGGCTGCTTCGGGCTCCCCTCGGAGCGAACAAGGCCGAGGTCTTCGTCTGTCGCTACGACATCGTCGGGCTGGTGGATGAGAAGGAACTCGCAACCGTGTGCGCTATAGTCTCCTACCCAGATGCCCCTCCACGGCTTGAGGTTGGTTGGTGTGTAGAGAGCCGGGTCCAAAGTGGAGTACGTAATGACCTCTTCGCCGAGATTCACGCTCGTGAGTCCGGGAAAGTCGACGAGATGACTGCCCGTACCCGGTCCGCGGGGCGGCGTCACTTGGCCGGTCAGAGTTTGCATGAGTGTCTCGAGGCCCTGTCCGTAGATAAGGCGGGTAGGTGGGCTGCCGCCCATGTGAATCCACTGCCGGATCCGGAAAGTGACGTCGGACGACTCTGCGCGGCTTGTGGGAAGTTCGGGGCGCGCAAGTAGATGGTGCTCATCGTTGAAAGCCGGCGTACCCGTAACATGCTGGCGAGACGGTATCGCCGGGGGCGGCCAGAGATGCCCGTAGGGGAAGGGGCGTCGGGCGTTTTGCGTGATCGCTTGGGATTCGAGAGGGCGGGTGAGGAGGAAATTGCAATGCATGTTGTTAGGGTTCTCGTCGATGATCATGGGAACCTCGGCTTGAAACCCCCGCTTCCCTCCCATGAGCTCGTGTGCCCGGGATGACTCGGGATTGATAGTAGCCGAGAATTTGATGACGGGCTTATCCTCGTGGAGCATAACCCGGGGCTCAAAGGCGTGGATGATGACATGATGGTTTTCGGACCAGTTCTGGTGATGTGTGTGATTTGACACGGCCACGAGCTGGTGGCCTTCGATGCAGCCACGACGTTGATCGTAACGTACGATGATGAGTTTCCCCACGAGGTCACGGTCGCAAAACCAGACCTTGTATTTGGGCAGGAACCACTTGGGGTCATGGGTGGAGTAGAGCTCCCTATAGCTCTTAAAAGGATAAGGAGATCTCAATCTCACCCCGGCACGTTTTCTTGGACGAGAGGCTGCCATAGTGCGTCAGAGATAGCATGCTTACGTAGAGCGCGGCAAGTCTGCGAGATGGCCACGAGGTCAACGGGCGAGAGGAAGGCGAGGATTCCATCCACCAACTCTGCGGGGAGATTTGCCAGGGGACAGGATAGCTGTGCATCTGTCCGCGGCATGGGGGCTTTTCCGGCGGCGGAACCCAGCAAGGTCGACCCTATTACATGGAATGTTAGCTGAATGAGTTACCTAGTGGTTGAGTCGACGATGCCAGGTTGAGTGGCATGTGAAAAAGTAGGGTGTTGAGAAGAATAAGAATGAGGAAATGAATTGAATACGAAGACCAGTCCGCATAAGTGATTATTGGGGTATGGTAGGACAAGAGGTTTTTCTGACAAGAAGATGATCCCCCTCTCCCCTCTCTCAACGTGGCATTACCAATCTCACGCCATCCGGCAGGGTACTGCCAAAGAAAGGGGACCGTCGGACATCGGGAGGAAAGCTTGATACATACCTAATGCTACCATAGGTGGGGCCGTGGGAATGCCTTCTTGGGCCTGGGGGTCAGCGAGCATGTGGCAATCGCCAGGACACTCTGCCTCATGCCAAAACCCGAGAGACTCGCGCGAGGAGAATCTCGGAGAGTAAGCAGCAGAGCCATCTCCGTCATTCCCGGCGTAGGATGAATGTTGAGTAGGGTCCATGGTGTTATGGTGTTGGGCGTGGGGAAGGCCCCAAAGCCGAAAGCAAAGGGTTCGCCGTGGTGGATCAGTCGGCTCGCGGTTGGAGTGGCGTGTCGTTAACCTTCGAATATGCCTCGCAAAGAGGATTGATGAAGGGCAAAGTAGAGAAGTGTGTTTGGTGAAGAAAAAGAGAGAGGTAACAGGGAGAAGAAGAGACGGGAGAAAAGAACAGAAGTAACAATGAGAAGAAAGGCTGTCTCCGGTGATTTGCTCCTTCCGTCCCTCGGTCGCCAGAGAAATCCCCTTCAGGGCCCGCTGAAATATGCTTTGTGGGTCATTCAAGGCTGCTAGTAGCACCTGCCGGCAGCAAGAAGCTGGGGATGTTGGGGGCAAATCGTGAAGCGAAACTCTGTCCGAGCAACAGAGACGAAGGTTGTTCCCGGAACTTGGGCAAATTAACTCTTGGGGCCCGAGGCAACGAAGCAACTTGAAGTTGCACGACGGTTGAGGCTAACGGGAGGTTTAAGTAGGAGTTCCTGGGAATGGCCAACCTCTTTCGGGATGTGTGGAGGAAAGCCGCACAGCAACAAGGGGGTCTTCAAGATTGGCAGCCGTCCGTACATGCATCCAGCTCTAGCACAAGCCCACGCCCACGCCACACTACCCGGGTTTAGAGGAACGAGGAAAGAGGCGTGAAATCTAGAGGTCTCTCTCATAGAGAAATGCCCAAAGAGGTTGCAAATGGAGACTGCGATAAGACACCGTGCTGACGGTGGCTATTGTGCGCGTGTGTGTGGGGGACCTTGGGGATTGGGGCATCGAGTTGATCAAATGCGACTCAATTTCTTAGTTTCTGACCAGCCGGTACCCACAGAACCCCACTAGAACGGCCACTTGGGCTTGGACGGCGTGTGAGGGGTACTCGCCCCCTCGGCGCGTCGATTGCGACGAGCTGGTGGATGCGGCTCAGCGGAGTCTCGGGAACTCGAGAGGCGACCACAGAATGGGACTGGCAAGTTTTCGGGAATTCGAGCCGGTAAGTGAGGGAAAAAGAAAAGAAAAAACTGGGGAATCGCCCCATAGACACAGCTTCCACCAACAATCAGTGAGACGGGGAGCTGAAATGGTTCGAAAGTTGAATTGAAGACGGGAATCAAGCCTCAAAGAGCAACCGGGCCTTTTCAGAGGATGGGACAGGATCAATCAAGAGCTGATTGAATGGTGGCTTGGAACCCGATGCAACACGTCCACGAGTTTCTGGACGGCACACATCGAACAATTGTTGCTTCGGCCGCTGCTTGCGTCGTCTGGTGGGCCGGCACCGCTTCGAGATCAGGTTCGGCACTTGGAGCCCTTGGCGGAGGTGTGGTTTGCTGGCATAGCATTGAAATTGTTCTACTATTGGGCCATTGACTGCCGATGCTATGGCGTCAGGAGGTACCCCGTATCTTTTTTCTTTTTTTCTTTTCTTTTCGTTCCGGGACTCCACTTGATCAAATTGCTGAATAAAGGGGAAAAAGAAAAAGAAAAAAAGAAGGGAAAGAGCCTAAGTGATGCCGATCTGTCAACGGCTCGTCGCCTTGAACTGGGTAAACCAAATCAAATCTACAATACAAGCTGGAGAGAGCTATTGAAACACAAGATGCCAGGAGCGTCGAAAGTGTGTGACGGGGTGCAAGTGCAATGCAGTCAATCGGTGCTTCAAAGGTCCATCAAAAGGAGCCAAGGCTTGACGAATACTTCAAACCAAGGTTGATACTCAAATTCATCCATTGATCCATCGGGCTCCTGGGGATTGATTCTGCACCTCCCAACTTCCAAGTCGCTCCTTCGCGTTTACAGCTCAGCCGGTCGACGCCTTCCTCAGGGTGCTGTCGGCAATTTGGGGGTACAAGAACATAGGCACAAATATCTATTGATGACCCAAGTCACTCTGACAGCCAAAGCAGCTAACCCACCTTTGTCACTGGCGGGTTCTCCCTTCCCCGCCACATCCAAATTGGGCGGGTTTTTGACTCCTCGGAAAATACTTGATAGACCTCCATCGCCTAAAACCGATTAGCGCAAACAAGCTATCACCGTGAGGAAAGGACCGAGGAGCTCCAGATGCAGATTGATCAACACCGATGTTCTATGTTGTCACTCCGGTGAATGAAAATATCCCCATGTCCCGTGAAAGCTACTTTTACTTCATGCAGAGGGGAATTACACCACAGGGGAACTGGGAGCTAGACCCCTCCCCTCCCCCACATCCTTCGTCTGTTCCTCGCGATCAGCGGAGGCACCTAGAACTCTGTCCGTCCCAATGGCAACGTGTCGAGAACCCCTCGAGGATGGACCAAAAGTGCCCCAGATCCGCCAACGTGCTGTTGCGGGCTCCGCGCTGTCACGTCACCATACCCCTTTGGATCATCACCCCTACCTGATCAAGAAGGAGATATCACACATCCTCCCCGGAGGATGGCGAACCCCGGATTCTGACGAAATCAGCTAGGGGTTCCCTCAACTCTTGGTCTGAACGGAGCCTCGTCGAAATAGGTCTTGGCCCAGCTAGACAACGCCCTCCCGCTCACTTCCATCGCACCCGTACACACACGCAAGAATCAATGTCCCCTCCCCGGTGAAGAATAGTGGGAACGCAAGCTCCACCCGGCCTCGGCTCCATACAAACGATGACGGGGACATTGGATGTCTTCCCGAGCCGATCCATGCTCGGCCCCGGCGCATGTGCCCCGTCCGCTTCTCCCACATCCCCGTCTAGCCGCGGGCTTGAGGCGCAATAAGCTCGCCTCGACTGCAGCGTGCCGAACCCAAACTATCCTTCCTCCACACGTACTTGTACTCGTTTCTGTAGATGAGTTCCCCGGATAAACCACTCTTCGTATCGTGCCCCTGCATTGCTTCGCTCACCCCGGCCAAACGCGTCTACCTTTCCGTCGCTTCTGTATTAATCCCTCTCCTCCTCATTGTAAATTCTCATCTGCTCCTCTCCCAGCGAAAGCCCTCTGCACAAGCACTCACCATGAAACCGGGTGCCGGGGACCACTATGGCGGGTGTTGGTGCTGTTTTGACGGGTACGTGGCAGCGTTTCCGCCCGTCCGTCCCTCGACTTTACCCGCTGCCGGAAGTGACCTGGGACCCTACCTGTCAGACTCGCATACCCGAGTCTGGATGCTATAACATTTGGGAGGGTATTTTCGTGCTGGCGGTGAGCGGCTGGCTCGTCCGCGACTCCTTCCCACAACAACGTCCGAAATGAGGTAGTACTCGTGCAATCGCGGGGTGCGACGTACTGCAACTTATTCCTTTCTCCCATGATGCCTATAAGCCTCTTATTCTTTTGCAGTTGAGACGTGGTAGTCTCCTCACTTCCTCCCGGTGTAGCCTTGTTTTCGGTCTGGTGAATGCCAAGTCCTGTAGCTCAACCCTCCCCATTTTGCTTGCCATCCTCTCCTTTCCTCTAGCCTGGGCAGAGATGCGACGAGATTCAGACTGGGAGATGTAAAATTCAACTTGACTGCACTCTCGCCAATTCTCGGATGCATGTTTGCGCTTGCCTTGAACACGTCGAGTATTCATCGGCCATGGCACCGTCCCTCCGGCGGTCTCTTTCGCTTCCATTGAGCCGACATACCCTAACTCCCCAGCATCCGATATCATAAGCGCCGAACCACTATTCACCTCCAAGGAGTAAAAGCAACAAATGCCACAGCACGCGCACCCACTTCACCTTCTTGGCAAGCAACTCTCCAGGGCCCCCTCGTCACGACACGAAGCGGGCATCACACGCTTTCGCCGCCTCTCGGAGGCTTGATCCGAAGGCTCACCGTCGTGGGGAAACCTCGTCTAAAGTAGCTCCATGCAAGCAAGGCCACCGCTTTCTTTTAGCGAGATCACATGGGAATGCAAGTCAGCACTCGGCTCCTCTTAGACCGCCTCGGCGGGCCCTGAGCGTTCGGAAGCACATACGATAGTGAATGCCAGCCTCCATAGTCATAACTGGGAGGTCCCCATCCGGGGTCCACGAGTCTATCGGTTACCCGGTGGCGGTGGAATGTGGAGGCGGGGGGACAGGTAAGTCTTCCAGAAGATTGTATTGAGGGGTATCATGCGAGGGACTTGTTGGAAATATCACCTCTTGGCAGAAACTCAGCAGGGGACTCGGTGGAGAGCTCGATACAACTGGCGAGGTAAGACGAAGTCAAGTCCGAGGGAGGAGGGAGGCTTGTACGTCTCCCCTTCGACTGGGACATGGCTTGCCAAGTTCGGACGGTACACGTAATTTCAACTCGCCTAGTAGCCTAGGGGTTGTATACGACTCGTGGCACGAATGCAAGGGCATCGTCGACTTGGATGTCGTTCCCTTTCTTGACATCAAACACACATTGCAAGACGGCTAGGAGAAGCCTACATGCTGCACTATGAAGAGAAAAGATGTGACAAAGCATCAAAGAAAACTTGTATTTGATATGGGTATCATAAAAGCTAGGTCGCAAGCCGACTGTTGAGAAAACAGAAAATGCACCTCCCCCTGAATTAGCCTGTGTTGCCGCCCCCATGCGCTTGGCTCTATATATGCTCCAGGGACTTAGTGCTGGCTACTTGAACGACGACCCTTTGGGTCACCAGTCACCCTGTAATGATCATCCATGGCGCGAGAGTTGCGCGAGACGCCATTAGGAAGGACGCTTTGGTGGGGGCCGTCGACGTCAAACTCTGGGCTCGTGGCACGTGGGGAGGCGAAACCTTCCATCGTCGGGTAAGGGACGTGTAAGATGCCTGGGCCCGGCGTGGGAGGTCGGTAATGCACGCTAGAACCCCGTCTGCGGTTGTTTCGCCCGCTCGTTGTGGCGGCGCCACGGGACCTCTGGCTGGCGTTGGCGTGTTGGTCGTGATGGGGAGACTGCGAATGGCCGCCGTGGCCGGAGGACGAGGTCGACTGAGCTGCGGATAATTCGGTATCGTCTTCGTGATCGTGTTCCTGCTGGCCACTCCTCCGTCCCATGCATTGATGAGCCAAGTATGCCAAGCTGAACAGCAGAGCGAAGATGGCGAGGACTATGACACCGCTTACGATGCCATTGACGATTTGGCCTGTGTCGAAGGCCTGGGAGCGGGATTGGGCTACGGGTGTAGTATCCCGAGGGACGTTCGAATCCGGAAGCCTCATCTTTATATATATTTTGAATTGGCTTTATATTTCGATCCTTTTGGAGTGAGGTTAGAGATGCAAAGGAAGCAAGAAGGAGTGGGTGGGTATGGAGCGTACTCTGATATACTTGAAAGGTGGCACCCTTTCAAGCTCTGGAACCACTATATACTTAGGATGCTGGACCTTGTTAGGGATGAACGACGAAAGGGTTTGCTGGAGTATAGTCAACTTACCTCTTAAGGGAAGGATGTTGAGAGAGGTGGAGGAGAAAAAGATGTCTAGAGGAGAACAAGATGCTGCGATGGCCTCAGTTATATAGCTAGAGGAGTGATGGAGGAGACCCCTAATCAGTCGCACTTCAGAACAACTGGAGCAACAGGTTATTCAAGAATGGAATCATGGATGATTCACGCTCCAATAGAAAATCAGGGAGGGCAGGGCATTAAAGGTCATGAAATTGAGAAAGCTAACTACTTCCTTCTGGGTATCAATCTGCTGTATATAGCAAACATGGTCGTGCCTTCCCTCTCTTCAACATTCACTCTCCGCTGAAATCACCTCCACTAAATCATCTCCTCCTCCAAACTACACAGGGCCAACCTTTTCAGCTCCACATTCTTCTGGAGCAACTCAGCAAAGGCAAAGTAATCATCAAGTTCGGTTCCCACCTGGCTCGGTGCGGAGATGAGAGAGGCGGTTTCCGAGTCACCATCGACGAGCTCGTCACTTCCATCTTCGGTTTCACTGGCGGTGCTTTCCGGCACGGGAACATCCGCCCTAGGAGCGGGTAGTTGGTAGGAGCCGTACAGTGCTCTTGGTCTCGACGCCGAGGGTAGTTCCTCGACAGTCTCTTCCCGGAAGATGCCGCCGCCGCTGTCGAAGCAAATTCTTTGGTTCTCTAGCCGGGGCCAGGCTGTTGAGGGGGCGACTTGGTAGCTGTGACACTTGATGGGGTGTGTTGAGTGGGGAAAATGGATTTTAGGAGAGAGAGGGTGTAGGGTTTGGAGAAGCCGCAGATGCGAATAGAATCGATGAGGCCGTGGAGGGCGATTAGAGGGTCGCAGATGCGTAGGAAGTGGTTAGGGCAGTACTCGACTGTGTTTTAGTGTTAGCCCATACCGGCGTCTCATTTTTTATCCCTAGGACATGGGGATGGGGATGGAAAAATGTCGAGCAATACCTTGAGGGTGGAGAGTACCAGATGGTGTGACGTGTTGAGGCCGCGTACCGTGATATCTCCTACATAGTAGGACAAAACTGGACATGGTCGAAGCCGAGCTCCGCTTCTTCTGGGACGAAACAAACCTGCGGATCCGATCTTCCAGGTTGGATGTGCCGGGCCGAAGGAGTTGAGCATTGGGGGTGGAAGAGAAGCCGTTTCTCGTCAAGTCCAACTCGAACGTCAAGTGTTGCATGTAGGGTCCATACTTGTCGAGCCATTTGGTGGCTAGCGGGTTCAAGGCAGGTCCGACATACGGGTTGTGGATGACGTGAAAGCGTCTAGTCATGAGGAAGCACACCATTGCGTCGGCGCGGACGTCGAAGCTCGCTTCAAGATAACTTGTCAGGGAGCTAGGCTCTGGCCTAGGGTGGTGAACTCGCCGGGGCGCCATACAGGTTTCGCCCAGCGGGCATCGGTGAGTAAGATAGGCTTTGTGGACTGCGTAGATGAGGAGTTGATATCGGCGAGAACGTGTTGCCATATAAGCAGCCTGACTTCGTGGGGAAGCGTGAGGTATCCGCGGAGAGAGCGCTTTCGGGGGCGGTTGTGTTCCCGGCGAAAGAGGGTAACGGAGCGACGGTATCGCATAGACGTGTCGGGATCGTAGGTGCCGCGAGGGTATTGGTGGTAGACCACGTCAAGGGTGCGGTCCCAAGCTGGATTCGAGGGAGACTGCTCGGATTCGGAGCTTTGAGAGCTGCTTGAGAGGGACAGAACCGAAGTTGGAGAAATGAGTAAATCTTCTTCGGAGACCTCCTTGGATAAGTTGGATCGATGCGGTTTGCCGATGGTGAGGATCGTGGATTGGACTTGGTAGCCCACCGGGGTAATAGAAGAAGAGGAGGAGGATCGGACCCGGTCGACGAGCTGGGAGAGCGAAGGTCGGTTTCTGAGTTTCTGCTTGAGATACAAACCAGAGCCGACGCCGCTGAGGGCATCCGAAGTGGAGGACCTGAGCAGAGGCACCCGAAGACTGGCGGTCCTGGCCATGCGCTTAGGCGAGCCCGAGGAAGGCCTCTCTGGACTGCGTTCGCAGTCGTCCATCTCGACGGGGGACGAGGTGAGCGGTGTCTCTGGCGAGGCAGGGCCTCGAAAGGGAAAGAAATGGGTTGATAGCGTGGTTATATGGCCGTGGGTCCGACGGCGACCGTCGCCCCGGTGAGACTCCATGATGTTTGTCTGAGAGGGTGAGAGAGGCAGGAGTGAGACATGTGCTAAGGCACGGGCAAGGGCTTCGTTGTCAGGTTGGACCGCAGGAGGGATCACGTCTCAGCCACGCAGCTCTTGTTGGGAATTCGTCGTCGTTCCTGCATCTGTCGTAGCTTCTTTTCTTCTTCATGCTTCTTCAAATAGAAACGCAAAGGGGAGGGGAGGAGAGGGAAAAAAACAAGGTGTGGGAAGCTCGTTGAGTGCGTTGCTTTTGGGCCGTTGTTTTGACTATACATCTCCATATAACGAAATCTATCACGTTCAAATACAAGTATGTAGGTAAGACGGGGCGCATCCAGCAAAATAGAAAATGGGTTACCGTGCAATACAAGACAATGCAATACACTATATAATCAGGCTGTCCCTTACAGATATTTTTCGATATGAAGAAAAAAGAGACAGGAGAAAAGGTCTTGATAATTATTGCAGCATACCCTTGGTTGACGAGGAACGCCCGCTCGATATACTGCGAACTAGCAAAAAGATAAGAAAAGGGCATCTATCGATGCAAGAATAAAAAGACCAGCATCGCGGTAACCACGGCGTTGCTTCAATGGTAATTTATGCTAAACTGGTTCGCTCAAATACGAAATAGGTACTGGGGGAAAGTGGCCGAAATGGCGCGTGAGTTTACTTGTCGAGCCATTCCATGGCTCAGTTCATGTAAGTCGGACCCAAACTCGCATTCGCGCCCAGTCAGGGCCTCCCATGGGCGATATCCCCAGAATAGATTCCCAGAGACAGTCATTGCAGCACTCACGAGGTCAAGGTTGGTGTTTACGGGTGGGGGAAAGCTAGGAAATATTGTAGGGAAAAAACAAGAAACACATGGCACTTTCGTGATGTGAATGGTACTATTTCGAAACTTCGTTACTCTCTGTTGTTCAATTTGTCGCAAACTGTTCTTGACCATCAACAAAAAAGGCTCGTAAGGTCTCACCTCAAAGATGTTGGATTAAACAACATGTGAAGTCGTCGATTGCGAGCCTGGACGGTCCACGGCCCGTAGGTACCTAGTAACCCGCTTATCAGCACGTGATGGGTTCCCGATAAGAGCCTATGCGGGGCGGGGTATCTTTTTTCTTCTGGGGGCCAATGTTGATGGTATTTTTCTGGCAGCTTCCTGAAGGCGCCAGCAGGTGGACATTTAGCTGATTTCAAGAAGCCGACCGCGAGACCAATTTGTACTTGACAAGCCTTTTAAAAGAAAAAACCGAGATTATCTTCCTTTGCAACAGGAAGGACAGGAGACGCGACCTCTATTTCTCAAATAAACCTAGCAAACATGTCTCTGGGCAAATCGGAGGCCCCTGTGCCCAAGGATTTCAAGGCTGACGATGCCGACAACCTCGAAGATGTACGCATTCATGATCCCTGGTCCCCCAAAAACACTCACTACTCGCTGCGCCTGCACCAAATATATGGATTTACTAACACGACGTTGTAGATTGAGAAGCAATTTGCCGTAAAGGGTGAGTGCGCCTAGATCGAGGTCTTCCGTCTCGTCCTCTCTTCTCCCTTCCCAACCTTTGCGCTCGTCGGTCGCGGCCACCCACAAGATCTCGCGTGGGACTCTAGCAGAAATTTCGGAGAAATGAAGCTGACAATCTTGTTTTTTTCTTTTTCCCTCCCGACAGCCGTCCAGCACATGCAGACCTACTGGTCCATCCTCGAGAAAGTCAAGGGCTCCGTCCTGCGCCTGACGCGGTGGGACGACGAAATCTTTGCCCACCTCAAGGAGGCCTTCCCCGAGTTCGACCCCGCCGAGACGATTAACGAGGACCAGATGAAGAACAAGGAGGGCAAGGACCGGTGGCGCAACTTCATGATGAAGTACGACAAGCAGGTCAGCGAGTTCAACTTTGGCACCATGCTGCGGTCTAACCCCAAGTTCGAGTACGGCCGTGACGAGACTATTTTCGGTACGTTGTGTTCCTTGCAACCAGCCCCCGATTCTTCTACATTGAGAAAAAGAGGGCCTTTTCTTTCTATCGCGCGTGGAACTTGCATAGGAATACTAACACATTTCTTGCTTTTTTAGTCCCCGCATGCAGTTTTACGCCATTGAGATCGCGAGAAACCGCCTTGGATTGAACGACTGGATATGGGAGGCTGCTCAGAAGGAGAAGCAGAAGGCGTGAGGAGACTAATATCCTTGTTCCGCAAAGCCAGGCCCTCCAAGCAGTAGAACCAACAGGGACCAACACAAAAGGTGTCTTAACACCAATGATGCGACGATACCAACTATAGATGGATGGAAGAAACCAATTGGAAATCAAAATAAAAGTGAGGCCAGAGTAAGGGAGAACACCTATTCAGGAACAAGCTGGACAGGCAAGATGTATATATGAGGGGCGGAGCATAGCACGGGGTTTCTCGTCTTTTGAGGATCCATAGCGAGGCGCTGCGTCGCGGCTGTCGGAAATCAGGTTTCCTTGAACTTCGCCAATTCCAATCGAAAAACAGTACCTTCTTTTCACTTTCAATCCCCTTGATTGCTTAATCCGGAAAATCCCCTTTGCCATGGGTAGCATTGGGAAATGCAGACCCGGCGTCATTTTATTGTCTTTCTGAGCCTCATTCAGCCATTCTCTCTCCCTTGCAGGACTGGATATCCCAGCAAACCAGCAACAATCAAGGACTCGGATTGCTATTTTCTCTCTTCTTGGCCTCTCGGCAACAGCATAATACCGACTCGCACTCTCTCTTTTTCTCCCTTGCCTCAATTATTCCCTTCCCCTGATTTCCACCTTTTGACCATTTCCCTTCTTGGACTCTCTGCCCCTTTCTCCCTTGCCGGGTATCATAGGAGTAGTTATCTGGGGACAGACTTCTTGGGATGTATCCCCTAGACCAATTGATGGATGAGCAAGTAGTTGGAAACAATGGAACTATGAGATCATCCCCCATGCTGTTTATATGTGTACCTGGTGTATCTTTCCATGTCTTCTTTGTAGAGACCTCTTGCAGTCCTAACCTTCCTTCAATAAGATGCCTAGCTCAAAAGCTAGCACTCCTCAAACCAAGCATCTAATATACCAATGGTCGCGATATATCTACCTAAGCTGAAAACACACCTCTAGCCTTGGCCCCAGAAAAGCCAATACCACTGACGCACAACCCAGGAGAGCCCAGGGAGGAGGAAGGTCCCATGGCTTAAAAAGAAAAGAAGAAGAAAAAGTCTTTGCCTTGATGTTCTTCTTTGAAGCTCTACCAAAAGGTACCATCACCTACACTCCTCCCCCTTCTCACCCCTGCACCTCTTCACATTCTCCCTCCTTCCTCTCTCCACTCCCATCCAACTCAACTCGCTCCAGGATTTCAATCCCCCATGAGCATGAGTCCCTCCATCTAAAGAGTTTCTCTTCTTCCCCCATCACCCTTGATGTCCTCTTAATCTCACAGCATCTTTCCTCCCGTCCACCTCCAGTCAACCACCAGGACGAAGGAAGATGGCCAGACTTCTCAGGAAGATCCCTTTCCTCAAACCCTCCTCCCGGAGCGGCCCATACCCAGCCTCCACCCGCACACCTCCCAAGCCGACGTGGCGACACCTCTTCGCCTTCGCCACCCCGCGCCAGCACCTACCCACGCTCCTCCCCGCCCTCGCCACCTGTTTATTCGTCAGCGGTCTCAAGTCCTTCCTGCCCGTCGCCTACGGCCACTTCTTCAACGCCTTTGCGGCCTGGGGGTCCGGACAGATCACCGTCGATGAGGCGTTCGTGCGGGTCGTTACTTGGTGCCTCATCCTCGTGGCCATGGGAGCCGCCACGTGGTTGTCTAATGGACTCTTCATGGCGGCGTGGATCGCGTTTGGCGAGAGCCAGGCAAAGACGGCGAGGCGGGAGGTGTTTGACGCGCTCTTGAAGAGGGAGATGGCGTGGTATGATGTGCAGGCTGACGGTATAGCAAGCTTGCTAACCCGGATCGAAACGTAATTCCCATCCCATTCCTTTATTCTCTCTCGCATGGAATCGGACGACTGACACTAGGCCCAAAAATGACCCATCACAGCCAAACCCGCGAACTCCAGCTCGCAAGCTCCCAAGTCTTTGGCTTCGTCGTCTGCGACGCCGTAACCAGCATCGCGTGCTTCGCCCTCGCCCTCGCCTCCTCCTACCAGCTCACTCTCGTCCTCGCCGCCAGCGTCCCCCTGTCCTCTCTCATCTTCCACTACGCCACGAAACCCCTCGACCCCGCCATCGACGCGCAAAAGCGCTCCTCGCCGAGGCCTCCAAGCTCGCCGCCGCGTCCGTCAACGCCGTGGACACCGTCAAGGTCTTTGGCGGGTTCGACGTCGAGGCCCACAAGTACGCCTCCGCCGTCCGCCGCGCCGCCGTCTCCTACCTCGTTCAGGCGCGGTGCAACGCTCTCCAGGTCGGCTACGCCCAGATATGGGTGGTGGCGCTCTTCGTGGCGGGCTTCTGGTACGGCATCGCCCTGGTGGAAGGCGGCGCGGCCCCGGGCGTCGTGCTCACCACGTTTTACGCGACGCTTGCCGCGCTCCAGGGGTTCGAGGCCCTGATACCCCAGTGGCTCGTTCTATCCAAGGGCATGGCGGCAGGGCTGGAGCTCAGGCAACTTACAGACGTTCAAGGGGAGGAAGGGAAATCCGGAGAAGGGAATGATCATTCGGGTGAAAGGGGGGACAGAAAACCTGGCCGCCTAAGTGTCTTGGCCATGTTGTAGCAGAAGAGGTAGGTATCCCCCTTCCCGCGTCCCATGCTTCCCATTCCGAACATCTCAGTTCCAGACGCACTAACACCAGAGACACTGTGCCCGTCTATCCCAACTATTAGATTAGTTTTGCCTACCCTTCCAATCCGTCCCGGCAGGTATTATCTTCGTCCTCCTTTGTCTTCCCCGCCGGCCAAGTCACATTCCTCGTCGGCCGGAGCGGCTCCGGCAAGAGCACCATCGGCAACCTGATGCTGCAGTTCTACCAACCCACGACTGGGCGTATCCACATCGATGGGCGGCCACTCAGCTCCCTCAGCCGCGTATGGCTCCGCCGGAACGTCACGCTCGTGCAGCAATCAAGCGTCTTGTTTCGCGATACCCTCTTCCGCAACGTGGCACTGGGCCACCCACAACCGGACAGCACAAGGCACGACGACATCGTGGCGGCTTGCGAGGCGGCGCTGCTCCAGTCCACCATCAGCTCGCTACCCCTCGGTGGGGACACGGTGGTCGGGCCCGGAGGGTACGATCTCTCTGGAGGGCAAAAGCAGAGGGTAGCCCTAGCGCGTGCCAGACTACGGAACACGCCCATCCTGATCCTCGACGAGGTCACCAGCGGCCTTGATCAGCTGAGCCGGACGCTCATCATGGAGGCATTACGGGAGTGGAGAAAGGACAAGACGACGATTGTCATCACGCACGACGTGTCGCAAATCGGAGACCGCGACTACGCCTATGTCATGGACAACGGACAAATTGTGCAGCAGGGTTTCAAAGGCGACCTTCTCGAGGAAGCCGGATCCCTCTTCACCTCCTTGCTGGAACCTGCGCTCGAAAAAGCCACCAGCACGGACTCGAAATTGGACGCGAATGAAAAAGAACCAGCACCAGTATCAACACCTAGAACGAATTCTCTGGAGTTGGAGAAAGAGGTAGCGGGACGACCAGCTAGGAGCAGATTGTCCCTTCGACTCTTGGAAACGATGGAACGCGAAATTAGCATCTCGCGGCAATCGAGCGTTTCCCGGGGCTCCTGGCTCGTAGGCCATCGTCAATATTCGCGAAGCTTGCGCGCCGGCCGGCGCCGAGAAGCGGAAGTCGTGGATTCATGCAGCTGCACCGAAACGACGCTTACGTCTGCCGATTCAGAAGCCACCGCCCTACGGCCACTGACTCGTTCCAACGAGCTGGTGCCAATTTCTCCGGTCCGCGAAGACGGATTGGAGAAGCGGTTGGACGTAAAGACTCGCGACAGCGAGGGGACTTTACCCAGTTCAACTTTACTAGCGAGTCGGAGCAGTCCAACTCGCGTGATTCAACCTTTGAGTTACTGGAGGCCATGGGTCGATCCACGCAAGACTCGCGCCAGACACGCCCCGAGCTGAGAATAACGCCGCCCCAGGGGAAGGGTGATGATAAAACAGGTTGGAAATGGAGAAAGGGAATGAGCGCTGGCTCCGATATGGAAGCCGACAAGAAAATAACGGGGGTAGGACCCGAGAGCAGCCCTGACGCTGAGAAGTTTGATAGCAACACATCCATCACTAGCATCCTTCGCACCGTGTGGCCCCAACTCGGAACACCCCAACGGATCATGCTCATCCTCGGCCTCGCAAGCTGCGTCGTAGCGGCGGCGGCAAATCCTGCCTTCTCGTACTCGTTCTCGAGACTCTTGGCGGCTTTCTGGGAGCCGACGGGCCGCCTAGCGGCAGGCCAACCGTGGGCATTAATCATGATTGGTGTCGGGGTGGTGGACGGGGTCTCGCTGTTCGGGAGCCGATATCTGCTCGAGTACGTCGGACAGGCGTGGGTCGATGGGCTCCGGGCAGAGGGCTCAAGCGCATCCTGCACCAGCCCAAGACGTGGTTCGACACCTCGGGCCAGGACGCGGGCAAGGTTATCGAATGTCTAGACCGCAACGCCGAGGAGATGCGCAATATCGTGGGGAGATTCCTGCCGAGCATCGTCATAGTCAGCGGCATGGTGGGGGCCTCGATAACGTGGGCGCTGGTGGTGTCGTGGCAGCTCACCCTCGTGGCATTGTCGTCCATTCCCGCCTACGGGCTGGTGATAGGGCTCCTGTCGCACGTGAGCGGGAAATGGGAGAGCAGGTGCAACAGCGCAGCGGAGGAGACGAGCGCGGTGGCGCGGGAAGCGTTCGTCAACGTGAGGGTGGTACGGGCCATGACGCTCGAGAGGCACTTTTCCGCCACGCACGAGAAGGAGGCGGCCAAGATCTTTTCTCTCGGGGTCAAGAGGGGCGCGTACACGGGGATATGCTACGGCTTGCAGCAGTCTCTCAACCTATACGTCACGGCGCTGGTGTTCTGGTACGGCATGTGGTTGCTGACGAACACGAACTCGGTCACGGTGGCTGGAGTGATGCAGGTGGTCAACTTGCTGCTACTCTCGATCGGCACGGCGGTGGGCATTCTCTCGTCGATACCGCAAATCTCGGGGGCGAGGGCGGCGGCGGTGCAGATGCTCAACTACGCGAGTCTCCCGGAAACTTCGCCGCGCGAGAACGACGGTACGAGGATGGCGCTGTCGCCGTTTCCGATCTGCTTCCGGAACGTTTCGTTTGCGTACCCTTCGCGGCCGGGCCAACAAGTGCTCAGAAACTTGTCATTGCAGCTTGAGTGCGGGACCAGAGTTGCCATTGTGGGACCCTCGGGCTGTGGCAAAAGCACGCTCGTGGCCCTTCTTCTCGGTCTTTACGAGCCGTCAATGCCCCATCTCTCTGAGACCGAAGGGGAAAGGGGGCAAATAAATCAAGAAAAGGAGCAAGAGAACTTCAATGCGGGGTCGCTCTCCTTTGGAGGAGTTCCTTCCTCGCAGGTCAATATTGCCCATCTACGATCTTCCATAGCATATGTCCCGCAGACGGCATTCCTCTTTCCAGCAACCATTGCAGAGAACATTGCCTATGGCATCCCGGAGAAGCACCCATTGCGTTCCTTGGACAATATCGCGCAAGCGGCACAACAGGCGGGGGTCCGCGAGTTCATCGAGAGCCTCCCAGAAGGCTACTGGACGCTTGTCGGAGACGGGGGTCAAACGCTGTCGGGCGGCCAGGCGCAGAGAGTATGCCTAGCGAGGGCACTGGTGCGGAATCCCCGGCTCCTCGTCATGGACGAGCCAACGAGCGCATTGGACGGAGAGAGCGCGGAGGCTGTCCGGAGGACCGTCACAGAGCTGGAAGGGGTGAGGGAGGGCCGGATGGGGGTGGTCGTGGTGACGCACTGTAGGGCGATGATGAAAGTCATGGATCGGGTTGTTTGCCTGGAAGGGGGTTGCGTGGTGGGGAAGGCTCGTACGAGGGGTTGCTGGAGAAGAATGCGAGATTTGCCCAGTTGGTGGGCTGAGAATAGGGCGAAGCGATGGATAGGCTATCGGGAGGATTTGGAGGAACTGGTGACTACGAATGGATCAGGCCACTGGGCGAAGCTGGATTGTATTTTTATTTGGTTCTCTATTGCTTGAGGAGTCGATTACTCGAGATCGCACTTTCCGTACCTAATTGCCCCTAATGAGAAGAATGCCGTACATTATATCATTGCGTTCAAGTTATCTTCACGATCTAGACTACTTACATCGCCTGTGTCAGGTTGAAGGCCTTGCCAAGGCGCCACCCTTTACTCCGATGTGCGAGTCCGCTTGTAAGTGACGATTGTGTTCCCCCTTTCGCGGTGCATGGTCAAAGGGCCGCCGTCCCTAACACCACCTGGTCGGACATGCGCAGGTCATGGACGCAATAGCGACATGTCGGCGCCGTGCATTAGCCATCCCGGGGTTTCAATTTCTTCCGGCCCGTCAATCTCGATCACTGCCCAAGGCCGGGGCGGGAGAGGTGGGCGCGTGCCGTCTAGGCTCGAGGTGTGGACCGCACGACCCATGGAGGCACGGAGCCAACAAAATTCGAGGAGCTTGGGCCCTGCCAGGGGCCAAGAAGCGACTTTCCAGATTAGGACGAGGATACGCGTATTCGCTCTGTTTTCGTTCGGTGCAATCTCACTCATCGTCTGGAGAGATCGAAACCCGAAACCCGGTGGACTGGAGATTGCTCAAGGGACGGACTTAACGACGGCAGCAGGGGAGGGGTGTGCCTTGGCAACGGGGAAAAGCTTTCGCGAAGCTAACCAAGCCCCCGGACGGGACAGGGGCCGGTCAGGGTGAGGACCGGGACGGAGGACGTCCTCATCTCAAACTCGGGATCACTTGAAAGGAACGGCGACCATCGTAGGCTCGACGCAGACAAGGATGGATTCGGTGATGGCGCTTTCGAGACCACATTCCTCATCACCAATGTCCTTGGGATGGAGCGGCGGACCCAACCGAGGAGATCCATCAAGAAGAGACCTTAATGGGGTTTGTCTTCTTGCTAGTGGAGAAATGGAGAAACTGGGGCACCTTTCTTTTCCCCACGTCCCACAAAGCTCGATGAATCCACTCAAGGTATTCTCTCATGGCCAGGCTAATGTGGCTAGAAAACGCAAGCCGGCTCGACTCTGATAACAAGCAAGTGATGTTTCCGCAGGTCTCCAAACGTGTTCATGTCCAAGGATACGGCATCATCCAAGAGGACGCGACAAAGTCCCTTGTGCTGTCAAGCGGCATCCGCGTTGTGAAAGCCTGGCAGCTCGTTATCTCCGTCCTGTATTATCAATAGGTGGCTTCTTTCTTTCCAGTCATGTACAAGAGAAATTACTCAAGTCGGTGCACAATGCTGGGGGTAATAATAGACGACTGCTAAGACTCGCATCAAGAACCCAGAGGTATGGCGTCAATGGCGATTTGTTCCTTTGTGGAACAGAACATTGAACCCGTCGGAGTTGGTGTGGGACGGGCCATGGGTATTCAGTCTCACAGGCCTCAGGGCAACCGGAATTGGGGGTTGCGCAATCTTGCCCCAAATGAGCGCCAATCACCGGGGCGCGGGGTCTTGTAAAACCCCGATACCTTTCAGGGCGTTAGTACGTGCAGACAACGCGTGGACTAGACAGGCAGCTCGTAGTCCACAACCACAATGTTGAAAGAGTCACCGAGTATTATCGATCCTTCCTTCCTGCATTTGGGTTTTCCAAGTCTCGACGAGATATTCTACATCTAGCAGCCCTGAACACTGCCTCAATCTATTAATTCATGCTTTTCAAGCAGAGAGCTGAAACGATCAACAAGAGTATAGTTTAGTTTAGTCGGGGGTCAGAGCGGATAGGCTCGATGTTCAAGTCGTCTTGTACCACGTCAAGACCATGTTAACCTTTCAAGAGAAAGCTCCATAATAACTGGGTTGATGGTCCCATTCTTGGGCATTCGTTCGATCTAACGAATCGTCAAATCATCCTGGATCCACGGATCAGTGGGACCATGGGCATTTGATGAGCCAGACCCGCAGACAACCCCACTGGATTCTACCTTAAGGGGTTGAACCCGCAGTCTAAAGCTTCATCCCCGGCGCCCAAAGGAGAGAGATTCAGCGGGTTCAATCTCTCCAATAGATGCATCCATGGATCCATTGGTTGGATCTCTGTAATAGGCTGGCTTTAAGCCAAACTAGACCTCGCCATCCAACATCAGATCAATTGTTCATCAAGTGCCTCGAATGGTCTTGCGGCAAACGTACTACCGAATGAATGAGTGAATGACCCCCTTCAATTGATCCTTCATCCCCTCATGTGCCTCCCTCAGGTGCACCTTCCTTTCATCTTCATAGGCGTTTATAAAGTCCGAGGCCAGTTTCTCTTATCCCCGCTTCCGTGGGTAGTACCTGCCGCGCGTGGGAAAATAGGATCGAGGCAACTCTTCCATTGATGCGGGCAGGCATACTAGCGAGTGGTGTCGCCAGGCCGGACATCGATATCCGAGAAAGCAAGTAATTTTCTTTTGTCTGGTCGAGCCACCTTTGGAAAACCATCCTTGGACTCGACTGGGAACATTCGTCGCCGAGTCCAAGACACTGTTTTCCTTGTCCCCGCTCCAACAACGTGGAAGAGAAGAGACGAAGAAGCAAGGCAAGCGCCAATAATACTTGTACTCCATCAAAGTGGTACGAAGTACTTGTAGTTCTGGTTCCTGTGCTCTTTTGGTATCGAAAGTTCTTGCCATCTCAACCAAAACATTTGCTTGGCCACCGCCTCCGTGGCGTTTTGTTATTACCCTCGACCCCTGAACTATTATCGGCCGAGTTGATCTGGTCTGCTCCGTCAAGCCTTCTCCCTAAATTACTCAAGGAAGCCCATTTATCCTAGTCCCGAATCCCGGTTCTTCTTGAGCTTGGGAAGGTAAACCGGGAATCTAACCAAGAAAGAGAGACAGAGAAAGACAGAGAGAGAGAAACAGAAGCCGAATCAAAACGAGGTTCGAGAAGTAAAAAAGAAACCCGCCCAAGACCTTCTTAACCTCGAGAGCTAAGTCCCATTTGCACTGGTCTGCAGGCTCAACGCACCAACTCTCCTCCGGCAAAGGGACCCTCCCCCGGAGCCATCCCACCTTCATGCAGCTCCCAACTCCGATGCTCAAAATGACAGGGGTCGAGGAGGGGGTGGGAGTCAGGGATGCAGCCCGCCTGTGCAGAGGAGCAAAAAGAATGAAACCGAGAAAAACGAACTCGGGTTTTGTTTGTTCTAAATTCCGCCGGCCGAATCCCGCCCCTCCTCTGCCACACACCTCATACGGCTTTGGCGCGTGGGATCCTTTTGCCTCTGCTTCTTGTTCGCTGTCAAGGCGTGAAATGCTGTGAAAGTTGACCTACATCGGCACGTCTTTTCCGGGTCGGGGAGGGACATGAAGCAGTTTCCTTTGCAGCCCTCTCCCTTGCCTTCACTGTTCCTCCACCCCTCCCTCTTTCGGAGCAACTCTTAGGAACTCTGATCTGAATAACAATACCTTGACATTATCAAGAAGAAAAACGAAACAAGTGAGTTTATGACGGGGAAAGGAGGAGCAGACAAAAAGAGAGAGAATAAAAATGAACCAGGTGAGGTAGGAATCCGGAAACAGTGAAGCAAAGGGCTAGAGAGCACGAGCAAAGAAGCGCCACCGGAAGCGCTGCAAGTTTGCAACCACACACACCCCCTGGCTCCCGTTCGATGATACAAGCCTCATGTCCCCATTGTATTTTGTTTAATAGAACCAGCTCATGTCAATACCCCTGTCTGCTGCTTTTACTTGTTGGAGCTGTCACTTTTTTCAACCCTTCTATCCTTCCCTTCCCCCATCTTTCCCGCTCGTTCTCAGACACCCACCGGCTCTCTCTGCCCTCCTTTTTCTCGGGCTAGACTTGTTATCCGCTAGCCGACACCCCGGATCCCGTTGGACCCCAAACATAGCTCGCTCCAACTATATACATATATACATGAACCTCCTCCCTCTTGTCGGATCTCCTACCCCCATCCCACCACCACCAAAACAGCATTTTTAAGTCCATCCGATCACCACATCACAAGGACGTGAAGACGAAGACGAGCTCACACGCACCTATCAATTGCCTTGCGCCCTATTTGCTACGTATGTAAGCTAGTTTCTTTTCTTAGTTCCCCGCTCCGGTGGCTGTCCGGTCCGTCTTGGCAGTCATGTCCCGGCGAGGAATGGCCGGGGCAAACGCCAGCGTCTTTTGGTCTTGGCGAGTGGCGAGTCTAGCGCACAGGATACTTTTTCGGTTCAACGACAGGTTCTTCAAGAATCTAATACCGGTAGAAGTGAGAGCAAACCGGGAATGCCTGTGGCCTCCATGCGCCGCGCAGCGGCCCGGGAAACCAGCTAGAAGACGCAGACGAAGACTGCTAGAACACTACGGAGCTCTCCAAGATCTTGGAATCGTTGTTTCTCATGCACAGGTCGCTAACATACCACTAGACAAAAGCAGCACAAAACAAGGCATCTCGAGGCCTCATAATGGCTCCTCCAGCCGAAAACGACGCGTCCCACGCGGCGCCCCTCCACCGCGGGCACCCTCTCGTCCAACGAGCCCACCCTCGCCGAGAGGACGGAGCTCGCCCTCGCCGAGGGCCACGACGCCGACATCCCCTCCAACATTGGCTACGTCCTCGACGAGAGCGGCGAGAAGAGGCGGCGCCAATCCATCTCCGCGCAGCGCCGCGCCTCTCTCCAGCACCGCACCTCCACCTCGTCCGCCGTTGCGCCCGCCGGCAGCGAGGACCAAGATGCGGCCGAGGCCGACCCTGAGAAGGGTGTTTCGGACGGCGAGGTCGCCGACGAAAACATTGTTTGGTGGGACGGGCCCGAGGATCCTGAGAACCCTGCCAACTGGCCCTCGTGGAAGAAGGTCGTCATGTGCGGCTTCGTGAGCGGCTTTACCTTTATCACCCCCTGGCTTCATGTAAGTTCTCATCTGCTCCTTTTCTTTTCACTCCTTTTTCCCCGTCACGTCTCTCTTCACCGGATTAGCAATTGTCTATCCTCCGCACCAGCAGGAGACACGCGATCCATGGAATAGTCTCGGCTGACCAGTTCGATAGCCATGTTTGCTCCCGGTGTGCCCCAAATCATGGTCGAGTTCGAGAGCCGCAGCCCCCTCCTCGCTTCCTTTGTCGTCTCCGTCTACGTCCTCGGTTTCGCCGCAGGACCTCTCGCTTTCGCCCCGCTCTCCGAGATCTACGGCCGCCTCTGGGTCTACTTCGCCTCCCTCATCCTCTTTGGAGTCTTCATCATCGCCTGCGCCCTCGCCCCCTCCCTCTCCACCCTCATCGCATTCCGCTTCCTCAGCGGCGTCTTCGGCGCCTGCCCCTCACCAACGGCGCCGGTACCATCGCCGACATGATTGCGCAGGAAAAGCGCGGTGTCGCCATGGCCATCTTCAGCATCGGTCCCCTGCTCGGTCCCATCATCGGCCCCGTTGCCGGAGGTTTCCTTGCCGACGCCGAGGGCTGGCGCTGGATCTTCTGGGTCCTCGCCATTGCCATCGCCGTGCTCGCCATCGGCATGGCCATCTTTATGCGCGAGACCTATGCCCCCGTCCTTCTCGAGCGCAAGGCGGCCCGCCTCCGCAAGGAAACTGGCAACCCTCTGCTCCGCTCCAAGCTCGACACCGGCCTCTCCCCGCGCGACCTCTTTGTCCACAGCATCGTCCGCCCTTGCAAGCTCCTCATGTTCGACCCCATCTCCATCATCTTCGCCCTCTACCTCGGTGTTGTCTACGGCTACCTCTACCTCATGTTCACCTCCATCACCCAGGTCTTCACCCTCTCCTACGGCTTCTCCGCCTCCAACGTCGGCCTCGTCTTCCTCGGCCTCGGCGTGGGTTCCATGATTGGCGTCGTCTTCTTCTCCGTCACCTCGGATCGCTACATCAAAAAACGCGCGGCGGAGGCCGAGGTCAAGGCCGCCGAGACCGGTATTCCCTCCGAGGGCATGAAGCCCGAGTACCGTCTCGCCCCGCTGCCCATCGGCGCCATCCTGCTCCCCTCGGCTTCTTCCTCTATGGCTGGACCGCCGAGTACCCGGAAAAGATCCACTGGATCGTCCCCATCATCAGCCACGTCTTCATCGGCATCGCCATCCTCATCATCATGCTTTCCCTGCAAATGTACCTCGTCGACGCCTACACCATCTACGCCGCCTCCGCCCTCGCCGCCAACACCGTCGTCAGGTCTACCGCCGGCGCCGTGCTACCGCTCGCCGGCCTCGAAATGTACGAGAAGCTCGGCATCGGCTGGGGCAACAGCTTGCTCGGCTTCGTCTCTCTTGCTCTCGTCCCCGTACCCTTCTTGATCAAGAAGTACGGCGAGACGCTGAGGAAGAAGTACCAGCCCAAGCTTTAAGCCCATGTCCACTCTTCTTCCTTTCTTTATGCGCAGCGCACGCAAGTCTCCTTTTCGTTCGACTTTCACCTCTTTTTCTTTTTTTTTCGTCTTCTTTTTCTCCCCGATACCCTTGACTCCTACTTACTCGCCGCACCTTCTCCTAATTTGCAAAAACCAACATTTGCCTTGGCATCAGATACTCTCTCATAAGAGAAGCAAGATCCTTTCTACATCTGACAACAACTACTCTCCTCATTCCTCTACCGGGGCTCCTATTGCGGTCCTGCTAGCTTCATCTGTACACAGTTTTATATCCGTCCCCCCTTTTTGCCCTCTTCTCTTTCATTTTTGCTCGGGTTTATATAGCATCATAGCTCGCGTCTGGGTAAAAAGGTCAGGCATTATAGAATCGGCCGGGTATCTTTGGACCTGGCCAGTGAATTATAAATCATATCAAAGTTCATTCAACGTTTCTAGCGGGCAACCGCCCTTTGCTCTTTGCTTCCCTGTCGTATTCCCATCCTTCTTGATATCCCTCTTGAGTAATACCATGCCCCGTATTCGTCAACTCGTGTGTTTCTCGGTTTTTCTTTCTTTATTTGGCTCGCTTCTCACACGATTACCCAGCCGGGGAAAAACGAAAGCCTGGTTCTTTTCGTTTACATTCACGGGCATAAGAGTTCCGTTCAGCGTTCAAAGTGGGATAAAAAGACGACCGCCGGCGTTGGCGACGGGATAACCGGCTTTCGCTCTTGATCGAGTGGGCTGGGTGCAGCGCGCGGGGGAAAGGGGAGGGGGCAATCTCCGGACAGGTTGTGGGGGTTGAACCGGGTTCGCGGCACCGGCTCGAGGAGAAAGGGTGGGGAGGAGGAGGAGGGGAGAGGGAAGATAGGGCAGCACGCCTAACTTTCTTACAACGACTTCATCCTACTTGTGTATATTGTGAAGTTTAGACGAGGCCAAGCATGAAGAAGAAGAAAGGACCTCTTTGGGCTTTGGCTTGGCGCCCAAGAGTCGATGATACCGCGATGAGTTCGATCAGCTTGGTTGCTGCAGAGAGAGTCGACTGAGGGCTTTTGGCCGTATCCAATCAGTTCTTCGACAGGACTCACGCTCTCCGTGGGCTTGAGAGACGGCATACCCGGCCGTCAAGGTTAATCAAAAAGATGTTTTTACTGAATCTCGAACCTTTCTCTTCTTACGTGCCGAAGGGGGCAAAGGGGAGAAGAGAGAGTGAGGGGGAAGCAAAAGGGATCTTCTTCATGCCAAGACCAGCAGGTCCTTTGTACGATACAGATCACCACCTCCTTGACGCGTAACTTCATCGATTGGCCCCATCAAAAGACTCGACTGGGACGCCGTGAGCCTTCCTCCCTGCCGTTCTCCACTCTTTTCTTCTTGAGCAGGTGTTTTTGCCGCGTGAATGGACTCTCGTTATTGACAGGACAGAGGCAAGACAGGGCTGGGATCCCAGGCTAACATGCGACGCAGGTATTCTCCTTCTCCACCCAGCTCGCAGCTTTCTTCCAACGCTCCGATCAACAAGCGAGCGGGCGGATTAAGCGAAGGAGAGGAGGGGGGCAAGAAAAAGAAAGAAAAAGTAAGAGAAATCAGAGCTTCGGCCGACCTCTCAGCCCGTTTATTTCTCCAGACACCTCAAGTTTTGCGGGGCGATCTGACCCCAAAACTTGTACAGGTTTCTGGAAAAAGCCAGACCAGAATCTTGGAGGAGAGAGGAGACGTGCAGTCCACTGTCCTTTCTGGCTAAAACGAAAACTGCGGGAATGGCATGGGTAAACAGTAAACGACCATGGGCCCAGGAGGAAGGGTGGGGAGAAGGAAAGCAGAGGCGACAAGTATGTATCCGGAGTACTAGATGAGACGACAGTGAGCGGGCGGTAGTTGAATATATCCCGGGAATTAGATGCATAAGAGGGGATGGGGAACTTCTCCAACTATGAGGGCTGCAATTTTTGACCGAGGCATGACCGCCCGTGTTACTGCAGCTCGTCGATATTAAACCCTCGGACTTTTTTCTTTCTTTTGGACTTTTTCTCCTTCATTTCGTTATGGTCGACCAAGGGCTTGAGGTAGAACTCCCCTTCGTTATTATTATTATTATCATCATCATCGTCACCATCGCCATCGGAAGGCACTTTGTGAGAGTCTCGAAAGACCGTCATGGGATACACGGGGTGGGCGGGTGTGCAAGCACCACCGCCGGGCCTTCTCTCACCCGGAAGAACCCCGCGAGGCGATCAGCATGACCGACTGTTCGATTGGCGGCAAAACCCTCATTTGCACACGGCAGGGCTTCAAACGGCTCGTAGCCAAATTACCGCCCTGGGGGCTGAACGTGGACGGGCGAGACGTGATAAAAGGCGCCGCCGATGGCGAAGTTGCACATGCGCCAAGGCGCCGCCGATATAGAGGAGGAGCGGGTGCGCCAAGACCAAAACCTGCGGTTTTTTTATCCTTTGTAATACCTGTATATCGACCCATCTGACCCTCTACTGTATTATTAAGTTCTTCGTAAAGAGAGGAAAGAAAATCTCCCCAGGGTGCATTTGCCCGGAACAGTTGTTCCCCTTCTTCGGCGTAGGAACGGTAGCGAAGCACTAGTTTTCCGTCCTCGCCGCCCAAGTTCCGAAAGGCTTCTTTCTGCCTTGGGGATGGGATTTACCGCAAGAAAGGCTGGCCAGGCTTCTCCGATTGGCGTTAAACGTGGCTGCCCAACTCACACACGCCTGGGCGCCTCTTTGGACCAATGCACGTGAATTCCGTCACGATGGGACCAAGAGCCCTGCATTGAAGTTGCAGGAAAAACTCGATCGTGTTGTGGCCTCAGGGGGCTTGGCTTGGCTTTCCCTTGAAATCGCTTTTGTTTTGTTCTCGCTTGATCATTTTCAGCTGGCGTCGACCACCCAGCCCCCGTGTCTGTCCAAACAGCAGCTGCTAGCTGAGCTCGGGATGGGGCGCTAGAAGATGTCGCTGGGCGTGGGATGGGTTCCAGGGGTGTCCCATGGTACGATGAAACCCTGGCCCGACCAAGAGGACAAGCCCGGTGAGGTGGAGTGGCATGTTGTGTTATGTTGTTGTGTTGTGCTAGTCCGAAGTCACATCTTCGACCTTGGCTTTCCGGACCTTGCAGTTCGTATTGCCTCTTGACCTCAGCTAGGTGCATGTTGGTCCTGCAGGTTAAGCGGGGACGGATGCGTAGGAAGGCAAACATTGAATCGTGCTCCCAAGTATCGATGACGAGTGGCGTCGGCCGAGATCTTTCTTTGCCTGCTTGTTCTTTGTCGAAAAGAAAAATACTTCCCCAACTTGTTATTTTTCTTATTCCTCCCGGTTTCCTTACGGCCGAGGCCCGCCGCGCGCCTTGTCTTCCTTGATGCGATGGCTTTTGGGGGCTCATGATGATCGACCTTGTTAATAATTCCCGTCGGCTGACGGAGACGGGGAAAACAGCAGCGACAGGAGGATTTCTTTTTATTAAGGACTATTTCAGTGTGGGTTTCCCCATGGAAACCCTCTCAAGGTGCGCCTCACTGCAAGGGAGCTGGCGAGCACGCCAAGGGCGGTGGAAGTAAGGCCGAGTTGAATGAACAAGCGATCCGAGTGAGGCAGAATGGATTTCACCAGTCTCCGTTTGCTTTGAAGACGGTCTGGCGGGGCCAGTTCGCGCGTGGGGAGGCGTGTTGCAGAGTAGCTCTTCGCTTAGAAGAGACTGGAGAGCAAGGCAAGACTGCTCCCTCACGGCTTAAATGCCGAGATGTCTGAACTGCTCCGCAATGCCTTGTGTCACTCATGAAAGAGAAACCCGGGGGCTGATCGACATGGAGACACCACCTCCACAAAGTTGACTCCATCCCCATGTGCTGCAGGTTTGTGGGAACTTTTACAAGTCCACGTCAGACCTCTTCTATTCGCTGTCGTCGGTTGAGTGTTGATACTGTATGCCTTCAGAAACTGATTGGCTGCGTTGGTCACTATATTGGAAATTTTTAGTGTTCCATTGTGCTTCTCGAAATCACGAAATCCTTTCGATTAATTACCTCGTGAATATTGATGGGGTCAATGGGGGATTTGTTTCTTTCTTTGTTTCTCAATTCTCTTCTTCTTTGGCTGTCGACCTCGATCTTTCTTTGGGCTGGGATAAATGCTCCCAAGCCACCAACCAGAGCGAAAGAAAACATCTATGGATCCATCTATGGATGTGCCCAGCGTTAGCCCAGAGAGACTTGATTGATGCTCAGAGGCTGTTCACAAAGTGCTACAAGTGCCTTCAGCGAACTTGAAGGAGATTCCCCTCCATCCTCCTCACTAGTTGCACGAGTAGAGTAAATAAATTTTGTGCGCATGTCCCATTCCATGCCTGCCATAGCAAAGCCGGAATCTGGCATGTATAGATTAACGTTGAGGTGCTCGTACGAACAAGTACGCCAATACAGCACAGCGGGGGTTCGGTGCTTTCCGTGCTGTGGAGCGGAGCACGAGAGTGACCAAGCATCCATCTATGGATCCATTAACGAGGATCGTGCTAGCCAAGGTGGCCAGAAAAAGTAATACTGGCTTCCACACCCATCCTCGCAACTAGGGTTTGCTCGATCCTGGTCCAAGACCACGCTGGGAGTTCTACCCCACCCTGTGTGCCATCCACTGGGCCCATTCCACGAAAAGCTATCCGCTTCTTTCAGAGAGTTGTCTAAATAGCCATGCTGCAAGAAAGGCTTCGAGAATGGGTTGACCCTTGATTCTCAGTGTACATCTCCTTTGCACATATTGGCATCAAAGTAATGCTAGTTAGCCGCGTTTTGTGAGTGATGCGTAAGCGCTCGCGTCCTGATCCTGTATATACCGTGGCCTGCCATGCCCGGAAATTTTAACGAGGGTTGAAGCGAAGCGATTCCTCAACAACCTTGGCCATCTCATGACATCGATGTCTCATGAGGAGGGCACCCATTTGAAGGGCCGCCTAGTCAAAGCAAGACGGCGGAAACTGCGCTACAGGCGCCCCACCCGAGAAGGGAGAGGAGTGACGGGACAAAATTACAGAAGTGGTGGTGTTCGTGTGCGGGACCAGAGCCTGTCAAGGAGAAAGATGGAAGGCTCCATTCGTATTGTGTCTTTGTTGTCCAAGGCCAAGCTTTTTTCGTTTTCGTTTGTCTTTTGGCTCCTATTTTTCCATTCCCGGGAGAAGGACAGGACACTACCTGTGACATACTTCAAGTCCCCAAGATTGCAAACGGGATGCATTCGTTTTTTGCTAGTACCGCTCAGGTGGCTCTACTTCGATTCGTAAGCTATCGAGGGGAAGATTAATGCAAGCCGTATCCGAGAGCAGGATATTCACATGGAAAACATGACATCTAGCACGCAAAGGAAGCTGCAGCCCATCACTTCCTTGACTCAGGGCCAATCTGACAAATCTTCGCTGTCGAGATGAGAAGGCGCAAATGTTGGGCCTGCCAAAACCCGAACCAAAGAAAAGAAGAAAGAAGAAATAAAAGGACAAGGCCTTTTTAGGCTCTTGGGCTTCCTCCGCGCCTTCTCAAAATGGGTCTAGGTCGAATCGGCGCCAAACGGTCAATTTGAACAACGTGCGGCCTCTTCCTCTTGCGACGAAGATCGCCTGAACAGGGGTGGCTCGATCACCGACTCGATGGTTGATGGAGGATTGGTTCAGATGAATGGATGTTTTGCATTCTCCACCGTGTCCCAGCCCCAGTCTCCAGTCTCGACCCGTGCAACCGTGTCAGCGTGGACAAGTACCTGTATTATTCGTGTACATGGGGAAATGGGGATTAGGCGGCGTACGGCGTACGGCGTCTTTCGTCTTTCCCTCTCACTTTCCCGTGGAGTCGCGCCAGGAATCCAACTTGTCAAGGTGCATGCAAGCTGATTTTACCCGGATCTGACCAAAGTCTCAAAACCCGCCCTGGCTGGCTCCTTCCCGCCGACATGTCGTCGATTAAAACACCTTGGTCTCCACCGGGTCTTGGCCCTGGTGATGTCACCAGCGTCCTGCCCTGCCGTCCCCTGTCGCTCTTTGTCTGTCCCTCCCCAACTCACCCTTCATGTTCAATGTTCCTTTTTCTCTGCCAGTCGGCAAGCCTCTATTTTAACACATTCAGCTTCTTCCGTCCTTGCAGAAACAACCCCTGTCACGCTACTTCGGCGCGCCACCTCGTACTCAACCTTCTGCCATCCACTACCAAGATGCAATATGCCTGTCCCCATCGCATTAGTGGGAGCCAACAGCACGCAGAGGTAAGGAGTCGGGACTAGTTTGGGAGCGCTCGCATCCTGCGAAGGTCGAGATTTTCGGTCGTAGCGGCCAGGTCCACCAGCCAGACTCGGCCTTCCGATCGTGTCCAGTCAGTGTGGCCTAACCGTGGCGTCTGGCTGGTTCTCTCATAAATGAAGTTACTATGCCTCGTCAGCTCTCGCTGGCTCGTTAATCCATCATGTTGCGACTTCGATATCCACTTGGAGACACTCCGCCCTGCTTAATATCTGCAACACGACAGCCTTTACGCTGGACCTCGCACTCGCAGATCCGAAGGGAAGGTGAGATAGGAAGCATTGCTTTTCTCACGTCCCCTTTCTGCTGTGTGGCCTCCTTTTTTTCTTCCTCTTTTTTCTTCATCAATATCGTTGTCTCGCAAATTCTAGGCCCAGGGAGGCGTGATGTCTCCAACGGCAATACCCTTATTCAATTTTGCCATCTTCCACTAAATCCTGCGTTCCTTGTCTGCGTGTCTCGGGTTTTCTCCACCCAACGGCATCCCCACGACACTTTGCATTTGGAGCTCCAGTTTTCTCGTGTCGCTGAAACTTGGTCGTTTCCCTCTTGTCCTATCCTGTATAATTTCCTCCGGCTCGTCTCCTTCTCCTTTGTCGCTTTTCCTCGCTCTCCCTTTGAACTTGGCTCTTTGAGTGAACGATCAGAGTTAGGCATAGAAACAGAAACAGGGGGAAAGAAAGGATCTTCAAGACTGGCTCCCACAGAGATCAGCTTCATCGCTCCGACCTGCCCGCATCAGTGCTTGCCGCCCTTTGGCCAGCCGAGAGATCGTTGTCATGTTTTAACAGCCCAAACGGACACACGAAGTGCATCAATCTTTTTCTTTTTCTCTTTTTCTTCTTTTTGCGCTCACCCCTTGGGTATTTGGGCCCAACCTGGAACGAAAGACATCCAACTTCAAACATTCTCGAATTCGGGGTCCTTTGCTATTATATTCTCCCTATTAATATCCAGGGCTCTCTTTCTACAGACACCAGGACCCTAGCCACCGCGTGTGACAGCTACGGCATTGATACAACGCATCGCAAATCCACCGTCCGAGATTTACCAAGCTACGCGTCCTTCCTGCGTGCCGTCTAATTTTTTGTTTTCGCTTCCTCTTCTGTTTCGGCAGCCCTTACCAATCCCTGGACCTCACAACTTCCGGTCGTTTTATCCGAAACTTGATTGAAAGTCCCCCGACAGCCAAAGACATAGCTCATCCAGGATCCGCCACCTCCCCGGAAGTCCGTCCCGTGGCATGCCACGCAGCCAAGGGGCCTTGTATTTCTGTTCCTAAATGATGGGCGACGTCAATGACCGCCCGCCGGTAAAACGGCGAAGGTCCAGGTCCAGCAGCGTGCAGCGGATGCTCGACTTGGAGAAGAAGATCCGGGTAAGAAATTATCTCTTCACACCTTAATTGTCTTGCCTTTCCCTCTTTCCTTCTGCCTCGCCCCTCCTCTCAACCCTCCCCCTCCTTCAACCACCATCTTTTGCGTTGCCATCAGTCAAGATGGCTTACACAAAAACGCACAACACCTCGAGGGCTCCGATGGTGCCGTACTCGTACCCATACGCACTGAGGGTCTGATATTTCTCCCTCCCTCCCCTTCCTTCTATCACAGATGCACCAGGGGTTGTGGGGTGAGGTCCGGCGTGATCTTTTTGCTGACTCGTTTACTCCTTTTAGTTGGAAAGGTTACAAGCTGCACCTCGCAACTCGAGACATGCGTTGGGCCTGCTCACAGATCCCCCTCAGCCGGGCCCTTCACCTTATGCCAGTCCCAGGCACTCTTCTACCAACCTGCCCTCCCAGCCGTGGGTAAACCATGGCAGGTCCGCCAGCGAGATGAGCACCGCGTCACGGGCCGCGAGCCAGCCCGACCTCCTCCAAATGGCTCCTACTCTTCCAGAGCTCGGGTATCAACAGGTACAGCTGCCGCTAATGCCAGTCGCATGGCAATAGCACTTGCAACCGCACCTCCCAATCTTGAGTCTAGTCATGACCCCGTCTCCTCCAACCCCCAGACCCCAACCTGGGATCCCCAAGAAGGCGACAAGGACTGGAAAAAAGCCGCGGACAAGGCTGCCAAGGCCGCTAAGCGTGCCTCGGCGCAGAGACTCGTGAAGCCTCCTCCATCTGCCTCAAGAACGCCGCACCTGATGGCACGCCAACCTGCACCTGGACCGCCTACAACTGGCTACTCTAGCCAGAGCGAGCGCTCCAGTTCCTATGGACCCCCGGACCACGCCTCGATAGACCAGGGATCGAGGCGGTCTCGCCGCCGATCCGACTCCGTTAACTCGATTACCTCGGTGTCCTCCATTGCCTCCAAGATCAAGGCGTCTTTTGACCGACCCAGGGGAGGAGCACTACCCCGCGTGGGGAGCGTAATTCGGCCTTCCTGGGTGGCATCAAGCTGCAGAAGGAGCTGGAAGCCGAAGCTCAGTGGGCAAACATCCAGGCCGGGCCGGGGCAGGAATCGTACAATATCCCCGCTCGCCACATGTACCGACAGCCCGCAGGCTCTAGCGTAGCACGATCACACTCTCGTTCATCAAGCTGTAGCGCAGTATCGACTTCCAGCCTGAACCCACACCTTGTTCACAATCCCCGCCACTCGTGTTCCCACAACAACACCGATATCGAGGGCCACCCGTCGCTCTCCGAAAACCTCGACCGATCTCTCGTTCCGGTTCACTATCTCGATCGCCCTCTGTCAGCCCGGAAAGTTCCGACCCCAATCTTCGACGGGCAGGGGGCAGGGACGGTTCTCGCGGACCGCAGCCGGGATCCCGTAACGCGTCCCGTAACGCCTCGCGACTTTCCATTGACACCATGAGCCTCAATGGCGGCCCAGGGCCCCGGCCGCGGACTAGTGAGGGGCTCTTGAATGCTAGGCCTCGCACAGGCGATAGCCTTGGAGGCGCGGGATTAAGCGATATGGCTGCCCTAAGTGCCGTCCTAAAGAGCATCGACCTCGCAGAGGACATCGAAGAAGTGGGAAAAACGCCCGAGAAAGTCGAGGTGGTCCCAAAGCAGCCCCTAGAAAAACCAATGTCTGATACGAAGCGACGAAGCACCCTTCCGGCCGAAAACGGCACTCCGGTGCCTCCCAAGTCGGATAAAAGGACCCCACCATCTGCTTCAACGACACTGACACTTGCCAAATCCACGTCCAATGACCCAGCGCCGCCACCGTCACGCCGCCGGAACAGCTCCTTTTGGGGTTGAAGCGCTCCAGTATCCTCTCGCCGATGAAAGCACGAAACGCCCCCGGAGCCCCTCGCACCACCCAACTCGACTCCGAGGCCGCCGCAGGCTCCTACTCAGCCCAAACCCCCATCCAACAGAAGGCCGTCGCCTCAACTCAAGAGGAGCGCCCCCACGGACGAGTGCCATTCGGCAGTTCCGAGACGCTGCAAAGGCCGCGTTCCATATACGCTCCCCTTCTGCCGCGCGGGGCAGGAGCGCCAGCGTGGCCTCTGGTCAGCTTTCACCCATTGGCCCAATCGCCGCCAGCGGCCAAACGAGCCCCTTCCCCGGACTCTCTGGAGTAACAACACCAGTCCCTGCTGAGACGCCCGCGGCAACCGAGCCGTCCGACCCATGGTCGTCCGCTAAGGCGGATACAGCTGACGCTCGAAGTCGTCCTCCACTCGCACACCAGAACAACACGACCCGGGGCGCCGACCGCTCTTCCGCGTCGGTCTCCTCGTACGACACCGCGCACTCCCATCATCTGTCGACGGTAACCCCGAACACCTCGCGTCCCGAGTCTGAGAGGGGGATCGTAGCCCCGCTAGTCGCAGATGACGGCCGAAAGTTCCTACTCGGCCGCGATAGGTCCGGCTCACCCGCGATCACTCGGCCCTTGGCGGCGGTCGGGGCTAGGAATGCACCCACACCACCACCGGGACCAATGAACGGCCGTCGAATTGTTCGAGTGAGCAGCGGAGGTGATATATTAGCCAATGGGACAGCGAGTCTACGCCCAAAGGCCGAATCTACTACCTGGCCACTAAAGCCAGAATCGTCGAATCAAGAAATCGACGCCGAGTGGACGCAGGTTTCGGCCCCTCTCAAACAACAAAGCAACCGTCAGCCTCTAGACTCCTCTCTCCTCCCTCGTTCTTTTGCCAGGCACCACGCTTCTAGTTCGATTGACAGCAATATTTCCACCCCGACACGGTAGGCAGGGGCAGTGGTGCCTCGTCGCCCATGATCAGGAGCAGAAATCAGATGAGAGGCTATAGCGACGATACAGCATCCGTGAACTCGGACTTGTATGTCCACGGCTCTCGCGATACCCAGACACCGCCTTTGAACTCGCCCTATTTCGAAGCAGCAAGGAGGCCGGTGGTTAAAGGAGCTGCCCGTCCGCCAGGTGCCTCTCCTCTCTCGAAACCGCCAACAAGTCGATCCCATCTTGCGGATGATCAGGTGGGAGACACCTTGGATAAGGTGCTTGTTCAGTGCTGTAGCTGCCGATACTTCCACGACATGCCGAGCGGGATGCATGAGCGCATGAGGCTTCACGGGGAGGCCAAGCGGTCTTTGGGCACAAAGACACCCATCATCACGGCGTACACGCCCAAAGCCCCCGAGAAACCGAGCACCCTAGCCGTACGATGCCCTTGGTGCCGACACGAGATGGGCATAAAGTGCTGTTCCGGATTCGTCGCAACTGTCCACCTCAAAAGAAGCTACATTAAAAACTACATGCTTACCTCCATCTTTCATACACATCAATTTTTCCTTTCTCGATGCTACATTTCCATCCGTCGTTATCTAGAACATATCGAGGCTTCCTTTTTTGTAAAAGAGCCTTGCCTGCATTCGCTAAAAGGGGATCATGACTCTACCCTTTATGATAATCTCTCTCTTTTTTTCTTCTCTTATTGTTCTGCACGATATGCGCATAGCACAGGCCTTGTTATAGAGCGGGTTCCGGGAAGGCTTCAGGCCTGCAACATGTTTTTTATTGGGATCATCTCTAACGGGTCTACCGTGTTGGCATATACACCCTTTCTTTTCCTCTCTTTTCCTCGCCGAGGTGCGACTACGAACCTCTCCACTGGATGGACAAGATGGCACATGTTCTTTTGGGTTAGCCAGCGGTAACCGCATCTTCTACTCTTGTATATTTTGAGAAAGCATATAGTACATATCATACAAGTACATCAAGGTGTTGACACTTCTACATACGCTATCCCTGCCCCTCAACGTTTCCGTGAGTTACATCAAACAGAGCCCCTTGTGTAGCGTAATGGTTCGTTGCATAGATGGCCCCCAAGCTGCATGGACACGCGGAGCTAAGGTCCTACATGCGTCTCTTGGAGAGTAAACGGTCCCAGGGACGGCAACACCGTCATTGGCGAAAAGGACGCCCCGGGAAGCCTCGAGCCACATACTACCACGCCTGCCCGGGAACCTTGTTTTCGTTGGCGGTGTTCGCACTTGCGCTCATCCTGGGATTGCGGCCGAGGGGACATTTATGCCGAATTCAGGGAATTCCAATGTCATAGGTGTATGGAAGAGTGCGTAGAAACGCGTCGTTGGCTGGGGAAATCCGGGGTCCGGAATGGGAGAAGTGAATATGGCTGAGACATACATGCAGAACTGGTCCCCCTCAAGCAGCTGCCAACCCGGAAAAAGAAATTGCACGACAACGAAGGATCGACGTTCTACACTGTAACCGCCGAGGTATGATGATGGGAGGGGAGGGGAGAGTTTCTTGAACGAGGCTCGGAATGGGGTGGTGAGAGTAAGTGTGGGCAATCGATCTTGCTGGGGAGCTTGAGCCTCTTTGTTTAGTCTGCTTGCGGCGGCTGGGAGGACTAGGGTGGTTGATGGGTTGATGGTGATTAGCATGCAGGGCTGAATGGTTTCTCTTCCTTCAGCTCTGATGTTATCCTTCCGGAATGTGATTGTGTTAGTGAAAGCGTGTAGCGCATGACACTGGTATCATCTAATCTTATCTCGTAAACGAGCTTGTTGGCGTCTTGAGCATCAAATGGATTTCACACTTTATGCGACAGAAGAGATGCAGATATGGGTACGTATAGGCGTCCACTTTTCTGATGTCGAGATGATGCTCGGAATGCTGTGATCGTGCCCTATCAAGTCAGATACACCATATTGAATTCCACGAACAGAAGTGGGTCGCCCAATTCTAAGACTTGGGCTAGCTATGATGACTATGCAGACCCGTCTCTAAATATCTATTCATCTCATCTCATGCTGTTCTTTTCCTTCTATCAATGGTGGGAGGGCCGTGGGTAGGAAGTAACCTTTGAGTGGGACCTCGTGCTTAATCGGGGCCGCAATCTCGGGGGCCGGTGCTCGCGCAAACGGGTGTTCTCGGAAGCTGGTCCACTTTCAACGCCGGACGGGAGTGACGGAGCGGCGTGGCCCGGCTTTGGCATGGAGACTATTAGGATGCAGAGTTTGGCCTTGTGCACAGCTCCACGTGTCTACGACTCTTGTTGGGACAGGGGCTGAGTGGGAGGCCCAGCCCAGCGGAAGATTGGAGGACGTGCGTGATAAACCCTTGGGGGACCTGATGAACTACATATGGGCTTTCAAAAGATCATTGATGAATCATTCAGCTAGTAGACTTGTTGTTTCTCTAGCATGATATAGTCTATTTGAAGAGTGCGAGCGGAGCGTGTAAGTTGTATAGGGCGGAAATCGAGACACAGAACTACAGGAGAATATGTTTCCGAGCCATTTAAGCAGATATCGGAACAAATGTGTTGGGGTGACGCTAATTAGCACTTTGAGTGCGCGAAGCATCCATTCTGTGGATCCCCAAAGCTTGGAATTTGATACACGTCTCCTTTGGTGGTTCATGGGTAAATTCATTCCTGTGGCGGTTCGAGGACTTCATTCTTGAGTCTCAGGTGGAGAATCTGATGATTCATGGAGAAGCGTTCCCTGGATCGTAGTTACCCCTCGAGGCTGCTTGTGTTATTTTTCTCTCTTTTTTTCTTTTTTTCTTTGATAAAGACGAATGAATAAAAACAGGAGACAAATCATTTGCCAATGATCAATTTGAATAGAACCACCGAATAGGTGCGCTCAGTGGCCGTTCCGTCAATCATTTCGCAAGCAGTTCAATTGGAGAGGGAGGCGCGAGCGGCGTGCGCACTGGCACTGAGTGGCTGCGCTGAATGCACTTGCCTTGGAAAGCTCTCCACTCCGTCACTGAAGGTCTCCAAGAGACAGTCAATCCAGCTGTCAGACACGGAAGGAGATTGGGGAAGGAAGACACGAGGGGAACCAAACCAACACGCAGTGACCCCCTCCCTTCCGCAAAGGAGAAAAAAACAACGGCCAATGGAGGGAAAGAACAAACGTCAATTCGAACAGGAAAAAAACCAGCAAAACCTCAATAGCCTACAATAAGGGGGCGATTGAAAAAAATCATCATCGCTCTTGGCCCATCCGACGAATTGATTCCTGCGAAATATCATATCTCTCTTTTCCTTTTCTCCCTTTCCCATCCCTTGGAGAATGCGATACATCGATGGCGACACTTAGCAGATCGTCGCGCAGACCCGAAGACAACGCACTACATCACCATCATCACATTGTCGGCAGGCCGACCGCCACGCACCACCACCTCATGGCGACCTCGGCGGCACGCGCCAACACCGCTGCCGCCGCTCTCGCCACGCAAACCAAAATATCCTCTCTCGAGGCGCGAGCGGACGCGTCAAGCGGGCCCTCGATGCGACCGATTGCGACCCCGATGATAAGGTCATCACCAAGCGTTCGAGAATTACGGTCGATATTCCCGCGCGAGCCGTGAATACTGGTGGTACAGTGGGCGGGAGTGGTGGCAGTGGTGGAGTGGTGGGAACGACGGGTGACGGGGCCCGCCGGTAGCGGCGACTTGGCGGGTTCGGGCACTGTGCTTCAGAAGGGTGCCCCCATCCCAGCGTGCCAGGGGCCAAAGCAACAGGCGGTTCAGCAGGCTGGACCACCTGCTGCCGCCGACCACGGCAAAATCGACCCCCTGACGGAAAACAAGGCGAGACACGCTTCGGGGACGAGGCCACCAGACAAGCGGAGAAAATTGACGCGTCGAAAACTAATAACACGGACAAGCTCACCAAAAGCCAGGAGAAGGTTCGGAATGGGATCCAGCATGAGCTTGACAGGCTACAGCCCGCCTCCGCCGATGCGAAACCCGAGGGCCGCAAGCTGAGGTCCCAGGAGACTATACGGTTCAAGAGCGAGCTGTCGACGTACTTTCCAGAGTACGACGAAGTCATTGGGAACGATCCCAAACAATCTCGTAAGTACCTCGGATGTCGTCAATTGCGTCTCTTCCAAAACTACGCGCGGCGTTGTCGTATGGTGTCTCGTGACTAACCTTGGGGCGGCTCTAATAGATCTCCTGAATCTCGAAACTCCAATCATCATAGTCGAGTCCGCACATCCTCTACTAGAAACGTCAGAGACCGCAAAGACAAACGCCCGGAAGCGGCCTCTCAAAGAACAAGCCTCACACGACACAGGCTCCTTGACCGATAATCTTAATATTGTGCAGCACTATGGGGACGCGTTATTTGACGATTTATATGATTCGCAACGAATCGATTTCGGATTTCTCGAAGCCAGATTAAAGAAAAAGCTGCCGGAAGATCCTTTGCTCGACACATACTACGAGCCTACCCACAAGAAGGCTGAGCGGACGGAGAAGTCTATTCGAAACCGAGAGAGGGGCGTGCCCAGCATGAGCGTGATCGCATCATCCGGCTGCTTGATGGCCTCCAAGGCCATGACTGGCTTAGGATCATGGGTGTCAGCGGCATTACGGAGAGCCGCAAAAGTCGTTCGAGCCCGCGCGAGATTATTTTATCAAGGGTTGCCAGGCTATCCTGGATAAGTTCCGTCGATGGACCCTCGAAGAGAAGAGGCGCAAGCTCGACCGTGAGCGCAAGGAAGCGGAGCAGAGTGAACCACAGCCTGCCTCTGGCATGCTGCGGAGCGGTTCGTCCGCCCCTCGCGCCGAGGACGAACCCTCAGGTGCGGGCGATGACGCCTCTGTTGTGAGCGATCCCAATAGTGATGTGGACGCTTCCATCGCGAAACAGCTGCAGGAGGAAGCGTTAGCAAGGGCCCAAGTAGCAGCCGAAGCTGCGGCCGTGATGGCGCAGCCTCCGAACCGACAAAGGCAAGCAGTGAGACAAAGCAGCCCGCGAAGCGTTTGCGTGGCAAGGCGGCTGCTGCGAAACCCACTACGGCGTCCACAAGCAAGACATCGGCTGCCAGGAAGCCCGCGGAGCCAGTGGCAACCAAGCCTCCCAAAGAATTTACCTCATTCTTCAAGAAGAAGCACGAGCGCGATGCGGCCCTTAGCCGGGGACGCAGATCAGGTCGTAAGATTCTTGCTTGGGGCCTCCCGCTCCCCGATATGCCCGAGGCCGAATTTGATCTCCTGACGATTTCAAAGATTTCGAGGGTGCTAATAAGGGTAGCGCACGGAAGAAGAGGCGCGACAAGAGGGCCACCAGGGTTTAAGATTCTGCTCAAACGCACTTGCTACTACCAGCTCTGCTACCTTTATTCTCACTCCTTCCCCTCCCCCTTTTGAACTCTTCGCTTCTCTCCCTCGTGTTCAACCTTTTTTTTTCTCTCACATTTTCATTACATCATATTCCTTTCGGTTGGCGTTAAGGGGCAAGGCAATCTTTGCATGACGAACCATGGAAGGCGGGTACGGAAGCTTGGAAGGTATTGAGCAAAGGAGAATTCATTGGCAGGCATATTTCTAAGCTTGCTTTATTTGTACTTTCTAATTCTTTGGGCCACTGGCCAAGATACTGAGAAAGAATTGAGGTCGGAGAGGCCTCGACCTGTATGATATCATTTATTGAAAGAGAAGGGGGTGGAGTAAGCTTTTGCATGGTCTCCTCGACCGACAATGTACTTTTTCTCGTTCTCAAGCTCAAAGCATATACAATGATATGAGACTGAGGCCCTTGACGCTTTACGAGGCTGCGTAATACCTCCCCGACTCCAATGGGATGAGGGAGAGGAATGTCGGTGAATGGTGCTTCGACAGTTTCAACAAGTACATGTAATAGATGAAATGTGCACGTGCATTGGGTAGTTGGAATTCATGACCTCTAAACTTGTCAAATCATACAATATCTACTGTGGATGCCGTCGAGTGAGCACAAGCAAGAGCTCCAGACCAGCCTCAGAGTGAGCGTCTTCAATCCGACGTCGCGAAAGAGTGAGGATCCCCTGTCAGTTTCCCGGGATTGGCTGGTATTTGGGTGTGGAGCCAGTCGAGGTACTTGGCTGTTCGCTGTGTGGCCCACGTTGGGCAAAGTCACCAGCCAGTCGCGTCACTCCGCAAGGCTACCAACGCCAGCTTCCGCAAGCTTCAACCTCTTCGCTGGTTCTGTCCCACCATCCTCCACCACCTTCAATCCATCGATTCCGCCCAAAACCGACACCCCCATCGCTTCGAGCCCGGCTCGTCCTCGACAGACGTATATCTTTCTTCCAAGGCAGCACAAATAGCATCGCGAACCCATCCGAAGCATCGTTTCCCTTGCCGATTTTAATCCCTCCGAGCCGACGAAATCCTACCCATCGACCGCGGAACCTCCCATCATCACCAGGACCTCCAAAAACCCCCTTGCGGCCGGCGGCAGGTAACACTCCCTCCCCCTGCTTTCTTGAACTCGGCGCTTTCACTGCTTTGGCTACGCCGCACCCATCGTTCTTCTGCTGGTCGGAATCGGGTGGGCTCTACTCTCGCGCGAGGGTTTCGAGTTAGGGAAATCTTGTCGTGCTGACGCATCAGCGCAGAGGTCTTGGATTCTATTTTTCTTTCTTTTTCGCTTAGCTCGCCGCCTGGCTCATCGAGCGCTCATCGGGATCTCGTCGAAGTATCATACTCGACCCGGCCGCGCGAACCTATTCATGCATTCATCTACCTAAGGACGAGCCCGCGCACAACGAGCCGGGGTGCGCCATCGAGAGGGAGGCGCCGCGTCGACAGACCGTCGCGGGTCAAGGGACAACCCGAAAAGCGCTCTCCCCTTCCACGCGAGGGAGACGTTGGTTCCCTAGCCGCGAGCACCCTCTGCTTTTCCCTTGTCACTCCTCGACGCCCCTTCCTTTCTCCTTCTTCTTCCCTTTTTTCTCTTGCTTTTCCGCGCGGCATCAACGCGAAGCCAGCCTTGATAACGCTGGATCTTGCCTTCTCCCACTGGCGCTACTTACTCTCGACCATCAGACATCATGGCGCCGGCTATAGGAGGATTTCAGGACGTGAGCGATACCGAAGACCGCGACAAGGCGCACTTTAGCGATGAGGAACCGCCGCCGATCCGGGACGCTCCTCCGTCCAAATACTTCCTTATCCGACAGGACGTCGAGCTGGAGATCAACTTCCTAGAGCGCAGTGTCAAAGGCAAGACGGAGATTATGGTTCACGGACTTGATGGCTCAGCGCTCCAGGACATTGCCATAGACGCTCGACAGTGCACAATCGAGACGGACAAGATCACAGTACAAAAGTATCGCAACGGGCAACCCCTCGGCCCCCAGTCCCCGCACCCGCGACCTACGTCGATCCCTATCACCTCTTGACTACCCCAAGCTCTATCAATGGAACGCTAAGCACGCTGCCATCCGAAAGATACGCCTACGGCCCTTGACTAGAACTCGAGACACCGACCTACCGGCGGAAGACAGGAGGGCGGCGGGCTGCACACCAGTGGACGGATCGCTGCAAATCAAGATCAAGCCCGACGACACACCCGGGAACCAGCGCATCATTGTGCGGAAGCCTTCGGCAAACGGCGCCAACTTCTCACTAGATGGGCGGGCGGATGACGAAACGTCATACCTCGTCTCTATCCCCTTCGAGACCAAGGACATGCGAGACGGTTTACATTTCGTTGGGATCGAGCCTGGTGATATGCGGTATCCTCACGCGTACACGCGACATTCCTACGAACCCGGCACCGCTTGCTCCTTGTTCCCCTGTATCGACGACGCGGGCGCCTTGGGAGACTGGAAAATATCGATAAAATGCCCCAGGACTCTCGGCGACGTCCTCCATCAGCCCCTCGTGACCCAACGACAGGCCAACGGGAACGGTGGTGGCGACGACCAGTCTGCGGACGCCACGGCGGTGGAGCACGTGCTCAGCGAGGAAGACAAACTGCTGGAGATGACTGTCGTCTGCTCGGGTCTCCTTACCGACGAAATCATCGATCCCGCCGACGAGCGCAAAAGGTCATGACGTTTGAGGCCGAAAAGGCCACATCGGTCCATAACATAGGCTTTGCTGTTGGCCCTTTCGAACACGTTGACCTGTTCTCCGATTTCCGCACGGAAGAAGACGACGAGAAGCTCGGCGCGAGCGCCCTCAAAATCCACGGCTACTGCCTGCCCCGGCGAGCAGATTGGGTCAGGAATACCTGCGTCGCTCTCGCCACCGCTGCCGACTATTTATCCCTTACCTTTTCCGGTTACCCTTATGACAGCTACAAGCTCTGCTTCGTGGAGGATCTTCCCGAAGATACGCTACCCCTCTACTCCTTCTCCTTCATTTCCACCCGACTCCTGTATCCTGAGAGGATGATCGACACCGAAGTCGACGTCACCCGTATGCTGGTGCACAGCCTCGCCACCCAATGGAGCGGCATCTGCGTCCTGCCAAATACGCGTCGAGACCGCTGGGTAACGACGGGCATCGCTTATTACATGACGGATCTCTTCATGAAGAAGATTTGCGGCAACAACGAATACCGTTTCCGGATTAAAGTCGCCGCGGACAAGCTCGTCGAGATGGACGTGAACCGCCCTTCGCTCTACGATCTCGGCCAATACCTGCACGTGGGCGATTTCGAGAGGGAGTTTATGGATTTGAAGGCACCGCTGGTGCTCTTCATCCTCGACAAGCGCATCGTGAAGGCGACGAGCGGTTCGCACAACCTGACGCAGATCCTCTCGCGACTCTTTACGAAAGCCAAGATTGAGGGTGATAACGTCATCACAACCAAGAGTTTCCGCAAGCTATGCGAGAAGTCGTCCAAGTACAGCCTCGACACGTTTTGGGAGCAGTGGGTATTTGGATCCGGATGCCCACGCATCCAGGTCACGCATCGATTTAACAAGAAGCGACTGTGTGTCGAGATGACGATTAGCCAGGTGCAGAGCGACGAGGATGCCACGCGCAAGGAGATGCTGCCCTCTGACTTCCTGCGTGCCGTCAAGGAGAAGCAGTACGGAGTTGTTGCCGGACCGGTGCAGCCGCTCTTCACGGGCCCCATCACGATACGCATCCACGAGGCGGACGGGACCCCGTACGAGCACATTGTCGAGATCCGGGAGGACACGGCGCAGAAGCGCATGGTGAAGTTTGACATTCCCTACAACACCAAGTACAAGCGCCTCAAGAGGCGCCGCGAGAAGAAGCAGGCGAATGCGGGTGCCGCCGCCGAGGCAGCGGCGGCCGGCAATGACGAAGGCTTCCTCTACTGCTTGGGCGACACGATCAGCGCACCGGGTGACATGGAGCGGTTCCTAGCGGAGGAGTACAACGAGGCAACGGAGCGGCAGATGGACGCGGAGTCGTACGAGTGGCTGCGCGTCGACACCGACTTTGAGTGGCTCTGCTCCATGAAGGTCGGCATGGCGCACTACATGTTCGTGTCGCAGCTGCAGCAAGATAGGGACGTCGTTGCCCAGGAAGATACCCTCCTCTACATCCAGCGGGAGACGCCGCATCCGGTGGCCTCGACTGTGCTGGTCAGGACGCTGATGGACATCAAGTACTTTCACGGGATCCGCACGATGGCGGCCGAGCTCCTCCGAAGTCAATGTAATGAAGCCATGGGCATGCGCGGCATGACGCAGCTGGAGATGGCGTTCCGCGACCTGTTTTGCATCCCTGGGACGAACACACCCAAGCCCAACGACTTCTCGGATAAGCGGCAGTACTTGGTGCAGTGCGCCATCCCCGAGTCCCTATCCCAGGTGCGGGACAGAAATGGCAAATGCCCGCTCCATATCAAGCGCTTCATCCTAGACATCCTGCGGCTGAATAACAATAGCCAAAACGACTTCAACGATGACATGTACGTGGCGAAGCTCATTTCGTCCGTGGCCAACTCCCTCATCACAAACAGTGATGCCCAGCAGAGCATGGCGTTTACGTTTGACGAGGACGAGGCGGACACGGAACGGGAGGAGCAAAAGTTTAAAGAGGAGGCTCTGGAGGAGATTAACCGCCACCTTCGGAGGGACGAGTGGTCACATTCCCACCATAACGTCTGGACAGTTGCGGGCCTGGACGCGAAGCAGCGGCTCATGAAGGCAGGCGTGATCCCCGTCGATGGGCTGGACTTTGTCAAGTACCTCCAGGACGCGACGTACGACGGGGTGAGGATCAAGGCGTGGGCGGCGCTGGTGGATCTCGGATTCATGATTGAGCCCGTCATCTTTAGGCTCTTCATGTGTTGCCTCAGCACGGACAGGTCGCCGTATGTGCGAGACCGGCTGATGAAGATATTTTGCGAGGGCCTGGCGACCATTGCCTTTGGCGAGTACGCGAAGCCCAAGACGTCCGCGGGGCCCTCCGCCAACGGAGCGGCGGCGATTAAGAGCGACCCGGACCTGGACATGGCGGACGCCGACGACGACGGGCTCGTGGTAGTTAATAACGAAGCTACAGAGCGCGCTCACAAGGCGCAGCAGGAGCTCGCGAGGCGCAAGAGGGACCTGGACCTCGCGCTCGGCGCGCTCAAGAAGGAGATGGAGTCGACGTACGTGGACGTGGAGAGGGAGCTGCAGCGGGCCGTGTGGAAAGCGATAGACTCGCCGGCCATGGGCCGCACCGAGAGGGTCACCCTGCTCGAGCTGTGCGCGACCATGTTTGACGAAGCGGATCGCTGGATCATTGCGTTGCAGTATCCGAAGCGGTGGAAGGTTTCTCGTGGCCCTCACCATCGCGCTTACCCTGCAAGCGTACGTTTTGCCCTTGTTTGGTTTCTATCAAAAAACTTTTTTCGGTTCGTTGCTAACCCTTGTGAATCCCCGTTTAGTTAAAGGTCACCTTCAAATCCTACTATCGCACCAAGCCGGTGCACTACGAGCCCATCCCGGCGGTAGTACCAGCGGCGCCTGCGCCCGCGCCCGCGCCCGCCGAGCCGAAGAGACCACTCATCCTTGCGCGCTCGTCGTCCATCAAGGTCAGCCGCCCGTCCATCTCGGCAACGTCCGGGGCGGCGCCCACGCGGCAGCCACCCCTAGCAGCGAGCGGCCCACTATTTCCGTCACGGTGCCAGGCCACGCGGACTCCATCGTGGCATCCCCGCTTCGGCAGCGGCGGCAGCGTCGGCGGTGGCGGCCACGCCTAAGCCACAAATTGAGCGCAAGAACACGCTGTCCATCTCGACCACGTCGTCGAACAAGTCGGCCAAGCGGCCCCGCGATAAGCTTCAAGAGGGCCAGCTCGCGGGGAGCCCGGCGCCCAAGAAGGCCAAGATTGACGGCAAGGTTGCTCTCAAGAACGAGAAGACGCCCAAGGGCGACAAGTCGTCCAAGTCGGGAGCTGCGGTGGCGGCGACGCCCGCGGCTGCCGCTACCGCGTCGACAACGACACCGAGAATGGGCACGCCCTCGAAGCGGTCGCGCATCGTCACGCTCAGGCACCCGCGCTCCGCGAGGTGCTCAAAAGGTGCTGCTCAAGCAGAGCCTCAAGCTCGGCTCGTCATCCTCGTCGTCGAGCAAGGCCGCGGGCAGCTCCTCCTCGTCTCCGTCCAAGGCGTCGATCCAGGCCAAATCGGCGAGGAAACCCCTGCCCATGGGGCCGGCTGGATCGTTTTGCCAGCCGCCACGAACGGCGGGGAAGGGTTCCGTTGCCCGGGAGCAAGGCCGCGGGGTCATCGCCTGCCCCTGCGGCGGCGGCGGCGGCAGCTGCGCCGCCACGGCCAAAGATTATGCTCAAGTTGAAGCGTCCGGATCCTCCGTCGTGAGCGGCTCGATGAGATGTAGCCTAGTCTACTGCACAGGTGCGGAGTTGGACAAGAGCAATCTAGGAAGATGGGACGGAATCAATGCTACCCTCCCACTTGCTTTGTTTCTTCTGTTCTCTTCGCACTCTATCTTTATTCTTTTGTTTCTTTGTTTTTTCCCAAAAACTCTCTGGTTTACTTGAAAACTTTGCTTCTTTTCCGTTTCTGTTCTCCACGGTATGGTCAAGCATAAGGGGGTTCATGACCGCGCGGCGTTGGTACAGCTGACCTTTGGAGGCAACCCTCGTTTCTTTTTCTTTTTCTTTTTCTTCTCTTGCGTTCTTCTTTTGTTTCTACGAGTCGGGGCTTTTGCCTGCATTTTTTCCCTTATTCCTCCCTCTCCGGACGGCTTCGTCGTCCTTTATTACCCTTTCTTCCTTTTAGTCTCACTTATCTGGTTTTACACCACTTCCTTATGTAAAGCGGCTACTGAAAGCCGCAGTTTCGCCCTTTTTTTCTTTCGTCACGGTTTACTGAGGAAAGGATGGGCTGAAAACAAGAAAACTATCAACAATGATGCACATTATTACCAAAGAAGAGGAAGAAGATTTGGTCTCTGTTTCTATCTTTCTTTTCCCCAAATGCGGCGGGGTTTCGCCCGGAGAGAGAGAGAGCGAAAGCGGTTAAGGATACAGAGAGAGAGGGAGAGGGAAAAGGGATCCGAATCGCCCTTTTCTTATCTCCGTTTTCCTATCTTTCTGCTTCAAAGTGTATGTTAGACGAGCAAATAACTTTTTTTCCCCAACTTTCCTCTTAGTCACATTGTTTGCCTAAACGGAGCGCGGGATAGCTAGCTGCGCTCTTAATACATGGTTTCTTAGAGATACAGACGAGACGTGCATATCTCGAGGTGATGTCCGTAACGCAAGATGCATACCGTACCCTTTTTCTTGCAGTTTTAGTCTCTTCTCCTTTGAAGAGAGATTTCGGCATAGACGTCCATGAGGGTTCTCCCGTCTTCCAAGAGGGACGCTGACACTAGCGTTTTATGCACAAGATTTTCATAGCATACAGTAAATATCAAGTCTCGAATCACATAGCAAAGCACAGTAAGTGGTAGTTGACGAAGAAAAGAAGGGCTGTTTTACGTCGAGGATGCGGGTAAAAGATGAAACAAACAGCGAAAAAGCCCCGAGTCTATTATATACAGCCATCATTACATGTACGTAAAGAAATGGAGGGGCCATGGTTTTGTCCAGGTCCTCATGGGACCCTTTTTGGTATTATACATGATGGTTCTACAAAAACCCTTTCTTCTTCTTCGTCCTTTCTCTCCTCATTTTCCATCCATTTCTCTGTTTCTCTCTTTTGCCTGTCTCGGTTCCCCGAGCCTCAAGGGTGGGGTAAACTCAGAAACATGGTCTGGAGATGAGAAGGGACGGAAAACGGTTCGAGAAGCAAATGAACATGCTAGATTACCCGAGACCCAACAGGAAAAAGAAAAATAGAAAACAAGAGAGGGATACAAACGTAAACTAGAGAAATGAGAGTAGAGCCAAAGCAGAGACACACAAGGGAAATAACAAGGTCAAAATGAGGGAAAGAGAGACAAAGAGAGATCTAAGCCATGTAAGATAGTGAAAGAGAGAGTGTGAGAGAGAGAGTCATGTCCTAGGCGAGGCGCCGAAAAGGTAGAGAGTGGTTTTGTTGAGGGGAAGATGCCGCTATGATTAGGTAGAAAAAGACAAAGGTTCGAGGAGAAAGGAGAGAGAGCAGATGTATATGCATAGGAAGCCATTAGATAAGAGAGAGAGAATAGGGAGAGGGCTGGGAAAAGGCAAGGGAGGAGAAAGGATCCTCAACAGGAGAAAAAGAGGGACATGCCAGCGCAAGGCTCGTTTCTCCTTTCCCCTCCGTTTTTTCCCTTTTCAACCCCTCCGGTTGAGCACCACCCACAAGAGGACAGCCACCCATCCCACCCTCCACGCCATGGCCGCAAACTCGACGAGCACGACCTTGGGCTCAATGGTCCGCCGACGACCCGACGCGGCGCGCCAGAGGCTGCGGGACTTGCCTCCGTCGTAAAAATCGTCGTCGATGCGGATGCGGAGCTGCTTGGGCCCCCGGTGCCGCCCCAGCCCCAGCGGGTCGAAGACGCGGCGGAAGGGTTGGGCTGGCCGGCACCCTTGCGCTTCGACTTCCAGGAGGACGAGGTACCGCTAGTGCTGGTGGTGGTTGTGGAGGGTAAAGAAGAGGCGGCCGCGTGGGAGTTGGTGCGGGGACGGGAGGCGGTGAGAGAGGAGACGCGACTAGGGTAGGCGTTGCCGTTGCGGTGGTTGGAGTGGTGGTGGGGGTCGTCATCGTCGCTCTTCTCCTTGGTCTTGTAAAGGGGCAGGTAGGAGGCTGTCCCGGAAGACGAGTGGGAGGCGAATCCGGGTCCGCCGGCGCCGGGGGCGGCGGGATTCAGGGAGTGGGCGAAAGCAGGGAGCTCGAGGAAGGAGACGAAGAAGGCGCGGATGCCGATGAGGGAGAGGGAGACGAGGCAGCAGAATACGTAGCCGACGTAGGTGCGGAACTGGTTGGGGAGGAGGCACAGGTGGGTTTGCATGGTGGGCTCGCCGGCGGGGCCGAGGAGCGGCCGGTTTCGTCGACGGGGTTCCACATGCTCACCATGACGAAGCCCGGGGTGGGTACGCCCATGGCCATGCTAATGCTCTTGACCGTGATCTCAACCGCCCCATTCTTGGCCGCCGAGTGCGTGAGCTCGCAGTAGTCGTGGTCGTCGCCCGAGAAGACGCGCTGCACGTTGCCCACGCTCTCGATGAGCTGGACCGAGTCCTCCTCGGTGAGCACGTTCTGGTACTGGTACCCCGCCGTCACCGAGATGGCGTTGCGGTGGTCGACCACGCGGCCGACGGCGTCGGTCGGCGGGGCTTGCTCGGGGGCCAGTGCTCTCTCTGGGGCCCGCAGGGGTGCCGGGGTCGCGGTACAGCGGAACGTGGGTGAGCAGAACGGTGGGGAAGTCGGCGACCTGGGGCCGGTTAGCATCGTCGTCGCCGTCCACCAAGTCTTCGAGGGTCAGCTTGTCGGCGTCGACGACGGCGTGCTTCATCTGGGCCTCTACTTTATCGCCGCGCAGGAAGCGCAGCTCGTTCCGCACGGCCTTCTCCTTGAGGCCCTTGACATCCTTGAGGAACTGCGTGGCGGGGCCGTAGATGTGCTCCAGGTTCTCGGTGGCAGCCTGCTGCGAGGTGCCGGCGCTCAGGGAAACGGTGTCCACAGAGACAATGGTATGATTGCCCACGATGTCAACGCGGTTGGACTCGCCGAAAAAGGCGCTGAAGCGGTCGCGCACAGGTACCTTGATCATGGAGCCGAAGCCCAGGTCGTGGTTTCCGGGCAAGCCGGCCACCAACTTCCTGCCGGGCTTAGGGCCGGTGCCCGCGCCACCGTGGGAGAGGTGGGAGACGCCGCCGTCATGATAAGGCTTGAAAAAATGTCGCTAAAACGTTGATATTCCTGCAGCCAATAATCCTCGCCGTATTTTTCCTTCCACACCTTGGCATGCTCCCTCTCATTTTTCGGGTACGGTCGGGCCCATTTGGCGTCGCTAAAGTCGCCGCTGGCCGTCTTCCACTCGCGGCCGCCGTCAAAGAGGTCGCCGAGGAAGAAGAGGGAGTCAGGCCGCAGCTGGCCCTGGAGCTCGTTATAGGATCGGCGGACGTAGTTGTCGGTCACCATAATGGTCAAGTCGGTGAGGGGCCAGGGGCGGCCAGGATAGGACTTGGGGTCAGTGAGTTGGGGATCGGCGACAAAAATGAGATGATGAGGTTTCGCATCCTTGGGCTAGAATGATTTGGTTTTACTTTGGTCAGCTTCGAGATCTCCTAGCTTAAAGCCCCCTTTCTTTTTTTTTCCCCCTTCGCTCGTCCGTGGATGTGAAGGGAAGCGCAACCAAAGCAGAGCAGAGAGGAGCGGCGTCAAAGGGGATTCCAGCGGAAAGCATACATACCCAGTTTTCCCACTTGTTCCATTTGCACTGCTCTACCTTCCAATGAAAGATCCACCTCTCGCCCCGTAGCAGCACGAACACCCATAGCAGCAGGACAAAGTGTGGGAAGCTCAGCAGTCGCCGCCTCGTCAGGTTCCTTCGAAGATGCCACGCGACTCTCGAAACAAAGTTGACGGCCATCTTGGCGCCGGGGCCGCGGGAGTAGGCGAAGAGGGAGGTCGCGGCCCCGGAGGCTATGCGCTGGACGGAGCGGAGGCCATCAGCGCACGAGGGAGGGCCGCCGTCGTCAAAGGGGTTGCGGCGGGCCTTGATGCCGTGGTAGGGGTTCGACGCCATGGCGGGAGATGCGGCCGGAGGACCACGGGAATGTGGTTGTCGCTGCGAGAAAGAGAGAGAGAGAGACGCGGAGGGAAGGAGGGAGAGCTTGAGAGCGGGACTCTCCTCCTATTCCCCTTGGGTGAGAAGGGGCAGTTCCGCCGAGGGGGTGTGTGTTAATCGTCAGAGCCCATGTGCGAAGGGGCGGCGAGAGAGAGAGAGAGAGAGAGAGAGGGTGGGGGAGGGAGGGGGAAAGGGGCGAGCAAGCCTCGGAGTCGGAAATGGAGAATCGGGTGTCGAGGTTGTGCTGAAGGAGGTTGTCGTGGGCGTTGGATTTCCGCGTGTTCCCGGGCTGGAGTTCGTCGGGTCTGGAGCTGACAGTCGAGCGAGGTTGGGGATGCAAGAGGCCAAAATGCTGCTTTGATGGCCTCGATGGTTTTGGTGTTCTCCTTCCCCATTCAACCGTGCAGAAGGAGGAAAGTACGGGACGTGCGGTGCGGTACGTACAGGACAGTACGTACAGTACGTACAGTACGTACCCCTTCTGGCTCGACGAGTGTTGCCTCTTTCGCAGCCTGGACAAGTGAGAAATTGAACTTGGAGTAAGCCCGCTTCGTCGGATAAAAGCGTTGCAGTGCGGACCAGATTTGACCACGTGTAGGTAAATTTAATTCCAGTTTAGAAGGAATAGGTTTTTATTTTCTATGAGTTGCAAATCTTTTCTTTGATCTCTCCTCCCCTTTTCCCAGAAGTCCCTGAGAATCAGACAAGGAATAGAAGGCAACAAGAATCCATCTCTTTCGTGATTACAAAAAAGAAAGAAAAAAAAAAGGCTGGGCATGGATAGATCGGATCATTGGGTGCATTGAATGCATTTAGTGATCAATTTGATCGATTGGCCAGCCATCGACCAGCAAACCCCTGCGGCTACGTCTGGCAGCCACGGCGCATTTCCTAACAAGTCCCCTTTTAACACTGTCTTGGAAGAAGAAAAAGGCAACCGCGGGTTCGGATTTTAGCTTGTGGAGATGGGTGAAGATTGGACGAGATGAGACCTGGCCACTCATTGATTCATCCAATTGATCATTCCCTCTTTGTCTGGCTTTAAATTTGCGGCCAAATAGTTTACTTGTACTGGGTCCTCACCTCACCACACTGGCAGCTACCATCTTTGATCGGAGGGTGAACTGACGACGCCATGTCAGCTAGCCTTCTATCTAATCCTATTTTCTTCGAAAACTAGGCCAAAACAAAAGCGGCTCCTGCAGCAGCGCGTCATAAAAAGGGGTTCTAGGATCTAGTATCATTAGCTTGGACGAGGCTTGACGCCTCTCCCCTTATCCCGAACCCTTAGGGTTAGGGTTCTTCAACATGCAAATGTGATCGTCCAAGAGACAGAGGGAGACTTTCGTTATATAAAGAACTGGGCGGCCAGTCAAAAACTACACAGTGATGATAGGGTCGCACAGCGCATAATCGAAATGGGTGCCTCGAACTTTTCTACGCCAATGTATAGATAGATATCTAGGCGCCAACATAATCAAACTTTGAGGCGAGGCTTGTTAGAGCGTATCAACGTCGCAGCTAGTCTTCTGGGAAAAAATGATAGAGAAGCCTTTCTCGCTTACTGGATAGATCCATGGATAGGAAGGAAACGATGGCGCTTCAATTAGGCAAAGTTCGACAAGCCTAGATCCGGAAACCGGGCGGAGGGGGAGCAGCCACCCCGGTCCCGGGCCTCGAAAGATGATTGTATCGGCCCCGGGCCGGGCGCATCGCCTTACCTAAGACCCGTCTATTACCGGCCTTCAGCGGTAGTAGCGGTTGTTCGAACGGTGGCTTTCGTGATAACAAACGGCGATGGGCTAGAAGTCCAATAAGTACGGATAGCCCCGGTCACTGTGGTCGCTAGCGTCGTTGGACGAATTGTAGAGTTAGTTCAAGCCCACCGAGCAGAGCACAAAGATACGACGTGATGATGGGATGATCCGAAAAGGAATCAATGAGGATGAACTGGTCTCCTAGAACAGGGATTTCAGGGGGATTTTAATGGGGCGTCAAACAAGGTTTTCAAGTGCAGTGGAACAGAAAAATTCTCGAAGAAAAACAGAACAAAGCCTCTGGTGAAGCAATCGGGCTTGGTGTGCCCCAAACCTCCCAAGCCTCCGGCAATCCCGTGCCGCGACTCCCGGCCGGGCTCTCATGGCAGGTGTGCAAGGTGAGGTGTGCAGTGCAGCATTCCTGAGCAGCCAATGAAATAATCCAATTGATCCTAGCTCATGTTCTCAGGATGTGCAGCCAGGGGACGAAATCTGGGGATAGATAGAAGTGGCCGAAAGCAAACACCAAAGGGGTGTCTCTCCGAAGCTTCCCTTGTTCTGAAACAAAGCCAATTCCACCAGTTCGCCACCAAAGTTGATGGCCCTGGACATTGTCTTGATTGTCTATTGTCCTCGTGCTGGGAAGAGAAAAACAAAAGGTATCTTCAACTCGCCCCCAAAAACCCGCACACAGGGGTTCGCAGGAAAGAGCCATTCGTTGGCGTGGTAGAGGGGACCGTGTGTAACCACTGAAAGTGACGTCTTCCTTCCCTGGCTTTCCCCGATCCTATCCCATCCGGTCCATCCTGCCTGCCGTTTTTTTTTTCGCGCAGACCCAATTTTAAGAAACCGCCATCTCCATCCATTTCCCTCGACCCTCCCCCTTTTGGCTGGACTGGACTGTCTCAATTCTTCTCTTCTTCACTTTCCTTTCTTTCTTTTTTCTTGTTCTTTCTTTTTCATCCACTCCTTCTTTTTCCATTCCTCCCGGGTCACGCCCTGACCTTCTTCCCCCAGTATCGAGACGCTATTTCCCACCCCGCGTCGTCCCGAGAACCCGCGTCCAGCCTATTCCGCGAGGCGCTGCCGCTTCGGCATAGAAGGGTCGAAAAGAAACCCTCCCTCCTCTACATAACTACGACGCGGCCGCGCCCAGCAACCATGTTCCCCTCCGTCCTCCTCGCCGGCCTCCTCCCGGCCCTCGCGGCCCACGCCCTCCCCAATAATTTCAACCCGCCCGCGGCACGATCCCCCTTGGCACCACTCCCTCGCCGCCCTCGCCGCCCGCCAAGCCCCCGCCACCGCCGTCTGGGTCTCCGTCGACACCAGCGGCACCCCGTCACGACCGTCACTCCCCACGAGACCACCATTGACGGCACCCCTACCCTTGCCGACGCCGCGCCCAACGAGGTCACGGGCACCGTCTTCACCTTGACCGAAAACATCGCCCTCACCACCAGCACCGGTTCTCGAATCCCCGCTCCCGCGAATCCCACAGGCAAGACCCCGAGGGCGCCTTTGCTAGGTGCTTCAAGGACGAGGATGAAGAGTTTGCCCCGTTTTGCGACCCTTCGTCTGAGTCGGAGCTCTACGTCGACCGCACATACTACAGTAAGTACCTTGTCCATGCTCTTTTTTTCGATGTATGCCGTTTTCCACCTCTGCCTCCCCTACCTCCCCTCTCGTCATCTACTACTACACACGAATGAGGTCAATGAGCTAACCTCGCTCTCGCAACAAAGTCACCTGGAACCCCGACTTCTTCAACGACACCCTTGTCAAGAGCAACGGCACCGCTTCGGAGTGGCGCATCCGCCTCCGCGCCGATCGCGTCGACGCCAACAACGGCTCCATTGGTGCCAACGCCTTCGAAACGGCCGACTCATACCCTGCCGCATGGGGCGTCTACCCCTGGAAGGTGTCCTCCTCCGTGCTAGAGTCTAAGCAGCCCACCAACGTGTCCCTCCTCCTCCTCGCTCACCGCCAAGGCCAAGCCGAGACCGTGGAACACCGCGGCCCTACCGTTTTCGTCACCTACGCCCCCGCCTTCCAGACCCAGTCCCCACGCCTCCCCAAGAAGGGTGCTGAGCTCTACATCGCCCTTCCCTCCGTCGCCGCCTTCATCCTCATCGTCGTCTTCGGCACCTGCCTCTGGAATCGCAAGACCCGCAAGCTTAATCTCGGAAACGTCATGAGCCGCTCCCGCCACGGCTACGGTGTCGGCAAGGCTCGTGCCAAGAGGCTCGCGGGTAACGTTCGTAAGAGCATGCGTCGCGGTGGCGACGAACGCCGCGTTATGCTCGACGAGTGGGAGCTCCCCGATCGTGACGCTGGCCTCGGCCTCGGCCCCGAGGACCGCTACAAGGACGCCCCCAATGCCAAGGACTACCATGACGTCCCGGGCAGGAGGGACAGTGATGTCCTTGGCAGTCTCGCCGGTACCCCCGTCACCGACTCCTTCCCCCGCGGCGGGTCCAACCCTTCTGACGGCCCTGGCCGCAACGTCTTCAGGGACGAGCTCGAGCGCCAGGACAAGGATAGGCGCGACTACCATAAACGCTTATAAGAGAAGAAGGGAGGAGAGTTGATCAATTAATCCAACTCCCCGGCAGCTGAGGATGTACCAATATTCTTCTACGTCGCTTCTTGCGTCTATCCCCGTTTCCCATGCCAGTGCAGAAGGGCGGGGGTGGGCGCTGTTGTAACACCATGGCGAAATGGGGGCGGGACTTTTTGTTTTATTCTTCCTCGCCCGGTTGGATAGTTTTTTGTTTGTCCAAAAAGAAAATTACAGGGACGCATGTCTTTGGTCCAGGGAGAGGTGCATGTTTCCATTTTTACGTCTTGTCTACCCCCTTCTACCATTCTGTATAAACAAGGTCAAACCGAGGCTTGGTGTTTTGTTTCTTTTCCTCTTGGGCGGCAAAGGGGGATCGGGAGTCTGAATCGGCCAATCTGGCCAAAAAGCGCGGCATGGCAAAGAGTTCAAGAAGAGTTCAAGATGGATGCCAGCGCTTGGAGGGGATCTGGTTACTGCTATAAAGCTAGGTATAATGTTCTATATAGCGCACTCTAACGAAATTTATGACGCTTTTCTTGCAACAGCGGATCTGGTGACGGTCAGGACCAGTCCTTTTCCCCCAGACTAGTCAGTACCATTTGCGTGCCATGCTGAAACCAAGAAGAGGGAGGAATAGGGATACAAAGGGAAAAGGCGAGAGAAAAAAGGTGAGGGAGAGGGTAGATGAGGGGCGGAAAACAATACAGAGATATACTTTAAAGGAAGGCCGGACAAGCAGTTTAGAAGGAACCCCCAGAAAGAGGAGAAAGGGTAGTAGGGGGATGATGCCCGCGCGCCACCTCCCAACGTTTATCGAGTTTCAAGAAAAAAAGAATCTCTCTTGAAAATCAATTTCAGGTCCACGACAAGACCCACTCGGCGCTCCACGCGCCGCCGGCCGTGTACGCCGAGAGGTCGACCTTGAGGGCGCCAACGTCTTGGACAAACTCCCATCCGCTCGTCAGGGCGCGCCCGTTGAGGGATACGCTGGAGATGGGGGTGACGCCGAGGACGGTGACTTGCTTGAGGCGGTTCGTGTCTCTGTACGAGCCGTGGGGCTTGGCTGTCAGAGATGATTGTTTTACCGAAAACTAAGAGCGAGAGGGCACACGCCATGTTAGAGTCATTTAGATAGAGAGGATGGCGGAACACAATGGGGAAAGGGCTAGGGATGTTTAAATTCGACTAGCAAGAACTCACATCAACCGTCAAAGTCTCACTCTGTATGATGCTCTCGCCATCGTCAATGTACAGCTCGCCTTGCGCTGAGCCAGCCCCGTCGAGGGCGACGATGAGCTCCCACGCACCCTGCCGGCTTTCCCGTGTGGTCATGCCTGGTTCCTGGAGCGCGACGACGTGCCCGCCGCGAACGTGCACGGGAATGTGCTCGACGGGCGCCGAGAGCGTGACGTTTTCGCCGCGCGAAGCCTGCACCTTGTTCAGCGTGTACCAATCGTACCAGACCGTGCCGCTGCCGGAGCCGGGGAAGACGCCGTCGACCGTCGTGGCGCCCTTGACCAGCACGGGCGTGACGAGGATGGCGGGGCCGACCAGGAACTGTCTGTCGGCGTCGGCGAGCCACGGCTCCTCGGGGAACTCCCACGCCAACGCCCGGAGCACCGTGTCTCCGCGCTCGTGTGCCCGCTGCATGAGCGTGTAAAAGTAAGGAAGGAGCGCGTACCGGACCTTGATGGCTCGGCGGGATGCCTCGGCCACCACGTCCCAGATGTACGGCTCCTGGGACGGCTTCTCTACTTCATTGTGGTTCCGGTAAAAGGGGAAGAAGGCCGCCAGCTCCATCCAGCGGGCGCACTGCTCGGCGTCGCTCTCAAGCTGAAGCCGCAAGCGTCGATGCCAAACATGGGGAACCCAAAGATGGAAAACGAAAGCGCCTGCGCAATGGAAAATGATAGATAGGCCCAAAGGGAGTAATTATCGCCACCCCAGTGACCGGTCCACTTGCCCGAGCCTGCAAACGTGGACCGCCCGATGATGAAGGGTCGTTTGTCCGGCTGGATGGTCCTCAGGGCGGTGTATGTAGCGTTGAGGATCTGGTGGCCAAAGAGATTATGGACGTCGTACTCGAGAACGCCGCCGTGGTGCACCGCCTCCGGCGCGACCGCTTTGATGGAAATATGGCCGTGGACATTGTTAATCATGTAAGGCGGTCGGTTGACGTTGCGATGGTGCGGGCCAGTAACGCGGTGCCTCATGCGTTCCTCTTCGGCCATTTGGAGCGCCCGCTCCGGAGTACCGGTGAGGAAGTGGGGTGGTGAATCGGGCCCGCCTAGGCGATCTGATCCGCAGCTGCCCTCGCAAAAGGAGGATACCTCGGACATATCAATCCAGATGCCGTCAAACTTCACATGCTGGTACCATCGGCTAAGCTCGTCCGTCCACCATTCAAACGTTTTGCTGTCGTTCAGGACCGCGCCAATCCAATCAGGGAAAACTAGTGGTTTGCGCTCAGGATTAGTTGATCTGCAACGATGCGCAAGCTTTGGCATACAGCTGCCATTAGCAGAGCATCAACTCACCGGTATAGCCGGGCCAGACCTGGCCAATATACAGAGATCCGTCAGGATTCATCATGAATGCATCAGCCTCCAGGCCCCGGTCAAAGGTGTCGTAGTTGTCATCTGGGTTTCCGGGATCTGGAGCGTAGATTGCCGAGTCGACAATGGGAACAAAGTGTTGCCCGTTTTCGTGAATACGGTCCAGAAATTGGGCACCCTCTTCGTAGCTCCAAGTCGCTTGGTCATTCTCAAAATTCCGATATAGGTTCATATAATCGATGTCGGCTAGCACAAGGAAGAGATAGGCGCGGAGAAAGGTCAGATCAACATTCTCATGATATAGAGCATATCTCACTTACCCCATATGGTCTCGAGAGGGATATTGGCCTTGGCCATCTCGTCAACCACTTTTGGAGCTCCTGCCATCCCGAGTAACCCCAGCGGCATTGGTGGAACCCTAGTGACCAGTACTGCTGCATAGCCGGTAACCCGATAGTGCTCGTCTGATACTGCCGTATGACGTCTTTGGCCGTCGGGCCAGAGTAGAAGTAGAAATCGAGAGTCCCGCCTAGGCCGCGCCAGACGAGCTTCTCGTCCCGGAGAAGTACCTCAAGAGGGTGCGCATTCCTTAGGAAAACTCCGTGAGTGTACGAAGCGTATTTCTCATTGGTATCTTTCGCATCCCGCGTATACATCTGTTTACCGGTCTCTGGGTCCACTTTGTAGTATCTCGTATCCAGATATACCGGGTGGGAACCATAGATGTTTTCGTCAATCGGGTCGCCCGCATCAGCTGCGAATATCGTCCCTACAAGAAGGTTAGTTGTTGTGAATAAAGCGGTACGCGTGTTTTATTCCCTTCAGCGAGAGGTACATACTTGTGAGGTTATTTCCGAGCCTGAAGCTGTGCATAACCTCTCCAAGGCCATACAGATTGTAATCCTCTGGCATGCGGGACGTAATCTCGAAGAACTGGTCTTCAAATACTATATTGGACCCGACCGTTGTAAACAGCGTTTCTCCAGTGGACGTCCTCTGTACCGTAAACGCAAAGGCATCACCCTCTTCGAGGATGAACTGCAGGTCTCTCTCCTTGCCTTCGAAGTCATCTTCGACCTTGGGCTTCGGGATCAAAACTTCCGGGAGAATGTACCAGGACTCATTACGAGGGCTGAGGAAGCGAGGCAATATCTCGACATGCAGTCGATCTTTTGCTTGGTGTTCGACGAGCAGGGTTAGCTCCCACACATCGTTGCCGTACACATTGCATTCGCGTCCTCCTAGATCCAGGTCTGCCGTCAAGCCATATCTCGAGGTTTTGATGTTCGAAATCTTGTAGCCTTTGCAAGCGGTCTGCGGGTCAGTGGCCTTAGGGTCAAGTGCGGTCGACGCCCAGTCGTCTAGCCGGTCCTTGTTTATAGAATTCAAGGGCACTTCCACCCCGGACGGAGTGATGAAAGTCGCCTGCGTGATGGCGCCGCAAAACCGGCCAGAGTGACAATTATGGTGTCCGATAGAGGTATACAGCAGGTAGGAAGCGGCAACGACCACGATCGAGGGCCCAACGAAGCGATAGGACGGTCTCTGTTTACGAGTCAAGTAAGATGCTAGATAAAATGATACCACCACCGCCGTCACACTCATTACTCCTAAAGAAATCAAGGATGTTGTGCAGCGAGCACAGTGGTATGAATACCAAAGTCCATGGCTAACAGAGTTGACCCAGTCGACGACCAAGGCCCAGGGATTTGGGGGCCATTAGCCGTATCCATTTCTCTCGCGGGGTCGTGTCTTTAGTCGTGAAATATCTGTTCGGTCCTTGCATAAAAGAGGGAGGCAAAAAGAGAAAAAGAGGATCCAGGATGGAACGTGATAGATGGCAAATGCGAAAGGGCAGCCAAGGGCGAGGCAAGGAAATGCGAGAGGGGAACCAAAGACGCAGGTGCGAGGGTCTTATAACTTGGATTGACCGAATTTAGGTCTCCGCCGACGTTGCGGTTGTGACAGGCCCCATAAGTCCCGGAGCTTGGCTAGCTTGCAAGCGGGCCAGGACATTGATCATGAAGTGCCTCGACTAAGCGCACAGAAACAGGGCGTGTGACATCACCCTGGCTTAATAGGGGTCCAGCCCCCCAACCCATCGAAGATCAACGCTCTGCCTTCGTGAAAAGATATCTTGATCTCGTTTGGTGCTAAACTCTGGTTCCTTCGCCACAGCCTTGAACTTTCAAGCATTCGAGAAAAAGGGTGCTCTGCTCGTAGAAGCCGAGGAGAAAACGAAATGCTATCCTTTTAAAGAGTGGGCGGCGTTTAGTGGCGCTCAGAAGGCCCAATCTCGACTGCGGATAGTAGACGATCAACAGTCTTTGAGAAAACAAACTTTGGAGCGGTGAAAGCAATATTTACTAGAGTGCACGCACGAGCAAAAGCAATGGATCCCGCAGATCAATCGCGGGGCAACAATGGGGATCAATAGTCAAAGCCATCTACATGTAGTTGACGATGGATTCGGGATGCATGGATGCATGTAGGACTAGAGTGGATGGTGCCACTCTGATCATTGCACCTATTGCACCCATCGAGATGGTGTGTGGTGTGTAGTTGTGCTCCCAGCGGAGTTCGGCCAGCGGAGTTCATCATAGCAATCATGATTACGTATCTGAGATGCTTTATGTTGGCAGCAGCGATGAGGGTGTGTGTGTCGTTGCTTTCCTTCCCAGAAACCCGTTTTACAGTGCGGGGCAGGAGCGTTCCGTGTTTGCCGGACCCGAAGGAATAGACGAATATTTGACTCGGCAAGGCACTGGCAGGCAACGGGGTGCAGGTTTGGGGGTGTAAGATGAAAGGTGCCGAGTAACGAGCTTCTAAGGGACCCCGTTTCCCGAGTCTTTGAGCAGAGAACAAACCTTCTTGCTTGAAGATGGCTTGAGAGCGGAGAGGAAGCTTGCGTGTACCAGTCACTAGATGGGCCAATTCCGTGAAGAGGAAGAAGAACTAGCAAGGAAGCAAACACGAAAAAGAAATATATAGGTAGCCATAGTCAACTATAGACAATTCACACCTCCGAACTATACCACGATAAGATAAGAGCTTCTCCTTGTATAGCCCCAACCTAGGTATTAGCCAAAGCTTGAAAAGCGAGAACCATGAGGAAGAGACCTAACAATATCAAAGTCGAGTGCGAGAAAAGTCCAAGACGGAAGTTGCCGCGCACGGTCCAGGCCAGTCGAAGGCAGGTGCCCCGCACCAATCCTTGCCCCACTGCCCCCACTGCACTCGCCGCCTTTGCAGGGACCTTGCGCCCATCGGTCAAGAATAAAAAAATTCTGGGTCGACGAAATTTTTTTCTCTCCTTGCCTTCTTCCTTCCTACGGGAAGAAGGTGTATATCGAACCACAAGTGTACTTTACCGTTTTACTTGGAAATCGAGGGAAAAGCTCGTCAATCCATTCCTCTTTTCTACCGATTCGTCGATTTACATCCTTCAACCTCATTTCAATTGCAAATCCAACTCTAGTTGGGCCTTGTTTGCACTCCGACCGCCCCTCCTGCCTCTTGTTGTCGCCCCCTCACCGACAAAACTTTTCCTCCCCTCCCCAAAGCTACAATGGCTGCTCTCTACGGCGAAGGCAAGCTCCGCGATTTCAAGAATGCGGTCGGCGACCTCAAGGAATTCGAGCGCCTCGATGGCCTTCACATCGAGGAGCTGATGGACACCAAGAAGCACGGTGGCCTCACTTACAATGATTTCCTCTTGCTCCCTGGCTACATTGGCTTCCCCGCCTCCGAGGTCGCCCTTGATTCTCCCATCACAAAGCGCATCACCCTCAAGACCCCCTTTGTCTCTTCCCCCATGGACACTGTCACCGAGCACGAGATGGCTATCCACATGGCCCTCCAGGGTGGCCTCGGTGTTATTCACCACAACTGTTCCGCCGAGGCGCAGGCCGACATGGTCCGTAAGGTGAAGCGCTATGAAAACGGCTTCATTCTTGATCCCGTCGTCATCAAGCGCACCACCACTGTGGGCGAAGCCATCGACCTCAAGGAGAAGTGGGGTTTCGGTGGTTTCCCTGTCACTGGTAAGATCCTCTCTCCCTCGTTGGTGTCTTGTTTCTTTTCCAACGCCTGTCTCGGTCTCGCCCTTGGTTGCCCCGCTGCCCTTTTCGATGATTACCAACCATTATAATTATAACTTTCGTTCCACTGTAATGGTAGAGTTAAACACTCTGCCATGAGGATACCATTAATATGAACTTAATGGCACGCTTTTTGCTTTATGCAAAACTGGTGTCCAAGGGCCGATGCATCCGAGACAGGCTCCCTTAATAGTAACGGAAAAAGGACAAAACCATGCTGACCACCCTTGGACAATTTAGAGACTGGCAATGTCGGCTCCAAGCTTCTGGGTATTGTGACCAACCGAGACATCCAGTTCGAGACCGATCTCGACCAGCCTGTTGAGAACGTCATGGTCACCGACCTTGTCACCGCCCAGTCCGGCATTACCCTCGCTGAGGCGAACCAGATTCTCAAGGCCTCCAAGAAGGGCAAGCTCCCTATTGTGGACAAGGACTTCAACCTCGTCTCCATGATCTCGCGCTCGGATTTGGCCAAGAACCAGGACTTTCCTCTTTCATCCAAGGCTGCTGATAGCAAGCAGCTCATCTGTGCCGCTGCCATCGGCACCCGGCCCGAGGATAAGCTGAGGCTCCAGAAGCTCGTCGATGCTGGCCTCGACGTTGTCATTCTTGATAGCTCTCAGGGCAACAGCATGTACCAGATTGAGATGGTGAAGTGGGTCAAGGAAAAGTTCCCTAAGCTTGATGTTATCGGAGGTAATGTCGTCACCCGTGAGCAGGCGGCTTCATTGATCCAGGCGGGCGTAGACGGCCTGAGAATTGGCATGGGTAGCGGCTCCGCTTGCATCACCCAGGAGGTCATGGCCGTTGGCCGTCCTCAAGCCGCGGCTGTCTACTCCGTCAGCAGCTTCGCCGCCCAGTACGGCGTCCCTTGCATTGCCGATGGCGGTGTTCAGAACATCGGACACATCGTCAAGGGTCTCTCCCTGGGCGCCACTACTGTCATGATGGGTGGTCTCCTTGCTGGTACTACCGAGTCCCCCGGTACCTCGTTCGTCTCCCGAGAGGGAAAGCTCGTCAAGGCCTACCGTGGCATGGGTAGTATCGACGCTATGCAGGACAAGAAGGCCGGTAACGGTGGTAAGGACAGCCAGAAGAGCAACGCCGGTACCGCTAGGTACTTCTCCGAGGGTGACAGCGTCCTCGTTGCTCAGGGCGTTTCTGGCTCTGTCGCTCACAGGGGGTAAGTTCCTATTTGTTTTGTTGAAAACAACCGAGGCCATGGACATACACTAACACAGTATTCTTTCTTCCAGACCGATCAGCAAGTTTGTCCCCTACCTCGCGGCGGGCCTGAAGCACTCCATGCAGGACTGTGGTATTCAGTCCCTGCAGGCGCTCCACGACGGCGTCGCCGCTGGCACGGTCCGCTTCGAGCTTCGAACCTCGAGCGCGCAGGCTGAGGGTAACGTCAACATGGAGTCCTACGAGAAGAAGCTTTTGCCTAAGCAAATGTCTTTGCGGGGCTTCTTGAACGGCCGGGACGACAGTGATGTGGGTAGGGTTTAGGAGCAACAAAAGGGAGGGCGAAAAAAGCTTTGGTTGTTGGCTGGGGAAACAAAAGGAATGATGATTTTATGGAGTATTTGTCGGTGTCTCGTTTCGCGCTTTATCTGTTTCCCTGGTTCAATGATGTTTCTATCATTTTTTGAAGTGCGCATTTAACGTAGAATTTCGCATCGGGCCCCTCGATTTTCACAAATATCGCTTCTGTAAAGGAGAGATTGGGCCGGCGCGCTCAGAGCCCCTTGGAAGAATAGGGTGCCAGTATTGTTTATCAGCCATGAGTATGGATAGAGAAATGAATTCAATGACGATCGTGGAAGGGAGTCATGCTGTCGGATGAACAGCTGCTGACCGACCTTTGAACTAAGCACTCTTGTTGCCATATAGACATGGATGGACTGTGAGGTCTCGCGAGGAGAGGATGGACATGCCCGCACCTAAGCACCTAAAAATGACTTTTGTGGGACCGACCTGTCGCGGAAGACTACGAATTCGGTGATGGATTCTTTATCCCGAAACAGCTGTTCAAACACTCTTTCTTTTTCATATTTGCTTTACTATGAACTGTCTTGACTTGGTTGCGCGCGCAAATAGGTGACACACACCATTAAAAGACACTCGATATATCGTGTCGGGGCATTTCTTCTCCAAAAGCAAACAACAACATGAAGCTGAGAAGGAACAAGGATTAACGAGGAACAACCGAGCTAGATACAACCTGATAGATGCTAGGGGTTTCCTTCTATTATGTCGCCATATGCAGACAGTTGAGCGGGAGTCCCTCCAAAGGGAGACTATAAGAAAGAGGAAGAAAATCCAAAGAAACAAATGCCAAACAATCGTTGATGAAAAACACGAAGCTTTTCCGAACCATTCGTTACCCGTTGACCTAAGAAAGAGAAAAAACCCACAGAGATGATGGTGGAGAAGGTAAAGGAGAAAGGGAGATCGAGACGGATGTGGAGAAGGAGCCCTTGGAAAAGCAGAAAAACTCCGAGATCCAGTATGCACGCCCATATGCAAAAAGACGATGCTGGATTTATGAGAAACCTCGCGAAAAAAAAAAAAAAAGAAAAAGGGGGTGGCGGGAGGGGGCCGCATCAAGCGAAAAGGCTTAGTTTGTAGAGCGATAAGGGCTGCTGCCGCGCTCATGGTCCTTCAAGAGGGGCAAAACATCATCATGGTGATCAACGTCATCGTCATTGTACTCAGCTGTATACGGAGACTCATCCTCGTAGTCAGACAGGAGAGCCGAGCTGGCCGCAGTGGTGTCATCCCCATCATCTTCATCTTCGATATCACTGCTGTCTGTGGATCTGCTAGGCCCTTCACCATCGACAAGGTACCATGCGGGAATGGAGCCGATGACGGAAGCAGCGAAGAGGAACCACCAAGAAGCAGCGACGAAATTGCGACGGACACCCCAAGAGAATGCGGCACCGGCCAGAGCGGGCCCAACGGCGCGGCCAATGGCGCTAAAAGTAGTCGCGAAGCCATTGAGAGTCCCCAGTATGCTCAGGGAGGTGCATGAGTTGGTGAGGATGATGGTCATGCAAGGGAAGCCGATAATGACGGCGAAAGCTTTCAAGCACATGACGATGAGGAGGGTGGTATAGCGCAGAGTGGGGTTATCGATAAGGACGGTAAAAGGGGTGAGAAGGTAAACCGTGGGGAAGAGGAAGCCTAATGACAGGAGGTGCGCATGTTAGCTTCCTATGTGTCATTCGAAGAAGAAGAAATAGTAATAGTGTTGTAGGGAGGCAAGGAGAGACTTACAGCAGGCACGATAGCAAGACAATGCACCAAACTTCTTGCAGAGGGGTGGGAAGATGACAAACTGGATGAAACCGCAGGCAACACCGTAGACGGTAAAGATGGTTCCGATCGTGTTCGATCCAAGGCCGAAGCCGCCAGTGAAGCGGAAGGGGAGTTTCGTGTTCTCTGGGGTATGTTCGACGGCAGGGTAATTGAGGAAAACGGGGAGCACCTGATCATAAGCGACGGAATGAAGGGCGAGAAAGGTATAGGCAAGCAGACCAATACTGGACTGCGTGGTGAAAACCTCCTTCATACCAGGGCGGTAGGTCTTTGGATTGACAGGGTGATGTTTGATGCGCTTCGTCGGGACTAGAGGGGCTGTAGCCTCTCCGTCCACAAACGAGGCACGGCGCTGGCGACGGCCTCCTTTGAAAGCTCGAGAAAGCTTCCTCCCGAGAAGCAGGCCCCAGTCTTCATGGTGGCGCTTGTGCTCGAGGGTTTCTTTGAGAAACAGGGTCGCTATTGTGATGGAAATAAGGAAGACGCCCGCGCCGATCAAGTTGGGAAGCGCAAACGGATACTTTTCCCAGAAAGGAACACCTCCAAAGAGGGAAGGAAACCTCTGGGCAGGGTTCGCAAAGAAGCCTCCAAATGCCGGGCCAAAGATGGATCCAAGCGACCAAACCAGAGGCATGATGGAGAAGGCCATGGGCTGCAGTTCCTTTTCAGGAACCATTTCGGCCACCATTGTCCTCAAAATTCCAACTAGTAACATCGTGTTAGTAAAGGTCCTTTCTTTTTCAATGGTGCCGGCCTGTATTGCCGGCTTGTGTGCAGCTGGTGCCGCAAGGGGTGAGGATAACGCGTACCATTTCCGTTACCACCGCCTTGAATGGCACGAACAAAGATAGCCATGGGTAAGCTATCGACGAGCCCCCAGATCAAGAAGCATATCATGGTACTGAACAGACCAAGAATGATGGTAGGCTTGCGGCCAATGTTGTCCGAGGCCCTTCCCCAGGGGACGGCCGTGAAGCTTTGGGCGAAGGAGAAGACGGCCGAGGTGATTCCGGCCCAGTATGCTACATCGTTTTCAGGAATGCCAAAACCTCTGATCATTTCTGGCAGGTAAGGAAACACGGATAATAATGCAAGCGGCTCCGCAAAACGGGCGATGGCTATAGACGAGCTTCATGTTAGCGATTTATCATCAATACTTTGAACGCGAAAGAGTGGACTCAAAATGTGAAAGGAATAAGAGGCCTAGATACCCGGCAAAGTGACTACCACTTGTCTGAGGAAACTTGCTTTTCTGGCTCGAGCCAAGACGTCCCACCATCAAGAAGGAGCTTTTCAGCCCATGATCTCGACATGAGCACGGCGTTGTCCTAGCTCTCTTCCAAGCACAGGTACGTCCCGAGGCATCGCTCAAGCTAAATCATGATGTCCTGTCCAAAAGTTCTATCAACTGACGGCTTGAAGAGCGCTTCTCAAGGCAAACAGGTGAGGGGTAATGGAGATCATAGTGGGGGGTTTTCACCTCATCCCATTGATTTTCGTCCGCCCCATTGTTCGTCGTCTTAGTCTTCAACCAACCAAAGCAAAAGACCAAAACGAACAATTGGGGAATTCCAACCAGCGAGATGTCGCATCGGCAGCATGGGGAGAGGCGGGAAGAGGCATGAAGGCAGGGCTGGCGTGCGAATCGGGAGGCTCGATCTCGGCCAAGCTTATGCAGGTGGAAGCAAAAGAAGGAAAGGAAGGACAAAAGACAAGGAAGAACGAAGCCGAGAGAGGGAGAGAGAGAGATAGAGCAAAGGAAAAGAAAAAGAAAACAGCATATGAGGCCAAACAGCCAGCACGTGAACCACGAGAACTTCAAAGCTTACCCAAGATGAAAAGCTGTTGCTTTGGTAGCTTAGGCTTGCGCCTAGAGCGCCTTGAGCTGGATTTTGGCATCGCCGGGGACGAATCTCGGCTTGACGACGGGTTCGTCATTTGGAGAGAGAGAAATTGGCCTCAAGCCGAGGCGGACAGTTGAGAGAGCAAACACAAGGAACGGGGGCAGATGAAGACTGTAGATTCAAGTAATGCGGCGTGGAGGGTTGGCACTTTCAATGGTTTAAGTCAAAGAGAGGAAATGGGAGTAGATACGACCATTCACGGAAGAAAAGCCTTTACAAGTGGAGGAGACGATTAGGGAATATTTCAGGAATGGAATTATTCTTGTCATGGAATAAGTAAGTACGGATCGGAGTTTAGCTGGCGTGGAAGAGTGGCGAGGAGCGAGGAACCGTATAGTTATGGAAAACCAAAAGATCGGAAAGGCGTAAGCAGAATGGTCGAAGATCCATTGTAATGAGGTGCCTAGGCTGGAAGTCCCCACGTTCTTTAGCGAAGTTTTTTTCTCTTTCCTCGTTTGGGCCGGGCCGACAAAATTTGCACCCCACCAAAAGTACAAGGAGCAAGTAGCATGGACTATAGTCCAGGTATTGATACGCTACGACGTACACGTCCATTGTTAGCATTGACGTCCTAGCACACTTGGACGCTCTACCCCCGGTGAAGCAAGAACCTCGGGGGAAGGAACGTTGAACACTGCCATCGGAATGTGCGTGTCTGAATCGGGTAGTGGCAAGTTTAAACGTTCGAAGTTGCTTGCTTGATCCGATAGGCCCAGCTTTGGTTTGCCTTTGCGCCCCGCGACCTTTGACTCACAGAATGATGCCTTCAAGTCTCCCGTCCTGAGTCAACGCCAAAGTCCAAGAAATTTGGAGACGACTAAAGCGGATAATGCGGAGGTGGAGCGTCCACCTCGGCCGTAGTTCCTCCCTGGTTCGCTGGCCTTGTGCGGGGGGAAAGCCATCCGCCATCGCCAAGCACCCTTGCCAGGCCAGCCTCCTGGCGTTCAAGTCCACAAAAAAAGACAGGACCGTTCTTTGCGGGAGGTGCCCGCGTGTGGGAACCGACCCCGGCCCGGAAAGATGCTTGACATGCTCGGGTACAGGAGCCATAAAGGAGGTGTCGCCTATCACAATAACCATGGTGGTCGGCTACTTCTTGTCAGAGGGCTCCCTGCGTGTGATATGGCATCCTTCCGGTTCGTTTCTCCCCTCCGTCCCGCTTTCGTCATGCTAGCTAGCCGAAAGCCCTTGCTTCTATCGCGCCGCTCATCCCTGTCTTTTTTTCCTGTTGGACGGGTTCTATTTACTATTATTATTATGACCCCGCAAGAAAACCAACATTCACTTTATCAAGAGACCCAGAATCTCGCTGTAGAGCAGAGGGATTGAGAAGAAGGACTTGAAGAAATTTTTAGACTCCCAATCACGAGAAATACCGGCTCCTAGTAGTGACCGGCGACTTCCTGGTTGCACCCTTTCTGCGAAGGGTGGCGGCTGCCGAAGTGAGCCTTTACCGATTACAGCCGCCGTTGTCGGCCTTTAGTCAATTATCAGGCGTATGATTGGCCACGGATGGCGAAAGGGCGTGTGGATCGGGGGTCGGGGCCGGGAGGATCGGCCATCCATTATTAATAATGCTGGTTAGGTGGGGAAGGGAAGGAGGACGGGCTTGACAGGCAGACAGGCAAGTGGGTGAAGAAAAAAGCGGGACACGTAAATGTTCAGGTGTACGCCCAATTGAGCATACATTGACTACGCCCTCAATAGCTATCCAAAATATTCAGAAATTACTGAAAAAGGGTGGTAGGAAAAGGCCAACAGTAGCTACCAACATGGTCAATTAATTGCTAGACTGATAAAATGCTAAATGTCCTAAAAAGTGGTGTTAAAAGTGAAGCATAAATGCTGTTGTACGGGTTTGGAGGTTGATGCGTGATGGGTGTCCCGCTTTTTCTTCGCCCACTTGACAGGCAACAGGGTATTACAGGTAGGGGTCAGGCTCCCTCAATTTGATGACTCGCACACGCACCCAGCACCCCTCCACTCCAGGGCACACCAACAGGAGCAGCAGCCGAAAAGTTACTGACTTGAGGGTTCGGTGGGGGTATGTAACGCAACTTAGACCCTTCTGGGACGGTGATCGCAAACACAACACACACGCTATGTCGTCAAGCTTGTGCTTTGGCATAAATCTTATTTTCACGTCCTCGTGCCACCTCCGCTAGCGGCTTTGGGAGGGTGACTGGGGTGTCGTTCGACGCTTAAGAGAAGCACAAAGTTCTGGCACCCATGAACCAGATATTGACCGCTGGGCTCTGAGAAGGGTCCAAGATAAAACTTCGAAAAGAAGGTGACTGTGCAGGGCGTTCGTAGCTGGAAAGCTCTGAAAATCCTTGGCCACCACCACCAGCTGAGAGAGGAGCGAAGCTCTTCATATCTAAAACCTGCAATGGCGAGCTTCGAAACGCGACGCCTTGGTCTGGCTGCATCCGAACACGTCCTGTGACTCGAGTCCTGCACAATGTCACCTGCAGGGAGGATGTGGGGCCGCCCTGGAGCCGATTCACCTCCGTCACGGTGAGAACATGGTGTCTGAAAGTAAATGAAAACGAATGTACAAGTATCAATTTCTTCCTCTTTTGTCATTTCGCCAATTGGTCATTTTTTCTTCTCGATATTTTGTCATTTCCCCTCAACGAGGAAGGGGAAGGGAGGGTAAGAGTGAGGGGAGGATATAACAACCATGCTTGCCTTGCTTTGATGCGGGGCGTTCCCTTCATAAACGAGGGTCACTTCCGAGCCTCCTCCCCAACTAGGCAATGGACATGCAAACCCTACATAGGGAAGGTCCAGCCTTTCTCTTTTCTTTTCTGTTATTCTTTTTCTCCGTTCCCCAAGTGCGCCACAAGCCAGGGTCATGGTTTACCCACCTTCGCTCGATGAGACCCTGGGATGGGAGGGGCCGTGTTTGGGGTCCCAGGAGTCCGCATTGTGCATCGGGCGCTATCCAAACATTTACCCGCCTCAAGCGACGCGACGGGAGAGTTCAGGAAGCACCATCGGAAATTGAATTGTTCATAGAGCAAACCAACTTTCAAGGCGCTAGGCCGATAGCGAGAATCTTGCCATTCCAGACTGGTATTTCGCCATGATCGATGACTGACATTCGGATGGCTTAAATCCTTGGCATCTTAACCGAATAAGGTGCCCAAGATGCACGTCCACTCGTTGATCGAGTGTAGATATCTTATCTTATGCAAAGTGCATCTATCAGATATCAGAAACTCGCGAATACCAAAGTTTCAGTTGCACCCAAAGCGGACAACACTTGGCGAGGGGTTGAGCGGCGGGCTACAAAATAAGCACAACAATCATCGATCATTTCTTTGAGAGAGTACTGAGGTACGCAAAAATAGTTTTGCATTTGTGCTGAGACTGCAAATTGTGTTCTCTTTTCAAGTCAACGGATGTAAAGAAGGATAAGTGTGACAATTTCACGGACTAGCTTGCCCCCACAAAATCAGTCAATCTTTTGCCCAACTACCCAAAGCCTTATGCGCTTTCAAGATCAAAGCCTAACAAGTGAACTAATGCGTACCCTCAGGTGGCAACGGGTCCATCGCACCCCGTTTCTGTAACAATTCAGGGCACCATTTAGCGCGGCTATCCTACTATATAATGGGTTACCCGCTTCCTAAGGCTAAGGCGCTTAGCAGCGACGCCAGCTGGCCATGAACTGCACGTGAAGTCGGCCATCGAAAGAGTCGACCTGCTCGAGGTGTTAGCTCACTGATCTTGTGAAACGAAGAAGCCCCTAGCTGGGGCATAACTTGGGTTCTTTGACTTACGGTCATCAGGCCCTTGGAGGTGCTGCTGGTTGGCGAGATGCGGACCTCGGAGTTGACGTTGAGGATGGCGGTGTAGTCTCCACACTGGGACCAGGTGATGATATCGACCTTTTCATTCATCTCGTAGTTCGTCTCGACGGGACCTCGGATGGTCTTCTGGGCAGCAACAGACTGTGTCGGCGTTTTGGCCGTTGTCAGCAACTGATCATTACTTCTTCCACTACCACACAGCCACATGGCGTCCACCGCAGAAGCATCGGAGCTCGATCACTTACAGCACCACCGCCGGAGAAGGAATAGGCGGCCCGGCATGTACCAGTCTGGCCAGCGGCGAGAGAGGCGTAGCCGCTGAAGGTGGTGTCCACAACAGAGAACCTGGGCAAGACACGAATGTGTTAGCTTATCCTACCCCGGCATGCACCACTACGCCCTTGACACCTAACCCAAGCTTCGACGTGCGCTTAGGAAGCAAGGTATTGAACATACTGGAGTCCCTGAGGGAATTCAATGTTGAGGAGACACGACAATTCTTGCGGGCATCCGACGCAGAAGTAGTGGGGCCGACTTCGACAATGTACTGGTCGAAGGCGACGTCGAAGATAGTGCCGGTAGAGTCGACGGTAGCAAAGGCGTGACCGGCGGGGCATCCGGAGCCGATGGCGCTGATTCCAACAATCTTGACATCGCTCGCAGCGGAGCGGCTGCCTCGAGAGGGGCGGCGGCGGCAAGGCCGAGGAAGACAAGGGGGCTAAGGAACTTCATTGCGAGGTCTCGACGAAGACGTAAGAAGAAGATGTGGATGGGTGAGATGATGCAGAAAGGGGGTATGAGGAAAGATGGCGACGCGAGTGGTGGTGTTGTCAGATATCTCAAGGGGCGCCGATGAGGCAAGAGGTGCCTTTATACTTGAGCTTAACGTGAGTTTTGACGAATGGACTCTCCATCACCGCACCAGGCCGAGTGTTTGCACAGCTTCCACGCAAAGTCCTAAGAATAGATCTGGCATCGTGGGTGGTGGTCGTCTCGTTTGCCAACACATCTCGCTCACCCAGACGGCCAGACGCCATTTAGCGAGCTTTGGTGACAAGACTACAAGGAGCTATCCATATGACGGTCAACTGACCTCTAGATCCCAAGGGAGCGAGCGATGGGGAGCTCCCAAAACTACCTCACGACTCACGATCTTCCTCCAATCACCTAGAATCAAAGTCATAACTGGTATATTACCTGCCCCTCTCTCACGCGCGCCGCGTACTAGCCACTTCTACCCATAAGAGATCATGAGCTATCCCTGACCTCTCCGTCTACAGAGATAGTCCACGCTAGGCCAAGTCAAGAAAACCCTTCGGTCTTCTTGTGTGTCCGTCTCCTGATCGGTCTCCTTCTAGCCGTCCAGAGTGTCATTGCCCCTCGCCGAGGGGTGGCATTGCTTCCTCAGCTAGATCGCGGTGGTCCCGACGACGTTGTTCAGGCCACCTATGAGGAGCACCTACCTTCGCATTGTTGGTGTATTAATGTTGCAACTGGACCTGGATATCACGCATCTGCCCCTCTCCTTTCTTCGCTTTCAGGCCTACGATACCCACTTCACGAGTCCCGCGCGCCGGTCTAGCTCTAGCCACGAGATGTTACGAACCAATATGTCGAGGCAAGGTCCCTGGGTGCCCGGTCATCTATAGGAAAGTTAGATTACGCTTCCTGAAATAGAAAGTGTGGTGTTACCTATCAGGCATCTGGGTAGGAATAACACCACTGGGATGGTTGTGCGAGGGGGCCGTGAAGGTAGGTGCGAATCTCGTGCACCGGGACATGCGCAGAGCTTCCTTTTGGGCTCCTTTTGTTTCTTCATGAGGGGCAGGGACTTTGGATTCTCGCGCCACTGCTGCCAGTACATGCTCTATTTGGTCCTTGTCTTATACGAGGCGTCCCACTGTCTCTATCAAGCTCACTAGCTGGAGCAAATAAAGCCAGGCCAATAGAGGAAGCTGACTTGGTTTGTTTCCGCGGGAGGTTCCCGGAAAGGGAAGTATGGTGCAAAAGTCGACTCACTTCCCAACAAGATAGGGCGGACTTTGGGGATATTTCTCCGAGAGCTCGGGGAGCCGAACCGAAAATAGGGATAGGGAAGTGGGTTTAACCCAACTTACACGACGTTGAGGTAGAGCAAGGAGGAGGGAGGGGGAGGGTGCGCTTCACGCCGTAGCGTGGGTGGTGTTTAGCCAATCTAAACTTTCCCTCATTCCCGGGTAACTAGATCCATGCGAGAGATTCTGTAAGTGTCTCTTGGCTAGATCTGCTCTGCGAAGGGGATGATGGAGCATCGCGATTGGTGGTAGACTCGATGGGGCAGCTCTCAGCGTTACGCGAATCGGCTCAAAGCGAATGGTTGCCTTTTTGGCGAGCTAGTTTGCTACTGCTCGCCGAGAAATTGAAGAGGCGAGAGTAAAGAGAGGGGGCGAAGGTTCCATCAAGGGCGGAGCCTGCCGAGACGAACAACCGGAGGGGCCATCGCCGGCGGAAAGGAGCGGACAGCTTGCGAAGAGTAGCGACGCAGGGCACTCGGTGCTCAGGTTTTACTTCTTTACGAAGAGTGGATCTCTGGATATTCGACGTCAACCAACTTTTGATATCTGCCTCCCGTTTGGGAAGGTCTGAGAAAACGTGTGTAAGTAAGGACGGGGTGAGCCCGAGAAGGGAGGGGAGGGGGTATGTAGAGGTAGATTTGTGATCCAAAGCCCGGTTTTCAGGAACACCGCCCGCATCGAATCCGCGCCGATGGGTGCCATATACAAGGCTTTCCTAGCTGTGGGGTCCTTGGGGTGATTTGGAGGAAACTTTTCTTTTTCCCTGTTCCTTGTCGCTATGTGCGAAGAAGAGGAAGCGGCAGAAAAGCGAGACGGCGACAACGACATGATGAAGAAAATACAACTTTGTGGTGTAGCATTTCAGCTTGCGGTCTGCGACGGTGCTTCTCTCGCTTTTTTCTTATATTAATTAAGCGGATGGAAGGGTTGTTCTTTTTACCTCCTTCTTTGCGCGACGCCACAAGGAAAAGACGGTTCGATATTGCGAATGAACCAATCCGGGTCCACGGATGGCAACCTCGTTTGTTTTAGCTGCAGAGGAATGGAGAGAGAGAGCCAAGAGGTGAGGACGCAGAAGCACAATTGATCATGTTAGCGTCTAGCGTGGTGAATTGTTTTCTTTATTTTTAACTCAAAGAAGGTTCATTGGTCTTTGTGTTTTCTTTTACGTTTTTCTCACTTTATTCCCATTCCTGGAATCTCACGAGAATGAGCGAGTGTGGCGTTTGGTAGCTCCCTACTCTTCAGGAAGGTGCACATATTGCTTAGTTTGGTCGAGGGTGAAGCGGACACGCATCTCGGCGTTGCTTCTAGGACGATAGCGACGGGGAGCCGGGACAGGCACCGCTCGGCCGTTTACCGAAGGCTAACTAGTTTGGGAAGCCAAGGCGAAGAGCACCAAGAGAGAGGAGGATGAGAATATATGCTTGGTTATTCAAACGGAGAAGAGAAATTCGCGACAGGGAGTTGGGACTAAATGTTGAGTTCGGGCGAGTTGAAAGGCATGGGCGACTGGCGAGGGGGCCAGGTTTGGGGATGAAGATTTGGTTGATGTTCGTGGAGCCACCAATCACATCGCCTAAACCGCACCGCGATACTGAAACTACTATGCACTTATCTTCGATAATGATTGGTGACATCTTGTATACTTTTGCGAGTCGCCGTAGGTCTTGAGCTTCGAGCAGTACGGGGAATGGGAGTGATACTAGATGTCTTACACGTAGCAGGCGTCCAGAGCGAGGTGTTGGCGGTTTCATGGGAGCCACCACACCAGTTGTTTTCTTGTTCTTATGCTCTTTTCGCTCCCATTAGTTCTCCTACGGAGCAAGGAAAGCTTCCCTTAGCCTTGAATCATCTTGTCGCGAATCCTAGGATCGATGCTAGCTTTAAGCCTCGGGCTACGCGACCACAGGGGCTGGCTCCCTCAGGGTCTCTGATCAAAAGGCAAATTATACGCAAACTAGCCCGTACGATGGAGGAACCAATATGAATCAACCAGAAGGAAAGAGGACGGACGCTGCGGAGCTGCCATTCTGACGCAACGAGCAACGGAAGAAGGTCCTCCTCCCGTGGGCTTTCCCGTATCGTGTGGGGCTTTTGTACGGACCGGGGACCCCTTCCCCGCTAGTGTCCCCACACCCCGGCGCCACACCCGCCCCCGCGGTTGTTAGGTTGAGCCACTTGCTGTCAACTGTAAAGGCACCACCTGACACGATCATGCAGACAAAGGTCCCAGTGCTTCCTCGCATTGTCATCACTACGGTGAATGACGCAACCCATTGATCCGTTCCTTCCCTCAACCTTCCCTAGAGACTTCCATCTCCATCGCTTCTGTGGGCGTTGTATGTCATTTCCGCTCTCGCATTATCGAGGAACCACTGCTATAACTCCAGGATTTATCTCATCTTTTCGAGTCGGACGAAGACGATTGAGCTCTCTTGTGGCAGCAGAGAGCTGCTTTTAACCCCGGGAGAAAAGGAGCCGAGCGTCCAGTGGATGCGAAGCCCAGGTGGCCCGCTTGCTTCGATCCCGAAACCACTGGGGTTTCCCGCTTGCTGTTTATCCCCCATTTTAGTCAGAGGGAGAGGGAAAACAATAAATCCAATCAACTAACTAAGTGAGAGAGGGAAACAAGGATTAAAAGAAGCCCCGAGGCGGATAGCTTCGTTCACGCGGCTAGCTCTCAGCCTATCCTCTCCCACCATGCCGAACCACGCGGAGCGAGCCCCGCTCATCGCGAGCGTCCCGGTGCGGACGCCGCGCCCTCGGTACCCCCACAGCACCCTCCGGCGGTTCTGCACCATCTCCTGACCTCTATCCTGCTGTACGTCCTGCTATCCTTTGTCATCATGCTCTTCGTCGACGGGCCGCCCCACCACCGCCACCGCCGGCACGGCCACGGCTGGTGGAGCGACGTGTGGAGCCTGAGCTGGTACACCGACGCGAGGGTGTCGCACGAGGAGCTCCGCGACATCTTGCTCGACACCCCGACGGCAAGCGCGCCGAAGAGTGGAGCCGGTACTACACGGACGGCGTCCACCTCGCGGGTAAGAACTACTCCCAGGCTGCCTGGACCCGGGAGAAGTGGGCGGACTGGGGTATTAAGTCTGAGGTTGTCGCGTACGACGTCTTTCTCAACTATCCTGAAGACCACAGCCTCACGCTCCTCGAAAAGAAGAAGAAGAAGGAGAAGAAGGAGAAGGAGGGAGAGGATGTCGCCGAGTACGCGTTCAACTCGGGCCACTGGGAGGTCCAGTTCAGCGCCTCGCTCGAGGAGGATATCCTTGACGAAGACCCCTTCACTAGCCGCGAGGACCGGGTGCCCACCTTCCACGGCTACTCTGCCAGCGGCAACGTGACGGCGCCCTTTGTCTACGTCAATTACGGTACCTACCAGGACTACGAGGACCTCGTCCAGGCCAATGTGACCCTCGAGGGCAAGATCGCCATTGCCAAGTACGGTTTCATCTTCCGCGGCCTCAAGTGCAAGCGCGCCCAGGAGCTCGGCATGGTCGGCTGCGTCCTGTACTCGGACCCGGGTGACGACGGTGAGGTGACCGAGGCCAACGGGTACAAGCCGTACCCCGAGGGTCCGGCGAGGAACCCTTCCAGCGTGCAGAGGGGAAGCGCACAATTTCTCAGCGTGAGGCCGGGTGATCCGTACGTTTCTTCCTCCCAAATGGTGTTTTTTATATAAAGAGAAACGAATGAAACTGTCCCTCTCGTGTTGTATACTAATAAAGAATCTTGATAGGACCACTCCTGGCTACCCTTCCAAGCCTGGTGTTCCGAGACAACCAGTAGACGACAGCACCCCCAGCATCCCCTCACTTCCCATCTCCTACGCCGACGCCATCCCCATCCTCCGCGCCCTCAACGGCCACGGGCCCAAGGCCTCCGATTTTAACAAGTACTGGCGGCGCAACCGCGGCCTAGGCTACAAGGGCGTGGAGTACAATATCGGTCCCACCCCCGACAGCGTGGTTCTCAACCTTTACAACAAGCAAGAGTACACCACGACGCCCATCTGGAACGTCATCGGCATCATCAACGGCACTCTCCCCGACGAAGCCGTCATCGTGGGCAACCACCGCGACGCCTGGATGATTGGCGGCGCCTCGGACCCCAACAGCGGCTCCGCCGTTCTCAACGAGGTCATCCGCAGTTTCGGCGAGGCCGTCAAAGCCGGCTGGAAACCCCTGCGCACCATCGTCTTCGCCAGCTGGGACGGCGAGGAGTACGGCCTCGTCGGCAGCACGGAATGGGTCGAGGAGTTCCTTCCCTGGCTATCCAAGGCCAACCTAGCCTACCTCAACGTCGACGTTGCCGTGAGCGGCCCCAACCTCCGCGTGTCCGCCGCGCCCCTGCTTCACGACGCCTTCCTCAAGGTCATCGACCTCGTCCCCTCCCCCAACCAGACCGTGGCCCGCCAGACCGTGGCCGACCTCTTTAGCGGCAAGATCTCCACCATGGGTAGCGGGAGCGACTTTACCGCTTTCCAGGATTACGCCGGCGTGCCGTCCCTCGACATGGGCTTCGTCCAGGGCGCGCCCTCCCCGGCCAAGCCATCTACCACTACCACTCCAACTACGACACTTTTCACTGGATGAGCGGGTCCGTCGATCCGGGCTTCGTCTACCACAGGGCCATGGCCCAGGTCCTCGGCCTCCTCACCGCCGAGCTGGCCAACACCCCCGTCATCCAGTTCAAGGCCACCACGTACGCCGACGAGCTCGGCAAGTACCTCGACAAGGTCCAGGACGCCCTCGAAGCCGCCACACCTGCCGCCCACCAACAACAGCAGCAGCAGCAGCAATCAAGCGATGACGAGAATGACGACAAAGAGGAGAGTGAAGAAGTTTTCCTCGCCGCCAGGGCAGTCGCCCGCAGCTCCTCCTCGGTCTCCACCAGCACCGACGTCGACGACTCCCACCGCGCTTTCCCCAACACCTCGACCGCCTCCGCGACTCCATCGCCGAGTTGCGCGAGGCCGCCGAAAAGGTCGACGCCCAGGCCGAGTGGTGCCGCCGCCAGATTGCCGGCGGCGGTATCCCCTGGTGGCGCTTCTGGGACAAGATCAAGCTCGGTATCCTCTTCGTCAAGACCAACACGAAGTACAAGCGCTTCGAGCGCCAGTTCCTTTACGAGCCTGGTCTCGACGGGAGGAGCTGGTATAAGCACGTCGTGTTTGCGCCCGGTTTGTGGACCGGCTACTCTGGAGGTTTGTTTTCCCCCTCCTCTTTTTCCTTTTTCTTTTGACCTTTGTTTTGTCTTCTCCTACATGAAAAACAAAGCCCCCTTTCTCCTTACCTCCACCTCTTTCTTTTTCTTGCTTGGCCACTAACTCTGAAATCACGCATATTAGCCGTCTTCCCCGGCCTGCTCGAGAGCATCAACGCCAAAGATTACCCCAACGCCATCAAGTGGGCGGCCATCATCGACAACTGCCTTCAGGATTCTGTCAAGCTTCTCAAGAAGTAGGCTAGAACGAGGGCTAGGAAAAGAAAAGAAGAACCGGGCTTTAATCTAGCAAGGCCAGGCACTCGGAATGCTAGAACTGAACCGAACCGCGCGCTGCGGCGGTGGGTGGTTTGGCTGTGTCACGCTGTGATGATCGAAACTTGGTAATGATGCGTAATGGACTACTTCACAAGGTTCTGTATGTATGTATATATAAATATATACGCAACATATTGTAAAATTTTTATTCAACAGAACTAGTTACAAGTTAAGCATAGAGGTTCCTCCTCAAGTGACATGACATAAATCGTATTCCACCCACAAGAAAAAGTCCATTCCTCATTAAAGACTCGTCATACACACATGATTCATCAACGACGAGACCTATCAGCCCAAATTCTTTGTTTTTTTGTCAAGCCTTGGAAGCCCCCACACCGGAAATCACCACCCCTGCCCTCCATCAGCAACCTCCGCCACCCCCTCGCGCCCGCCAACCGCGTACCTCACCCGCAGGACCTTGTCCCTGCCGGGAGCGGGATCCCAGAAGCCCGGAAGCCTGCTAATGCGCAGACGCGCAGGAATAACGATGGGCCCGCCGGGCTCGCGGGCCAGGGCGGCGAGGGCGACGGTGACGTCGGCCACGTCCTCGCCGGCCCAGCCCGCGTCTGCGGCGCCGTACTTGGCCGAGACAATGGTGAGGGGAGAAGAAGCGTCTGAAGAGGCGGCGGGAGCAGCGTTTGCGCGGGAGTGGAGGGCGCGGTGGAGGAGAAAGGTCAGGTCGTCGGCCTCGGCGCGGCGCGCGGCGCGCTTGGCCGCCATCACCCTGTTCTTCTTCCTCCGGTTACCGTCGTCGGCCGGGTTCTTGCCCCGGGCGGCGGCGGTGGTGGCGGCGGCTAGGAGGCGTAGACAGCCGACGAGGAGGAACGGCGCGGCGGCGCAGCAGAGGAGGAGGCGACGGGCGGGATGGGGTAGGGATCGCGGGGAGAGGAGGAAAAAGGGGAGGCTGAGGCGGTGGCGGAGGCGAGACCAGTAGAGGGAGAGGTGGAGGCCGTGAGAGGAGAGACCCAGTTCCAGGCCCAGGCGGGAGCAGCGGCCCACGGGGAATAGGTGGCGGACGGCGAGGTAGCGGTCGAGCAAGGTGTTGGCGCAGAGCTCGGCCTCGAAGCGGGCGGGCCGCGGGTCCGTGCTGCCGGGTCCCGGGCTCGTCCTCTTCCACGGGAGGAGGGTTGCGACGTTTGCCACGTCCCGACCGTAGCGGAGGTAGGCGCCCAGGGAGTCGGCGGTCGCGGCGAGCGACGCCGCCCACGACCCGGATCCGACCGCGTCGAGCTCGTCGTCTAGGCCGCGCATCCCGCCCTCTCCGGCCGGCACGTCGCCGTTGTGGTTCGCCGCGACGGCCACGCTGGAGACGGAGGCGGGGGCATGGGCGGACACGTCGAGCGCGGGGCCCCGCGCGCAGGGGGTGGTGGTGTATCCTAGCTCGACGCTGGCGGGGACGCGGACGGGGAACTCGGCGTAGAAGAAGCGCCGGCTCACGCGCGAGAACTCGCTAAAGAACTTGCACGTGTCCTCCGTTGCGAGCGCCCAGTCGCCGCTGTCCACCCGCGCAAAGGCGGTACCGGATCCGGCGATCCGCTGGACCCAAGCCGTGAGGCGCGGGGCCCGCACGCCGCCGGGGCGGGGGCATGGCCACGCTGCCGCCAACGGTCGTGGGGCGGCCGTGGAAGGCGGCGGAGTGGGCGGCGCGCACGGTTAGGGCGGCGCGCGGCAGGACATCGCTCTCGAGCTCGATACTGGTGCTGGAGAGAATAGTTTGCGCGTCGCTCGTGGTGCGATGCACATCCTGGCGCAAGCGGGCGGTAACGAGAGGAAGGAGTCGACTCTCGACGAGCCGGATCAGGCGCTGCCTCGGAATGGCCAAGGGCAGGAGCGGCTGATAGCGGTCGGAGAGCAGGGACATGGGCATCTGGGCCATGTCCTCGGCCACGCCAAACACGGAGCCAGACACCGTCAGGCTCGGAGCCGGCACGATGAAGACGGGAGCCTCCCGCGCCGAGTCCAGCGACGCCGAGTCAAACGTAATGGTCGGCGTCTCGCCCTTTTCCGACGCGGGCTCCGGCGCCGCGAGTATCTGCCCCTGCACCGTGCGTAAGCCGCTCTTGACTAGGTTGCCTAAACCAGGCACGGCAACGGTCAGGTGGTGCCCCAGCGTGAAGTCGAGCGGCCTCAGCCCAGTCCCGCCCTTGACGGGCTCGCCGCGCAGGCGCTTCACGAGGGCAGAGGCGTCCACTCGGATCCCGAGATCGGATCCGGTTTGGACGCGCGCGGCGCGCGCGGCCTGCCTCTCGAGTGCGTCGGCGAGGAGGAGGGCGAACCCTTCGCTTCCGGGGTCGTAGCCGGACCGCAAGGCAAAGTCGTACGCGGCTCTCTGCTGAGGGTCCAGGAGGGTCTCAAAGGCCATCTGCACGCGAAGAAAGTACTTCCACGCCGATTCCCTCGCGCTTGGGTCATGGTTCTCGGGGCACAAGAGCCCGCACCACTTCCAGTACGCCTTGCGCACGTCATCCGTGCTTAACCCCTCCCTCGGCAGGCACAACACCTCGTAAAAGTCGGCATCCCTCTGATCCTCTCCTTCAAAGACCTCGTCCTCCCCTCCCTCCCCCGTTCCTCCTCCTCCTCCTCCACCTTCCGCCCCTCCCTCTTCGCCGTCCCCGTGCCCAACCTCGCCACTGGGTGCCCAGATGCTAGGCTCCCTCCACTCAATATCCGACAAGGTCAACCTGTCGAACACGGAAACAACGTCATCTTCTCCAAACTCGTACTCCCTCCTCGTCGCGGCAAACTGCTCGTTCAACGAAAACCGCGAGTCCATTGGCCTTAAACCATGGCCGCCGCCTCCGTGGTAGCCGCCTGACGGAACCCGAGTCTGCGGTGGCGGCTCGTAGATGGAAGGCACTCTCGCTTGCTGCGGCTCATATGCGGAGAGCCTGGACTGGCTTGGCTCATGGGCGGAGGATAATCTCGCCTGGGGCTGGGGCTGGTGTTGGTGTAGTTCGCCGTAATTTGGCTGCTGTGGCTGCTGGTGCTGGTGCTGGTGCTGCTGCTGGTGCTGCTGCGGCTGTTGGTAAAGGATATGTGGAGGAGCCTCGTCCAACAAGGCGCTGGACCTCGCAGAGTTTACACGGCTGGACCCGCGGCTCCGCCTCGCCCTCGGCGTCCTGTTTGGAGAGTCAGCCATGTCTGGGTTTGATTACGCCAGAACTGCACTCTCAAAACGCTCGCCACTTTTGCTCGTGATCCCAAATGGAAACGGGAGTTGAATAAGCCCGGATTCTACAGGGTGCCTTCTTCACCACTGAATAGATCACAAACTGATATAAGTGAAGCAGATACGGAGAGATGTTCCAGGGACAGGAAGCAAGTAACGTGATGAACACAACAAGAAACCAGACAAAAAAGGGCAGAAAAAAAAAAAGAAGAATCAGCTTACCCGTGGTTGGCGAGGGTCCCCTCTATATCTGATATTCATTAAAGGACAGGGATGGAGGGGATGATGTCGTCCCACACGTTCGCTCTCGTTTCGTTGTACACGAACTCGGGCCAAGCGAGACGGGGAAAACGCGAGGATGGACGTGTCAAGTGGGCCGACAGCAGCTGTCCGCTTCCGGCTGCCAGTGTCGCATTGAAAACGACGCTCGTTTAGGAAATTAAATCAGTGGGGCCCAGCACACATCGCCTCGACGACTGGCTCTTTCCCAACTTTGCTCGTCCGCTTCTTCCAGCCTTCTCTGCGTCATTCTTCTCACTCACAGTTAGTTTTCCCTTTGGCCTGGAGGGGGCAGTGCGTGTGTTTTCTGTGTTGTCTGTGCTGTTGCTGGTCCGAGTGTGCTCAATGTTTTGTCTCGCCCATTCCAAGCACGCTAAACAGCGCCGGCGGACTTGCGGAGCTCTTCCGGGTCGGGATCCGCCACCGCCATACGGGAGCACATAGAAAACAATCATGGATGGATGAATGATAGGTAGAGCATAGAAAACCATTGTCGAGCACGCCGTCGGGACTGTCTACACTAGCACGGGGAAATGTTCCTTCTTGTGAACCATGGAAAAAATCGCTTTCATGCTTTGCGTTCTCATTACACAATACCTGCTATATATGAACACCGCCGACCAACTCCCACTCTCACTCCTTCTTTCACAATGGGAAGAAGGAAGGGGAGAAACACCACGCCCAAGGGGCGAATTAAAAGCTTTACCACTTGCCACTTCCGTAGACTCTCTTCATATCAGACGCGTCTGGAGTGTAGATTTCTTCATCCGTCCCTTCGTGAACAAGAAAAACCAACGACCGTCCCCTTCTATACAGGTATCCCATGCTGTTTCGCCCTTGGACTCAAACAAATACGAGAAAGAGAGATCAACATGCAACAAGAATGAAAACAAATGGTAGAATGGTAGTAGAAGAAGTAGAAGAAAGAAGAAGAACAAGAAGAGGAGCAGGTGGGGGAAAGTGACGGAAGGGAAGAGCGAGATGGGAGGTGAAATAGAAAAAAAAAAACCTTGCAGGGGAAAAATAAACAAGAAAAGAACAAAAATGTCCAATCCGTACTCATGACCGCGGAGTCAAGAGGTTCCACGAAATGAAGAATAACTCCCACGCCTTCCACGGCGTTCCACTCTCCCACACTGCCTGCCCAAGGCCGAAGAAGAAAAAAAGAAGAAAGAAAAAGAACGCCCAGCTTTTTACTCCTTAGCCAGTACTTTGACGCCAATGGGGTGCATCTCCCCGGCCCCTCCTTCTAGACCGTTCACAAAGTCCATTGCTGACGGTTAGCCGGAAGATGGTCCGGGGCGATGCCCTGGTGGTTCGAGGTTGATATGCGACAAACAAAAGCGTAGGGGTATCAAGAAGGAATATGAACTCGAGAAATAAAGAAAAAAAAGGTAAACAAGGCGGGAATGAAGAACGGTAGTCTCTCTTCGAAAAGGAAAACATCCCCAGGGAAAAGAGCAGGAGGAATTAGAAGAAGAAAAGAGATAGCCAAAGGGGTAGGGCCGAGTAAGGTCGGATGTCAGAAGGAAGATAAAAATGGGGGCATCAAGATCAAATTGCATCACGTCATGTCGCGCCTCGTCAATCAAGCAAAGTCATTGCCGTTCGAGTAGGCGAGCTGGTCCACCTGTTGCACCAGGTCCTTCATCTCCCGCGCGAGCTCAAAGGCAATGGGCGGCAGGTTCTGCGTCCACATCTTCCATTCACGGTCGCTGGGACCCTTGCCCTTGGCCGCGATCGACTGTCCCTGCCTGCTGGCATTGACGAGCTTGTTGCGGCTGCCTTCAAGTCGCTCCACAAGCTGTCCGTTGCCAGTCGACTGCGTCTCGCCAATGACCGTGCCCACAACCTCGTCGATCGCGCCAATCTCGTCCGTGATCTGTTCAATGCTAGCGTTGCCGCGAATGGACCCCACTAGGTTCTGGATGCTGGACACGAGGACCGCGGTCTGGTCTTCAAGGTAGAGCTTGAGGTCATCGAGCTGTCCGTACTGGGAGGAAAGGTTGCTGTAGCTCTGGGCGGGCGGGGGACTGGCAGGTTCTTGTTGGTATCATAATAGTTGTTGTTGCCGTTCGCACCATTCATGCCGTTGCCATTCATACCATTGGCGGGAGGGCGGCTAAAAGCCTGGTCCCTGGATTCCCTTGGAGAATTGACGGGGCTGTACGCCGACGAGTCGACGCTCAGGCGACCCCCAGGCCCCGGAATGGAGGAGCGGGTGCCGAGAGCGATTCCTGCGTCGTCAACGACTCTTGTCTCGAGCTCTGCGGCGAGAAAAAGCCCCGGTTGGAGTCGACGGGCGTTATCGTACCGTCGTCATCCTCATCCTCCAACTCACCCGCCGGCGTGGGCCGCATCTTGACCATCTGGAGGAGCTCCACCACAGCCGCGACGAGATGAGACGCCGAAGCATCTAGGATCGATACTGGCGAGATGCCCGCCGAGTTGGCGTGATTCTTGGCTGCTGTGATGAAGGCGTTCGCCGCTCCAGACACCTTAGTCTTGGTCTTGGAGATTTGTTGCGCAAAGTCGTCGTTCCTCGCTGTCGCACCAGTCTCATCGATATCCTTTGTGATTCGGCGTACGCCAACAATCACCGCCTTCATTGCATCCATAACCTTCTCCGCCATCTCCGTTCGGGCAAGCTGCAAAGTCTCGTCAACCGCCACTTGGAACTTGGTTACGTGTATGTCCCTAATCAGTCCGTTGTCTGCGGTGAGCCCGCGCTCTCGGAGGTACTTGGTCGCATCCCTCTCCGCAGGAAGGCCAAGCGATGAGGCGCGCATGCTTCGGAGCTGCGTCTTGGCTCGAGTGTACCGGTTCCTCCATTCCCTCACATCCTGCTCGAGTTGTACAACAGTCCTTTCCATTTCTTCCTGGCGCTCGTACGACGAGCTGCTCTGCTGGGACAGCATCCGCATCTCCCTCAGTGCATCCTGGGCATTGCGCCGCACTTCTTCGGTGATGGACTGCTGCTCCCGTAGAGCTTCCTGAAGCTCCTGGTTCTCCCGCTGCAGCTCCCGGTCGGCGTTGCCCGAGTTACTCGAAGCGGCGGCGTTTCGACGTTCCTGTTCAACACGGTCCTCCATATCGGCGACTTGATTTCTGAGCTCCCTGGTTTCGCTCGCATGATCGGACCGCATGCGCTCCATCTCGTCTCGTAGCGAATCATTTAGGTCTTGGGCCTCCGCAAGCTTATTCTCCAAGTTGAATTTCAGGTCGTCCCACTCCTTCTTTTCCATGTTGCTCGCGCTGGCGCGGGAGCGTTCATCATCAAGGAATCGGTTCATCTCATCGTCCTTCTTCTTCAGGGAGTCCTCCATGCCGTCGAGCTTTTCTCGAAGCTCCTGTACTTGCAGTTGATAGTCTTCAATAAGCCTTTTGTCCGACTAGATTAGGGTTTTAACAGTTAGCCCAGTACATTTCCACGGCTTTTATTCCACCCCGTTATACTAAAACATACCTCTGATTGGACCGGACTTGCCTGGGTATCCGGGCTCCGAGGATCACTCAGACCGGTGGGCGCACGACTCAGGGCGGCAAAAGGCTCACGATCCGCGGGGTCGTCATCTTCCTCCACCATGGTGCTCTTGTTAGGTATTATAGTGTTGCTCTGGAATTGCTTTTGGAGTGGACGTCCAAAATCGCCGGGGGAGGCTAGGGGATGGGGAATGGAGTATGCGTAGGCCCCGCCAGGTTGCCTGATCGAGCTTGCATCCGAAGGTCTTCGCCTGCTCGCGTTTCTCGGCGGCAGACCGTTTGCGGGGTTCCCGAGCGGCTTATAGACATGCGCGGCGGGATATCTCCATCGATAAAATTAGGAAATCTCCTTTCGAGTTCGGTAAAAACATCGGTAACGAGGCTTTGGAATCGGTCGGGACCCAGTGATGATAGCTTCTGTCGTGCCTGATTCCGCTTCGGATGGAAGCCATTTTCCGCCGGGAGGGAGGGGGAGCGCGAGAGTCTTGGCGACGAAGCAACTCGTCATATACGTCGGTACTCAACTCGACAAACTGGACGCCGGTCAGACGAAGAAGCTTATCCTTCGCTTTCGCGGTCGCGCCAGTCACCCTCGCATTGCGCCCGTTGAGAAACCGGCGCAGAGCAAGATAGTGCTCGCCGAGGATGGCCTCGGTCTCCTCTCCCTTTGTGCTCCTTCCACTCTCACTTCTCGCGTACATGCCGGTTCCGTTGCTAGATCGGCCGATAGAGGGAGGGGCGAAGGACCACCGACGCTCCGGGCGACAGGTGGGAACCCGTTCATGCCTCCATTAGAACCTCCAGAGTTGGGTGGCGATATTAGCTGGCCACGATTGGGGAACGGGCCGCCATCGCCGTATTTGGACATGTTTGACGACCAGTCGTTTCCGCCTACAGATACAGGTGACAATGGTGCATTTCGGCCATTCATATTAGGTTATCGCAGCTCCTGTGATTTGCCCTTTTGAAGAGCAAGCCGAAAAACAGGTAGGCCTCAACTCCGTTCGTCTCGCTGTTCAACAGAAAGAAGCCGGGAGAGAAGGGGTTAGGTTGACGGTCTTTGCGGTTCGTATTGATAAGTCGCGTAGCCAAAGAGTCTACCCCTTTAACGAGAGGTCGAAAAACACGATTGTCGCTAAGTCGTTGGCGTGAGTTCGCGAGGGTGGGGAGAGTCGGCGACACAAGACGAGACTGTTTCTCGGGGAATTAATCGTAGTTCGCTCTGGCGTTGTGGTTTCTCCGAAAGCTCAAATAATGTTTTGGCGGCTCCCAAGTTAGACGGAGATGTATGCGATCGTCAAGTGAGAGTAATAGAGACCGAGTCGCTCCGCCAAATTTTTCTTTGGGCGCGGGGAGGAATTGGGTTTTGATGTCGCTAATTTTGGGGGTTCTCCGGGGGCGGGCGGCGAGGAGAGAAAAGGGCGGGTAGGAGGAAGAATAGGGGTGGTTGTCGGCCTTTTTGTCGAAAAATTGATAGCGACACACTCGTGCTATGCAGGTCCGATTTTTTAGCGCTTATGCCGAATTCGAATTGGCGGCGAAACCAGACATTCAAAGGAGGGAAAAGAGGGAGGCGTTCGCAACTCGACGTTTGCCTCGCGATCGAGGATTTTGGTGTCTTGTCGTGGATGAAATTCGAATTTGACACACCAGCGAACAGATGGCGAAAGAAGAGGAACAACCGAGAGAACAATTACGGCTAATGCAAGAAGAGGAAGAGGACGAGGAACAGAGGCAAGAGACCAGAGAGAGATGATTTGCGTGGGTTGAGGAAATCCGCGACGGTAGTGGTGAGGCATGAAACGTCACGGTGGTCGACAAGGATCAGGGGAGCCAATGGGAGACATGGTCCTGCATGGACAGGGTGGCCCAAATGGGGGAGGGTCGATCCAAGGGCTTCTGAGGGTCGAGGTTACTAGTCTCCAGACCGCCGCTGCAGGGGACTTTGGAAGGCAAAGTCCACCCTTCAGGAGGTACTAGAGTCCAGAGATTTTGGGAGGTGGCTAGTACCTCCCATAGCTGTAGTACCCTCAGGTCGGCATCGGAAGAAGTGGTCGGCCCCCGATCGATACACTTGTACTTTGGGAAAAGGGGTGCACCAAGCATAAAGTCGCAGGTGAAGTACAAAGTGACAAGTAGAGTCCTGCTCCAAAGCCCGTGCCGACTTGTTCGCCAGGGAAGGGGGTGCACTTGGACGCTGCTGGGTGTGGGGCATGTTCCTCTCTCACCAACTCCTCGATCGAGGTGCGAGGAGATACCTCTCAAACAAGGGAAGCCACGAGTCAAGTCACTCTATCCTCCTGATACAGTTCCTGCACGGATGGGCGATCATAAATTTGCACCTTCTCTTCGTCTTCTTGATCATAGATGCTACTTCATGCTGATTATCAGATACCTGTGCCCCATCAACCGAGTGTTAGCAGGTACTCAAGGCTGCTGCCCTATGACTGTTTCTTGGTATCCGCTTTAAAGAGAAATGAGCAACACCGAGAGATCGCACAGGCTTCATGGGTGGGTTTTGGGGAGGCGGAGCTTCCTGCGGAATCAACACAGATGGCAAGGGAGGCAACTGGTCTCGCTCTCCGCCTGCTCTGACTCGTTGGCTCTCGGGAGCGGCGCAAATAAGGTATCCCCGACGCTGCAGGCTCGACAGGGCCTCGCTAACCAGCAAGGCCAACATAATCGAGCACAAGCCCGATATTCAGGATACAGGCGACCCTGTGCTCATTTAAAACGAACCTACGGAGGGGAGGTGTTCGACACTACTTTTCCAGTTGCTTCCTGTCAAGCTCTTGACGAGGGATTTTTCGCCAGTCGTCCCAGTGGCCATCCTCGAACGCCCTCGCTCGCGTGGAGAAGAATCCCATTTCCCGCCTCTTTGGGCTGACCGATGTCTGGGCAGCGATCATGGCTAGCCAGGGGTGGCCTTCGGCTGGTCCGTGAACAGCACCGATCACCAAAAGCAAAAAGGCGACTCACGGGGAAAGCAGGTGACAGGAGGGCGAGAGGAACATTGAACTTCAGCCCACAAGTAGAGCAAAGTCTTGCACAAAGCAGGCCATAGCTACGATGTCCGGTATGTCGAAAGCACGCATCTTGGTGTCAATAAAAAGATCAAACGGAGCGGACAAATAATAACAGAGCAAGCCAGGCACGGCAAGCGGGAATTAGCGCTGTGGCCCTGGACACTACCTCTTTCCGTGAGCGGGATGGATTGTGCTCATTTCGAGCTTTGCTTCATTTCGCTGGCGCCAAGCCGCAATGAAATGAGGAGCAGGGCATGCACTTACGACGACGATTTGACCAGAACGAAACCCCAACCCAGGCTTCCCAGGCTTGCAAATTACAAGTACCCTCTTTTCGACAACCGCAATTTATGCAGGTACCAAGCAGGGAGAATACTCTTAATTTGTCTCTGCCCCACATTTGACATCCTCCCCTGAAGGCTGCTGGCTGCCAGGCGAGGGGGCTTGTGGCTTGTCGGGTACATCCAGTCCTCACACTTTGCACATTGATGGACAGACATCGGCGTCGTTGGCATTGGGGGCGCCTGCAGGTCTCACAGGCCTTCGGAACAGTGGTTGGAGAGATGGAGAGATAGGCGGATGTTTTCACCCGCCTTCCCACCTGTGGGGTGCATGTCCCGCTCCCTCCATCAATCCAACCCTCCCTTTTGGCTTGGCTGGCCTCCCGTTCCAATGGCCCTTCTAGGCGGCTCCAAGAGATGTGCAAGGCCATTGAACAGCTTATGGAAAGGGGTAATCGCGCTCTTTCATTGGCGCTCTGAAAAAGGCACGCGCTCTTCAATAGCCCATGGGCAGCTGACCATCTGAGGCCAAATATTAGCGAGCACCACCCGAAAGCGCACAAGCCCATCAGGTCTCTCTCGCAAGCCTCTGGAAGGGGCTTGATGGTGCAATGGAATCCCACGCTCATCAGTGGCCAGGCAAGGCGCTAAGGGAAACTTGAAGTCGCCATCTCCTCGCTTATTCTAGCCATCACAAAATATTTTCAGCGCCGCCTGACCGCCTTGAGCTCAGCCCGTACATCACTAGCCAGCACATGATAAGCTGCAACGTCAGACACCCGCAGCAAAGTGATGGTGACGATGATGATATATGCCGTAGAGTGTAAAGTAGGAGGTAGTAACGCGAGAGGCCGCTCATTCCGGCAGCCGGTCCCTTTAAGAAAGCCGACAGTCTTCATCGCCATCTTGATCCTGCATTTCTTCGCGAAATAATACAGGTAGCATCACTTCTTGGTCTCGAAAAGGATTTTGGCGCGCCTGTGTGAGGGGCGGGACGAAAGATGCAACCTCAGGGGTATACATACATGGGGGTTGATGGCGCAGCACAAAAGGAGAGCCGCCTCCCGCTAGTTCATCGAGAGAGGTTGATGGATGTCTCATCCCCCTCTCAACTTAGACCCAACTGGGGCCATGTCCGGGTTGGTGAAGTGAGGATTGGCATCCACTCTTGACGGTTTCGGACATTGCTTGTGAGGCTCCCGATCACTTGAGAGAGAGCCTAGTCCAGGCGGAGTAAGATTGGCTCCTCGAACCCAACCTTGCCGCCCTGGCTTCCAGCGGAAGGACCCACTTTGTGCGAGCTGGCTGCGCGACCCGATCCTGGATCCCATTCTGGAAAAGATGGAGAACTCGGGAACGGGGTGAAAGCGATTCACTATTTTCCTTGATCCACGCACGACAATAGGGGAGAAAGGGCGGTCGCCCACCCAGGGCCGCTTGACGAAGCGTGATTGTCTACACATTTCTTTTTCTCATGACGGGCCTCATGGAGCACTTATGCAGTAGTAGTTAAATATACCCTCTTCTACGTGCGAGCCTGGCACCCTGAGATCCTAACTCCGATCGAGAGGGCGCAAGGGTGCCGTCTGCCATGCCGAATTTGCGTTTGCGTCGACGCAAATAAACTTGGTGGGCTTGGAGCTACCACCTCTTGGCGCCATACAAGCAAGGTTGTCCACTACCATAATACTGTGTGTATCATTTTCCAGCACACAAAAACCTCATCTCCTACAGCATAGACATCCTTCTCCAGATCTAAAGTCTTTCCATCTGTCGATCAGGGGTAACGAGGATAGGAAGACCAAAGACGCGGAAAAGCGTCACATTGCCGATTCGGCGACAGGCCACTTGGTAGTTGTTTTCTTTCCCCTCCTGGGTGTCTCTTTCCCCCGCGTATGGCCCATTGTTCGTGTCAATTAGATCTCCTTCCACTACCCAGGCTCTCGTCGACAAGCCGCAGACATGATTGACGAGTCCTTGCTTAGTCCCCACAACGCATGAACAGAAAACTATGCAGAGATATCATCATCAGGGCCAAAGCAGCCGTCCGTGGATGATAGTCGCCGTGTCTCGTGGTCGAGTGGGGCGGGGCTCCTACTCGTAACCAGGGGCCAAGGTGCGAGGGCACGAGGTGGTTGTTCTTGATCCGAACTTTTTTGAACTCAAGTTATCTCGTCTTCTTTTGCAGAGAGCTAAGAATGGCCATGTCCCCGGGAAACCAGGAATAGTGAGGCTCTCGGGGATGATGATCTCGTCTTTGCGCATAATCAAATTCCTGCATCATCGTTTTCGTTTTCTTGGGAGTTTGCGCTTTGGCCTTGTTTCGGCCTCAGCTTTTTCCCTCTCTTTCCTTTCCAGATGTGAGCCTGCCCTTCGAGAAGGACTCGGACTGGTGATCCGGGCTTCGTCAAGATGTCATCCCGTCTTCCACCGCTTGTCAAGAGATCCCGCTGGCGAAGAGGACGCAAAACATAGACCCCTCATTGACAGGGTCGTTATGCGACCTTGCGAGGACACTTAGCCGGTGCTTCGGCACTTTATTCAGGTATTCAGAGGCCTCGGAAGAGTGTCTTCGCCTTTTGTGGGGGCCGTTCCATGAGAGAGAGAGAGAGAGATCTAAAGAAAGATGGAGAAATATATCAAAACGAAACTTCACCATTCGGCTTTCCCGACCAGGCATCTCCCGCCGAAACTGATGGACGTGGATAGTCGCGTGTAAGATTTTAAGCACCTCGCTCGCTTGTGTATCAAAACCACACAACATACCAGGAAGAAGATTAAATCCAATACTATGATGCGCCAATGGGCAACGAGGAAGAAGACGGGGAGGGAGGAAAAGAAGAGAGAGAGAGAGAGCGTGTGAATGGTAAAAACGGGCGTGCAAAATTAGTATCGTTGAGACAGCGCAGACTCTATTTGCGGTCTTGTTTCCGGTGTTTGATATCCCGTACACGTCCGAGGATCCCTCCCGGCCGAACCTAGACTCTTTGTCAAATGCCCTGCTTTTCTTCCCATGTTTTGTCCCTTTCTCGCAGCGAAAATCACACATGGCCGGGATCGACGGGTTTTTCTTGTTCTTCTCTTCACACCCCCATAGCCATGAGGAGCAGAGACTTTGAAAAGAAGGAAGAAAAAGAAAACTACCGTCGAAGAACCCGACAGAGAGCCCTACGCTGGCCCCTCCCCTCTCTCTTACCCCAGAACGCCCAGGCCGCAGACAGAAACGCGCCCCCGCACAAGTCGATGAGGCTTCTCGAAAGGAAATGTCTACAGCGCTCTGAGATCCCCCATCCCCTAGGTGTTGTGCTGCCGGCATCCGATGCCCCAGATTCTCTATAGTGTAAAAATTTCCCTTCTTTTTTCTCTTCCATACATGCATAACGTGACGGGCGTCGCTGGTGCCCCGCTCCCCTCCGCTCCTCCGTCCGCGGCACTCTGCCCTCGCTCAGCCCTGATCGCCTCACTCGACGCAACAGAACAGTCGACCGGGATTTCGCAAACCCATGGCCTCGGCTTTTTTTGTTGTTCTTTTTGCTCTCATCCTAGAGAAAGTGCAAATCAATCGCAAGGCATTGAACGTGGCGATGCGCTTGGGCCGCTATATGCTTGTTTCGCCTCCCACGAAGAAGGAGAGTTCGGTCGGTTTCTCTGCCGAAGGACTTGCTTCCTCCCCACCAAGAAGATGAGAATTTGTTCAGCGACCCCGGGCACGATGGGATGACCATCCAACTCATCGTGGTGGTCTATATGCACCATGAGTCTTGGGATTAGAAACGAGGACGGACATCAGGCCCCCGTATCGTCGAATGCTTCGTCAGCTGTGGAATCTGTTTCATGATTACGACTGTGCTACATATGTGAATTCATGCAGTGGGTATAGACGGAGAATCTCCAACGCCGCAGAAAGCCCAAACCCATAAAACCGTCTTGCCCATCCCAGGCAGAGCCAACCAACTTGAGGAGTAAATGATACAAAAGTGGCGTGTCGTCGTAATCGTTGCCGTGCAGAAAGTAGTAAAAAAACATTCCGAAAACGCCCAAGCCGTTGAAAGAAGGAAAAAGAAGTGTGCCAGGAGAGGAACCCGGTCCAGCTCCGAGAGTATGACGTGTGTGCGTGTGTGTGGGGCCAAATCTCATGTGTCCCCTGCTTTAGAACCAAGCCAGAGTCCAGATGGCGGGAAGATTGGGCCATCTATCCTGCCACTCTCCCAGGATTTCCGGGACCCTTTGATCAAAGCTCGCTCGTGCAGAGGCGCTACCACTGTCAAAGGCAGTGTGGCCAGCCCGCTCCCGCTCCTCCTTTGCAGCTTGGTTGAGCGAGTTGGCCAGATCGAGGATGCCTCGACCGCCCACTAAAGCCTCTTCGTGGTTATCCTTGATATCAACGTTGAAGACATGGACAGGTCGGTTCAGAGGAGCACCGCGGGCGTGAAGGTCGTCTATGACGGCGTCCCAACACCTTTCTTCGCAAGTGAAAACAATATCTACGATGCCAGCCTCGGTACCATCGCTTCCCTTATCGGTGGAATGCTGGAGCCTCGGGAAGCCGACATGCCAGTCCTGCCATCTCTCAGGTCCCCATTTCACGTTGCGGTTGCGCTCCAACATGTTGAGCAGACCATTCGCCTTGTAGAGCCGGGGGTCCTTAGACTCGAGCTCCTTATACATGCTATCATACGAGGTCTTGTTAAACTGATATACGTTGGGCTGCGTGATTGTTGGGCCTGGTAATCGAACAAGAGAACCTGTTCCAAAGGAAATGACTGGGTAGTTGGCCTGGGATAGCCTTAGATGTGCTTCCATGGATCTGGCCGTAGATGCGTCACGGTTAGCGATGAGGAGGATGACGGGTTGGTGGCGAAGCAGGCAAGAGTTTGACCGTACCTATTCTGATTACTGGCGCAGACAGTACAAAATTTGAGCTTGAAGCCACCTTCCTGACCATCGCCATTCTTAGCCAGCTCCCCTCCTGCGCCGTTGCCGTTCGCGACCTGCATGGCCATATTTACGGTTGGATGCTATGTCGTATGTCTACACTCCTGCTCAGCGGTTAGTACACCTCGTCCTCATCCTTCACGAGGTGTTGTGCAGGAGCAAGGTGGGGAAGCGGGGAGAGGGAAAAGGAAAGGAAAAAGGAAAAGAAAACGAAGGACAGGAGAAAGGAGGGTTGTAGCATTCCGCGAGCATGGACAGTCGTTCAGAATAAAAGCGTATAAAATTTGCTTCAGCATGTTTGAAGAAATCAGACAGCTCCAATAGATAAAACTCATCATTTGACGTGCCAGCGGGATAGTACAAAGGAATCATAATCAATGTCATCAATTCACCTTACCTTGTTTACAAGATAAATAACGAAGTCTGGGTGACTTCACGCGTGCGGAGGCTAATTTGAACTCACACCTCCTTGGTTTTGAAGTGAGGAGAATTTTAAGATGTCCAAGTTCAAAGAGGCAGCGAACGGGGTTTTGTGGCTGGTTTCCCAGCTGTAGCTCACCAGTGTTTATCCGAGAATGCACGCGAACGACAGGGTGGGGTCCTCGACTGGCCTCAGTCAATCAACCTTTAGAGCCAAGAGCCCAACATTCTCTTCAGCCCTTGTTCGTGACAAACAAAGAACCCCAAAGAATGACTCGGGAAATAGGAAAAACAAGATATCAATTGAACGCTTCTAGCTAGGACAAGATTGGTATAGAGATGGCAGAGCTGTCGCGTATCCTTCATTAGGATCATGGTACGGGACTAGGCTCCCCTCAGCATTGAATCAAGGAGAGCTTGTCTGGAAACCTCAGTCTCTTGGGTCTCGTCCTTAAAAGTTCGGCATTTTTAGTGAAAGAGGGCATTGAGACTGGTAAACATCCATCTTTCGAATACAATCTAAAGAAAGTAACTTACCCGGTAGTACGGAGAATGCCTGACGCTGTATATCCGTGGAAGCTTCGACAAGCTCCAGCTCAGCAGGCACGGTGACCCACCAGCTCGTGCCATTCGGCCAGGAGCTATCCAAGTCACTCTCTTCCCAAGTTTGTCCTTTATTGATCGTGGTTTATCATTTGCGGAATCGGATTGATAGCTATCAATCTTTGAGCGCCGAGTAGCTTCATCCCTATGCCAACAACTGATACACTTGGGTGTGAAACAGCTCAGTCCATAACACCTCAGCAAAGTCAGTAAACCTCCAATTGAACAATCGAGCTAGCCAATTATTCCGTAAACCCGTCTCGATCCAATTCTGAACAACCAAACGAATATCCTCAGACAGTCTCAAAACCCTCCGAATTAATAATTCATGTTCCGTCGTAACCGAAAACCTGCCGGGGAAGGTGTGGGCGGAGCTCCTGGGACCTGGGAGGAGGGGGAGAGCTTACTAGCGCCAGAGCGTTTTCCCTCAAGAGCTCCGAAAACTTGCGACAAAAGACTTACTAAGCTCCACCTTTCTCTCCCGCAACTGATGTCATGCCAGGAACATCGCTCGTCAACGAACCTACCCCGAGAGCACCCGTATTTTTCGTTTTGCCCTTTGTAAAAATCTCCATTGTCCCGATAAAAAAAACAAAAGAATTCTACAGGTCGCCACAGTCAATTCGGCCCCTATCAGCTTTCCTCCTCCCCAATTGAAACGCTCCTTTACACCGGGAAAGGGAACCAAAAAAATGTTCTCGCGAACCGTCGTACGCACCCTTCGGCCCCTCCGTTGCCAGGCGGCCAGGTACACCACCATCAACGCTCCCACGCCTCCCCACCCACCCCCGAGGCTCCCAAGAGCGGCACCAATGCCGCCGTCTACATCGCCGCCGCCGCCGGCCTCGGCGGCGCGGCCTACTACTTCCTAAGCGGTAGCCCCTCCGGCAAGAGCGTCGAGCCCTCCACCGTCGCCGCCGCCGCCCCCGGCGCCCCGACCTTTACCGGCGGCAGCCAGGGCTTCATCCCCCTCAAGGTTCTCAGCGTCGAGGACATCAGCCCCAACACCAAGAAGCTCCGCTTCCAGCTTCCCGAGGACAACTCCGTCTCCGGCCTCACCGTTGCCAGCGCCCTGTTGACCAAGTTCAAGGCTGAGGGCGCCGAGAAGCCCGTCATCAGGCCCTACACTCCTACTAGCGATGAGAGTAAGCCTTCTAACCCCTTTGATCTCTCCTCCTTTGAAGCAAGAAGGTCATCCCCCACCCCTCGTTTTTAACCCTGCTAACCAAGTATCCGTCGCGCCCTTTCCATAGCCACCCAGGGCCACCTCGACCTCATCGTCAAGAAGTACCCTGACGGCCCCATGAGCACCCACATCCACAACCTCAAGCCCGGCGACACCCTCGACTTCAAGGGCCCCCTCCCCAAGTACGCATGGGAGGCCAACAAGCATAACCACATCGCCCTCCTCGCCGGCGGCACCGGCATCACCCCATGTACCAGCTCGTCCGCTCCATCTTCTCCAACCCCAACGACAACACCAAGGTCACCCTTGTCTTTGGCAACGTCACCGAGAAGGACATCCTCCTCAAGCACGAGCTCGCCGAGCTCGAGAACAAGTACCCCCAGCGATTCCGTGCCTTCTACGTTCTCGATAACCCCCAAGGGCTGGGCTGGCGGCTCCGGCTTCATCACCAAGGACCTCCTCAAGACCGTGCTCCCCGAGCCCAAGTCCGACAACATCAAGATCTTCGTCTGTGGTCCCCGGGCCTGATGAAGTCCATCTCCGGCCCCAAGGTTAGCCCCAAGGACCAGGGCGAGCTTACTGGGTCCCTGAAGGACCTCGGCTACAACAAGGACCAGGTCTACAAGTTTTAAAAAATGGGTGGATTTGAGACGTGGGTGTTTCTCTCCTTAGTCCATTTTTTCGCGCCTGTTTTTCATCCAAAGCAGGGGCCGCTAGTGCCGTATAGCACCTGCCGCCGACGATTGTAGCGTTCTTCACTGTACTCGCGTAACAACATGAAGTGACATCAATTCCTGTGTATAGACTCAAGGTTGAGTAAAGGTTGCCTCGGCCGTGGCGCATGGAGGCTCTTTGTACTGTACGTATGCTAGTGGGGAGGTTATACAATATGAATGCATTGATTGATCCATGGATGCTATGTCCCTAGCCTCGATGTTTGTATCCCATTGCTCTTCAGTGTTCAATTCTAGGCACCAATCGGTGTCGTAGTACGCTCCATCTGCATCACCATGTTCCTTGCCCATCCTAAGTTCAGGCCGTTGGTGGAGTGGATAGGCACAAGGAAACAAAGATGAGAGAGTGTGGATGTTATTTACAAAACAGAGGACGAGGATTAAAAAAGTAAAATATTGGAGTCAGATAGTGTCCATTATCTAAAGCGCCGTAGCCCGTCTTGTTACGCCTTCGTCCTAAATGCCAAGAAAGAGCCAACTTGACCCGCCACAAAACCAGGAAAAAAATAAAAAAGTGCCAGAAGACAGGGACGGGAGAAAAGAAATGCAAAAGAAATAATGTCTTGTTGAGGAAGGAGAGCGAGTGGTTGTCTCTGTCCGGATTGGTAGAGACGGCTTGAAAGTTGTAGCAACCTCTTCCTTGTTTAAGGATTCTGTGCTACTGGTGTCGGCGCGACGCGCCGCTTCTTTGGTTCTTGGGGTTCGTCTTTCTCGGCCTCGCTAGCAGCCCGTTTTGCACCAACTGTGGCAGCGCTGCTGCGAGGAGTCTCTGGCGGAGTGGTGATTGGGATACCCGTTACCTTGCCCGAATTGGTCGCCGCAATCCCCGGTACACTCCCAACAATCAAAGGAGGGTTACTCACGACGACTGTCGATGCCTGGGTAGTGACTGAGGAGACTGAATTGGACCTGGCGGGTGAGCTAGGACGGCCACTAGGGAACGACACGGTGGATGTAGGAGGTGACGGGGCGGTGAAGGAGCTTGCTGAATTTCGGTGCTGGTGGCCTTGATAAGGTGAGGGTGGTGCAAACGCCGAGGTAGGTGTGAGGGCCGATGGATTTTGGGTTGCTCCAGAGCTGGCGAGAGCTGAGACGGTTGGGTTCTTGAAGCTGGGCACTTCTCCCGAGTATACATCGCCAAGCTCACCAACGTCAAACGATAATGTAGAGCAAAAGCCGTCAGAAGAGGTGATTAGAAGAGTCAGCCCGTCGCTTGCCCTATAAGGAGGATATGGGTTAGCATCAAGACAAGCTGCATGTCCTCCAGCAACAGGCGCCGAGAACTGTGGGCGGGGAAGGAGATCGGGGTTTTCTTACCATGTAAGGTCAGTGAAGGTAGCGCAGTGCAAGTTGCTTACAACGCAAAGGGGTGTCTGCTGTTGAGTATCGTAGAGGAGGACGGAATCCTGGGTAGCAACGGCATAGACCATCCGATACGGTAGCACGAACGCGGGCCTTGGGCCGGTTGTTGAGGCAGTAGCCCCGCCAGAGTCTCCTCCAGATGGCTTCGCCGGGTTCGAGGTCGGGTCTGAGGGGACAGGAGTAGGAAGTGGCGGAGGCTCCATGGCCGGAGGGCCGTGTGAGGGTGCGGAGAGGGGCTCAGGGAGTGAGGGGATCGGCTCTTCAGAGGAGGACGTATCAATAGTGATGTGTTTGGTAGTGGCCGGGGTTTGGCGCAGCTGGTAGAAGATCGGAGAGCAGCGCACAACGACGGACGGCTTCTTGTGGCCAGGAAGATGGGCGATTGGGGCCTTGTTGATGCCACCTCGAGTGTATATATACACAGTGTTGATAACCTCATAAGTGGGTTTCGAGTCTTTGTCAACCTGGTGTTGCGTCTGATACTGCCCTGAGGGTGTCAAAAGCAAACTGCCGTCAGGAGTGAAAGTTAATCGTCGGAAAAACGATGTCAAAGTCTCGTTTGCGTATAGGCTAGCATTCTTCATGCCTAGGCCAGTGCTAGTAAAGGTGGCTTGGGGGATGCTTCCATGGCCATCACGGCAGGTAGGGGCATGGACGGAGCTGGAGAGGGAGACCGCCGGGAAGAGAAAGAGGACCGCCTGCTGTGGCTAATCACGCTTGGCGGGTTCATAGGCAAAGGAAAGGAGTTTGGCGTTCCAGGGGCAGACGGAACCGGCGAGTTGATGGAGGCTGAGGTGACGGACTCGGGCGGGAGTTGCGCACGAACGCCAAAATCGGGGGTGCGGGACTACTAGAGGAGATGCGACGGGGAGGCAGGTCTGCTTTAGCGTGGCTTGCTAGTTTCGGGGGCTTCGAGTCGTCATAACTGTTCAATGTGTACTGCCCGTCTTTGGTTCGGAGGAGTAGATGTGAACGGACCGGTCCGAGGACTGCGTAGCGATGAATTCGTTAAGAGGATCCCATGACACTCCCTGGACATAGTGACTATGCTCCGCAATCTGTCGAACAAGATAGCCTGCAAGTTGCATGTTAGCGATCCGCGTAGAGAGGAATGCAGATGGGTGGCTTAAGGAAAAGAAGGCATCATACCGGACGCAGTGTTGTAGATGCGCGCAATGTTATCCATACTCCCAATGATGAAGTGGGAGCCATCCGGTGACCACGCTAGATCATAGATTTCTGCGCCGCTAGACCGGCACATATGTCTGGCTCTCCACGTCTCCTTGTCCTCGAGCCCATCAGAACCAAAGGCAGCTTGATGAGTTTCGGATGGTACCCAGAGAATAACGTTACCATCATCTCCAGCTGAAGCGAGAAGATCACCTATAGCACGCAAATGGATAAGCAAGATGTTTACTATCAGCCGTGATAACGACGAAGGGGTCTTCGGCTAGAAAGGGCCAGGGCACCATTACCTTTGGGAGACCATCTCACGACATTTACGGCCTGTGTATGTTTGGCTAGAGTAGAGAGATAGTCGACCTTACGGGACTCTCCGTCACCCTCGATTTTCCACAACTATATATGCTGTGAATTAGTTGAACCGGTCTACGACAGCGTTCCAGCGCCTTGTTCCAATAGTTGGGCCTCGGAGGACATTAAGAAAAAGAAGGGGGGCACATACCCTAACATTGTTATCCCCGCCCGCAGTGGCTAGTCTTCCCTTGCCGTTAGGCTCAAAGTGTGCTGAGTAGACGGGTGCATTCTGGTCATGCCAGTTGATAATGAGGGGTGTGCTTTTCATCGTGTCACAGAAAAGGGAGGGTCATGGACACCAGCGTGCTGGAAAGCCTCGGGGGATAATGAAGAAGTCGTCGGTGCACAATGAGACGACGTCCCAGCGGCGGTTTCGGGGTCGAAGATATAGAGCTTGCTTTGCAGGTGGCTAGATACGGGCTTTGGAATCGTCTGAGAATTAGCAAAAATGGCGGCGAGGAAGGCATTGAGGGGTAGATATCAAAAGAACCACCCACCCACTGCAAGGAATGATATCAGGTTATTGATTTTCAGGTGAGCTTACACTGGTCTACGGGAAGATCGAGAGACCTTCGAGGGTCCGAATCGCTGTGCTAGTCGCAGGTTACGATCCGGTCCACTCAGAGCCCTTGGGGCTTCTGGGTAATCTGGACGATGTGGTGATGGCGCGGAAGGGAAGTCAGACAGGGTTTCAACCGTGGAGCCAAGTGCGAGAACAAGGCCAGAGCACAAAAGTGGGATTGGAGCCGGGGAATCTGAGACGGGATATTGGAACGAGTCAACTATCGCACAGCGAGAGGCTCAAGCAGAAGATAGGGTTCGGGAGAAATGATTTCGCGGCGAGCTGTGCTCTTGGGGAGATGTGTCGTGGATTAGGAAGGGAAACACAAGGCCGAGATTAAGAATGGATGGATGTAGGTTGGATCCAAGGGCTGGAGGTCAATTGGCGGATTATGAGGTGCAGAGGTACTGCATAGTCCGATGCTTGGTACAAATATACCTCCTGAACACGTTTGGTGAGACGTGGATGTGGTCGTGGCCGATGGAAGAGCTTCTGGGGTTTAATGGAAAGCACGAGCTCGACAGGTGCCGCGTTTCGAACGTGTCTGGCCAATCAGATGGCGCATGATTGGAAGTCGAGCGGAGAACATGCACCGCTCGGTTGAACATGGGAGCAGCGAACCTCCAGTTGCAATAAAGCAACCCGGCAACGAGCCAGAGACTCAACCCTTGATCACTATAACCAGCAAATTCCCATCACGTGCGACGCCACGCTTACAACTTGGAACTTGAAGCCTCTCAAGTGCTGCATTGTCGGAAATCCCCGCCCGCCTTGACTTTGAGGGTGAGGCTACCTCAACCTGGCTTCGTTTCGAATTCCGCGTTCGGCCGCCTCATTCCTAGCCCTGTTGACGAGCATCTCTCCAGCAGATATGTAGTGGAAAATACCTAGATCGGGATCTCCTGCAATCCTGCAAAGGAACCGCCTCGGTCCCTTGCTCACCTCTCGTAGCATTTTGCCTGCTGCACCAATCGATGTTCTGGAGCAATTTTGACTGGACCTGAAAATGGAACAGCGCCTGCAGGCGAGACGGCTTCATCCCCTTCAGATCCGAGTGTCTGTGGCCTGGTCTTTCGGTGCGAGCCCCTTGCCTGCAGCGGCAAAGCACTTCATTGGAGAGCACCCGGATAGTTTTCTCTTTGTCGACCGAAAGAATTTTTTTCTTTCTTGGGTTGTCTCGATTTTTTTCGGTCCATTGGGGGCAGCTTGGGAAAATATACCCCAGCATAACATCTAATTCCTCTTCCACCCCTTCCCTTAGATATATTCGGACAACTTCAAGCATGTTCTATCAGCTGGAGTTCAAGGAGACGGATTTCGAAGCATCCAATATTAAACAGAAGCAGTAGGGGGAATTAGTGAAGTTGCCATCCCAGACTGCCCTGCAGCACTGAAACCAAGCCAGCAATCAACCGGCGAGTCCGATGCTTTTTCAATGAGGGAGAGCCGCTTGTGCCGGCGATCCTTCGGCTCATGGTATCAGTGCACGCAAATACAGCAACGAATTGCGGGGAAAGGTGATTGTCCCAGACTGGGAAACGGCGAACGCTCAACAACAAGATAGGGAACATTGAATAGGCAGCAAGTCACGCTGGATACGAAAAGGTGAGTTAATCGGAAGCCAGCCGATGCTCATCCATTCTAGAGGTGTATAATTGGTTTGTGAGGGTTGCGGAGTTCAGTTCAAGGAGCAAGGTCCTTTTGATCTCCATCAAGCTCACTTCAACCTTCCCGTCACGGCACAGCTCCCAGTTCTGGAGTTACATTCGTTGGCTGCTCTCGCTGCGGGTGATGCTCGCCGAAGGCTCGATTAGCTCGCTCGGATCTCGCCCCTACTTTTTAGGCATCAGCGTCCATATCAATGTAGCGTACGAAGTATGTAGTCACGACTGTACCTCTCCATCCATTATATGCCATCATATCCATCCATCTTCTCCGACAGGAATACACCCAGCCCACCATTTTTTTGACGGCACTTCTTGTATGCTGGAGGATTATCTGACCGGGCACGGGCCGATGCGGCTAGTTCGACTGAATTTATATGTCCGGATGAATCACTCAAACATTGAGAACTGATCAATGATGCTACCCACACAGTTAAAAGCCGTTATATATACCTCGTAGTATCCCACGCGTGAAGCAGACAACTTCGATGCACCGCCATTTTTGTTTCTTCCCGGGACAAGAAAGATAGCTGGTGTAGCAGGCTAAACAATCAATCGCATTGACTAGAGGCAAATCCTTCGTCGCCGAAGTTCTCGCTTCGGTCCCGATCCTCAACGTGTGATATCTCTCGGCTTTTCCACAATTCACTTGTTCTTTCCGTTCTTCATTTTAAAGCTCCCCCCTCCCCCACCCCATATCAAGATATTCATTTCTTCCCCCAGCCACCATCCTATTCTCAAGCTCGACTCTAGCGGAGTAGTCTCGAGTGTTTGAGTGTTGCTCTAGAAAATAAATACAAACCAGCACCTCGTTGTGGCTGGTGTCCCCTTTTCCGCGTTTCGAAAAGAGACCGCTCTTCTCGCGTCATCGGGGCTGACTGGGGCGTCACAAAACCCCCTAAGCTCACCCATTGTTACCGCGATCTTCGTCCGCTGCACCGCGCGATCAATCGTGCTAGCAGCCTAGCGACATGGAGGGCAATGACCCCGTAGACCAACGCTTCCGCATCGAAGCTACTGCTACGGTCGCGATCGCCTTGCTAACTTCCATACCGGCCCTGAGGGACCTGTTTGGCCTCAATCCACGATCCACCTCCCAATTGAAAGATGGTGCCTATAAGGATCGAGACGGTGAAAGCACGCACGAAGATGTGGATAACTTTTCCAACGTAGTCCCCAAGACTGCTCTCCTTGTGTTCTCCATCTTTGGACTCGCGAGCTCCCTCTACATCTCTGTCGTCGACATAGTCACAGACTCCAGCACTATTTTGCGCACTGACAACTGGTTCTACACAGCTGTTTGGGTATGTACTCTTGAGGTTGAGAAATGAAACGCCGGGTTCACTGACGGCGAGTGGTTATCAAGGTCATATATCTGTGCAATTCCGTTAATATTTTTGCGCGCCGGGATCCCGTTCGCGCGTACGAGCTTGGAACATGGCTCTCCCTCTCTGCTGGCGTTCTCTTGCTGGCATCCATGGACCTCGAATATGCTCGAGCTGTTTACTCTATAGGGACTACTCCCCTTTTAATCATTGCGAGGACCCTTGGTTTCGTTTCCGTTATTGGATTCTTATTTGCCGGCATGTCGCTGCCGAGGCGTCCTGAGGTTCACAAGGATGGCCGGGTGGTGAATGGGCACTATACAGCCCCCTTGATCAGTAGAATAACTTTCAACTGGAGTCGCCCGATGTCGAAGCTCGCCAGAGCGAAGAAGGATCTAGAAATTGAGGACTTCCCAGCCCTGAGCTTTGCAAACCGGAGTGCGGACTTGTCAGCGGTCTGGGCTGCGTTCCCGACACAATCTCGGCTATGGAAGTCCATCATCCGGCGCTATTCTGGTAAACTGACCATACAGATGAGTCTGGCCTCCATTAAAGGTGCCAGCGGCTTCATCCCCCACTGGTTCACTCTTAAGCTGCTGGAGATGGTGGAACGAGGAAAGGAAGGAGGAAATGGCCCGTTGCCATTTGGTTCATCGTGCTAGGCCTCACTATTTCCATCTTCGCCGACGGCGTGAGTTTTTAACCCCCAAAACCACCATTCTTCCTCTACTGACAATCCCATTTTCATCGTAGGCGATCGAATCCTGGCTGTATTGGCTTAGCAACTCCGAGATCTCACTCCCCATTCGTAGCCAGCTCTCTGCTTTGATCTTCGAAAAGTCTATGCGCCGAAAGAATGTCAAGACCGCCACTGGGCCCGAAAAAGAAGAAGAGGATAAGAAAGATGGGAAGAAGAAGAGTGACTCCGGTGATGAGAATGAGGAGCCTACCGAGACGACGCCCCTCATCGGGGGAGTAAGTCGGGTGATGATGCTAAAAAGGAGAAAGAGGATAAGGTGTCATCTCCGCTGAAAACCAGACAAGGCATTATCAATCTCATTGGCCTCGATACTGTCCGCGTCTCCTTCTTCTTTACCATGCAGTTCTACCTCATTAATTCTGTTACGAAAGGAATTGTCGCCATTACTCTTTTGATGTACCTTCTCGGATGGATCCCCGTCGCTGCTGGCGTTATGTCGGGTCTCCTTCTCGTCCCAATCAACAACCGATTCTCCAAGATGTACGGGAGAGCCCAGGAACGCATGATGAAGGCGCGGGATGAACAGCTTCAAGTGGTGAATGAGGCCCTGCTGGGCGCTCGGCAGATCAAGTTTTCTGCTCTTGAAGATGGCTGGGAGAAGAAGCTGATGGCCGTGAGGGAAAAGGTATTGAGGACGATTTGGGATGCTTTCCTCGCCGACACCGCACTCGTCGGCTGTTGGATCATTGCCCCTCTTGTATCCTCTGCGACGGCGCTCAGTACCTATGCTATCCTAAATGACGGGCTAACCCCTAGTGTTGCATTTGGTAAGTGTAGTAACCCTGGAGGCACCTTGACCTGCGAAGTGCTAACCTCATATCGACAGTCGGTGTCGCCGTATTTAGGAGTTTAGAGTCCGCCCTCTCCATGATCCCCGAACTTATTTCCGAATTCTTCGACTCCTGGATCTCCATGAGCCGAATTGAAAAGTATCTACAAGGACCCGAACTGCAGCAGACCGTCGAGGAGGGGACTGACATTAGTTTCGAAAACGCCTCTATTGCCTGGCCGGTCGATGAAGAAGTAGACGAAGCTGACCGATTCGTTCTTCGGGACCTTGACCTGACGTTTCCGTCTGGCGAGTTGTCTGTGATCTCTGGAAAAACAGGAAGCGGCAAGAGCCTGATCCTCTCCGCGATCATTGGCGAGGTAGACCTTCTCGCAGGAAAGATTCGCGCCCCGCTGGCGCCACTAATATCCGAGAGGTTCGACAATAAGGCTACCCCAGACAGTTGGATCATTCCGAGCGCCAAGGCCTACGTTGCCCAGATCCCGTGGATCGAGAATGCCTCCTTGAGACACAATGTTTTGTTTGGGTTGCCATACGACGAGCAGCGCTACAACGCCACCATTGATGCCTGTGCCCTACGCAAGGATTTGGAGATACTAACGGATGGCGACATGACGGAGCTCGGTTCGAATGGCGTCAATCTTAGCGGTGGCCAGAAATGGCGTGTTACGCTTGCTCGAGCCATCTACTCTCGCGCCGGTATCTTGATTCTCGACGACATTTTCTCCGCTGTTGACGCTCACGTTGGCCGCCACATCTACGAGCAGTGCTTGACGGGCGACTTGTGTCGCGGCCGTACCCGCATCCTCGTTACCCATCACATCGCCCTCTGCCAGCCCAGGACAAAGTTTGTTGTGGAGCTTGGGGACGGCTCTGCCCGGTACTCTGGGTTTGTCGAGGATCTACAGCACGATGGCACGTTGGATCTGATCAAGCAGCACGAGGAGGCCCAAGTAAAGTCAGACGAGCAAGAGGTGGAACGACGACTTGAAGACTTGGACGGCGACGGAGGGCCCCTGGCCAAAGTAGCTTCAAAGGCAAAACCCACACCAAAGCAGTTTGTCGAAGATGAGAAGAAAGAAAAGGGTTCCGTCAAATTGAACGTCTACCACACGTACCTCACGTCGAGCGGTGGATACTTCCTCTGGGGTTTCGGGATATCCATGTTCCTTTTGTCGTCCGTCTTGTCGGTTGGTAAGTGTCCTTGTTTAAAATCCCCATGCATTTGTGCTTTGATTCGGTATACCTAACACCTGACCCTCCAGGCCGCTCGTACTGGCTGAAGATCTGGACGAGCCCCAACGATGAGGAGGCGTATCACTACAACGAATACTCTGCCTGGATCGACGCCCAGTCCAGCAACGAAACCGTCTCCGCCACTGCCGGAAAAGACTACAGCCTCCGCTTTTATCTCGGCGTTTACATCAGCATATCCGCTACTCAGGGAATAATCAGCACGTTGCGATTTTTCTACACCTACTGTCTCAGTCTCAAGGCAAGCAGGGTGCTCTTCAAGAAGTTGACGTTTGCCGTCCTTCGTACCCCCTGCGCTGGATCGACACCGTCCCCGTTGGGCGTGTGCTCAATAGGTTCACCGCCGACTTCAACACCATTGATACTTCCCTCGCAAGGAATGCCATGTCTGTGGCTAACGCTGGACTCAATGTGATTGCCATCTGCGTCGCTACGAATATCGGCACTTGGTATCTTTTTGCCCCTGCCATCTTCCTCAGCATGGTCTGTGTCCAGCTGGCGAAGCGATATCTTGCCGCAGCACGCCCGACGAAGCGCCTGGAAAGCAACAACAAGTCGCCCATGTTTGAACTTTACGGCTCTGCGCTCTCTGGCGTAAGCTCCATTCGAGCGTTCGGCAACGGCACGTCATACATTGAAAAGATGTACGGCCGAGTCGACAACTACATTGTCACGACGTACTATATCAGCAGCCACAATCGATGGCTCAACTTTTGGATGATGGTCGTCGGAACCATCTTCACGGGCATAGCTGCCACCCTCGTTCTGCTGACCGACGGCATGACTGCTGCGCTCGCCGGCTTCACCATTTCCTTCTCCCTGGACTTTATCAACTCCATGAACTGGCTCATTAGGACCTACGGAAATATTGAGTTGGATATGAATGCTGCGGAGCGTGTCATGGAATATATCGCGCTCGAGACGGAGGATCTCGGCGGTGAACATCCACCCGCGGCGTGGCCAACTGAAGGAAAAGTGGAGGTCCAGGACCTCGTGGTCGGCTATGCAGATGATCTCCCAGCCGTCCTCAAAGGCATCAGCTTCACCGTGAATAAGCAGGAAAGAGTTGGTGTGGTGGGCCGTACGGGTGCGGGCAAGTCTTCGCTGACCTTGGCGTTGTTCCGATTCCTAGAGCCCCGATCAGGAAAGGTTATTATCGATGGCTTGGATATCACCAAGCTCAACCTAAAGGATCTTCGATCGCGCCTAGCCATTATTCCACAGGTAAGTGAAAGTTTCTCAACTATTTTCGTTCGGGAGAGTAAGTAGTCGAAAAAGAGTATAGACTAACAAATATTTCAGGATCCCGTGCTATTCTCAGGCACAGTTAGATCAAACCTCGATCCCTTTGATGATTATACGGATGCAGAACTCCGTGATTGTCTCGAGCGGGTGCATCTGATCTCCTCTTCGACCCCGGGCACCGCCACGCCCTCTAGCTCGGCCAACACGGCCGCCGGCCCGGCCAACGCCAACATTTTTGAGAACCTCACAAGCCCCATCTCCGAAGGAGGCGGTAACCTCTCTCAGGGCCAACGCCAGCTTTTGTGCCTCGCCCGAGCTATTGTTGCGCGGCCGAGGGTCATGGTCCTCGACGAGGCCACCTCCGCTGTTGACATGCACACCGACGGTCTTATTCAGCGCTCGATTCGCGAGCAGTTTAGTGATAGCACGCTCATCGTCATCGCTCACCGCCTGTCGACCATTGCTGACTTTGACAAGATCCTCGTACTAAGCGACGGGGAGGTTGCCGAGTATGGTACTCCGGCCGAGCTGTGGGAGAAGGAGGACGGAATCTTTAGAAGCATGTGCGAGCAGAGCGGCGAAAAGGAGAGGCTGAGGGATATTGTCCAGGGAAAGGAGTAAAAGAGGTGTAATGCACTCTCCCTCAAAACACGATGCCATACACGAACGGGCTGGGATGTTGGTACTCTCTCGTGGCAGACCAACATTTACAAGACATATTTGGTGGGCGGTGAAGGAACGCTAGACAGAGGTGAAAAAGAAAAGTTTGGTTTCATAGTAGGACTTAAGAGGATAATAAAAGTTTGGTTTTTGGTATTGAGGCTATCTAAGATCGTGGCATCGCAATCCACCTTGCAAGTGAGTGAAGCTCGTGGGGCAGGTTCAGGTTCAGGTCTGGCTTGGGCTTCGAAGAACGGAGCGAGTAGCTATACAGCATGTTATACTGACGGAGTTTTCCAACGGGCGTTTGGTCTAGGGGTATGACGTCAGTTTTGCATACACTTGAATGCCTACTGAAAGTCGCTGGTTCGATTCCTGCAACGTCCACAAAACTCTTTTTTGCTACTTTCCACGACACTACCAGCTCCGAATGGAGTGGGGTTTTGTATTTTTGGTTGCGCTATGTTCTTCTCTTACTACCTGCAACCCGCGAGGGAACGGTCGCGTCTCCACAGCCTGACTACAACTAGTTGAGGCCCGAATTGATGTGAAGATGATGGGCGGTCCCGCTCAAAGCATTTTACACATTGTGCTGCACCGAGGTAGATAACGAAGGAATTAACAGATTGACTGTTGCTGTGTTTGGTCCAAAGCAGGCACGACCAGCTTATAAGTATAAGATATCTCGGCCGGGTCGGTCAAGGTGCGCCAAGCAACGCGGCTTCCGTAACCCTTCACACTGTTGGCAACATCCATCCCCTGCCACGCGATATTCTCCATTGTGGCGGAAGGCTCGAGACACAACGCACATACCACCAGCGCCGCTTTGTGTTCAACGAATCTTGGGCTGTATGCAACTATTGAGTTTGGGTTCAATTTTGCTCTTCTCAAGGAATAAATTTTTTTTTCGTACGTGTGTTTGCTTGCAAAGAGATGGCACCTTCTCTCCCGCTCCTTTCGATAATACCCAAGCTAGTCAAGAACCCCTCCGGTATATATTCATATGCTTCATGACAAACTTGGAGGAGCTCAACAACAACGGCCATTATGGCGCCTGTAGGACAAACTTTAGGGCCCAGGGACTCAGGAATAAAGCCTACGTATAATAGCACTAGTCTACGGGCCACTCGGGCGAAAACTGAAAAATATAAAAGGAAAAGAAAAGTAGTCACATTCATATACCAGTGCCAGTGGACAAAAAAGCCCAAAAAAATTGGTAGCTTCTCTTTGATTGAGCGTGTCATCCTTGTGCAGGGACCATGCTAATCTGTAGGGGACTCAGTTAGTATATCGCTGTAAGCGAGGAATTCTTGGAGGAGATATTTACCTTCTCTGTATTTTTGCAAATTGACCAAATGCCCGAAGGCGAAAGTAAACCTTTCTAATTTGATATATAAGGCCTCCCTAACTGCCCCACCCTCCCAAAAAGAGCAGCAGTCATAATACACTCCACTCCACCAGGGAGCCCCGCGCAGCCCGCGCGCAACTGTGAACAAATTTCAGAAAAGAGCAAAAATGCCTCGGCGCATTGAGGTGTAGACAAACCACTCCTCAAAAGCACAACCTCCCCACAAAAAAGATGAACAAAATTTGATGGATAATTGTTCGCGGAATCCAGGGTCTTATGAACGGGTGCTCTGGTGAGAGGCGAGGACGGAGGAAGAAAACGAGAAGAAAAAGAAAAACGAGGGAGGGTGGAAGCGAGGGAGCCGGCGTATTCATTTGTCTTGAGGGGGGTGGGGTTGATGCCACTTGCTTCCTCCCCACACTACGGTTGGTCATCCTTGATTCGGGCGAGGGGTTAATAAGTGAAGGGGATGGGCGAGACTAACGTCGGGACTTACATGCCGTTCGACTAAGAAGGACTGCAAGCTGCTTTTCATTTGGCGCATCAAAGCTTTACGACCAGAGGCTGGCCAACGATCCGAGATGTCTACCGCACTACTATTGTAGACATACATTGATATCTTATTACTTTTCACGGCTGGCTTGCCGCTGGTAGAAGGATAGGCTCTTCTATATCGCTTGATCAGGCTTCATCTACTCACTTCTACTCTTCACAAGCCTCGTAATCCTACTCGTCCGGGCTTCCTGTCTTCTCACGCGGGATCAAGGCGGCTACACCAGTCGTCTTATTCACTGACTGTAAACCTCTCTTTCAGAAGTGCCATATTAAAGTACATGTTACTAGAACAAGAATGGTAGACTTGTCCATCATAAAACCACTCTTTACAAGAAGAGAGAGGCGAGGAACAGGGCGATGGACTGCATGACGGCGGCTTTAGACCTTGTAACAGCGCACCTTAATACCGTACAACTGGCCATTCATCACCTTTAGATTTAAGCCGACTCCTCATACCGGTTCCTGAAATACACCTCGCGCTTTCACCAGTGTTAGCGCGCCGGTATCGCCTTCAGCTCTATGGCCAGCTTGTGCGTATTGTGGCTGACAAAACGGCATTTTCTAGTATATATAAGAAGAAGCCCGGGAACTGTGACAAGGCCTTGGTCCTCGGGGCTGGGAAGGTGAAAATGGGTTGACAGTGGTCGAGCATTCGTTTGTTGGATCTTGCGGAGGGCACGCGAAGCCAGGTCTCGGTAGCATGTTGTCTAAGAGAATAAACTACGTCACGGGAGCCCTCGATTCTTGATCTACTGGCTCTACGGATTCACTGTAACCGAACCACGAACCACCTTTAGTGCGTTGGAGTGCTCATTTCAAGTTAGGATTTCGTTATGTCCTAGCTTTCTAATAACTAATAATTAGTCCCTTTTGTAAAGACTCGGAACCCCTATGGCCGAATAGAGGGGCTTCCGTGCTGGCGTGGTCCTAGAATTATATCTCAAGTGCGTGCGTGTGCTGGACGGGGAAGGAGGCCTACTAGAGATCACAACACCACGATCAGATGGCGCATTTTAAGGAAACAAAGAGCAATCTACAATTTGGGCGCACACGAGGGCCCCATCTGTTCCTAACAAAATCTCGGCGGCTGTGATGGTCTTTTGTGGAAGAAATGATCTGGCCTGTTCTCAAGACACACTGCCGTTGACGGCGGAAGAAGAAAAAGGGCAACGAGATGGCGAGTGCTGCAAGGCCCTGCTTCTTGAGCCCAACACCGCTTTCTTTTATTTCTTTATTGTATTTTTATTGATAAGTCCGGGAACTGAGAGTTGGCCGATCCGAGCTTTCCCATAATATCCTCAACCTCTTCTCCAACCTCAAGGAACTCTGGCGTTCCGGACCCGAGGTCAGACCCGGGGGTTAGACTCCCCGACAACTGTTTTGCAAGGGTGGTGGCTCCTGCTTGCGCTGAGGCTCGGACCGAGTCAATCAGTGCAGCGCAGCAGAAAGAAAAGAAGAAAAGGGCACCCACCCCCGAGAAAAAAAGGTTAAAAAGACAGCAAGGCGAGCGGAACATGGCCCGCAGGGTCTGCAGCCCTCTGGGTGTGTCGATCAAGGTGAGTTCTTCATACCGGATACTTTTGCCAAGGAACACCCACCATGGCGGAATATTCTACGAGTCGAGTCGATCGTTTGATTTGCGACGACGGACGGGGTGGATGGAGGATTGGGGGCGCCTGGCCTGGCTTCCGACTAAGACAATGCTAGGACCTCCAATCAGCAGCCCACAGCACCCCTCTCAAGTGCTCTCTCGGGTTATTTGAGGGGGAGTAGAGCACATTGGCCAAGGTTGAGGGTGGATGGATGGCGGATGGATCTCTCCATGAACGGTTCAATTGAACCTCGAGGCCTCGACGAACGCACGCTCCACTGGACCTGAACCCAGCGATGCAGTACACCCAAGTAGAACTACATGTTCTTTTTCAGCAGCTAGCAACTCACTGGCTCGTCAAGGAAGTACTCCTCCCGCGCAGCGCCGCTTGTACCCTGTTAAGTCATAGGTGGTTCTATAATTGGCATCAACTGTACGACAGACTCTGTCCCTGGCTGTTGATTGGCGATCCCTCAACCTGACCAATGCCTCCTCGCTGGTCCTTGGCCAGGCCCTCCGCTTTTCTGTTCCCTGAGGGTCAGTTAGACTGTTGTGGATGGCTTGCTTGAAGAGATGCATAGCCGCCTGACCCAAAAAAGCCGCTTGCTTGTTTTCACCATTGGGGAGGGATGGTTGGGGTTATCTGATTGAAAAAGGGAAGAAAAAGAAAGAACACGCAAGGAGGTGCTGCCCCACGCAACAATGCACGACGTGATTTCCTCGAAGCTTCCGTATGGCATCGGGATATTGTCGCCTGCCCGCCCGCCCACTCTGCAGCTGTTCCGTGTTGCGTCCATCAGTCAGGGTTTTTGGGGTTGGCGTGGGGAGGGTCTTTTAGAAGAGCTCCAGGTACCAGTCACGAACGGGAAGGTGACGGCGTAAATTGCGAATCCCCATCGTTTTCATCCTTTGAGCGCTAGGCTGGGGGAAACTGGGGCGGGTAATCTCTCGCCAATTTCACGATGGAGTGGATGATGATGGGGGAGAAGGGTGCCCACCGGCTAGAAGGTGTGATGTTTCGGATTCGCTGGTTGCACGCAATAAACAAAGAGCGCTGCATCGGCAGCAAGGATGGTTTCTCAGTTCTCAGACTCAGCGCAGACCCATACAGACAAACGCAGCATCTGCTCAGGATACAGCCTCCGCAGGAAAAGCATGGCTGATCCCTGTCATCTCACCTCGCTGGATCAATTGCAGCGCTGGCTAGTCGTGCGCCCGGCTCTAACCCCAATCTTGCCGCGTGCTGGCTCCACCAGCTCACGGACGATTTTCCCTCTCGCTATTTGTGTATGTGTGTGCGTGTGCGTGTGTGTGTGTTTTCTCTTTCTTTTTGTTTTTTTCTTTCTCTTTTTGTGTGTGTTTTCCCCTTTCGCCCAGCTCACCTAGTCGCCTTCGTGAAGAGAGCGAGAGAAAGAGAGTTCCGCGATACCTTTGCTTTCGGCCCCTGGTAAGACGGATCTCGTTAGTCCAAGAGCCAGCCATGATGTCTCATCCTAGGCCCCAACATGCCGAAGGAGGTGTACGCTAGAGTATTAGCTGCTGGCTGGCTATCCTAGGCGCACGCACGCATTCGCCCGTCCAGCTTCCGTATGCGGTGAGCAGTGGCACCTAGCAAATGCAAGTGCATGCTGACGGTGTCGAGAAACCAAAGAGATTGGTGTTCACCTCTTGAATACATGGGCGAAAGTTCGAGAATTTTTTGATGGAAGGAGATGCAGCTGGTGGGGCGGTTAGTTAGCGAGGGTCTTTTCTGCATGCTTTGGGGTAGTTTGTTTCACCTCTTAGTCGATCTCGGATTTCCAGTTCTCTCGTCCCGTCTTTCGCCAAAACAAAAACCCAGCGGATCAATTCAATTCAGCAGGTTCCTCATGCCTCCTCCGCGCCCCCATTTTCTCACCCTCTCCCTCCCACTCTCTTTCTTTCCGGCTGCCTGACTCGCCTCTAGTGCTTATTGCGATGGATGATGGTTTGCGTGTAGTTGATTCGTGCTTTGCCCCAAGAGTGCATCTAGATGTGAGATACAAGATGTCGTAGTGGCTAATAGGCCAATGGATCCATTGGATCAATCCAAGCGAACTTGAGCCCGGAGGTGCGTAAGATCAGTGGGACTGTCCGTGCCATCGCCGCCATGCTCAAGTGCTGTTTGCTCGCAAGAGTCTCCAGAAAGTTCCAGAGGACCCAGAACTGAGACTGCCTGACTGTCAGGGATACACTAGCACGACCAGTTAGTGAATGGGTTAATGTCACATTGGGGAGACTCAAATCGTCTTGTACCCGAGCCGAGACCAACCGGTCCCTCCAAGTACCTCTACAAGTACCAGCTTTTCGAGAGCCTGGTTGGGGTATCAGCCGCCTGGACCCTCAGAGGAGGCTATCATTGATCAATCCTTGCCTCGACTCTGTGAACGCTCCCGCCTGGGGTTGCCAGCTCGTTGGTGTTGTTGCTCCCTCGCCTTTCCTTTCCGTTGCTGGTGACCCGTTGATCCTCTCATGTTCTGGTCTGTCCTCCCAGCCAGAAACATCAATAGGACAGGCAGAGGGCGGGTTGGACACCTCAAGCCCCCCTTCCCCAAAGACAGAACCCACCAGCTAGCCGTTGGCACCACCCATAACAAGGCACCACGAGCGGTCCAGCTTTGCTCCCTCCAGCTCCTGGCGCTTTTTCACTTCATCTCAGAATCTCGGATTGTAAGAATAGCCGCTTCCCTAGCAACACCTTTTTTCCTTTTCCTTCAAAGGCATCGCCATTCCGCCCCGGTTTCCCCACGTTAGGCGTTCGTATGCAGGACTGGACTTCCCTGCGCCCTTTCCCGTTCTCGAAGCTGGGATGAGAATCGCCCCGAGCGCCTTCTCACTCATAATTCTCACTGCCTTTCCCTTTACCATTCGTTTGGCAGCGCTTGATTGCGCCACTTCACGCCGTTCTTGTGACCCCTGCGACAGTTGTCGATCCCTCACCTAATCTTCCACACTTTCGCCAGATAGCCTCTAGGCTTCCCTCCCTTTCCTCCTCTCCATATTCTGGCTCTCCATTTTCATAATCACGATTTGGCATTGGCATCTTTGCCACCACCTTTCAATATCAACCGCCGTCGCAATATATTGCAACAATCATAGGTGAGTTGCCCTCCCAGCCCTTTTCGTTGTTGGGTCTCGTTCCCCACCAGCCTCCCTTCCCCCTCCTCCGACTTCGATTCGATTGCCTGCCTCTTCTCATGCCATGCCCACACGAGACACCCCAACCACACGCACACACTCACATATGAAATCCATCGTCGGAAGGGAAAAAAAAGAGGAAATGGAAACGACTAACGTTAACAACAGAGACTCTAGGCAGGAATTGAAACACTTTTCTTCTCCTCTTTTATTTTCTTTTATATAAGCCACTCCGTCTTTTTTTTCCCTCCCCGCGCATCCCCTCGACGGCTGCTTCGATTGTTCAACAAAAGCCCCGCTTTCCTCGTCGCCTCCGACGCCTGCCCGCCTGGCATCTTTTGTTTTCGCACAACCCGTTCCCGCCCAACGTTGTCGTCTGCCCGCACCTTGCGCCCGGGGTAATCGCAGGTGCTTGGCCTCCTGATTTTGGGCCCCGCCTCAATACTCTGGTTTCGTAGCGCCAGCTCGACGCCGAGAATGACCACGACTATGTCATCCACCTCGTCCCCTGCTACATCTCCACAGCCAGTCGCCTCCCCGGCACCAACCACACAGCACTGCCTCCCTCATAACCTCGCCCCCTCCCGACGAAGTACGCTCCCGAGGCCAATGTCGCACGCTTCGAGGCACCGGCTTTCCCAATACTCGACGGGCTCCGGCGCCCAACGGTCCAGGCCACCCTCGAGTATCTTACCGCTATTCCCCTCGAGCCTGTCGTATACGCAAGTTCGAGACTTTGCCTACCCGCCGATGCACCAGCTCCATTATGGACCTCCCCGGAACCATCCCGCCCACCGTCCGGCATGACTACTCCCGCGAGCGAGAGCAAGCGGTTCTCCGATCCCTTGGGTCCGTCTTGGGAAAGCAAGGGAGGATGGGACCCCATCGGCTGGGGGCACGATACATCCAAGAACCCGAATGATATTCCTCCCATCCTCTTGGGAGATGGCCCGCCATGGAGCGAGGACGAGGATTTACAAAGCCCCATCGTCAGTTCTCGCCATCGCAAGCACAAGTCGTCGAGCTCGTATCCGCGGGCCAAGCATCACCACCATCACCATCACCACCACCCGCCCAGTCACCACCAGCATCACGACAGTCAAGAACAACAACAGGGCGAGTCGTCGGTAATGAATCCCGCCAACTACGATCCCGAGCGCGGCTTCTACGTCGGAACGAGCGGAAATGGGAGTGAGCGCTACTACGTAAACCAGGGCGGCGAAGCGAACGGGCCCGGCGGAGAATATGTGACTTATCCCGCAGATCAAGCGAGGCATGCCGACAATCCCTATCGACTCCACGATGAACAGCAACCCCGCCAATACCCTGATAACGAAGGCTATGGCTCGGACGCCTCTAGCTGTGCGTCGTCACCCGGCTACTGCGCCGAAGACCAGTCGCGCTATTCACGCGACTACCAATTCACTATCACATCCCCGACGAGGAGATGCACGGCAAGGCGGTTGCCCTGTACGATTTCCAGCGCGAGAGTGAGAACGAGCTTCCGCTTGTAGAGGGACAAATCATTTTGATCTCGTACCGGCACGGAGAGGGTTGGCTAGTTGCCGAAGATCCCAAGACGCAAGAAAGCGGGCTCGTGCCGGAAGCGTACGTCCGCCTACTAAGGGATATCGAAGGGGGATGAATAGCTTGTCGGCTACATTAGCAGAGGGTTCGGGATCGCCCAACGATGCCGGCACACCGACACAGGCCGAACATGGCATGGCCAACTTTGGCCATACGCCCACCACTAGTAACGCCTCAAACGGCTACCACCAGCCAATAGTCTCGACGTTCTCGACTTCGAGCCGTGATCTGGACCCCTACCCGACCCAGGCCCTGGGCATCAAGCTGGCCAGACCCCGCCCCAGGTCATCCATTACCATGGCCAACGAGGCGGAAGTCAGGCAAACACCCCGACCCTCTCGAATCACCACGATGTCGGTATATTACGCCGCGGAAGTTTGGATACTGCGATTCGCCGGGAAGCCAGGACATCAAGCGACGAAGCGACGCCCTGATGACGCCAGTCCCCGAAAGCACACAGGAGAAGACAAAACCCGAGGCCAAGGATGAGGCAAAGGAATCCTGACCGTGGGAAAGAGGACTAGGCGGTGGCATGGAATCTTACGGCGCACGAAAAAGAGGATCGGGTCAGGAGGATTAAAGGGAATATACAGTGCCTAGAGTTGCAGGTACGGAAGTCTATGCGCTGTAGAGCTTGTTAGAGGCGTTTTCTTCTTGCTTATTCTTGTTCTTTCCTCTTCTGGTTCCTTTTTTTTTTTTTTTTCTTTTTCTGGTTTACTCGGCGCAACTCCTCGGTTTGCTGTGCCGCCATCTTTTTGTCGCCACGCGTTGCTCTCTTTACGACTATTGCATGGGATCATGAACCTGTACATGTACTATCGGACAGCGGGGGTTTCAGGGTTTTGCACATTTACGCGAGTTTCTTCTTTTGGCGGAGCGTTTCGAGCTTGGGTTGCGGTTCTTTTTGTTCATTTATTTCACCACCTTGTCCTTGCCGTTTGCAAGTGGTATTCTTCTGCCCCTCCTCCTGCTCCTTTTATCGTGTCTATGGCGTAGTGCCATGCTGGGACCTGGTCCGTTCTATAAACCCGGGCAAAGTCTGCTCTCGCAGCTGAGTAGTCGTCTTCTCGAACCGGAGCCACTCCTGCCCACGGCGGGAGGCTCGGGATAAGTTGTGGCTGGCCTCTTTTGCAAAAGGTTTCTCGGACTGAAAACTCTCCGGCGGACGCCACGCTCCATGTGAGGCCGCCGCTCAGTCACAGCACGAGGTTTTTCTTCTTTTGCTCATTAGAAGCTGCAGCGACAGGAAGCAGCCACTTCCGGCTAACCCAACGGACTAGTCATGGGATCGAGCAAAATTTCCGGGGCTGGATTGAATGGTTGAGGCGCAGAATGAAAAAGAGGCCATTGGACGATTACATCTTTGGGACGGGAAATAGTAAACTCGGTATAATGGTGCGAGTGTGGGTGGGAGTGGGAAATGCGAAGGTGTAGTGCAGAATGCCAAGGTATATCGGTTCTTGGTTAACAGAATGAAAGTTAGGAGTTTGGTAAATAATAGATTATTGCCAAACCAGCAGCATTCCCGGTAGGCGAGAAGGCAAGTATCTCTCTGTGTCTTGTAATAACTTTTTCTACCGGGTCTGGCGCGAAGAGGAGGTCCCAATATTTTCCATTATTTCCTTTCCGCATTGTTGACTTTGAGCCCCGAAACGCGTCTCCGACTAATAGCCCTGTCCGGGCCCAGAGGAATTCATTTATTTGGAGAAGCACGGGATATTACGAGGCATTCTGTGACCTTCTTACCCCCGGACGACTTCACACCCTTTAATTAGGCGGGACATGGATCACGATGGAGATTGTAGTAGCTCAGATTCATATGAGAGAACATTGAAGGTTCGGGTTATCGTGTCCCAAGTGGGAGAGGCGGGATGGGATGTACGCGTTGGCTAAATTACCGATACTTTACATGAATATAGGGTGGTGAGACTGGGCTATAGCTCTCTCAAAACAGTCATTCTCCTTTGGGACTTTTTTGTCCTTCTCTTCTTTCCCTTTTGGTTTATGGGAAACCCGGTGTGAGGGCTCGAGATGTGGGAAGAGGATGAATGACCTTCCTCGGTGCTCGGTTTAACGAGGACGATTATGCATATCATTCATGGACACGAGGATCGAGTCTGCTTCTTTTCGCGTGGAAACAGAAACAGAAATGGAAGAAAAGAACACGGCTAGGCCAAGGCAAACAGGCAGACGATGGATGAGAGATGAGATAAAGCGAGACAAGGCGGTATTTGACAGGCTGGCCCGCACTTTCAGAGATGGTCAAAAATGGACGTCATGTCACAGGTCAAAGAGCAGGTAAACAGTCGAATCGTGAGTCCCCCAGCGCAGGTTCCGGCTCCTGCGGTCGAGGTTGGGAAGTGTCATGGGCCGAAGTCAGCTGTTTACAAGTGTAAATTATCCACAAGTTTCCTGAAACGTCAGGACCCACCCTGTGTTGGGTGAATGAATCGGTGCACAGACCCATGAGGTCTCAGCGCGCTAGGCTCATGTCGACCCAGATACCCGTCGCCTAGCTTCGGTACATACCGGGGGAGGGCTGTTTGAGAGGTGGTAATTGGCTTTCGTGCTCGTTGCTATTGCTACGGGAAGTAAACAAAAGCCAAGAAAAAAGATACAGAAACATTTGACAACATTCCCCGATCAAACCAGGAAAGCTGGGCCAGCCCCTCTCCCCTCCTGCTTTGAATGGCTCATGAACCACCCCCACCCCTGCCCGGCTCCTACGCTATTATTACTCCGTTGACTCTTTCTGCAAACCGCGACGCTATTGGAGATCATTTTGGAACCCAGACGGATTTGGCAAGAAGGTCTCCATAACTGGTCTCTTTTCGAGAGGATAGACAGACCTGGCAAGCGGAGATTGGGAGACCTTTGATTCCATTTTCCTTCTATTGTCCATCGTCACATTCTCTCTTTTCGCCTCGATTTGGGCAGCCAGGCCAACAACATCCCGGAGACCGCCTTTTTCGCTTTTTCGTTGCTTCCGCGATCTGTGTTTTTTCCCTTTTCCATTCCTTCCCCTCTGAGAAAGAAGAAGAAGAAGAAGAAGAAGAAGAAGAAACGAGGAGAGCCCCCATCTCGTTGCGCTGAGCGTTGCTGAAGAAGAGTATCCATCGATCTCGGCCGCTCCGTCACGACTTTGATACCCTCGCTCCTGCTTGTCTGGGGAACGTGGGTTGATGGACCTGGTAGTCCTTTGTTGATTTTCATCGCACCTTCTTGTTATTAGACCGCAGAACATCGCAAGAGCTTGATACCAACCCTCGAGTGGCATTACGAACGACAACAATCACGAACGGACGCCCACCTCAACTACCTTTCCGATTATTCGACTATAAACAACGTGCAAATGTCAGCCTCTCCGTTTTCTTCCACCTGATAAAGAAGCATCCGGAAGGTTGACAACCCCTATACATAACGACGCCTACGCAGGCGCAACTATCCTATAAACAACAGCAAACAACAACACTAATCATGTCTTTCCGGCCCCTCCCTGAGGCAGTCGCACACGGCCGACTTCGCTTCGGGGGTAAACCGGCAGGCATCTACGACATCCTCGTCGGCGTCCTCTGGCTACTCGTACAACTCCGACTACAGTGCCCGGGGCTCCCAGTACTCGACAAACACAAGTCCCGGCCAGTCCCCTTACCTCGCCCACAAGCGTGGTCAGAGCGAACTGGTAAGATCACACACGTTTGACCTCACCGAGAGAGATGGAAGTCCGAGCCCGACGAAGAGGTCTGGTGGCGGACAGGACAACCTATACGCCACCATGAGGCAGTCCCTTCGCCCGCTACCTCAGGCACCGGCACAAAGCCCAGCTGTGGCCCCATCACCGCCTAGGCATACACCGTATCACGACCGCGGGTCCAGCGTTGATGTTGCGAAACCCTCTCTCCCACCGTCCCCGCGCTACTCCCTCACCTCCCGCGACCGAGGCCAAACCTTCCATGGCGGTCAGATCAGCTCGGCGGTGGCACCCTCGCCGCCTCGCACCTCCTACCAGCATGAGCGAGGCCAGAGCGTGGACGTGACGCTACCGGCGCTGTCCTCCAGTCACCGCAGCTCTCTTCAGCGGCATGAGCGCGGCCAAAGTGTTGATATGGGGAAGATGGCTGTTGCTCACCGCGAAGCGAGGGCACCGACTACGCCTCCTCGTCAGCTACCCTTACGGCCCAACTCCATGCTACTTACGCGCTCCGACTCCATTCGCAGAGATAGCCTGCCCCCAGCCCCTCATCCCAGCTCGTACACCACACAACGACCCACCTCGCGAAACCCGATCTCGAAAAGCTAGGCCGCTCTGCCACGAGCCAGCTCCGGACGCTCTCAACTCTTGCCCAGTCCGAATCCGCCGAGGACTTTGTCATCACATCTCCTGATCAGGAAGTCGTCGGTCTCCGTGGCCGGCGCCGACTCCAACGAGTGGGCAAGGAAAATAACAGGCCCGGCGCGGGCAACGGAGGGTACGGTTGGGAAGGCCGCAACTGGATGGACAAGCAACGTCAGTTCCTCCAAGCTTATGAATACCTGTGCCACATTGGAGAGGCCAAGGAGTGGATCGAGGACGTCATGAATAAAAGCCTGCCTCCCATCATCGAGCTGGAGGAGGCACTGAGGGATGGTGTGAGCTTGGCCGAGGTGGTCGAGTCGCTCAATCCTAACCAGCGGTACCGCATCTTCCGACACCCCCGTCTTCAGTTTAGGCACTCGGACAACATCGCCATCTTCTTCCGTTATCTAGATGACGTTGATCTGCCTGATCTCTTCCGGTTTGAACTCATCGATCTGTACGAAAAGAAGAATATCCCCAAAGTCATCTACTGTATCCACGCGTTGAGTTGGCTTCTCTACCGCAAGGGAATCCTCGACTTCCGTATCGGTAATCTGGTGGGCCAGCTCGAATTTGAACATCACGAGCTAGAGGCGATGCAAAGGGCCTAGACAAGCTCGGGGCCAGCATGCCCACGTTCGGCAATATGGGCGCCGACTTTGGCGTGGAGCCCGAGCCCGTAGAGACGGAGGAAGAGAGGATAGACAGAGAGCTCGGAGAGAACGAAAGATCCATTGTCGGCTTACAGGCACAAGCTCGCGGCGCGCTCACGAGAATGAGGCTGGGCGAGGTCATGAATGGTCTGTGGGACAACGAAGCCCTCCTCATCGACTTGCAAGCCCGAATCCGCGGCGACTTTTCACGGCAGATTGTCGACTACCGGATGGAAATGAGGAGGTTTGCCGTCAACCTTCAGAGCGCAGCGCGAGGATTTCTCGTCCGCCAGGGGCTCGCCAACACGGAACACTTTTGGAGGAGCATGGAGCCCGATATTCTCGAGCTGCAGAGCATGATTCGCGCGTCCAAGGTGCGGAACAAGGTATGCAGTGTGCAATCTCAGCTGGTGCGACACGAGGGGCCTGTTTGCGAGGTTCAGTCGATGGTCAGGGGCTTCTTGGTCCGGAAAGCACGGGCGGCCCAGAAACAGGAGACGGCGCAGTCAGCGGGTTCGGTGGCAAGCCTCCAGTCCGTCGCGCGCGGTATGATGCTGAGGGCGAGGATGGCAGAGGACCAGAGGCTCCTGCACGGACAAGCCAAGGCCGTGACGGCCCTGCAGGCCTTTGCGAGGGCGGCGCTGACAAGACACCAGATCTCTTCCCAGCTGGAGGACCTCGAGTCGTTCAACACCAATTGGGAGGCGCTGCAGGCTGCCGCCCAGGGCAACCTCGTCCGATCGCGACTTCACGAACTTCGCAGCGAACTCAAGTGCTTTAGCCCTCAAGTCACACTCCTTCAGAGCTTTATCCGCGCCGCTGCCGCAAGGGCGGCCGTTGCCCAAGACTTGGAGGCTCTGCAAGAAAACGAAGCGTCCATCATTGACCTGCAATCTCTGGTCCGCGGTATGCTCGTACGCCAGCAACAACGCGCCGACATTGAGGCGCTCATCCGACAAGAATCCAAGATCCGCACCCTCCAGGCCCGCACCCGAGGATACCTCTTCCGACAGCAAAACAAGCGGTTCCTCGAGGAACTCGAGTCGCATACGCCCCAGATTATCCAGCTCCAGGCGTTTGCCCGCGCCGTGCTCGCGAGGGGAGAGGTGGAGGGCATCGTCTCGGAACTAGAAGATAACGAGGACTCCATCATCGCCTTCCAGGCGCGAGCTATGGGCTTCATCGTGCGCAAGAAATTTGAAGAGAAGAAGAAGTACTTTAACGAAAACATGCAAAAAGTTGTCAAGATCCAGAGTTTTGTGCGGGCCAAGATCCAGGGCGAGGCTTACAAGAGTCTCACGACGGGCAAGAACCCCCGGTCAACGCCGTCAAGAACTTTGTGCACCTTCTCAACGATAGCGACTTTGACTTTAACGAAGAGGTGGAATTCGAGAGGATGCGCAAGACGGTGGTGCAGCAGGTACGGCAGAACGAGATGGCGGAGCAGTACATTGACCAGCTCGACATCAAGATTGCGTTGCTCGTGAAGAACAAGATCACCCTCGACGAGGTGGTCCGGCATCAGCACACCTTTGGCGGGCATGCGATGAGCATGATTGCCAACTCGTCCATCGCGTCGACGAACCAATTCGACCTCAAGGCGCTAAACAAGAGCTCAAGGAAGAAGCTTGAGCTGTACCAGCAGCTCTTCTTCAACCTGCAAACGCAACCGCAGTACCTTGCCCGCCTTTTCAGGAGGGTGCGTGAGCAGGGCATGGGAGAGAAGGAGGTCAAGAAGACGGAGCTCCTTGTCATGAGCCTCTTTGGGTACGCGCAAAAGAGGCGTGAGGAGTACTACCTGCTCAAGCTTGTGGCGAGGTCGATTCGCGAGGAGGTAGAGGGCTGCCGGACGGTGCAAGACTACATGCGCGGCAACTTCTTCTGGAGTAAGCTCGTGGCCAACTACACGCGTTCCCCGAGGGATAGGAAGTACCTTCGAGACCTTTTGGGGCCTTTGATTCGCGACAACATTGTCGAGGACCCCGCGCTCGATCTCGAGAGCGATCCCATGCAAATCTACAAGTCGGCCATCAACAACGAGGAGTTGAGGACAGGAAGACCTAGCCACCGCCCGCTAGATGTGCCTCGGGAAGTAGCCATCAAGGACCCAGAAACCAGAGAGCTCTTCATTGACCATCTCCGCGACTTGCGCGAGGTGTGCGACCAGTACCTTGCCGCATTCGAGGACCTCATGCCGAGGCTGCCGTACGGGCTCCGCTTCCTTTGCAGGAGCATCTTTGAGTCGCTCTGCCAACACTTTTCAGGAGCAGCAGCACCAACTCCTCTTCATGGTCTCCCACTGGCTCTGGAAGTTCTATCTTCAACCGGCCCTCACCACTCCCGAGACGACCGGAGTCACGGAGCGGACCCTGAGCCCCTCCAGAAGCGCAACCTCGGAGAGGTAGCCAAGGTACTGAACCAGGTGGCGTCGGGCAGGCTATTTGGTGGAGAGAACATTTATCTCCAGCCCCTCAACGCATTTGTGAGCGACTCGATCGAGAGGCTCGGTCACCTCATGGGCGAGCTCATCTCGGTGGCGGATGCGGAAAGGACCTTTGATATTGACGAGTTCAATGATTTGTACGCCAAGAACAAGCCCACGCTGTACATCAAGATGGCGGACGTGTTCGCGATCCACAACTTGGTGGCTGCGGAGCTCGCGCACATCTGCCCCAGCAGGGACGACGTGGTGCGGGAGATTGTACAAGAGCTGGGCAGTGCCAAGAGCAACGAAAACGAGATGACGGCGACGGGGTCGTCTGATATTCAAATGTTCCTAACGCCTAAGCTACACGACGTGGATGACCCCGAGGCCGAGGTCAAGGCCCTCTTCATGGAGACGAAGCGGTGCGTGCTGTACATCATCCGCGTGCAACAAGGCCCCAGCCTCCTAGACATCCTGATCAAGGCCATCACTCCCGAGGACGAGGTCAAGTGGCGGGCGTTGCTGCGCGAGGAGTTCTCGATGGCAAACCGCACCCGTGGGGCATACTCGGACGCCAACATGGTGGACGTGACGCGCATGACGTACCACGAGCTCAAGCGCACGGCGCTGGAGAACGTGCTGCGCCTGGAGCACATGGGCCGAATCTCAAAACAGAACCGATACCAGGACATCCTGAACGCAATCGCCTCGGATATCCGTACCAAGAGCAGGCGCAGGGTGCAGAGACAGAGGGAGTTAGAGGGTGTCAGGTTGACGCTCACTAACCTCCACGATAAGGCGAGATACCTAGAGCTCCAGAAGAAGAGCTACGACGACTACATTGAGTCGGCAATGGCGACTTTGCAGAACAAGAAAGGGTACGTTTTCATGGGCCCCCTTTTCCAACAGCACCCAAGCTGCCTCAAGTGGGAGGATTTAAATCGTTTTTACCTACTAACACTACCTTTCCTACGTATAGCAAGAAGAAGTTCCTCCTGCCTTTTACGAAACAGTACAACCACCAGAGGGAGCTAGAGCGGAGCGGACGGGTGCCCAAATTTGGCAGCTTCAAGTACAGCGTGCGCGACCTCGTGGAGAAGGGCGCAGTGGTCGCGTGGAAGGGCGTGAGCGAGCGCGACTGGGACAAGACGGACCTGACCATCTCGTGCGACGAGGTTGGCGTCTTTGCGTTTGAAGGCTCGCGCAGCCACATCCAGATCCCGGGCGCCAGTGCGCTGGTGTCGATCGAGGACCTCCTGCAGGCGCAGTTTGAGGCGAGGCAGTTTATGGATCTGTTTGAGGGGAACCTGAGGCTCAACGTCAACCTGATACTGCACCTCCTCTACAAGAAGTTTTACAGGACGCAATAAAAAAGGAACCGAACGAAACAGAAGAAAAAAATGAAGGGAGAAGGTGAAGAAGAGATAGGTCGGGGGCAAGGAAGACGAGAACAAGTCTGGAGTGTCTAGGGATACAAGGGCGAGGATGTGGAAAGGATGGAGTGTGTGGTGCATATAGGTTGTGCTTTTTTTCTCTTTCCCGAGGTCAGCTTGTTGATTCTCTCTCGTCATTCTCATATGGTTGCTGGGAGGAAAGGAAGGGAAGGTGGTCAGTCTTGAGGGAGCATGGCAACGGCAGTTCATTCGGTTTTTATGTGGTGTTGTTTCTCTTGTTCTTTTTCGTGGTGTTGTCTTTTTTCTTCTTGTTCTTCATTTTTCCATCTTCTTTTCCTGTTTCTTTTTTCTTATTCTTCTTTCCTCTTCATCTTTTTTCTAAAGATTATGTGGCCTCCGAGTCCTCGATCATGACGGATGAGATTAAAAACGCTAGTACTATTTTGTCACGAAGGAAACGTTGTCGGAAACATTTCTTATCTTCCCAAATGGTTGCATTTCATCCTTGCTTGTTGTTTCCGCCGCTTGCTTCAGCTCCCCCAGGATGTGAGATTCACCAAAGTGAAGATGGATGTCTATTAGCTATTAGATTGTTCTCTGACTATAGCATCGAAGAATACGTATTGATATTTGTGTTAGCCCTTTTGATATGTTGGGTTGTCCACACTGAACTCCCGTCTCTTAGCAAAAGCGAGTGAGAGATGAAGTATATTGTTTCCTGTTTTACATGTAACGAACGGGACATGCTTGAAACAAAAACGAAGCAGAAAGAACTTCACGCCAACATTCGGCCGGCTTGCAGCTTCGGGTTACTCGCCCGAGACTTTTCGCTGCCGGGTGGTCAACATATGTCATTGCCTAATATATATAAGAACCCTGAGCTCAGGACGGAGCGATGCTTGTTGAAAAGGCCGGACTGGCTAATACTCCTTCGCCGCCCAATCAGGGGTGGGATGGTCAGGCCGAGCCCCCAAAGGGAAAGTTGACGCAATGGCCCCCATTTTCTCACCGTTGGAGTATAGGCGCGACCGAGGAATGTGTTGGAGTCACTCGCTCTCAACAACGAGTCCATGCACCCTTCATCTCCAAGGGTGTCCTCACAGAGCAAAGGGCGTGGAAAAGAGGATGGAACAGGGGCTAAAATGCCCAAACGGGGATAGAACCTTTTACTCGGGGTCTGGGGAGGGGGTGGAAGAGGGTCTGGTGATCATGCATGTTGACTAAACGTTGGGAATGGCCAAGGATGGGATGGACGCATATTTTGTGGTATTGGATGCTTTCTTCACCGAGGACATGGTGGGGGATGATTAGTGAAAGATAAGAGCTTCCTCCTCTGCTGGTAGAATTTGTGTTGAAACCATTATTATTCGAGCAAGAAACTCGTCATTGATTTCCGGCAGGCTATTTCGCGAGTCGATCTTGTCCCTAATACGAATCGATATTCGCTTTTACCTTGGCACATATCGAACATGACTTTGGTTATTATAGCTTACGTCTCTCGCATTGCGCGTGACCAAAGATGAAATCAAAACCTGACTCGGCCCTCGATACATGTGGCAAACGGCGACTCCGACTTAGTTGATGGGTCTTTACAAAGGCTGCCTCCCAAGGCACATTGAATTGAATTGGTCTGCGGAAAATGCGTGGCCCGGGTCTGCACGCCCTCTCGCCTCGCATTAGGGCCCTTCTCGAATTGTTTCTAAGGAAAAATGAATGGCTCTTCTCCTTCAATGGACGCTGCAAGGATTAAAGCTGTTGCTCGGTGAAGCAAACATGAAGGCTAGAACGAAGACGTCCTTCGCCTGACTCGGATGGTTCCTATTGGGTCGGGCAATTCCTGCAGGTAGGCCGATCTTTATTGGGTGAGGACTGCACCTATTATCCAAAAGAATACTTTGTCCAAGAAACGCGGCCGAGCACTTTCATCCCCGGACAACAAAAAAGACGACACCTGGGGTCCCGGTGACGTGCCCGGGGTCAAAGAGGAGGAGGGGAAGGAATTGTAATCTTGATCACTTATTCAAACGACACCCTTACCTCTTCCCGCGCTAAGAACCCCTCACCTTCCCTTGCCGCCTTTTTTCCATTTTGTTTTCCATCCATTTTCTTTTCTCTCCGTAAGCCGGGGCCGAAAGCGGAGATCTGGGGAGGAATGGAATGGAACGGTTTGAAATGGATCCTATGAACCTCGAACTATCGATGTGTTGTGTGCACTCTGTACATTCCGTGTGTTTTGTGTGCGCGATGTTGGCTGTTGGCACGCACCACACCCATATTCTCCAGCCCTTGTTTTTGTGTAAGTCAACCCGAGAGTCCAAGCCGACGGGCGATAACGGCAATGAGGCAGCAGGGGTTAGGATGGAAATGGAAATGTGTGGAGAAGGGGAGAGAATGAGGCCAAGTTCCCTTGCTGGATTCCCTTTTTCTTTTTTCTCTCTCTTTCCTTTTTCTCTCTTTCTCTTTCTTTTTCGAGGCTTGCTCGATCTAGCCTAGTGGCTAGTGGCTGCCAGGACCATTCGATCAACTGCCTGCACCGTGTCGTGTAATCTCCCCTTGGGTGCCGTATTTGTTGGATTAGTGATTCAAAGCACATCAGCAGCCTAATTTCGGGCTAGGTTAGCCCTAACGCCGCCCTCGGACGAACCCTGGGAAAGAACATTCAACATTCAATATTGCTGGATTTGATTCGAGTACCGAATTTGCCGATTAGTTGCAAACCTACACCGCAGCGGGAGCGTGGTTAGGAGTAGTAGTTGACAAGGGGCGTGGAAGTCGTCTGCCACGCGTTAATACTGCGCAACGAAGAAATGAGCAGGGGACGTTGATTCGCCTTTGGGCTGGTCCCTTGTGGTTGATGGATCCCTTTTGCCATGGCTTGGGTTGGGGGCAACAAAACCACCCGTACATAAGCAAAAGGCCTTCGGTGAGGCAGAAAGGAAAGAGCAAGCGTGACGCCGCGCCTTCCTTCTCAACCTCACAGGCTATCGTGTTAGCCAGCGCCTTTTTTTTTTTTACATGCAAACACCATTTCTCTTTCCGTCTGTGACCAAGACAAAACATGCTCGTCAACGCTCAGCTGGTCCCACCGCTGTTTTCTTTTCTCATCCCTTGGGCGGCTCCTTGTAAAAAGAATGGTCGTGGACTTTCTGCCGAGCCGGCATCATCGGGAGGAATATAAACGGGACACAAACGGTGTGCGATGGGGGATTGAGTGAGTGTGCCAGCGTCTCGAGATGTGAACGAGACGAGAAGGGATCCATCCGGATGCGCGCCAGTTGCAATCTCGCAATTTCACCACGGTAGGGCCCTTTCCTCCGCACACACACAGGAGCTCTGCCTCTTCTTTCTGGATACGTAGTCCTTTATTCGATGCACTCTGCTCGGTCTCTTCTTCACCTTAGAAGCAGCCTGCTATCAATGACGCCCGGCTTTCCGCCTTTTTGTCGGGTGCCCGGATGCAAAGGATCGAAGAGAAGGGCGACACGCGAGTGTGGGGTCGGATTGCACCATGGCTGAGGCGAGAAAGGCTAAACGTTGCGAATCTGAATCCCGCCATCCGGCGCCCCTCCCTCCCGTCCTCCCTTTTCCTAATCTTCTCATCACAGTGCAACTAGCATTTTCGGTCGACAGCAGCTCCTTGAAGTGTCCTGCGCCCGACGGACGGTGTAATTCGGTGGAGACGAAGACCAAATGTCGGAATGGTTGCACTCATAAGCAGGATACTTACTAACAAGCCCGGGAAACATGAGTCTACCTTGAAGCTGTCCGGGCGGCGCAACGGGCCTACGCATCTTCGTGTCCGCACCTTTGTGTCCGCTGTGCTGGATTACATCTTGCATCAAACTGGATGCCTCGTCCGTGTTCCTCGGCTGGTGCGCAGCTTACACCACACAACCTGCACAATGCAGGCTCGGAATATATCGCAGACGGCCCGCCACTCCCACTGCGTGATATAGGGTTATCATGAGCTGGGCTTGGGTGAAATCGTAATTTACGGTTGATGCAAGTTTGCACATCCTTCACTCACTTTCTTTTGCACTGGTCCGATGATTCCCGAACTCGGCGCCTGCACGACGCTTCACTGTTGCTCAGCTACAGCATCACATTGCTGATGGGATAGGGAGAGTAGTACAACAATCCATGGCCGGCGTCATCGGCGAGACTCTGCTTGGATTCGGGCCAAGGTTTTGTTGAACCACCCCGGCGATAGTCCAAATCCATTTCCATCTCTGCGTAACTGTCAGCCCTCACCTCAGCTGTCCTGATCGTCGCGGCCAAGACATGATGCCTTCCCCACATTCTGCCGTCGCAAGTATGGGGATCTTCGACAGGGCTCTCTCCGCGGCCCCTCCCCCGAGTCACACATCGAAAGGCCATGAGGGTGGCGGCTAGCAGAGCTAAATACTTGTAATACACTTTCAAGATGGATGAGAAATCGAATTCCTCAGGGTGTGCAAACTAAATTACGCGAGCGGAAGGGGGATCTCATCACGATGTCACGATGGAGTATTCAGACCGAAGTGGGCGGTTCCTCTCTGACACAACCTCGTTCTCGGTGGAGCCAGCGCAGTGGCGTGCGATGTGCCAGTGTTGGCGAGCGAGCTAAGAAAGAGGGAGAAAAGAAAAAGAAAAAGGGTCAGTTCCGACAACGGGCTCACACCGGAAGCGTCGAGGGAATGGCCGAGGGGCGGGGATTGTCGTGTACTTAGTACAGCCCATGCCACTTCCCCAACCGTCAGGGAACTGTGCTTGTGGGGAGGACTAGGACGACGGTGGGGTGGGTGAGTATCCGGAATGAGAGCAGGCAGCGAAAAATAAAGAAGCGTTGCACTCACCAATTGATCAATGATGTTTTAGCTCCTTCGTCGCAAAGATAGGGAGACGGCATACGCTAACTTTCCAAGCAATGTAATCTTGCCTCTAGCGCCGACGCGCAAGATTGGTCTTCAATGTTCTCACATGTCGGCGAAGTGTGAGTCGCACAAAAGGGAAGCACGTTCAAGAGGGAAAAAAATTGATGTGGAGGGTAATGGAGGGGGTGTGAACCTACGGGTTCCTGACTTGGGATTGCGACTGCATGGCATGCGCTCAGCACGTTCGCAATGGAAAGTTTGTGAACATCTGAATGGCAGGGGCAGCCCCCCTCCCAAAAAAAAAAAATAACTAATGGAAAACAAGACCAAGGCCAAAAGTCTAGATGCTAGATGGCCTGGGCCTTGGCCGATGTCCTCAAATAGGCTTCTTCAGTCGATCTTGGCCATCTTGACCGTGGACTTGCCAGCATGGGCGGTCACCCGACTCACCCGCCATGGTGGGAGAGGGTAGAAGAGGGGAGAAAAGCAAAGGCGGAGAACTTTCGCTCTTCAAACGAAGATCGGTGGCTTGCTCAGCGCAAGGCGCACACCCCTCTGGTTGCAGGTTCCTCGTACGTATACGCCAAACTTTGATAAATGGCGTGCTGCCTGGAATTGATTTCATTCTGACGCAGATGCGGCAACTGGTGAATGGGACGACAATTTTGATATATCCAATGTTGCTCCTTGGACGGCTGTTCCCATAGTTGCTGCGGGCCGCCCGCCATCTTACAAGGCAATGTATGGGCCAACGGCTTATCTCAACTTGTGGCCAAGCGTCTACAAGTATGGAGATGTGCCATGGATCGATGAGGTTGGATCGATTGATGTCGGCCGTCGTGTCCAACACACGACTGCGTTGATTCTGCAGGCGGGCCAAAGGGCAGTCGTCCCCGGACGACGAGGGTTCGGGATTTCGCAGCGAATGAAGGCGAAGTTGAAAGGGGCGAATGAAGAAACTCGGGGGTGGATCTATCAAAAAGCGACAACCCCCAGACGACGAGCTGCCCCGCCGCCGGAACCACCATAGAAAACGGGATGAGCCAGTCGCGGCGGTGAGGAAACCGCGGCGATAAAATGGGACAAATTCGAATACTAGGGCGGAAGAGGCGTAGGGCATTGAAGGGAGGAAAGGGGAAAAATGGAGAGGGAGAGAAACGATGACTGGCAGAAAGAATGAAAGAGGGTCGTGTTCAAGTATACAGCTCAACGAATACTGTATACAAGCACAGAACCTACTTGTATTTTGGATCCCATCCCATTTTGATTCCGTTGACGCCAGCATTGAAGGGAAAGAGCAACGGGAGTCTCTACCACCTTCCATGGATCCAACCCACAAGAATATCCGCTGGGTTTATTGATTCCACCTTTGGTCCCGTGCCTTCCCCCAAGTTGGGCCCTTTTCCCTTTCCCTCTGCTCTCCTTCGATTTCGTATCTGCGTTTCCCGTCCGTTTTCTACCACCCCTGGTCCCGCCCTTCCTCTTATCAGATCGCTCTTCTTCGAAAGGTTCCGAGGGACCTAGGGTTCGGCCGGCGGACGTTCTTGCCAAGCGAGTCTGGCTCTCAAAAGGTCCCCAAGGGTCTCTCCCCAACCAGTTCCACACTTCATTCCCTCCCGCTCTTGACCTCTCGCTTGCACCTTTTCTGGCGTGGAAGCTAAAATACTTAAAAGTTTCCCTCCCTCCTCTCTCGCTCCTTCCCCCTTTCCTCATCACTCTGTTCTACTCCGTTCTCTCCAAGGAAGATCTCGAATCGGATTCACCTCGCTCGCCACGCCTTTCCAATTCTCTTTTACTCCTCACCACCTCTTCCTGGCGTGCTCATCATCTGCCACCGAACCTACTTTCACCGCTCCTAGGGTTCGACGTTGGGTGCTTAGTTTGCCCCGTTTTCGAATTTGATTCTCCGGCTTCACTTATTTTCCCCACGCAACGCACGTTGACCACCCCCATCAAGGCGCGCCGCCCACTCAGCCTAGGTGATTACTGATCAACAACATCAGCTTGCTCACCGAGCGACCCCTGCTTGCACCCTTATCTCCCCACAACTCACCGGCACCGAGATTTGAGATTGCGATTTACTAGCAGATCGCCTCAGCTCGGTATCGGTGTCAAATTTCACAAGGAAGAAATAATTCTAAAAAGAATATCAACGACCCGTCGTTAGGCAAACTTTTGCCCAACCCCGCCACATCGTTTGCACGATGGCACCAGATCTCAACTCTCTTCCCGCCTCTTCGGTGAGCCCTGCCGTTTTGAACACTACTCGCGGCAATGGCGCCTTCGTTCCCACCGCGGCCCCGGTGTCCGTGGGGAGAAGAAGCCCAACATTCTATACATCATGGCCGACCAGCTTGCCGCGCCCCTCCTAAAAATGTACAACCCCGATTCTCAGATCAAGACCCCCAACCTCGATGCGCTAGCCGCGAAGTCGGTCCAATTTGACTCGGCCTATTGCCCTTCTCCTCTCTGCGCACCCTCTCGCATGAGCATGATCACGGGCCTTCTACCTCTCAAGATTGGAGCGTATGACAACGCGGCGCAGATTTCGAGCGACATCCCCACCTACGCCCACTATCTTCGGCTCGCTGGCTACCAGACGGTGCTCGCGGGCAAAATGCACTTCATTGGTGACCAGCTTCACGGTTACGAGACACGCCTTACTTCAGACATCTACCCAGGTGACTTTGGCTGGGTCGTGAACTGGGACGAGCCCGACACGCGCCTGGAGTGGTACCACAATGCGAGCTCGATCTTGCAAGCGGGCACCTGCATTAGGAGCAACCAGCTAGATTACGATGAAGAGGTCATGTACAAATCGACCCAGTTTCTCTACGACCACGTGCGAGAGGGTCCGGATGCCCGACCCTTCTGCCTTACCGTAAGTTGCTCCTTAATCCGCCCATAACGAGCCGGCCGTGGCCGCCTGGGCCTTCATAGAGGATGAATTCATGGCTAACATTCCCTGAACAATTCAGGTATCCCTCACCCACCCCCACGACCCTTACACGATTGAGGAAAAGTACTGGGATCTGTACGAAGGCGTTGACATTGACCTACCTCAGGTCAAAATCCCAAAGGACCAGCAGGACCCTCACAGCAAGCGCCTGCTCAGGGTGTGCGACCTTTGGGACGAGGACTTTAGCGACGAGCAGATCAAGAGGGCCAGGCGGGCTTACTACGGAGCCGTCAGCTACGTCGACGACTGCATTGGCCGCCTTCTTGACACTCTCAAGCGCTGCCGGTTAGATGAGAACACCATTGTCGTCTTTAGCGGCGACCATGGTGACATGCTGGGCGAGCGCGGCCTCTGGTATAAGATGAGCTACTTCGAGAACTCGGTTCGCGTGCCACTTCTCGTCTGCGATCCCAAGAATTACGCACCCCGCCGCGTCACTTCGAACGTGTCGACTCTCGACATCCTACCCACGATGTGCGACCTTGCAGGTACCAAGCCTCTCGACGGCCTTAGCCTCGACGGCAAGTCTTTGCTCCCCCACCTGCAAGGCAGGCCTGGGCACGACAAGGTGTACGGCGAGTACACGGGCGAGGGCACGATTAGCCCTCTCATCATGATCAAGGATGGGCCCTGGAAGTACATTCACTGCCCGACGGACGGTACGCAGCTCTTCAACCTTGCGCGTGACCCGCTAGAGCTGGTCAACCTCGCGCAGCTCCTGCAGAAAGTCGAGCCCCGCACGTCTGAGGAGGAGGAGGCCAAGGTGAAGCTTGACGAGTTCGATGCTGAGACGGCGGCGCGATGGGACTTTGAGGCGGCATCCAAAGTGGTTGTGGAGTCGCAGAGGAAGAGGCGTCTTGTGTGGTCGGCACTCAAGATCGGTCAGTTCACGAGCTGGGATTACGACCCGATCGATCCCGGAACCGAGAAGTAAGTTCTAGCCTTTTGGACCCGCTCTACCCCCTTATTTTCTTCCTCCTTTGTCAGAATAATCTGCTAACCAACCTTTAGATATATCCGCTCGCACATTCCTCTTGATGACCTAGAGCGCAGGGCTCGATACCCCGCCGTGGACAAGTATGGACATGAAACCGCGAGGGTTCTTGTCGATCAAGCCGGATCACACGGCCAGTAATACACTACCCAAGGCGGTTTTATATCGTACAGGGTATACAGAGGAGTGGGGGTCGCGGACCTGTGCCTGCAAAGGTCCGTCGTATTGCTTTCGAGCAAGAGATTTAATGTAATGAACGACATCTTTGGGGACGACTTTAAACCCCCAGTAGATGGGTAGTATGTGGTTTTCGGCGTTTTATGAGACATGACACCGCAATGAAGGCCGTTATACTATGCGGCAGGAGGGGAACGGAAAAGGAAACTGAAGCAAGGGTAGAGGGGAAGAAGAAAAAAGGAAATAAGAGAGAAAACAAAAAAGAGAAAAAGAGACTAAAAAGAGGAACAAGAATAATAGCCAACTATTACCTCGGTTTTATAAAAATTGAAAAGATTCAATGTTATTTTGGCCTCACATTGCCCATTGTGCTTGAAATCAAGTCGTACGTGAGTGCGTCGAATGGAGTGTCGTCACGAGTTGGGATGATTGGTGGGGTGGTTGGATGGTGAGGTAAGCTGAGCTGGCTGGATCAGATAGTGTCCCCCACCTTTCGGCTGTATCCCCGACGAGTCGAGCTTGAGCTCTGGCGAAATACCACCAGTCAATATTTCCCCAGCTTCATCCATCAATGCTTCTGGACCGCGCCCCATCACCAAAACATTCACCTCAATCAAATACAATACCCAATAACAACGCCAATCAACAAGCGACCCCCTCCTCAAGAAAGAATATTCAGTATAACACCGAAGCAGTAGCTCGGCTTCGTTTACAGGGAAATTGAGACTCGCAAGCGGCTCGACTCGACCCAATACGCACCGGACGACACGAAGTCAATCCGAGATCAATTGAGCAAAGGGAAACACGAGGGGGAATCGAAGAATTCTTCTTGTCGAGTTTCGCTGATTAGCTTATCCGGGCGTCGGGACCTTGGGGAGCACCAAGGCAGAATCGGCCAACCGGTGGTGAAAAGGGCAAGACGGAGCGGGAAAGGACAGGAACACTGGAGGGAACTCGGCAACAACATTAGTGCAGAATGGCGTCTCTCAACCTATCTTCGGATGAGATCAAGGTGCTGGAGTCGGTGAGACAGCAGCTAGCGCAGGTGGTTAGCAGCTTGCAAAAGTTCCAGGAGGATTTGCACAAGGGGAACCCTTTGCCTCCCGCGTAAGTTTTCTCGTTGCGTCGACACTTTCTTCCAGCAGCAGGCTAACGCTTTTCTTCTCCTTTGTAGTACATCGATCCAAGCCTCGACGAACATCATCCTCACGAACCTCTCTACGGTGACGATCACGATGGGCAAAAACACATCTCTGTTGGAACGGATCGCAGTGCACCCGTCGACCAACTTCCCGGGGCGGCAGCACGAGGCGATACTCTTGCAGCTGCTGCGCAAGAAGCCGGAGCCGGCGGTGGAGACGCTTCTAGACGAGGGGCGGCAGCTGTCGCAGAGCTTAGGGGCGACGGGGGCGCGAGCAAGGCGGCGGCGTGGACGGCGCAGAGGGCGCTGTGGCGGTGGGCGCAGGAATACTGCGATGGGAGGATCGCGCATTACGCGCAAGAGGAGACGCTGCAGGTGTACACGGCGGAGGAGAGGGCGTCGGGGGTGGAGAATGTGAGGACGGGCTTGAGGGCGAGCCTGGAGGATGACGAGGACGACGAGGACGAGGACGGAGATGACGATGAGGAGGACGACGAGGATGACGATAATGATGGCCGGAGGGGTGGAGAGGGAGGGGAAAAGGACGCCAAGACCCGGGCGGCGGACGCCAAGGAGGCGGCGAGGGTCGCGAGGGAGAAGGAGGAGGCCAAGGCGAGGAGGGCGGCGGGGATGAAGCTGGCGCGGAATATGGTGGTGGGCAGGTTCGAGACGCCGCCGAACGCGGATTGGGAGGCGAAGAGGAAGATGATCGGGGCGGGGATAGGGATGGCGAGGGCCCCGGGGAGGTGAAGGGTGAGGGGAAGAGATGGAGCGAACGGCTGAGGATGAGCAAGGATAGAGAGCATACGTTATTTTTCCTCGCCGTTATGTGATGATACCCGGTCGACAAAAAGACAAAAGAACATGTTGACATCCATATTCAGATTGTTCTCCCTCCCAACTTTTGTAGGTATCTCGACTATTCGTGCTTTCAACCCCTTCCCCCTCGCTGGGCCGTTGAACTCGCAGCTTTTGAGGAACGACTCTGTCGCTCTCTCTTACCCCCATCATTTCGGGACTTGATGCGTTGCTGCGACTCGAACGGGCTTCCCGGGGCGTTCGTTAGCGCACTCGTATCCCATTTCAGCGCAGGTCTTGCAGTAGCGTGTATTTTTATTTTTACTCTCTCACACTCACACACTCACTCTCTCCCCACGTTTGGCTCATTAAGTTGTTTCTTTACGCCGTCTTGCCCTTCCTGCATGGCGTTGCCTCAGCCTCGTTTCGATACCAGGTGTTTTTCCCTCTCAACACCGCGCTGCTGGTACATTTTCGGAAAGAGAGCGCGCGCGCGCGCGGGAATCGCCGCCCCTCCCTTCTCCAAAACCCGACCAATTGGGCCGTGGGTTTCCTCCCCCTCCATTGACATCAACTAACCATGCTGGGTTGGATCGTGAAGGGTGGTTCAAGGGCCGGTGAATGCATGTGTGCGCGGCTTGGAGCGGCTGGCATGAGAGGAATCACACCGATGACGGGGTGCAGCACGTTAAACGAAGTCTTTTTTTCTTTTTCATTACCCTTTTCCCTATTTTGTGTGAGATTACATTCTCTTTTTAGACAAGTTCAATGGGTGAGATGCGCGTGAATCGACGCCCAATGTTTTCAGGCCCGACTCACAGCATTGAAAAGGTATGCCGGACACCTTGCAGATTTTCACGCAGGATGAATCGAGAGCAGGCGTGATAGGGTCCGCAGGAGTGGACTTTGCGATCAAGTTCCAGGTACCGTTGATTACCGCTGGGGGACCAATGAGCAGAGTGAGCATGGATGAAACCCAAAAGTCCATGATGACGGAGGAGCTGAAGGAAGGTAGCGTGAAGTAATCAACTAGGGGTCTTTGGATGCTGGTATTGGTTCCCGGGGCGAGGAAGGCTCACGCCTTTGTTCAAAGGAACATCTGCAACCCTGTTTTTTTCTTTCTTTGGTTCATCTCTTTTTTAAACTCTTGCCTGTCATGGGTATGACGTTCCGACAACCCAAGGGTATTCGCATCAATCCCCAGATGTACCCTACTGTGTTTTTTTCCTTCTTTTTTCCTCTCCGCCATAAAGAAGAGATAAAGGCACACACACAGTGCTTGGGCAGGACACTTCCTGCTGCGCGCGTTCCTTGCTTTTCCGGGACGAGTCTTGAGCAGTCAACAGCGCTGGGCGTGAGGGGTTGGGCTTGTTTGATTCCCGGGGTTGATAGGTTCTCAAAGACGATGAGCCCCTCAACGGACTTACATTTGCATCTTTTTTCTTTTCTTTACTAGTCACTTGATGTTGACTGGAAGCTGAGTGCCACCCCCGCGCGCCGTGCAGGCGGAGGTGCGAGGTAAGGTTTCGATATCTACCCATGCGTTGGGGCTTGGGCCTGTCAGCTCGCGGGCCCACCACGTTGTCTCCAAATCGACCGCCTTTCCCGGGGGTGGAACTTCTTTTGTACAAGTACAGCCCTGTCAAGTTTCCAGACCTGGGGCTCCTCGGAAGGAAGACAGGGGAAAGGAAGGAGAAAAGATGGTGGGATGGAAAGAGTATATGAAGATGGGTCGGGCACCCTGGGATGAGAACCCGGTCGACTGTCTCTTGCAAGTGATCCATCCTTATTACTGTTTCCAGTCTCCCATAGAATCAATACGAGCAGTACAATACGCATCACTTGGTGCACTTCATCGTCCCTTTCGTTTTCCTCTTTCTTCTTTTCCCCGATCCTCTCTTACAAGACAACTTGAGGCATCCTACACGGCACTATGGCCATCCTCATTAGCTCCATTCCCACCCTTCCCCTGCCACGAGAAACAAAATGCTGTTCAGCCACGCAAACCCACTCGTATATACCACTTGCCCGAAACCCCCGAGGCCCAGTGCCCGATAACCCTGCTTTCCCGACGACCACGACTTCCCCCAATACACGGCCCGTCTCTTTGCTCGACCTCCCACTCGAAATCCGCCTCCAAATCTACTCGTGGGTCCACCTCCTCCACCCCTTCCAATACCGGGAGCTAGCCCCGGGCTACCCGGCCCCCGCCGTCCAACCCTACCGCACGGCCCACCTACCCCCGTCCTCGGCCCCGTCCACAACCCCGACCCGGACCCCCGCTGCCGATCCCCCTCCTCGACTCGAGCCGGCCCTTTGCCTACATGCCCACGGCCCTGCTGCTCGCGAGCCGCCAAATCTACCACGAGGCGCGCGGGATCCCCTACGCCGCCAACGAGTTCTCCTTTTGCCCCATTTTCTGCTCGGGCCTCGCCGCGGCGGCAGCCCTCGTCGGCCGGGCGGCGCCGTGGCAGCGCCGGTCTCTGCGGTATCTCACTCTGCGGATGGGATTGGCCGACGCGCTTCGCATGCTGCGGCGGGAGTGGTGCGCGCTGACGGCCGGGCTGGAGGGCGCGAGGGGCCTGCGGTTACGGTTGGATGCCGGGCCGGAGGAGGCGGAGGCGGCGGTGGCGGTTGGGGTGGAGGTCTTGTCGGGGGCGCTGGTGGGTGGGTTTGCGAAGATGGCGGCGCTGAGGCAGGTGGAGGTGGAGGTGGTGGTGCCGGCGGCGGTGGCGGCGGTTGTGGCCGGGGGCGAGGGGGATGTTGGGGTGAGGATAGGGATGGCGCTGTGTGAGGAGGTGAGGAGGCTTTTGGAAGTGATGGGGAGGGGGAGGTTAGGGTTGTGTTGGTGAGGGAGGTGAAGGGGGGTCAAGGGGAAGGTGGGAGAGGTGAAGATGTGAAGGGTGGGTTTTTGGTGAGGTTGAATGGTGATGCTCTTCTTCTACTGTTTACCTGAGAGGTTTTCTTTTGAAAATGGGGAACTGCTCTGGGTTGAAGGATAGGGTATAATGAATGATGAAAATGAATATAGTCTACATAATATTTCACTCTCCAATGCTATAAATTCTTTACTAAAAAGTAGTTACATCCAGGCTGTGAGTGTGTGTGGTGGCATGTCCTGGACTAACACATCACCCAACATCTTCACATCCTGCGCCGACTTAGAGGGAATACACTCTGCGAATGCCCTCACTCTTAGGGCATGGAAACTGATAGAAGGAAATCACACACCAGCTAGCTAAAATAAATAAAGAAGAAAACCTTTGAATAGCCAGAAATCCTTTTCCTTTCTCTCCTCCTTTTCTCCCTCCAAGTTCTCCTCAAAACAGGAACATCATCAACCACATATCATCTCTTCTTATCCCTTCATTTGAAGCCCCTTCTATCCTCTCCAGACCCCTTCCAGTCAGAAAACCCCAAGCACAAGGAAAGAAAAAAAAAAAAAAAAAAAGAGTCACCAGTCAGGAAAAATCTTCCTTCCCAATCACCATGCCAACACAAACTGAAGAACCCGAACGTCGCTTCTTCCGCGGCTGCCCAGACCCTCCCTACGCCAACAACTTCCGAAGCCGCGATTCCCCTCGCACATTCTTCCCATGCCCGAAATGCCCGTCTTTTCCTTCGCCGCGGTCGAATTCGTGGCCAAGCTCACCGTCGCTTGCGCCGTCGTCGGCCTCGTGCGCTGGCTCGTCTGCCCACCACCCCGCGACGGCCGAGTCCCCGTCGCCCTCGTGGGCGCGCGCACCCTCGTTCTCCTGACCATCGGCGTTTGGCAGCTCGACCTCGGGGTCGAGGTCTATGAACAGCATGGGCCCGAGGCTTTGCCGGTTTAGTTTATGGTGAGCCTGGGGTTCCAGCTCATGTGTTCCCTCTACCTCTTTGCGCTTTGAGCGGAATCCGATGGTTGGCCTGAAGTTTGGTGTTGAAGGGAGAGAGACGGGCCAACCGATCGGGGGAGGGGAGGAAGAGATACTTTACGAGCCACGGAGGCTAGAAGAACGATTATACTTGCCATCAAGGGCCACTCTCCGAATGAAACAAGCCGAGCTTCGGACTCATCGAACGAACCTTTCAGAGACAGACAAGAAAGGTATGCCGCTCTCACCCTCCTCAACAGCAGATCCAAACATTGGACAAAAACACAAAGACAAGAAAGGGTAAACTCATGCTAACGGCTTCCGTGTTTAGTTTAACTATGAACCCTTCAAGGTCTTCGTGTAGCCTCCTCCGGTAGTGATGTGGCAGAAGTCGACAACAGAAGTACGGATAGGACGACAGAACGACAGAACGACGCGGCGGTAAAGTGGCACTTAATCGACGAGAAAGAGGCGCCAGCTTCCACGCCCGCGGTTGAAAGGGTTCAAGAAAGGTCTTGTCTTTAGAGGATAAAAAGAGAGATAGAAACCGGAAATTTCCACCAGCTTGTTTCCAACGGTCCTGTGCATCCCACGACCTCCTAGCCCGTGTTTTTGCTCAAAGATGGTGTTTGTAATGTGCCAAGTGTTCAAGACAGCTCGTTGTCAACCCCTTCCTATCCCCCTTTCCCTCCCTCGTACATCCAGTATAGATTGGTTCGTTGCAAAGGGTATTGCTCTTGTAGGATAAGACTGACTCAGTGAGATTTGGATTGAACCATAGGATGGTCGATGCCGTTCCGAATAAGAGGCATTAGTCTGGCTGCCATCCCGACAACGCGCGGATGCGATGACTCAACGATCGCAACTCTGCGGGCCCGTCAGGACTATTCCCTTTCTACGCTCCGAGAGACTTCAAATGTTCCTAGTATTGATGCCGCTCCACTCGATAGCCCCACATAGGTAGCAAAGAGGGAAAATGGAGAATTGCAACAAAAGCTCGGCTTGGACAAGGCTCCATGTGGTCGTCTCGCTCTCGCCAACGGGTTCTGATATATCCGGTTCGCAAAAGAACCATTTCAGCCTTTTGCCTCGCAATAGATCCTGGAGTCGGAGAATCCATGAGATATACAAGCAGGACAGGATATTGCCCATGCAAGCAATACGACACCCAGATGGCGATCCTCTTAGAGAATCGGGGTCGCACGCCGAGCATCGAGCCCGTCTTACCAGAGACTTGGGCAGTGACTCAATGCCTCGACAAGACCGGCCAATATCTACACAGCTGCGACGGACGCCTCTTTCGCTATCTCTGTCCCCGCCCCCTCCACATCTGCAACTCGTCTACGCAAGCGGAAATAACATGCACAAATAAAAGAAACAGAGAGCCGCCAATATATGGGACGGCGGCCGCATGCAGCTCTCTCCGCCCTTTTTAATATCATCTTGTTCTCTTTTCGAACGATAACCCCTGAAAATGTAACCTAGACGGACATGCCGGTCAGGTTGAAGTGATGGAACCAACCCCGGTGAGGCGGGGCCGGCTCGGCGCAGAGGCCCTCGGAGCGGGAGCGGGCCATGACGCGAGGGCATCCAAAGGTCCCGTATTCGTGTTCTTTTTCTAGACGTCCATGGAGTTTTCTTACGCTTAGCATGGTTCGGATTGCTTTTAATCTGTACATCCATTGTATAATTTCCCCCACTTCCTTTGGCCGCGGGAATTGTCTCTTCGGATTTTGCTTGGCGACAACAGTGAGAGGAACCCCTATAAAGGATCAATTGAGTTGACCTGGGATGGGACGGGGCAGAGGTTACCCATGCTGCTTGCACAACCCCCAAAGTATGAGTCAACGCCCGACCATCGCCCTTGACTCCTCCCGCGCACTCGGGTTCGGGAGCCGGGACAGTCTCTCTTGGCGACCGGGGGCAAAAGACATGCCGTCGACATTTCTATGGCTTGGTAATTTGACGAGTTTGAGAGAGACTCTTACTTGAAGGAGACAATGATCGAGTTATGAGATACCAAAGTGCGGTTCACTGTGCATTACACCGGAAGTAATTTCGTTGCCTAGTGCGAGGAATGCGAGCAGATGCAATGGATCGATCCATCCATGAATTAGAAGGTATTTTGTCCCTTTGCGCCAGGATCTGGGACCGTGAACTTTACAGCGTTTGTCGTTATTTTTGTCTCTTAGTTTCCTTTTTCTTGAAACCAATCCTTCACTCAGTTGTCGCTTTCGAAGTACGCTTCCTGATGTGCCATTTCGAGTTTAGCGGGCTTGCCCGCAACCGTTCCAGAAGAGATAAGGCACTCGCTCGCCATTAATGGTCCTTTTACGCAGACACGGAGTGAATTTCTCCAGGCTGACGAGCGCTGGGACTTCACGCTCGATACCTCAGTGATGGGACGGGCTGTTTCGCCAATCCCTGGCCTTGTGCCCTGTGCATTTGGACTTTGATGTAATAAGCTGAGCAAGAAAGGGGGTTTTTTGGGGACCAAAGACGTAACGCATATGCAGAGCTGGGTTCGAACAAGCAAGACAGCTTCCCAGTCAGAGTAGGAATAGGAACCCCGCGCTCGTGGCGTTACGTTTCGGGACTGTTCCCCATTGAGGGAAACTTGATTCGGCGCGCGGGGAGACTCGTCCTCTCCGACGACCCATCACTCCCTTCAATGTTCTCTAAGACTCGTGAGTCACGCTAGCAATCGGCGGGTTAGATTTTCAATTGATAGCGAGTGGCCGTCTGCCGCGTCGATGCATGTACTTGTAATAAGATGACCTGGCGGTCAGGGACAGGATTTCAAAGTAATAATCCATGTTTTCCCATTGACCGGTTCCATCCCTGGAAAGACCCCGAAAACAATTACCAATGAGTCCGGGGTGTGAAACTTGTGGAGATAACTGTGCAGGTGGAAAAGGACGAAAAGGGAACTGCCCGTGGGCGGCCGAGCGATGACTCTTTTTTCAATCTTCTTTTTGGTATCCGAGAGAGAGGGACAAGTAGGAAATAGGTACAGCATAGAAGTGTCCATGCTATATGAAGAAAAAGAGCAATGGAGCTCGTTCTACCCCATCGCTGCTTCCTCAGCACTATCATGACTGGTTGCTCCCTGAAATATTCCACATCGAATTCGGCCCAGCACACGGGGCCACTCCTTCCCACACTCCCCAGACAAACTCGGAGTCAGACCTCCGACCTGCCGGACAAGACTAGGTATAAAGAGCCGCGCATCCCGTCGATGCCTTGCAGCCTTCCGACCCTCTCGACAACTTCACCTCATCCAAGCACTTCAATACTGTCTCAAGGGCCCTTTTCCTTAGTGGATAGTAGAAGAGCTATACCGAATTTTTATCACATGCGTTTTCTTGAACGTCCCCCCCTTCATTACCAAATTCATTACCCCGCCAGCCCCCGAGAGTGAAGGCTTGTCTGTAGAGGTGGGTGTCAGCAACCGAGATCGGCCTCGTATGTTCTTCTCTTTTCGCAGCCTACCGGGCACACTTTCGTGCCCGACCCCATGTCCGACACCTCACCACCCGGATTAGCACCAGCACCGACATGGATAGAATGGAGCCTTTCCTAGTTGTATACCTGACATACCTCACCCCCAATGCGTGCCGAAATGGCTCCGGTGCGGAACCAACAACGCGTTTGCTAACCTTTAAAAGGTCCTTACAGGTATCCCGGCAACCCCTCGCATCTCGAGGTGCTTCTTTTTTCTTAGCTAGACGCAGAAGAGAATCTCCTGCGTAGTTGCCATCATGAACGTCACTTGCCAATGCCGCTCCGTGACGTTTCAAACGCCCACGCCTCAGCCTCTCGCTTTGTACATCTGTCACTGTTCTGCGTGTCGCACTCAGACTGGCTCGGCCTTTGGCACCAGCGCTATCTTTCCCAAGTTTTCCCTGCCAGCAGATGAAAAGCTGTCTGTCTATGCGTGAGTCACTCCTTCGCATCCCTTCCCCTTTCTTGATCCGGAGGTTATTCCTTGACAGGAGCACACCGATCTAGCATAGCTAGGTTGCGTTTCTTAGAGATGCCATGTTCAAGAAGTTTGAGTGACACAAGTTCACTTGGTCAATATTAGTGATAGGTGGGGAGTGAAAGGTCTAGAGTAGGCTAACATGCTTGATCTTCATGTATGCAGACGACTGACTTCAACCGGAGACAAGCTTCACTGGTAAGTCCATTTCTGATCTTGCTGGTTTACGTGGCTATCTATGCCCATGGAAGCTTACCCCTGCCCCAGCTACTTTTGTAAGACGTGCGGAACCCGCCTCGTCCACGCTACACCCGTAAGTCCCCTCATATCTCGAGCCTCGCCTACTTCTCTTCTCTCTTACCCTCGAGGCCCCGAGTAGAGACTCTAACTTTTGACCCGGCCTCTTTTCAACAGTCCAAGAATGTCGTCTCCGTCAGAGGCGGCTGCATCGAAGGCCTAGACTGGTCGACAGCCATACACCTATGGACAAAGTCCGCCATGGTGCCCATTCCCGAGGGCTGCGAGACCCATTCGGAAAGCTCGCCCAGCACGGATTATGGCGAGACTCAAGAGGTACTGGACCAACCCGGGGATCTAGCCTGCAGCGGATAGGGCTGAGGTAAACAACGAAAGACAAAATCGTAGACTCGTCTTTCGATGGCTTAAGAAAAACCCAAAGTTGAAGGAGCTGATGTTTTTATTGATTTGTTCTAGTTTCGCCATGACGTGGGAGTCCAACAATAGTGAGCCTCTTTTTTTCCGGGGCTATATCGGTATATCGTCGCGCTTCACCACCTCCTTCCTGCGCTCTACCCATTGTCTCTCTTGCCCCCTTGATATTTGAGGGAGGCTACGTTACGCCATCAACTCGTCTCCGTCTTTTTTGTTTTCATCGACTGTCTTAAAAGGGAGCTATATATAAAGCATTAAACAGGGTCTATCTAATAGGAGTTCAAAATTATATATTAATAAACTGATTGCACTGCTCGCTTGCTTTATTCAAGAAAGAAAAAAACCTTCCGGATAGGACGCCATTATAAAGCATGCCTCACAAACACTCATAAAATACGAACTAAGCGACGTGAACAGACGGCCACACGCATAGCTTACATATACACCGCGTTAATGCTCGTTCCGTTCCCCTTCGACGACATCTCCTTCATTAGCATCGGCATCAACATCGCTAGCATCTCGCTCGTCCTCGTCTCTCCTCCTCTCCGTGTTGAGACCACCCCTGCCCACCTGAGAATGCTTGGCCGGATCAAACGCATAGAGAGGCAGCTCCAAGAAAAACGCTCGCTTTACCCAGAGTGGCAGGCGCAGATACAGAGCGGGAGGGAAAGGGAAGAGAGGGCTCGTGCGGCGCTGGTACTGCTCGTACGCCTCCCAGTTGAGGTCCTTTTCATAGCGTCGCTTGGCGGTGGGGCGTTCCGAGAGCGGCATGCCGGAGAGGAAGAGGAGGAGAAATGTGATGAAGAAGGGGCCGACAATGGAAGAGTAGAGAGCTGCTCGCGGGGCTGAGGGTAAGGTGTCGGAGGTTGTGGGGGAGGTGGCGATGGTATAGATGCCTTGACCAATTCATGTTAGAGAGCTCGGAACACTCAGTCAGGGGCGGGCGCGCGAAGGGTAATGAGGTTGAAAAGGGCAAGAAGGTACTTGACTTACCAAACTGGGTCAAGATATCACCAAAGTAGTTGGGGTGCCTCGAATATTTCCATAACCCTTTGCCGCAAATCTCTGATGCACCACCTCCATACTTGCTCCTAAAGGCAAACTTTTGCACGTCCGCGACAACCTCGAACAAGAAACCGAGGCCAAACATGACGACGCCGGCGATGTCCGCAGGGTGCCGAACGGCACGTCATCGTCGGCGGCAGCGAGGGCGGGAGAATTTCCAATGGTGACGGGCAGAGAGACGGTCCATACCCAGAGCATCTGGAAGACCCAGAAGGCGAGGAAGGCGAAGAAGCGGCCACGCATCTTGTCGAAGCGAGAGTCATGGCCGGTGCGGATGATGCGGTAGAAGAGGAAACCGGAGAGGCGGAGGGCCCAGACGCACATGAGGATACTGACGAGAATCTGGCGGGGGAAGGGTCCTGGGAGAGGGAGAGAGTGAGGATGGCGAGGATGGCGAAGTTGGTGCCACCAGCAAAGTCTACGCGAGGCAGGCGAGGGTTGGAGTGTCTGGTTAGCGGTCACTTTCTTGCAATAGGACTCTGCACCGTGGTGATTACTGCCTTGGTGCTAAAGAGGGCGTTCATTTGACGTGAGAGGGGGAAGAGCGAGGCGGAAGGCCTACTTACCAGTGAGCAAATCGAACTGGCAGCCGTACGCGATGCTGAAAAATAACAGCTGGTATGCTACCGTGATGATACCCGTAAGGCCGAGGTAGTAGTCGTCTAACGCCTCGATCCCCATACTGGCGATGGGCAGCTTCGAGCTGTCTCTTTGCGCTGCGAAGAGGGGTTGTTGACGAGCCGTGCAGGCGTGCGCCTGATTGCAAGAAGAGGTGGTGGTATATACTGTCTATGCGGCGAAGCGTGGTTAGAAAAGCAGAAGATGGCTTTCTTTACCCATGCCGGCCGGGTATTTCCATATTTTCGTTTTAACTCACGGTTTTGTTTTTGACTTGCCTGTAGTGTCTGTCCCACTAGTAAGTGGCGTACAATAAATAATCAGACACTTTTCTCGTTCAATCTAATCCTCTTCGTAGATGCCTCCGACAACTTAGGCGTCGGGCTTTTCGTAGATATACTCCGATAACCACATATATCGTCAATACCGTAGAGGGAGTCTTCTCTAACGACGACGGGGGTAGTAGGTAGGGCAAACGGTTTGGGAGATGTTTTGTTTGTCTGTGTGGCCTCGAGGAGGTTTGGAGTGAGGTGAGGGGCTGGTGAGCCTGGAGGTTTTCTGACGCTTGGAGCCCTTGCCGAGACAGGGATCTGCGTGCCGGAGTCGTAGCGAACCAAGCTCGCGATCGAGGTTGCTGACTTACACAGTGAGGATCGCGGAGGAAGCAGCACATCGAGACCGTCGGCGAAGCTTGCCTATCTCACTTAACAAGCATCCATTGCCGTAAAAATGATATCATAGGATGAGAAATTGAGATATACAGTCAGAACATCCATAGCTAGCTAGCTGGCCTGTCTGTGCTTCGGGCAGTAAGACACTGAACCCGACCTAGCTTCTTATTCCGTTCATGATCATCTGCATATTACTAAGTTCGAGTGTATTTATATTATACATATAGGCGGTAGGTAGGCGCTGTGAGCTGGCCCCAGAGGTGAAGGAAGGGTTCATGTATATAAAAATAGAAAGAGGCGGAGAGGAGGGGAGAGAGAGAATATATATATGTATGTATGTATACCTCGGTAGAGAGGGGGAGGAGGGAGGGAATGAATAAAGTAGGTAGGTAGGTAGGCTGAATGGAGGAGGACAAAAAGCAAAACATAATCCGTCTCGATCCATTTGAGGGGAATCTAGCGGATGGTCAAAAATTGCCCACACCTGGGATCGAACCGGGGACCTCATCATTCACTAGCTATACTAGTGATGCGCTCTACCACTGAGCTATACGGGCTATGCATATACCGGCGGCTATTAGCATATATGATGGGCCAACAGCCCTTTGTCTCGTCGAACCCCTGCTCACTCTTTCAAGCCCACCACCCACGCAATTGTTCCAGTACTTTGTCTGGTCTTGGCATTAAACTTTATTTAGTTTCTGGTAAGCAACGACTGATACCATCGGGCCAATCTATTTCATCTTCGTCTTCGGCATATCTCAGCTTCTTCGATTTCTAAGAGCTTGCCAAGGGAAGGGAAGTTTGTAAGAGCGACTGATTGACACTGTTGATTTGCATCCTTGCGTTTCTCAATTAGTATGGCTCCATTCGGGTTGCCTTGCGGAGATTTACGCCTGCGACGGGCCCCGGGATTCGCGGCCGAGTCGATCTCGTCTTTGCCAGAGACAGGTCTCCGCTTCAAGTTGAGAGCGTTTCTTCCTTCTGTGACCCAGGCCGTTCCGACCGAGCTCATACCGCCACCCCTGTGCCGCTTCTTATTATATCGTCTCGATATTTATACGTTACAGCTTTGCCCACGATTAGCCCTCGAGCGTGAGATGGTGGTGGGTGGGCTCATCATCAACGAAGGTGGTCCGAGTCTAGACCCCGCGAGACCGAACGGAGTTTGACCCTCCCCGAACGGTTCCCAAGCCCACAAGCCCCGGCAGGCTGCAACGACGTGTGTTACCATCAGAGAAAATACAGTTGTTGATCGTTGAACTGTGCCTTCCTGGACCGGCTGGTCTTGCGATATCTCCAGGCAAGCGGACGCGAAAGTCCGACGAATCTTGGTGGAGCAGCGCGTAATCCTGCCAGTACCGGGTATGCTGCTGCTTGAGGCCACACTAAAAAGGGCCAGCCTTGAACAATGCATGCTTTCGTACGTGTGTCCGTGAGCTGAACCACGGAAATGGTGAGAGTGGCTGTACAGGCCAGGGGAGAATGTCGCGAATATGGAACTCTTATTAGGTAAACGCTTGTCTAGCAGAGTGAGGACGAGTGGATTGTACCATTCCATCGAAATAGGCCTTTGCATGAAGCTTTTCATCAAATGCACATCACTGGCGACATGCGAGTGTGGGTAGGTACCGCCAACTGGGCCAGAAGGGACCCAGGACAGACCCAGGAGAAGGGATTCAAGTTCATCGCTGGTCTGTCTTGACCCAGCTCCCCACCGACGAAATTTTTTTCTCTTCTTTCCCCTGTGCTGCTGTGCTGTGACTGTGGTCTGTCAGGGCTCTGACGTCTGCCATTGGCCAGCGATTCGCTCGACCTGGGGGCTCAAACGAGTGGTGTCTGGAGAATGTCTCAAAACCGCTACCCCTGTCCCGCTCCCCGCCAGTGTCGCGCCAAGCTTTGCACAATTGAAGACATTGAAGAGTCAACCTTTTTGTCAGGTTGGCGAGCCCATGCAAGGTCCCGCCTAACCCCATAATCATCCGTTCGAGCCTCAACTTTGACTGGGGACCCCTACAGAGTGGGCCCGAATCTCAAACACCACATCCTTCTCTTGCTCCCCTCTGATGCTGTCGATGCTGCATCGAGAGAGTCCGACCATCCACGGACAAAACATGTCAACGAGGATGCCCTTGCCATGAGCCATGTCCCACACTCCTTTCGCTCTGCCAATCGGCTTTTGCCAATCGTGGATCGTTCCAACTCTTCTCGAAAGCTTGTTGCGCTTGCGCTGTGCCATCTGCAATGGCCCGGCCATGTTCTAGGCCAGCCCGTGCTGTCTGTCTTGTCTCCCAGCGTCAAACCACCCTGGCCAACAAGGATCGAAGATCTTGTGCCCCCCTTCTCGACGAAACCGTGACCCATCCACGTAATTTATCCACTGTCAAACTTGTATGTACAGCATAGTGTAGCGTGATAATACCGTGTCGCTGTGGGGTTTTCTCAGGAATTCGACTGTGTGTGCTCTGTCGCTGGCTTGGGTGCATTGCCGCCAGGGGAAGGAACCCTGGACCCTCTCCCTCCTCTCGACTGCCCTTGTTCACGATCTTCCCATCCCAACAACCTCCCCTTCCCCTTTTCTCTCTCTACCGTAGTATTGCCATGTCCCCCCTGGGAATCATTTCCTTGTCTAATGCACAGCCGTTGACGGCTTCGTTTTTGAATAGCAGTCTCTTTGTTTCTTCTCCTCTTCTCTTTCGTCCTACTTTTTCTTCTTCTCTTTTCCTCGTTTGGGAACTTCTCTTTCGATACACTCCTTGGGAATGCCGACCCGCTAACCTTCGTCATTCCTTTCCTTTCTTTTTATTTTCGATTCTCAAGCTTCGCTTCTTTCGCTACGGCTTTATCTCCGTCGACCGGTGCCTGGCCATCTCGCCCTTTGGTCCTTGCTTAATTTTCACGGAACGAGACTGATCGATTCTATTCGGCTCCTTCTCTCCGACTCGAGGCCGGCGATTTCGCGACCGATCCGCTCATTATTGTCCTAATCGTATTTTTCGAGAACGAGGGTTGATCCCAAGACTATCGAACGCCTTCTTCTTTTTTTTTTTTTTTTGTATACACTCTTGCCATCCGACGGCTGGTTCTGTTGAGATCAGATTACAAAACTACTTTCAAACTCTTCTTATCCTTCGATCTTCCTGGTGTAAAGGTCCTAGCTCGGAGCGACACTTTTGCCCAGTATGAGGCATAGCATCTGGTTCTTCGTTGTCGCCATTCTTTCGCTTGCGCAGGTAAGAACTGGCCCGAACCGCAGGTTCATCGGAGATGGTTACGAGCTAAGGGGTGGGTGGATGGGGAGGCTCCCACGCTTTGAAGGGATACATTCTTAGCACTTGGGTTGCAGGAGGGCTCGACTCGATATGCTATTCCCGAGCATACAATGATGAGAAGGTAGCTCGATCGCTGACTTGGAGATCTCTATCTAGGCTGCCGTTTTCGCGCGTCCTCACACCGAGGCGGCCCTCGCTAAGCGTCAGAATGGCCTCTTTGATTTCCTAAACAACCTTAATGGTAACAATAGGAACAATAACAACGATGACGATGACGATGAAGACGACGACAACGACACGAACAACAATGTTGGCAACGGAAACAATGGCAACGGCTTCTTCGACATTGGCAACTTGTTCAACTTGGGCGGCAACAACAGGAACAACAACAACAACAACAACAACAACAATGACGACGATGAGGATGACAGCGAAGACGACAACGACAACAACAACCGTGGTGGGAATCGAGGAAACAACAACGCCGTCACTGAAACCGAGACCCGGACGGAGACGGAAACTATCACTGAACGCGAAACTGAGACTGTCACCGCCGCTGCGGAGTAAGTGATGAGAATCTGGCGGGAGGAAATCCCTGTCACTGGTTGGAGACGGAGATCAGATTGCTAACCGCGCGGTATCGTTGTGTAGGACTGTCACGGAGTCCGTCACTGACGTCTCGACCTTGACCCTCACGATGATGATGACCGTCACCGAACTACCTGCACAGGTACGTTAAAAGACACCCCGTTTCTCATGAAAACGAAGACTAACGCGGGGGACTATATTAGACTGGAGACGTTGACCCCGTCAACGGCGCCGCCTCGACCGACTCCTCGGCTTCTGTCACCGATTCGTCTAGCTCCAGCGGCAGCGACGCTGCCATCCAGACCCCCGCCGCCGACCTAGGAAACGCTGTCGACAATGGCAACCAAGGTGGCGCCAATACCCCCGTCATCATTTCGACCGGCATTGGTATCGTCCTCGTCTCGCTTCCCGATACTAGGGGCCCAACGACGACCCTCCCCGCACGAGCAGCCCTGCTCCCACTCCCGCCGCGCCTCCTGCTGCCGCCAACCCCATCGCCGCCGACCCCGCAGGTATGTCGCCGCCCGTATCCTTGGCCCGATCCCTCTCCATCCAGTCCATGTTACTAACCATCGCTACTTTAATTTAGCTTCCGCTGCCCCCGTTGCTTCGGCCCCGGCTGTCGCCCCTGCCCCCGTTGTCGCCCCTCCCGCCGCCGACCCCGCTGCGAGCGCGCCAGCCCCGATTGCTGACCCCGCCGCCGCCCCCACCGCCGTCGCTCCCGCACCGATCCCCCTCCGGCTTCGGCTATCCCTCCCGTCGCCTCCCCGGCCATTCCTGACCCCGTAGCCAGCGCTCCCGTGGCTGCGCCGCCAGCTGCTGCTCCTTCGGCCGCACCTGCGCCTGTTACCCCCGCTATTCCTGCTCCCCAGAATAACGTGGACCTCGGCGGCCTGAACGGAGGCCAGAACCCCGTCGCACCCGCCGCGCCCGCCGCTGACCCTGCCGCTCCTGCGGATGCTGCCCCCGTTGCGGCTCCCGCCCAGCTCGATCTCAGTGGCCTGAATCTCAACAGCGTTGTGGACCTCGGCAGTCTTGCTCGACGACAGGCTGCTGCTCAGGCCGCTTATTAAAAGGAAGACTGGAAATTGGAAGAAAATTGAGGAAAGCCGAGGAACGGCACATGAACGCAATCTACACGCCCACCCACGCACTTTGCTGAACGAGGGCAACAATAAAAGAGCCACCTTTGACCTTATTCTTTATTGATATCTTTCCTTCTTCCATTTATTTTCCTGTTCCACCATGTTATTATAAGCTTCTACTGAGAGTCATGCTAGCAATGGTTCCATTTTTTTCATCTCTTCTTTCTCCTTTCTCCTTTCGTTTTGTAGGGGAATATTGGAATGTGAATTCCTAATGCTGTTCACGTTTGCGTGCGGATATGCTTTCGTCTCCTCTCTTCCTTTGGGGATTTTATCCGCTTGGCTTTCTTTTTTTCTTCTCTACCCTCGATTCTTATGTATTCGTAGAGTGGGGATGGGTGGGAAGGATGAGACGTGAGGATGTGTAGAGAGATACCTTGGATCGTACGGCTGTGTATGTAGGGATGTGGATGGAGAGGAAGAGATAGAGTAGGAAAACACAATCTTTTCTCCCCTCTATAACGGAGATCCCCGAAATGGGGCGGCCCGTGGTGTATCAGTCTACGTGCAACTGCGTCACCCCATTGCGCGATCGTGTCTAGCTGTCTGCTAAGTGCTATCCTCATAGGCTTGCCCAGTTTGTTGTAGACAGGAGGAGATTTACAACGGCTAAGCGCCGACTGATTCAATAACTCACGGCCCTGCATGACGGCAACATGTCGCGTGAGTAGTGAGCACGAGCATGGGTGTTCAGTATCTATTTTGTTTAGGGTATCAAATCTAGTTTTGGGATGTGCAAACTCCTGCCTAAAAAAGAGAATGGACGCCGTCGAAAGCAAAAGGGTGGCAGAGAGAGAAGAAGAGAAGGGAAGGGGCAGTAAAGGTTACTTGGGCTTCTGGCCGCCTTTCCACTTTTTGCCGGGGCGGTTCCCGTCACTTGGGGGTTCTTGCGCATTCTTCCTCTTTTGGCCCTTTTTGTCCTTCCCTCCGGGTTTGGAACCGTTGGTCCCATTTCCTTTACCGTCAGTTGCAGCCTCCCTGGACGCTTTCATCTCCTCAGGCGGGGCAGGGGCGGCCTTGACGATGTCAATAACGCCCCTATACCCGGACCTCTTGATCCCCTCGTTCACAATGATGCCCCTCGGGCCCGGGCCCATGGCTTCGACACCCTTCTCGGACGCGAGGCCCCAGACGCTGAGAAGGTTCACGACGTCCATAGGAGCACGGAGGTCGATGGGTTTCCCGGCACCACTGGATATCACGAGACCCTTGCCTCTGGTGGCTCTTACGAGACTCATCACGTTGCCGATGAAGTTGGCCCTGGCTCTGGCATCTGGAGCGGCGAGGAGCTGGGCGTAGGATATCTCGAAGCGCAAGCCCCGGGTGACGGCAACGGCGCACGTCTTGTGCCTGAGGTGGAAGGGGAGGCGCTGGGAGAGATCGAGGGAGATGAGAGGGATGTCGGTGATGGACTGGCAGGCGGCGGCGAAGGACTTTTCCGTGGTGGGGCGGAGGGCAAGAAGGTGGTAATGGGGCGCGAGAGAGAGGAGGCGGTGGTTCTGGGACGGTTCGGAGAGGAGGATGGTGGCGCGGTGGAGGACAGTCGGGAGGGTAGGGGCCGCGGGCGTATCCGCCGCCGCAGTCGTCGTGCCGGCCGTGGAGGAGGAGAGGGGCAGCTGGGGGAGCGGGTTCTTTATTTGGGCGGGAATCGGGGTGGAGACTATGTGATTGAGCGCGACGGTTTTGTAGCCGAGCTGGGAGGAGTAGGCGAGCATGCACTCGAGGTCTCGGGGCGTAGCCGAAGCCGACCACGAGATGTTGAGGTCGTACATGTTGGGCGGGGAGGTATAGGGCAGGGCGTGTGGGGGATGTGTCGATACTACGCTTTCAGCATATCGAAAATGCGGCGGGCTTGTTTATTTGCGACGCAGGCTCGAGGGCGACCGACCGGGCGTGGGTAGCTCGCGGTCAAGACGGTGGCGGGGTATGGCGGTCTTGAAAGTAAGTCTTTCGGTGGTGGTGGTGGGGGTGGGTGGTTTGGCTGCTGCGTTGGTAGCAAATGTGGGCGGGCAGGTCAGCGAGGAGGTAATGGCGAGCTGGGGAACTTCACCCTTTCGACAGGCGCGATCTCGTATACAAGCGCAAAGGAAGCTATAGGTTGGCGGCAAGCAGTCGTCGGGGTTTACAGTTATTGTGACTGGGTCAAACAGTAGATCTCATGGATCGGCTCGTGCCTCGACAATCCTAAAAAAAAAAGCTGGAGCCTTCAAGCTCGGGCTTAGTCATGGCACGCACCACGCCAGCTGGGTGCTCCGATCCTCTCCCCACAAAAAGGGGCCTTCACCGAATCTCAGAAAGATAAGATCACGATTGCTAGAAAATCAGATAAAAATTCTTACTATTCCCATTTTTATGCTACAAGTAGCAATGATCCATAGAACGAAAAAGAGATACTTGTTAATGCTAACTTGCACAGGCGGCACCCGTTGATCCTCTTCTCAATCCTGCGTGGACCTTCATCAAGTCGTGCCCGAGCCACGCCATCGGAATCAATTGGACGCGTTACCCTTGTTCCCCCTTGTCACCTCTTGAGACCGCTGCGCCACGTCTCTCCAAGTCATTCAAACAATAAACGGGGCACAAGTTGATACATTGCTGGGTCCCGTCGAAAGGATCAGAGGATATACCGAAGCAGCTTGCTATTGTGATAGGCAATCCAAGAATGGCGCGGTACAGGTTTCAAGCTCCTTCCTTGTCGTACCCTTACCCAAATTGAGACTGGCAAGAGCGTGCATATTGCCCTTGCGGGTCACAACGTCATTTTCCCGTTTCCCCCAGTTCCCCCAGAGTTCCCCTTCCTTGCCCTCCGACCCCAGAAGCTCTTCCCAGTTCACGAAAGCCGCTGACCTCACTCCGCACACGCATTCGGAGAGAGGAACCAGCCCGAGCTTCTGTAGATCGATCAATCTAGGGCCAGAGAGGCATACTGGATGTATGAACTGCAACGATGCGATAATCTTGCGTGCATTTTCTTCATCAAGAAAACGGCAGAGTCGCACCCTTGGAGCATAAGCACATGAGAAAAACAAGTGGTTAGATGCACGAGCGGTTCCTTCCCCTTCCCTTGGCGCAGCCTGCAAACACCAAAGAAGGGTGAATTTGATTCGAATTGATCCACCATTTATTCTCTGTTTTGATGGATCTATTGGAGTGAGCACCCATTTAACTCGCCCCCAGCTTCTCCCGCCTCAATTTCTTAGGCTCGACTCTCCCTCTTTCTCTCTTCGCGAGAATAGCCTACGACCCACCACTTCCTAAAGCGACCACGTCCGAACGAGCCTATTACTGCTTTACCCTGTTTTAAGCGACGCCGCGCGCTCAACGGCCAAGCACAAGCCAGAGTCGACCCATCACCAGCCGGAGCCCGCCAGCAACCCGACACTCGCCACCACACGCACACACCCAACTTCGGCCCAGAACATTGAACGTTGAGGGCGATATAGTGCCAAGGCTTAACGCACAGCCAGCACACATAGTCTTTCTTTGCGCCGTACATACGAGACATCTTTCTTTCTTCACTCCTCACTCCCTCCCTCGCTCTCTCTCTCTCTCTCCCTGCCCAACATCGATAATTTCTTTTTCCCCTCCAACCTTGATTGGAGTGCGCGAATCAATCCTTCTTTTGCAGATACCTAAACTAAACGACCGAGCCCCGAACATCGCCCGAGCGACAAGCTGGATCTCACCTTTTTTGTTTACTCTTTCGTCTCACACTTTCTTTTCCTAAGCTCCGCTCTCTGGTTTAACGACGTCGGGGTGAGCCTCACGAGATCAACTTGAGCGCAGGACAATAGACCGCCCGCCATGTTCTTCTTCTTCGTTTTCGGCGAGCATACCTTTCGTAGCTCGGTGTCTGGCTACGAAAACATTGTTTGCCAATGCTACAATTGTGGAAACATGTCCGGTCGTGTCCTCAAATCTAACCCGTGGTTTACTCTGTGTTGGATCGTAAGTTTGGCTCATTTTCCCTTGCATTGCCCTCATGGCTTTGTGTCTCTTCCCCACCCCTCCGGCGCTTCCGGATGATTCGTCGCTAATTTTTTTCTCTTCCTGCCTTTCCTCTGAATAGCCCATCATTCCGCTCTCAATAAAAGGCTACAAGGATGTCACTTGCCACATTTGCAACTTTCGCCAACCTCTCGAGAACAGACCCGACGTCACGGCCATGGCCAACGGCGGCGGCGCTCCACCACCCGGTCAATGGCAGCCCGCGCCGCCTCAACAGCAGGGATGGAGCGGCCCGCCTCCTCAAGCCCAGCAGCCGGCGAGATACGGTTAAATCGGCTAGGGAAGTACTTTCAAAAGAAAGAGGGCGGCGGTACCGAGACACTACGCGAAATAGAGCCGGGGGTAGATGGTGAATCTTGTCTCTCACACAACCCTTTTTTACAAAATTTCCAGAGGACAGGTGCGCCCGGCCAGCGATAGCGATCGCGGGAGGAAGAACAGGGATCTGGGCAACGTATGACACGAACGAACCGACGAAGACGAATGTTGAAATAATATCCAAGAAGAGGCCGGGTAACGGATGGGAGAAGGGAGGCTACGGAAATCTAAGTGGTATACGGACTGGATGAACGAAGAGGCAACAGGACTTTTGTGTACGAAGAGGCTGGATTAGGTTGGGGTTGGATTGGGCTCGCCTCGCCCCTCGCCCCTGGGAACGGCGTTCGGATATCTTCTATGTTCTTTTTAGCCATTTGCCGGTTTTAAGAAATAGCTATTCTCTCAGATCGATTTGGTGACCATGAAACAGCCCACAGTGCACGTGCGGTTGTGATAGGAGTGAGAGAATCCTGTCGAAAGCATTCTCCGAATGTGAGTGAGGATGTTCATCGCAAGGCAAAAGCTCATAGAAAACGCCAATACGAAGTAAGATTGTAAGCATACTAGGCATGTCCGGGCACGGGGGTGAAGGGGAGAGATCAATCATTGGCCGTCATTTCCATGGAAAGAAACCCAGAGCAAAGTTAATAATCAAGACGGAAACCCCAGCCAGATATATTGAAGGATACGAGGATATATAGGTTACAGTAGACAATTCACCGCTAGCCCTCGCAACCTACCTTATTTCGATGAGTCTTCTCATGCCAGCCCCTTTCTGGTCTTCTCTTCATCTTCTCTCGCTACTCTCGCGGCCTCAACCACCTCCTTCCCAGCGACAGCAACGGCATCCTCGTCATCTTCGGCATCAAAGCTCCGACCCATGTTTTCGGGGCCGAGGAAGGTGAGAATCAACAGGTACCCGTACACACAGCCCATGAAGATGCAAATGACCCTGCCGTACTCGTAGCGGGGCTCGCCTTCTTCGGTCGGGGGCAAGGGAAACCGCTCGCCGAGACTGGCCTCGATGGTGGAACTGGCCGAGGAGGCGAGGTTTCCCAGCTGATACGAGGTGCCGACGACGAAGGCGCGCAAGGCGCCGGGGAGAGCTCCATGAGGTGGATGGGAATGACGCCCCAGGCGCCCTGGACGCAGAACTGCTGGAAGAAGGCGGCGGCGGCGACGCCGTAGTTGCTGACAAAAGTGTAGGGGTAGAGGAGGGCGCCGCCGACGACGCAGCAGGCCATGATGGTGAGGCGGCGGCCGAAGAACTGGCTTAGGTAGCCGACGGTGGTGCCGCCGATGATGGCGCCGAGGTTGGCGACGACCTGGGTGACGGTGATCATGTCGGGGGTGAAGCCGAACTGGTTGCTGAGCATGACGGGGTAGATGTCCTGGCTGCCGTGGGACATGAAGTTGAAGCCGGCCATGAGGAGGACGAGGTAGACGAGGACGCGCCAGTGGCGGGATAGGGCGACCTTGCCCTGGCGGGCAAAGGTGCGGGAGGCGCTGGGGGCGCGGTCGCCGGAGGAGGAGGCGGCGGCGGCGCGGGCGTCGGCGAGGAGGCGCTTTTGGTGGATGTAGGCGTCGTTCTCGGGGAGGTAGTACCGGGCGAGCATGATGAGGAGCGGGGGCAGGCGGCGAACCAGAAGAGGGGGCGCCAGCCGTGGGGGTGGTGTTGACGAGGGCGCGGGCGAAGACGACGCAGAGGAGGTAGCCGAGAGCGTACTGGAGATGTGGTGTTAGTTGAGAAATAGATGGAAAAAGAGATGAAATAAGTGTGTAGGACAGGGAGGATATCAGGATTATTTCGTCTGGATGTTGGGAGGGAGCTCGGCGGGTTCAAAAGACTTACACCTTGCTGGAGCATGCCGCTGATGAGACCGCGGGCTTCTTCGGGACAATCTTCGAGGGCCGTTGCGGCGGCGTTGCCGTACAAGCCGCCCATGGCGACGCCGAAAATGGCACGGCACACTAGGAATTGGGTGAAGTTGGTGCAAAAACCAGTGCCCTGTATACAAAAGAGAGGAATGGAGCGGTTAGTAATTTTTTCTCTTCCTTTGAATTTTGTATGTTCTTCTTCTGTTAGGAACATTGAAAGCACCGGTTTATTTGCTTCACGGCCGCTACCGTCTGCGGCTAACCGTGTGTTTGCATCAATCCTCGGGAATTGTCTTGGCTTTTGGCTTGGCAGGGCCGATGCGTGCGGGAACTGCCCCGCCTTGTGCGCCAAGCCAGGACCGGGGAACGACGACACCTCTTGCTACGGCGAGAGTTGTACGTTGGGCGGGTTCTCTTTTTATATGAAAAAGAAAGAATAAAAAACAGGAGGCGAACTTACAAGTTCAATTACGACGAAAAGGAAGTTGTTAAAGATAAAGGGCCACTTGCGCCCATATCGGTCAGACAAGATACCAAAGATGACGGCGCCGACGGATCGGAACATGAGGACGAGGGTGATGGCCCAGGTGATGTCCGTCTTGGTCCGGTTAAAGTCCTTGGCTAGATCGCTGACGGTGAGAGAGACGGTGAAGAAGTCGAGGGCATCCCAAGTCTGCGTACATTGATTTGAATGTGTGAGCCTCACCTTTCCCTTTTTCGAAAATTTCGTGTTAGTTTGTGGTCTCCAAACTTACCCAGGCAGCGAGAGCTACGCCGAAGAATGCCCACTGGCGGCCGTTGAGCATGCGCAGGAGAGGAATCGGATTCTTGACCCGATTCATGGGTGGTCGCAACGTGGACAGGCGGGTGCGCATATATTCACCCGCCGACATGTGATGGCGTTGGGACGTGATGGAGGGTTCGAGGGTGCCACTGCCTTCACGAGCGCGGCTATCAGGCGAAGGGGAGGCATGACGGCCCGTGTCTAGGCCGCCGGATTGGGTTGGGGAAGCCATGTCTCCTAGCCAGGGTGCGGTGAGGGTTGACCAAAAGGGTGAGGATTTTGAGGGGTGGAGTGTCAAGGCATGTAAGTGCCTTGGGGAAAGCAAAGACGTGGGTTAGGGAGGCAGAGGAAAGAGAGGGGATGGGAAGGAAGGGGATGCTATATGGGTCTGGCTTGTATTATACGTTTACATTTATATATTCATTCCCCGAAGTAAAGTTACAAAAGTAATGCACGATCTGGCGTTATCTGGAAGGCCGCGAGGCGGAGGGGAAGGTAGAAAAGAAACTTTGTTTGTTTGGACGTCTGGCGCGGCAAGAGAGAATAGCGAAAGCCCCCGGTCCATTGACAATCGCCGGGCACAAGAACCAACTCGCGATTACGGCGAGACAAGCAGCATCAGGAGGAGGGGGAGAACTTATGTTAACCTCCTTCCCCTTCGTCTACTTGATCTAATAACACGAAGCCCGGGGAGTGTGCGTGGGGTGGCCAGGCAAGCCAGGATCCGGGATAGGCACACCGGAGTGCGCGCATCATTATCGTCATGCCGGCAGGTGTCTAGGCTCGTAGCTTGTTTTTTTCCTTCTTCTATTCTTTTTGAGCTTCTATCACTTTCCCTACCTTGCTTAGCCCTGATAACTCACCCCTCCTTTAGGGACTTCCGTAGCGATGATCCGCGTCCGTTACATGTGCTGCACTCCCCGCCTTGCACCTGCACGTCGGGTTCCACAGAAGTCAAGAGGTCTTTTGTTCGGCTGCCGCCCTCATTTTTGCCTCTCTTTCTCTCTCTCTCTCTCTTCTTTCCTTCTTCTCCATAGAACTTTTGAGGGAGCGTGCTGGGCCGGGCTATGATGTGGAGACGGAGCCTCATTTTGATCGACCGTGGCATGCGATCGTCGGGGGTTAAAAGCCTCCTCTTTGATGCTAGCGGGATTCGGCCTCCCGGGGCTAAATCGCCGAAAGGCTTTTTTGATTTTGTATCTTAGATTCCCCTTTCATTTTTACTTCCTTTGGAGAAAGAGGCGAAATGGGTAACAAATGTAGCATGTTGAATGTATAATCTATCCAAGTACTTGGGTCTTGATTTTGAGGGAGAAGCAATAAAAGGTAGGTGAGCTGAGCTTGGGAGTACGTCAGTAGCAGCCCGCACACGCTCTCACTTTCTTTTGATAGTGAGCAACTTTAGTTCTTCATTTGGGCTGGCTGGTGTCGGCTTAAGGCTGCGAACATCATGACCCCTCCGCCCCAATTTCTTTTTGTTTTCCTTTTTCTTTTTCTTTTGGCTCATACTAGAAGCCCTCTCGAATATTGCAAGCCGGCCGTTTTGCGGGGAGCTGGCCGATTTAGACTTCGCTCTTCGGCCTGTATTAGCTGAGCTGCTGTCAAGTCGAGAGTGGCGATCCACCTGAACAAAATGCGCCGCATCGTCAGCATTTACGACACATCGCTGGCCGGCCGCGACGATCCTGGCTGGGGTTGGCAGGCGATTTGAGGGGTTCGGCTCCGTCTTGGTGATGTCACGAGCGGAGGCGACAGCCAAAAGGGCAGACAGAGAGGGAGACGAAGAGAGGCGGGACCTTTGTGCCATTCCGTCAAGCTGCCCTGAGGTACCTTCCTTGCTTCCCTTCCTTGGCTTTACTTTTTTTTTTTTCTTTGTTCTTTTTTTTTTTTTTTTTTTTTCGGTTTTCAATTGGCAATGGCAAGGGAAGCTTTCGAGGTATACAGTAACAAAAATAAGTACACACAGTATTCTTCCTTGGCCCTCAGTACCAAATAACGTGACAACTTTCCCAATGACCCAGTGCGCCTCGACGCAATTCCGTCACTTCACCCTCGAACCGGCCGTCTTGCACCCTTCAATGTTCCGTGCTCCGAGTCAACCCTCGCAAATTCATCTCACAGCCTTTCCATCAGCTCTCGACTCTCGCCTGATAGCTCGAACCCTCTTCGCCGGCCCCCGAACTTTCATTCCCACTCCATTGGCCTCTTCTTCCCGCATTTCCCACAGCGGGGCCGGGCTCAAACACTTCTTGTCCGCTGATAACCAATTCCCCACCTTGGCCTTCGGTCCGTTTGGTCATTGTGCCCTTCCTCTTCTTCTGAAGACGCAACCCTTCTTCCTCCTCCACCCCCAACGCCAGAGCTTTCCTGTTAAGCTTCTGAGCTTGACCGACGTGAACCCGCCTCCCCGCCGACTGGGTCGTTTGCAATTCCCCCAAATGCCGTAACTCTCACTCGGTTCAAACTCTTTGTTGCTCAGAACCCCTCGCTCCCCGTTCTGCTCCTGGCTAGGTCGTACTCTGTCTTGACTCTTCACGTGTTGTTTCGCCTGCAGCTAGCCGCACGCCACGCTGATCGCCATCACAATCAAAGATGTCCTCGGGACGTCAATCCAACCCGCCGGTAAGTCGAGAAGAACCCCCACCACCCTCTCAGGACGCACAGGGTGTCTTTTTTGGGAGGGGAATTCCCTACGATCGTCCTCCCCATTGCTAACATGCCAATCTGCCCGATCTAGTCTTCGGCCCACCCGCCGACCGCCGCCGACTCATCCTCCGATCAGCCCCCAACCCCATCCCTCCACAGACCCCTAACCCGAGGCAAACCCACACAGGCGCGTCCACCTTGCCCATGCGCCACATTTCCCTTGACCGAATTCTACAAGGATCCTCTGATATTCCCTCCGGCCAGCCCCGGACTCCGCCTCGCCCTCGCGTTCCGAGACCGCAACCTCCTCTCACCCGCCGTGTTTCCGGCTCTCGCGGCCTCCCGCACGCCGTCTCCCGGACCGGGCAGCACATTCCGTCACGTACCACAAAGCTGAGCGAGAAGCTCGTGCTTCTTCCCGAGGCCGACGAGGACGATATACCTGAAGATGGGGAGTCCGAAGGCGCCACCGCCCGCCGTTTGGTCGATGCTGAGAATAGACCCTGCGGGATGAGGAGCGAGATGTGCTGAAAAAGCGCGGAGGCATCCGCGGCAAGAGCTATGCCGAGCGCCTCCCCAAGGTCCAGCGTACGGAAAAGGTCTCCAGGCTTACCGCCTATTGCACGGCCCAGTCCTTCAACATGAAGCAGACGACCGAGTTCTTGAAGCAGCACCACGAAGCTAGGACAAAACTGTACGACGATTGCCTTTACGTCATTTACGCTTTACCCTTGCTCCCCGGCTCCGACGGATACCGTGTGAGGAGCCGAGCAGTCATGAGGACCCCGGGGACGGGAAAGACGGTCGTCGACCTTGAGATTGAGCGGAGTGAGCAAGACGGCCATCGTGGGTATTTTGACGGGTTTCAGTTTCAGCAGGAACAGGAGGCCACGACTCCCAAACCCACAACCACCACGGCTATCCTAATGGAAACGATCATGAGGGCGCCATGGATGACAACATGTCCTATGGCTCGGAGGCTACCTCCCCCAATCCCGTCAACCGCCTCGTGACCGACGCCAAGAACTTTGCCGAAATGTTTGTCTTTTCTTACGGTGTCGTAGTGTTTTGGAACTTCACCGAGAACCAAGAGCGTGATGTTCTTGCCGACCTCACCTTTGCCGAGAACAAGACGGGTGCCGCCCTACTCAATCGGCCTCTCGATCAAGATGACTATGAAACCGAAGAGTTCCACTTCGAATACAACCCGGAAGCGAGGCAGCCTCGCATCTTCAACGATATGATTACGCTCCTGCCCAGATTCGACCACATGATCAAGCTTACCATTAGCCACGCCATCGCCCAGAGCACAAAACTATGTTTCTTCGAGGAGCGCATGTCCCAAACCATGCTCAACGCCCAGCACGTACCCAAGGACCTGGCGCAAACCGGAATTCTCAAGATGGGACGCACTGAGATTGTCAGGATCCTTGGCCAGCTATTCAAGAGTCGCGTAGACATTAACCTTTGTAAGTTTCCATTTCTCCTTCCTCCTCCCTTCGCCAGTGTGAATCTTTCCCACTGCACCCGACCACGCCCTGGTGTTGTTAACCATTTGGCCATCACCACCTTTAGCTTCTGTCGTGCTCGACGTGCCCAACTTCTTCTGGGACGCGGAGCCCACCCTGCACCCTCTCTACGCTGCCACCCGCGAGTATCTAGAAATTGATCACCGCACCAAGGTTCTCAACGAGAGATGCCGCGTCTTCCTTGACCTGGCCGAAGTCCTCGCGAGCTCCGTGTCCGACTCCAAGATGAGCCACATCACCTGGATCATCATCATTCTCATCGCCATCAGCATCGCCGTTACCGTGACCGAGGTCTTTTGCGCTTCGCCATCCTGGAAAAGTCGAAGCGCGAAGGTGGTGGCGGCGGTGGCGGCGACCGCCCTGAAGCACGCCCCCTTGCCCTGCTCGAGAACGACACCCTCTCCACGGATCTCACCCGCTCCCTACCGCACCTAGCAGTCGTTGGGCCGGATGGTACCCCGCCCGCGTCGGATAGGGCGGCCGTCGAGGCCGAGATGGGCCGGCTGCTGGGCGGCATGACGGTCGAAGAGTTGAGAAGGTGGACCGCCATCTTGTCTGACGAGCAGATGGAAGGCATCTGTGGCGGCTCCGCATTCCGCTCCGAGCTCAAAAGGCTTTGAGTGAGAGATGCTCTTCTTCGTCTTCATCGTCTCTCTCCCTCCTTCCCTTTCTTCATCGTCCCCGTTCATTGTCCTCCGAAGTCTTCCTTCTCTTCCGAATCTAGTTTTTCTCGATTTTATGACTTGGACTTGCTTACACATACAGCGACAGCACGGCAATTTGGTCCCAGGCATTTTCAATTTCCCTTTTCGTCTCCTTCTTCTTCTTTGTTTCCTTGGGTTTCTCCTTTTTATGTCCCCCTTTTATAGGAAAAGTTGTCTGGCATCGGTCGGCATATGTAGAACACCTGTTAAATATGAAATGAAGCTGGGCCTCGCGGCCGCCATGATTTTACTCTCAGTTCCACGCTCACATCTTACACTCTACGTTTGACTTCTTAATGTTGAACGTGGGGTCTGCATTTGCCTTTTATCTAGGCATTGCGTTTATATATGCTCACTAAACCCGACGAGGAGTCGGTGATGGAACTCCAGCAATGCGATGGTTGGATGCACTAAAGGAACAAGATTACATTTGACTGCATGGTCCTTGATTCGCCTCATCTCTTGGTCTCCAAAGCCTTCACTTGCAATGTCTCCCCTCCTTAGCTTTCCACGCCACATATAGAAAAAGAAAACGGTAGAATGGTCTTCCGCGACCCTATATATATTTACGAATAATTGCAGAATAAGATACAGGTATGGCTCAAAAGAAAGCGGGGGTAAGAAGCCGACAAGAATAGAGAAAGATCAAGAAAGGAAAACAGTAATGGGGTATATGTATAAGAATCGCTTAGTAGCAAGAGGGTTAGATCTTTGCTGTTTTACACCTCGGCCTGCTCCAGCGTCTGGAGAGGTACGTAGCCCTCGCCCCTCCTCTCCGTGCGACGGCCAAGAAGATCCTTGACCCAGGCGCGGACGCCCCAGGACCCGCGCCTCCTAAGCTTGCCTCCCTTGCTGGCGAGCGCGTCATTCATGTATGATGGCCTCTTCCAAAACTTGAGAAGGAGAGAGGATGCTACAACGGAGACACTGCTGCAGGCCATGGCGGCGCCCGAGGCCATCGGGTGAAGGTGAAGGCCAAGGGGCAAGAAGAGCCCCATGGCAAAAGGAAGACCAACAGCATTGTAGAGGCAGGCCCAGGCGAGATTGAGCTTGATGCGGTTGAAGATGTGGCGAGCGAGATGGAGCGAGGCGGGTATGTCCATGAGCTCTGTGGGGCGCATGAGGACAACGTCGGCCGCTTCCATGGCGACATCTGTGCCGCTCGCCATGGCGATGCCCACATCGGCGGTGGCTAGAGCAGGCGAGTCATTGATGCCATCTCCGACCATGGCAACAACCTCGCCACGCTCTTGGATTTCACGGATAATTTCCTGCTTCTGGTCTGGCGAGACTCCGGCCCAGACCTGATCTTCGGGGATGCCAACAGCGCGCGCAACAGCGAGTGCGGTAGAGCGTTGGTCGCCAGTCACCATGGCCGTCTTGACACCCATCCTGTGCAAAACAGCAATGGTAGCTGCGGCGCCTTCCTTGATGGTATCGGCCAAGCAGATATAGCCAGCGAAATCTCCGTTGATCGCGATGAAGATATTGGTCGTGCCCGTGGAAGGACCCTTGCCTACCGAGCCTCCAGATCCGACGAGCTCAGATGCATTAACAGCTTCTTGTGGAACAGAAACGCCATTTTCCTTGAGAAATTTTACGTTGCCGACAAGCACGCTCAGGCGCTCACGGTCACCGTTGAGGGCAGGCTCGACTTCGGCACTAATGCCCTTGCCGACAACAGCCTTGAAATTACCAACGCTGCCCTCGATCATGCCGTCAGATCCAACACCGAGATGCTCCTTGGCCGCGGCAAGAATCGCTTTTCCTACAGGGTGTTCGCTTCCCATTTCCGAGAGGCCCACAACGGCCCACCACAGACGGGTCTTTAGGGAGCTAGCGGACCACGTAGGTGTCAGGTCGGCCTTGGCAACGCTCATCTTTCCGTGCGTGATAGTGCCGGTCTTGTCTAGAACAACCTGGGTGACCTTTGTCGTCGTCTCAAGAGCCGCACCACCCTTGACAAGGATACCATTCTCGGCTCCAACACCAGTACCAACCATGACGGCGGTGGGGGTAGCAAGGCCAAGAGCGCAAGGGCAGGCAAACACAACGACGGAGATGCATAGTTTGAAGCAGACCATGACCTTGCCACCGCTCTCATCCTTGAGGAAAATGGCCGGCGGGTTGGGGAGAACGTGGCTGAGCACCATCCAAGAGGCAAACGTCAGGAAGCCGAGAACTAATATGCACGGAACAAAATAGCCGGCAATCAAGTCGGCCAGGCGCTGAATTGGTGCGCGCGTGGTCTGGGCCTCTTGGACGAGCTTAACAATCTGGCTGAGTTGAGTATCCCTACCCGCGCGGGTAACGCGGAAGTCAACTCGACCATGACCGTTGACGGTACCTCAATCATGATGCTGCCCTTTTTCTTCTCCACGGGCATGGCCTCGCCCGTCACCATGCTCTCGTCAACGTAGGTCTCGCCGCGGACAATGATACCGTCGGCGGGGATCTTATCGCCAGGCCTGAGTATGACGATGTCTCCAACCTGGATCAACTCAGTAGGGATGATCTTTTCCTCCGACGCGTTTCCGTCACTTGCGGGGGTTTTAGCGTCATCCTTCATTTTTGCTTCTGTGGATTTATCCCACTGCTCGGCTGCCTTCTCAGCCGCGATGGGATCGGCGTAAATTGTCGCCATAGAAGGAGCCAGAGACATGAGCCGCGAGAGGGCCTTGGATGTCTGGCCCTTGGCACTATTTTCGACAAATCTTCCGAGGGTGATGAAGGTGATGAGCATAGTGCTAGTATCGAAGAGAATGCTTGGTCGTGTGTGAGGGGGAGCAAATGGAAACGATCATGGCGAAGATACTGAAGAAGAAGGCGCACGACGTGCCAAGGATAACGAGCACGTCCATTGTGGGCGACTTGTGCTTGATCGATCGATACGCAGAAATGTAGAAGCGCTTCCCAATCCCAAACTGAACGGGGATTGTTAATATCAAGCAGATCAAATCTCCAAGGTAGAGACCAGGTATGATGACCAAGCTACCAAAATCCAGGGGTGGATCATGGGCAGGACCATGCTCAGGATGAAGACAGGGACGGCAAAGCAGAATGATGTCCTGAAAGCAGTTCGCCACTCGGTAATTTCCCGCGTTTTAGCAAGGGACTCTAGCTGCGCGTTGTTATCCTCGTTATCGGCCACCAGGGCATTTAGGCCTTGGCCTTCAATGACCTCAACTATGGCGCGTAGGCCGATGAGCGCGGGTTTGTGCACAACCGTGAGACGAGAAGATGGCAGGTTGACGGAAGCCGAATAGATACCAGGCAAACCAAGCAACGTATTTTCAAGTAGAGTGGCCTCTGGAGTGCTTATGGTGCCGTAAAGCTTGAGATGTGCCGTAGAGTTGCCTCCAGTCTGGTCGTCGCATTGAGCAACGGTGGTTAAGACGGTGGCGCCGAACCCCTATCCTCGATAATTTCGGCAATTTGATCCGCAGTTAGTTTGGAGGTGTCATGGGTGATGACTGCGCGCTCGGCTAGAAGGCTGATATTGAAGCGGAGAAGACCATCAAGATCCGCAAAACCACCTTCCACTGCAGATGTGCAGGCCCCGCAAGTCATGCCTTCGACGGCCACAGTTGTTATAGCTACGGTCCCCTTGGGCTCGGCGCCACCTAGGGCGCTCGCGGCCGTCTTCACGCTACTTATTATCGTGGCATCAAATCCGCGGTCTTCGATAATCGAGGCAATCTTTTCCGCGCTCAGGAGGTCCGCGTCGTGCTCAATAATCGCCCTTTCGGCAAGCAGGGATATATTGAAGGTATGTAGGCCAGGGACATCTTGGAAGCCAGCTTCAACGGCAGATGTGCAAGCGCCACAGGTCATACCCTCGATGCCAATTGTGGTCGTCGTGGAAGGCTTCTCGTCGAGGGTAGAGGAGTGGCGAGGGAACAGAGGGCTCGGGAGATCGGTGGCAAGAACATCAGCGTCGAAACCTCGGTCTTCGATGATCTCTTGAATCTGTTCGGCGGATATCGTCTGGGGTCGTGCATAATTACGGCTCGCTCCATGACGAGACTGACGGATACGTTGCCCACGCCGGCGACGTTCTTAAAACCCGACTCGACGGCAGAGGTACAGGCGCCACAACTACACATGGCGATGGCGATAGTTAATACTAAGCTTTTCTTGGTTTGGGTTCACGGTCGGGCTCTGGGTAAGAAGGATACTCACGTCATACCGCCAACTCTCAAAGTGGTGGTCGCCATATGCGGTGCGGAAAGAGACGGTCTCCGACCGTCGGTGTCCACACCAGGGACTTGAATGTACGCAGGAGCCATTGTGATGTGTTGCGTGGCGAAGCAGCCGACAAGTTTGCGAAATTCGACGAAAAAGCTCACGAGAGAATACGCAAAAACCAGCAGAAGGCCGAACGAGCAGGTTTATGTAGTCCGTTGCCTGTCCCAGAAAAAGTGAAACAAGGGGCCTTGGCCTGAAGATGGAGAATACCAAGCGCTACCGCTCCGACACACAGAGCATTTTTCGGTGATCGCGAGACTCGGATGAGAGTAGATAAAGGGATGAAAGGGAAAGAAAAAAAAAAAAAAGGGGGAATAAGACGACTGAAGGGATCGCGGGTTGTCAGAAAGAATAAAAAGAGCGGCTGCGCCAGGCAATGCCACCAAGAGGGAAGGGTGGGTGGAAAGAGGTATATGTATGGGTATGGTATGGGGAAGGAAGGTATGCACGACAGGTCAAGGTTGGAGGCTTGAAGAAAGGGACCGCACAAAAGGTACCGGGTCGCCAGGGAGCACTGGTGACAGAGCAATCAGCCGGTGCGAGTAATGCCGGGCCTTACTGGTTCCCCACAGCATCAGCTTGACAACATCAATGTGTGACGATGGTCTGGTTGGCTTCAGGAGGTGTGGGAGGCAAGGTATAGTTGTTTGGGTAAAAGTCAAACGCAGACGTGCATTTGGTCTCGCGAGCGGAAAATTCACAAATTTTAAAGTACGAATAGATGGGAATTGATGTCTTAATTAATCCTAGCCGGGATCTTCGGGGGTGGCTTGTTGGCGGAAGAAGATATATCTGGGGTCACTCAGTGTGTGTGTATGGCCTCTTGCTGCCAAGGATGCCAGAGTACATTCCACTTGTATACGCGACACTGATTAATCCATCAATCTCCTCCGTGGCCTCTGTCCATGTACCTGCACTGCTGGGGAGTTGCCAGACACACGAGACAGCAACGCAACAGAGACGAGATCCTTACTTTTGCACGGCAAATGGCTCCTCCCTCTCTCCCCAAGCGTGCCTGCGTGAGTACAAGTAGTGTATGCTCGTTCAAACATCTACCAATGATACCAACCCCAACCCATACAGGGGAAGCAGCGATATTTTTTTCTGACGGACTGAGGAAGTCTGTCCCTTGGCCTTGGGAGGGAGTGATCCACTAGCATGGCGCACGGCTGGCCACCACGGACGCTAAAACACTCTCAACCTACGGCGAGACAACAACAGGAGATGGTCCACCCGGGAGTCCGCAAGCTCCACCCTCGAAACTTTGGCAACGTGGGCCCAGAGCAAGAAGCAACGAAGAAAAACACTAGCCATGCACCCTTGTCGCTGACCCTGAGATAAGCCGCTTCATTCTGCCACTAAGAATGGATGAGAGAGCAAAGGCTATCAGAGAGGAGGAGAAAAGAGATGCCCCCATAGCATTAGCGCGGCTGTCAGTTTCTATCTCTCTATCATCGTTGCGATGCAGATAGGCAAATAACTATTCAAGCCCTCGTCGAGCTTCGGTGTTACGAGGGAAACCATCGGCACCAGTGACGCCTTTGGCTGGGGACAGTTTTGATGGGGCTTCTCACCTCCACTGTGTCCTTTTCCTCAACCCATGGATGTATGTACAAGAATGAACCACAATCCCGGTCTGGAACTTGCGCCATCTTCGACGGGCAACTGCGAGCGACTACGAAGTATTTGCGAGGACAGGACACGCCACATGGTGCGGACCCTTGACCTCTGCCCGCTTCCATCCCCTTTCCGATTTCCATCCCGCCCCTCCAGCCAGTCGAGCGGAGTAGTGGTGTCTCTTGGGCCCAGTGGCTGACGAAGCACCCCCGAATACAACATCCCATCTAGATCTTAGGGCAAGTCCAGAACCGCGGGCGCAATATTGGCATTCTCTGGCCTGGTCCGTTTAGTAAGCGCCACTGGTGAAGGGGGTCACAAGAAAAGTTAATTTCCCCGGAGAGGTAGGCATGCTTGGTACTTGCACACTATAGGAGAGTTTGCCCCCAAGAGAGTGGCGATGGCGGAAAGCAGAGGGGCAACGGAGGTTTCCCGGCGGTCTTCATCGTAGACCACTAGTCGATGACCGAGTTCGTACCTAGCTATTTCTTTGACGTACTTGACTGGCGGCCTTAATAATGCCCAGGGACAAGATGCAACAATAACTGCAGCGTGTATGCTTGGTCGGTCCATGTCCAACCGCGAAACCCCATCTCGGCTTTTTACCCGGACTTTTATATGCTCCAACTATGTATTCTCTCATGTCCTTCCTTGTCGCGCTTGTTATCAGCGGGGCAGTCGACAACCCCCATTGTGTGTACATACTTTACACCTGCAATTGAATGGATTGATGGCTGCGGGAATAGATCCATTGCATGACCTCCCACCTCATTCTCCCCAGACTAGAAGCTCAACCATGTCCCACCGCCTGCGCGTGACTCAATATTGTTTTTCGCGCACGCCCACCACCTCGCCTTGATGTCTGAAAAAGGCTTTGTCGAGAAAAGGCAGCCGACTTCCTCAGTAGATACCAAAGATTTTGGTCCTCTCCCACATTACTTGGTATATCTATTCGGAATACGGCACCCTCGCCCAACGTCCGCGCGGCGCGGCTCGTTTTAGTGTCGAGAAAACCTTTTGTTTCAAGCTTGGCACACATTGGAGTCTCCCAGCCCCTCGGGGAACACTGGTCGAAACTGATCTCAGGCACCCCACCCTCGTGCGAAACGGTGCGGGCGACCAAATTACCACCAGGAAGCAGGGATTAGCTCTCCCCCTTGGTGAAGCAGATGCGATGTGACTTCACGGATGACCTTCTGAGCCCCAAACCCGCACAAGCTGGGCGTAAAAGTCAGCACCCCCTGTATTCCATGAGTAATGCCTGAAGCCACCTCGGCGGCACATAACTGGCGCGGCATCTTTAAAAATAGTCAATGGAGGCCGTGCCCACCAACAGTCGATGCACAAAGCGGCGGACGGATGGGAATAGACTTATTTCCATTGCTGACAACAGCGCATCGTAAGGATTCGGAGGCTTAGTACTTCGTAGTTTCGTGGCCCTTTCGATTAAGGAATCGGGGTCAATCGCCTTCGTCCCGAAGAAAGGAAGACTGCTGCTAGTCAGCTCACCCCTTAGTAAGGCCGAGATGATGCTGCTGGGACACGAAGCCTCCACGGGGGCGCGAGGAGGCCTTTCATCACGGAATGCCACAACTTTGAGTCTAGAGCCATGCGCTTGATGCTGATCTCTTCCAACAAACTCCGACATCGTCAGTCGAGGTTGAGGCCAGCCCCGAGGATCGCCAATGACGCGATCTCTGTAATCTCGTTCGCACGATCCCCTGTCCGCCACAACATGCGCGGGTAGGGCGTTCAAATGCTTCCTTTGCTACAGAAAATCCGGGGCTAGATTGTAACCAACGAATTCTCATCCTGCACCTCTGTCGATCTCCTTGGGCTATTCAGCTTCCTCAGCCCCAGGGCTGCCCACTTGGCGTGGGTAGGTTCGGCGAATTTGAGTGATGCAATCGCCCTCGTCTACGCCACCTGAAATCCCCTGCTGCCAGCATTTGAACCCCACTAGCCGCCTTCATACCCCCTCTCTCAAGTACTCCGAGCCATTGCTTCCCTGAGGATGAAACAACAGGCACCTACAGTGGGTGTATCAGGGAAGCGCTACCGCCTGTAGGAGCTTTGGAGGGCGTGTTCAGCCAGTGATAGACGACGGAGGGCTGAGCAAAGAGCCCCGCATCGCGCCAACAGAGTGCACCCACCCACAACTCACACACACATTGATGAAGCACACACATTCACGCACACAGACTCACACACGCTCGACACACGCTCGCCAGACATCCCTATGTAGAGCAGCCTTATTGGGCCAAACGTCTGCCTGGTTTCAGCCTCGCACAACGTCGCTCTTCGCAACTTTAGCACTAATAATTTGTCCCAGAGCTTGATTGAGCTTTGCACTGAGGAGGAGTAGCCCAGCTCTGGCACTACCTGACGGTCGGCCCAGGCCCCACCCTTAAGCTCCCCTCCCTCCCTGAGTCCCTCTCACGGAACCCCACGCCCGGCCTTGAAGTGGCGGCACGCACGCTCAAATCCGCATCATGGAGCAAACCAAGGCCCTCAATGCGCTTGAGGTAGGAGACACACGAGGCAGCCCTAGCGCACACCCCCAGCAACTGTTCTCAGCGGGTGATGCGTCCGGAGATTCTGCGGCCTGGTGCTAACATGGTAGCTTCAGCCCTTCCTCGCCCTGCACAAGAGCGCGACCTCTCCCATCGCAGCCGCCGACCTGGTCACCCGCGCGACCTCTGCTCCTAACACGTACCTGTTCTCTGAACTCCTTCATACCCCAGCAGTTCAATCCCTCGCCTCCTCTCCCGATCACGGCCCTTTCCTCACGCTTCTCCAAATCTTCAGTTATGGCACGTACGCCGACTATCGGTCTACCGCGGGCCTCCCCAAGCTTAGCGATGCACAGACTCTTAAGCTCCGGCAACTCTCCCTCCTTACCCTCGCCCGTGATAGGCGGAACCTCACGTACGAGAAGCTCGCGGCGAACTTGGAGTTGGCATCGCCGCGGGACCTCGAAAACCTCGTGGTAACTGCCGTGTACGCCGGTCTCCTCGACGCTACGCTTGATCCACACCGTCAGGTCGTACAGGTCAACAGCATTGCACCCCTAAGAGATCTTGCCCCTGGCGCAATCCCACCCATCATGGACAAGTTAGGTGCCTGGTCAGACAGATGCGGCTCAACCCTCGCGGAGCTTGAGGCTGAGATCCAAACCATCAGAAACAAGGCTACTCAGCGCCAAAAATTGCAGGAGCATAACGAGAAGGAAGTTCAGAGACTCATCGCTACATTGAAAGATCCCGGCTTAGAAGCCGGCGGGAAGAAGTCCGCCGCCGCAAAGGGTCTGCGCTTTGGGAAGAGAGGCCCGATTGATGATGGTGTTGAGGAAGCTATGGACGTCGATATCGACGATGACGCTAGCGGCAAGGTTCGCTCGAGTCGGCGTAAGCTCTAGAATCGTGGGACCTCCATACTTATGTACACTGCCGTGTTAGCATAAGGCATGAAACCCTCCTCCCACCTAAGCCCAACAAGTGTATGTGTATATGAATACAGGCACCTTCATGGGCACATAGTTGGCGTTCTGGAACCTCTATATCCACTAGGTGAACAGAACCTCGGATACATGCACATTATTGATTAGAACCTAGAAATCATGAACGCCTCTCAAGATGACCAAATATCTTGGTTCCTCCAAGGTGATATATGTGTCTCGAGGCCATACTCTCGTTTCTGTGGCTCAACACCTTCAAAGACCTTCAGTTTCTTGCCTTGTCACCATAATATTGATTCACATAGCACGGGACAGGTGAGAAATCCTAGACATTTGTAAACGAAATGGGTGAATGACTACCTAGCGAAGAAAGATTACCGTAAAAAAAAAGAAAATTTGAAAACACGCCATTGTTACCAATACGCCTTACTTGCCTACCGCCGTATCCTGCTACCTCAGCTAAGCCAGTATTTGATCCCATTACGAATTTTCTTTCGCCTAAACCTGGTATAATTCATCAAACCCACAAGAAACGACCAAAAACGCAGAGCAAGGCAAAACAATAAAGTGATCATGAGCTCGTGAAACTCCGAGGTCCATGGGCATCCCGGTCAGGTGACAAACGTGTTGACAGTTGGGGGTGGTGGAGGAGGAGGGGGACTCCCGCCTACCTCCTAACTCAACGCACAGCGTCAACATTACAAGACATTGTCTAAAGTCGTTTTCCCGGGACGAGGATGAACAAGACGCAAAGGGCGGCATCGATCAGAACAGTTACCGCTAGGACCATGGAGGCGCGTTTCGCGAGCAGCTTGCGGACATACGGCTCCCTAATCCTCGAAAAGTTGAAGGGTGTGTACTCGCTGAAGCCGATTAGTGCCAGGATAGGATCAACAGAGTACTGATAAGAGGCCAACGAGTAGACTCCAAGCGTGAACGGAATGATAAGCTATTCATCAATGTTAGTTTAATCCTCTTGTCAGACAAGCGAGAGGCGGAGAGATTGCTTACCCAAAGTTTAGTCTCTCGAGATCTGTCGAGGAAAATCAGGATGAAGCCAGTCCAGAATGCGCCAAACATGGCAACGAGGCCGATAATAAGGCGGAGAATAAGCGTGGGCGGAATGAGATTACCGAGGGCCTTCATCCTTAGAAAACCGGGAAATGCATCCCGCTCCATGGCCTGGAAGACATAGTCCTTAGCTACGTCAAACACCTCGGGATCATCTCGGCCTTGCTCTTCAATTGCGAGAGTAATATCACGAGTGATGGATTCAGGAAGTGTGATCTCGCGTTCAGCACCAGGGAGGAGAAACGTGTAGAGAATCTTTTCTGCGGAGGCACGGATATCCTGCCGCATGACTGCGTTTGCGGGCGAGTTTGAATCCGAAGTAGGGTCCCACGGTGCATCCGTCGTCCGAGGGCTATTTCGATTGTTGCTGCTATGAGGAGATTCCTGGGCAAGTTGGTCTTCGCGAAGAAAGGCAGACATTTGCGCATCCTGCGACCGCTCCTTCTCCGTTGCATACATCGAAGGACCCGCAACAGGATGGCTCAGCTCGCCAAGTGACTCTAGGACCGCGGACGAACGTTTGGAGCCGGGTTCAGGCGTGCTGATTAGAACGGACCGTCGGAGTTCGCGCACATAGTGGCGGCATAATGACATGTGTTGAGCGACATCGAGCCTAGGACATAGATTAGCGCGTGTTGACAACCCACCACGATGGCCCAATCAATCACATACCAGAAATCCAAGTAGTCCACCGATCGCTGCTGGTCTCGCATATAAATGTAAAAAGAGAATAGGTCAACGGGTGGGAGTGTTCGACCACTCAAGACCTCGAACAAAGTAGGAAGCCTATTGCGCTCGAAATCCGGCTGAGGAGACGGGGACGCCATTGTTGGCTGCGTTTGTAGTTGTTCGAGGGATTGAGAAGATCGATCGAAGGCGGAGAGGGGGAGGGAGTCTGCTGGCTTTTCAATTGTAATGTTGTTCCTGAAGTCGATGCTTTTTCCTGGGCCGATTTCGTCTAGCGTTCTGACCGACAAGGAGCCGGCAAGGGTCACTACCAAAGTGATTGGCAAATGGATTAATTCCGCTCGGCTCGTGAGAAATTGCCGGACGCAAAGGGCGAGGTGGATAAATTTTCCCGCATCGACGGTTGAGGGGGAGAACCAGGGGAAAGGAAAGAAGACGTGAACTCAGAAAGTCTACCTTGACTGGCAAGACGTTGGTGTCGATCACGCAGATGAAAGGCCCAAAGATCAAAGGCTCGAGTTCCGCCCGGCACAAAGCATGGTCTGGCCCAAAAGAGGCTGGTGCGGTTTTGGAGGAAACGGATGCACCTAGAAAAACAGGGTGGAATCTAAGTCAGGGGTTCTAGACAGGTACGTACCCCCAAGCAGGGTAAGGCAAGGTCTCGCATGTTCCATGGCAAAATGGGTCTCATCTCGTCCAACCCACCCAAGCACCTGAAATGAGCGGGGTGACATAATAATAGCTTGAGAGCATCATGTTGGGCCCTCGAACCCGAATCACGTGAGCCGGTCAACTTAGTCACGGGCCCCCGCTGGATCGGGTCGGGACATATCAAGCTGGCTCTCTAACTTCTATTGTTTAGTCATCGGCATGGCGGTTAGGATACCAAAGTCAAATAAAAATGCACAGACCATATCACTGAGCTCCCCCAACGATCAGGTCAGCAAAAGTGCCACACTGAGTCCGGTACTTCAGTGTTCTGCCACAACCCTCAATACACGTGATGTAAAATTCTCGCCCACACATTTTCCAATCCACCTCTATCCCACCCTCGTTCGTCAATCTAAAAGTCCTCCCAACCCGGACGTTGACGATATTCCAACAACAACCACCCATACAGAAGCAATGGCGTCCTCGAAGGGAAAGAAGACCCAGCAGCGTTCCGCCATTGCGGACGTTGTCGCCCGTGAATACACCATCCACCTACACAAGAGGGTTCGTCGATTTCCTCCTCCCCGCGTACCTCGATGCGAACTTTGATCTCGGGTCTTCCACGTCAAATCGTTCTTGGAGAGGGCTCCAACCGCGGCAACTAGTATGCTAACTCGAAATTTCTCTATCCTCTAGCTTCACGGCGTCAGCTTCAAGAAGCGAGCTCCCCGAGCCATTAAGGAGATCCGAAAGTTTGCGCAGCTTCAGATGGTACGACACGATTTTCCTCTCTTCAGCCTACCATCCTCCCCTTCGGCTCCCACCTAGGGCAGCCTCGTATACTTTTTCCGCATGGGCCAGACTGTCTAACATGGAGGGGTTTTTCCTGACTATAGGGTACCGTCGATGTCCGTGTCGATCCTCAGCTCAACAAGAAGGTGTGGGAGTGCGGTGTCAAGGGCGTTCCCTACAGGCTCCGCGTAAGGATTTCCCGGAAACGTAACGACGAGGAGGGCGCGAAGGAGAAGCTCTACAGCTACGTGCAGGCAGTCAACGTCGAGAACCCCAAGGGCCTCCTCACTACCACGGTCGACGAGTAAGGAAGAACGACGAGGTGGAAGCGAAAATAAAACCGGGAAGGGACTGGGGACGTTGCTTTGTGTGTTCTTGTGGTCTTTTCTCTCTCTTCGGGATGTTTTACAGGCGGCATGGTACACAAATGGAGTTGCATGTGGAATTTTAGCCTCGTACGCTACGTCCAAACGGCACACTAAAATATGACCACGAAAGTTCAAGACATGCCTCCCTCTTTCCGTTTCCCTCGCTCAGGTCTAGCGGCTACCTGTGCTCGATGAAAACAGCACAACAAGCTAGCTAGGGCAAGCAATACCAAATGCGAGCAAGCACAAGCAAGAACATCTGGATAGCTAGGCTTGCAAGCAATGGAAGAAGTAGGTCCCTGACGGCACTAGCATCGAGATACGCAGTCAAGGATAAGGCAGTATGACCACCGTTGCTCATTCAAACGTGAAAACGTGAACCGCGCCTAAGGCAGTTACAACGTAGTGTAGTTCAGCCCTTCCGTATCTTTGCCTATTCATCGCCCGCACCTCCCTTCTCCTTCCCGGGCAGCACCTGGATTAGAGGCGGCCTCATTAAAGCATGTTGCAAGACGCCCACAAAATGGAATCAACCAGAGTCGCCAACCCAAATGAAGAAAAAAAAAAAGAACAAATGTGTTGCTGGTGATAATACAACTACGCACGTGCGATGCTGGGTTCGTTACGCTGTTAGTGCATTCGTTGGCGTGTTTGCCTTGGTCGTATCGGCAGAATCTGCTCCGCCACCCTCATCCCAACTACTCATCCTCAATATCGCGGTGTCGGGCAAGAACTTTGCGCTTAAACTCTGCTGGGTCCTTGTCCCATAGCTCGGCAGCTTCACCATTTAGAGGGGAAGCGCTGCAGCAAGGAGAAGGTTAGTACTCTATAGCAAGGGCCATCACGAAGAATGGGGATAGGCAGGACATACTTGTTGGGTTCTCCCAAAAGACTCTGCAGGCTAAGGAGGACAGTCTGGATATTGTAGGCAGCGGTCCACTTGTCCTTCAAGATGTCAAGGCAGATGCGACCAGAGAAGTCAAAGTTGGGATGGTAGATTGGGGTTTTAAACAAGACTGTGGGAGGGGCATAAGGATAGTTGGAAGGAAAATCCATTGTTAGCTTGAGGGTAAGGCCTGCGTAGGGAGTCGCTTCGGGGCCCTCGATGGTGGCAGTCCAAGATAGCAGGTTGCCATCAGCCGAGGGGAATGCTGATATTCCAGGGGCGGGCGAAGTCATGAGCGTCATGAGTTCGGTTTGCAATCTACATGTCAATGGTTAGTCTTGAGAGGCGCGCAGTTGACAAGGGCCTATCTGGCCGGGTGCGGTGTGGGTGCGACAGCGAGACTGCTGGCATACCTCTTTGTAACACTTCCAGCGTCGACCTTGCGGCCCACGTTGGGAACAGTGGCTGAATCTTGGTTTACGAAATCCATGTTGCCCAAGGACTAGTGTTGTATGTATACAGGTCGGTTGACGTTTTGTCGAGAATTCGAAGCAAGACAGGTCTTTGTAGTTGTCCTCAAAGGGAAGCAAAATTAAAGCTCGAAGAATTGATAAGAGATAGACGGGGAGAGCAGCCTTCGTTTCCGCTTGAGGGTAGTTGGAATGGAAGATGATGCGAATCAGTCGCTTAAGTAGAAGATGTCAAGAAGCCTGGTGTCTCAGGAAGAAAGCGCCCTGGTGTATAATAATTATTCAGCTCACCAACTCAAGGAGGTGCAAGTTGTGTTTGGTCATGGAAGGTGCTTTTAAGGTCTAAGAGGAGATATCGTTTTGTGTGGTGGAGAGTGTTTGTTACCCAGCAACGAACCAACAACTCTGGGCCAACGAGGGATGTTGGGCCGCGCCTGGGTCGCGCCTGGGCCTCTCGGAACTTGATATGAGCCAGTCTCGGTGGTGGCAGTGCCAGGGTCCTGACAGGGGCTCACCACCCAAGGATATTTACCCCACCAACAGGCCAGCCAATTTACACTGGGTCTATCCACCATCAATTCCAGCCTCACGATCGGTATTAATAGCCAATCGAGCACGAGAAAGCACCAGCATCTTGAAACTGGGCCCCAAATTCACCGCCTACTAAGAGCCCAGAAGCACTATCGATCCACAGATTAATAGCCATTCTACCCAAGTTCTCTAGTGCTGGGCAAGATTTGCGTCGGAGTGAGTGGATGACGCTGAACATGCCCAATACTACTTCTCGCCATTGGTCGTCCCGAGCCCTCATTTGTCATCTCCAGTGAAAGGGCTGCAACAAGGGACCTTAACTTATACCACACCACATCCATGGATGGATCCATCCACTATTCAATTGAATCGGGACGCGTGCACTTCAGCTTGACGCGCTTTTTGGCGTGAATTGCCATCAACCCTTTTTTGCCATGCACCATCACTATACCTGTGCTCCTTCGTGCTCTCCCTTCTACACCTCCACTAGAAGGAATTCTCCGGGATAGAGTGACAAGTACTTAACATCTACAAAACCACGCCTTTAACCTAGACCTAGCCAAGGTTTCTTTCCAAGGACATTTCCCCAACGAGGGGTCCATCAAGGCAAGTTTTACCCCGCCATTTATCGGGAGGTGCTACAGACGTGAAATCCTCCTACAACCTACAGTCTTCTACCCGCACATCACTTATGACTTCTTTTGCAAAAATGTGCTGTCCATTCAGGAGAGATTCCAGCGCAATAGGGGGTCCGGGAAACGGAGGGAAGAGGTGCAAACGGAGGCTCCGTCCGCTAACTCTTTCGCATGACAGGCCATGAATCAGTCACAACTAGCCCCTCTTCCCACAAATCTCCCCTTCCGAATCGTATCGAAGACGATCGGAAGGGGAGCATATGCCTCGTGAGTCCAGCCTGTGTAACCGGAGAAAATTGTACAGCTTTGGTGCTGTGCACCCGTCGTGGAGGAGGCCTTCCCGGATCACGGTGGCTTACAAGCGAAAATGACAGGATCAAAAAGGCCGTTCCACTTGATCAACCTACGCCAGTCTTCGCCGTTAAATTGATTCACAAGGAGTATGCTATCAAGCGAGGCCGTATATCAGAAAAGCAGCTGAAGATGGAAATCTCGCTACACTCCTATGTTGGCCAACACCCAAACGTAATCGAGTGGTTCGCCTCTGGGGACGATGCTACTTGGCAGTGGATAGCCATGGAGTTCGCCGAGGGCGGCGACCTCTTTGACAAAATTGAGGCAGACGTTGGCGTGCCTGAGGACATTGCCCAAGTCTATTTTTTACAACTGGTCAGTGGTGTAAGTTTTGTTCACTCCAAGGGCGTAGCACACCGGGATCTGAAGCCCGAGAACATCCTTATGTCCGAAGGAGGCAGCCTCAAGATTGCCGACTTTGGTCTGGCTTGCATGTTTGCCCACAAGGGCCAGCGCAAAATGAGCTCCACTCTTTGCGGGAGCCCTCCATACATCGCCCCCGAAATCCTCCTGTGCAGGCGCGACGACAGAAAGGCCACCACCTCCATCTCCAAGTACGACCCCGAATTGGCCGACATCTGGTCGTGCGGCGTGATCCTCTTCGTTCTCCTCGTAGGTAATACCCCATGGGATGAGCCTTCGGGAAACAGCTGGGAGTTTCAAGAGTACAAGCGAACGGCCGGCCGCAGCTCCGATCCGCTCTGGGAGCGCATCCCCGCCGACGCCCTGTCCCTCCTGCGCGGCATGCTCGCCGTCGACCCTCAGAATCGCTTCACCTTTCAGAGGATACGTCAGCACCCCTGGTACACCCGACACAACCCCCACCTCACCTCGGACGGCCGTGTCAGCGACCCGCTCCAGCTCGCTACCCAGATGCTCGAGAACCTCCGCATCGACTTCAGCCAACAGCCTTCCGCCACTCAGTCGAGATCCCAGCCTCACGATGGAATGGATCTTGATTCGCCCGTTCAGCAAATGTCTTCCACGCAGCCAGAGGCCCCGATAAACGATACCGCCTGGGACTGGGAGCGTCCCGCTCTCCGCACCATGGGTGCCTCCGCCGTCTCCTCCACGCAGCCCGTCTCTCGGAATGATCACGCGCTACAACCCACCTCTGCGCACGCCGCCCGGGCTCTCCTCCTCGGTACCCTCGCCATGGAGCCCTCCATGTCTCAGTTCTCTCAGCAACCCGGTGTCTCCATGACGCTGACCCAGCAGGCTCGCCGCTTCAGGGATATCGTCCCCGCCGAAGCCCTCACCCGCTTCTTTTCCCACGTGCCCCCTGCCCTCCTCGTTCAGATGATCTCCGATGCCCTACACCAACTTAACATCCCCTTACCACCAGTGCGCATGAATCCCGAGGCCTCCTCGTCATCCGCCTTTGGCGGCGCCGACGTTAATATCGCCACCATTCGTGTCAAGGCCCTAGATACCCGGAGGCAAAATCTACACGGCGAAGTCCATATTGATAGGCAGAGGTTCTCAGACGAACTAGAGCTGCTAGATGTGAGGTTTATCAAAGTCAAGGGAGATCCATTGGAGTGGAGGCGTTTCTTCAAGAATGTGGTTTTATTGTGCAAGGATGGCGTCTACGTGCCCGAGGAATAGAGTGACCTCCGGTTCATGCCATTAAGCGAACTAATATTTCAGGACCAGCAACACGACTGAGTGGTTCAGGGGTTGACAAGAGTGTGCACCATAGACGTCAAATTGCCGCCTCCCACCTTCCCTCACTTGCCCTCTCCTCTGAGGCAGCTAAGCAGGAAAGAATAATGACAAGAATGCAGAGTAATGAATAAATGCAATAGACCCAGCACTCAAGCAGTGCAGAGAAATCAACGAAGAATTTAAACCCATTTTCTGAACCAAAACCTATCCAGTGTGCCGATGATGCCGATATGGAAACCCCGTAGAAGCCCGTCACAGCCAAGCCATCTTCAACTGTCAAGATCAACCGCCGATCCACGACTTCCGTCTCACCAAGTTCAAATGAGCAGATACATACATCCACACACAAACGCACACATACACACATATATATGTGTGTATGTGTGCGTTTGTGTGTGAAGAGGGGAGGAGATCATATAATGAGAAACTAGTGCCTTTAGGAGGAGCAGCCACAACACACGACGAAGCAAGCAAGGCCTCTAGCAAAGACCGGCAAAGGATTTCTAGAGTCGGCCAATGCCTCAGGACGTTGCTGGTTTTCACATATGGCACGGAAACCATGCAGGGTTTCGTTGATTGATCTCCGCTGAGATGATGTTGTTGGAAAGAGAAAAGGGAGGGAATATAAAAGGAAAATGTGGTAACAGGGAGAGAAGAGGGGACGTGAGACCACACCCCATTAAAATTGGAAAATTCTTTATATTGCAAATTGGGAGTAGATGAGCCGCTCGCGCCGTTGAATGAGATCGGAAGAAGAACAAATCAAACGTTATATCACATGTTGTGGTATATGGTAAAGTGGACGGTGGAATGAGTAGTAACGCCAGATGCCATGAGTTATAAGGGAAAACAGAATGAACAGCCATTGTTAGGCAATGCCAACAGATAGAAGAAAAAAGGAGCCATATTTGAACGAAGCGGGAGTCGAGGAGGCGGCCGTGATCACTACACAGCAGCCATTAACTTGTCGTCTATCCAATTATCCCATAGGGAGTCGCGACGATCGGTGAGAAGAGACTCCTCGCCGACTTGGCAGTGGCTATAATAGCCGTTGGGTGGGTAGTGATAATGGTGGTGGTGATGGTGGTGGTGGTGGTGGAGAACATGATGGTAAAGCTGCTGCTGAGGCTGCTGTGGTTGATGAGGCTGAGGCAAGCTTAGGCTTTGGGCATATTCGCGCTGGGGTTGAGGGAGCCTATGTGGCTGTAGCCGCAGTACTTCACATTTAGGCGAACCACTATCGCTACTATAGCGGGTGGTTCGAGTGTCCCCGTGCATCTCATCGGGAAAATGGCCACCCCATTGAGACGGCTGCTGGGCAGGCTGATGCTGGAAGGTTTGTTCCATCACAGGCCGCTGTAAAACTACCTGCGTGGTAGCGGGCTTGCTCTGGTCCGTCAGGTAACTTCCCAAATCGGCTTCCATCTCCTGCAGGCGGAGATGCTCAGGGCCGGCCCACTTGTCAATCATGGTAGCGATTTGACGGAAGCCCTCAGTATGGCCGCCTTCACGGCGAGCCTTGAGGCCACAGACAATGAAGAGGTAGCTGTGAATGATCTCATGCAAAAGGTGGAGATCAACAGGCGCCGGCTGAAATTGGCACTCTTGAGAATGGGCTTCGAGAGCACGATCAGGGTTTCATAGCCTCCAAGTTTCGAGCGCCTGAAAGCTGTGGTACCTATAACTTGGCTTTGGTACTGAGATGCCGACTCGTGAGACCAATCCCAGGTGACTCGCTGAGACAATCGCGAATTGAAAAAGATTTCGTTGGCCGCAGAAAAGATGCTCTCAAGAGCAGCGTTATCAATGGGGAATTCTGCCACATTTTTGGGGTTGATGAGGGTACGGAGAATCCGCTCGTGCCTCGTATTTCTCGAGCGGCGGGTGAAGTTGCTGATATAATTTTCAACATGCTGCGCAGCTTCAAGGTCCTCTAGCAAGGAAGCGTCTTCAGGATCACTTGATGCCGCGGTACAGGTTGGTCCGGGGAAATCGAGAGGCCGGAAGCCGTACGCTCCATAGAGCAGCCTCCTCCAGAGGGTAAACAAGGACCTGGAGATAGAGATCCAGTATCAAGACGGTATTCAATCCCAGACCCCGTCACAGGTGCCTTGTTGATCTCTACGACTGGGACTGCGGCCGTGATTATCATAGGGTCGGATCCCGGAGTATTGAATTCTCGATCGTATTCGTCGCCCATGGGGACAGCCTTAGAATGGGAGATATTATAAGGACGGACGAAGAAAGCCAGCTCGCGAGTAGGCGTGACCTGTGCCGGGACGATCGGCGACGGCGTCAGAACTCGAGAGGGCCCAGCCCCACCGACGGTGACGCTGGCACTACCAAACTTTGGGCGTTTAGGTACGAAATCGGATCCGTCGCTGTGGCTCACGCGCCGCTTTCCACCGGGAAAGTAAGGGAAATCATGTTGAAAAGGCGAGGTAGTGTAGACTGGAGAAGTTTCCCCGCCGGCTTCCCACAGCGCCATCGGACATGTCTCCTTTGCCGCTCAACTAAAGATGGGGGCCTGAGCGAAACGCTAGGTTCAAGTTATAGGATAAATCGTCCAAGAGTGTCGCTCCGAGGGCAGGTCGTGCAGAAACGTGCGCAGGGAGGAGTGGTGACCAAGCGTGTGGTGTCTGCTCAAAAGAAGAGCGAACGAAAATGGAGGGAGGAAAAAAGAATATTCAGATCAAAGCTGAGGTGCAGGAAGGCGATGTCAAGCATAGGATAAGGATCTCGGCATATTAATGTAAGTCAGGGCTTTGAGAAACCTAGACCATCAATCCCTGCCCAAAAAAGCAAGGGGTGGGTGGAGTGTTCCAAAGGAGGAGCACGAAGGCGACCAGGTTGATCCAGAGACTGGGGGATTATGGATATTATAATTTGGCTGTCCAGAAGCCAATTGATCAAGATCGCAGATACACGAAGAGAATGGATCCAAGAAGGAGCACAGACGAAGAAACTCTTGCAAAGATGGGTTGTGATACCTTGATACGATCAAAGGAGATGCGAAGTCGGACCAACCTCAGGTGCGAAGTGGAAGCACTTGGAGAAGGGGAGATAGGTGTAAGGCCCAAGAAAATGAAATAAAAAAGAGTCAAAAAAATAGAGTTCAATGTGGGCTAGAGAGAAGTGAATCAAGAACCTGTTTTGAGTGAGGAGAAGAAACCCCGGCGGATGAGGGGAAGAAGGAGCAAGCATAACCAGTGCTGCCAACAAACGAACTTGAAGCACGAGGAACCAAAAAATATAGGGCCCAAAAGGAACAAACAGTCTGGTAGCACTCAGGCGCCAGCTCAGTGTGTCGACGAAGTAGGTCTTAGGTCGATGAGATGTGCTCGTGCTGCTTTCTGATTCGACGAGAATTGATAGTGCCCTTGGGCTTCCAGAGTTGATTGCCTTGTACGAAGTATTTGTTTGAATCTATTCCTGCGCACCAGGGAGGAGTTGAAATAAGCACCGCACTAGAAGCATCTATAACTTCGACTCTTGGTTCACGAGAAGAGAATAAGTGGCAATAGTGTACCCCGTTTCATTTCCTCTCCTGCACAACCAGTAGCGAGATAAAATTGTCGGCGAGTGATGAGAATGCACTGTGCATCGATGGACTGGTAGACGACCAATATTGGCAGAAGCACGTCGGTTGATGTCAACAATGGGCCAAGGAACAGTAGGTCTAGCGAGTCAGGAGACAACATCCACGGATCCTATTCTATTGAAAGGTTGGAGCACGCAGATGGGTTCAAAGGGTCCCGCCGTCACAGCATATCAAGTACGAAGTACGAAGTACTTTGAATGCCAACTGTACCAGTCAGAGGGCAGCTACGTTGATGCTGCAAGCTCCAGTCCTGGTCATGCATCAATGGCGGCGGAACTGGAGGGCTCGCTGTGGTCGAGCTGGCCATCTTCGGTTTGGTGCAGGCGCGGCTTGTGGCAAAGGCTAACCCCTCAGCATTGGGGGAGGTGATGAAATGAAGAGAGCAAGTGAAGTGACGTGGAAGACGGGACGCCGGAGTGAAATTTCAGACAAGGGCATATTCTTCTTCTCCCACGTCTTCTCCTTGGGCTCAAAAATGAAAAAAAAAAGTCTACGTGGAAGAACAGAGACGGGTGCATGGTAAAAGCGCGGCGATGGGGAAAACATCGAGAAGACGCCCGCGTGGCGTCAACTTGGGAACATGACTCCTCGTCAACCTGCAACTCGAGTCCACAGACGACAGCAAAAAAACTGTCCGGGGCGAGCGCTTCAGCGATCCGGTTCGACCAAAGGTGGGATGGAGTTGGGGCTATTAGCGTGGCGGGCAAGTCAAAGTCGCCAACAACGGGCTGCAGGATCATCCATCCCGCCCAAAACCTTGCCCGCGCGGGATGGTTCATTAGGCTTCCTTTTATTGTTCATCGAATTGGCCGATTTCTGGCGCCAAAGGCGTGTCGATACGATGATCCCTCTTGGACTTTAAGCTCGGTCTTTTTCTCGCATAAAACAAAGCTCTATTCCTTCGTATAGCCATGTCCCAACCACAAGTGTGTTGGAGAATGAGAGCAACGGACTAATCCATCTGGCCGCTCCCACTTCGCCTTCAATCGGGGGCGTTGGGCATCGATTGGCGCGAGGAGGGCGCCATGCCATATGCCCAGCCTCATGCGTCGTCTTGGTCATCAAGCGCTGTATCCAGTCTCCGTACCGCCACGGCTGTTCGTTTCCTCTCGATCGCTCCGCAAGGCATGTGGGGAGCACCACGGACAGCCGCGGCCTTTCCGTTGCTTCCCGCCTTACTTTTCTGACGCCGACGAAAATCTCCGAATGGGTCATGCCCACTGTGCTCGGTCGGTTTCGAGGCGATCGATCTAGCGCCTATCAGCGCCCAAATACCTAAGGTCGGGAATCATCCACCATCCATTCATCCATGGATCCATTCCAACCATACATGTAGGCCTGTGATGGGTTCGTCAAACGTCTTTGATCAAATGCATCTTTACGCGCAGTTTGGATTTGGCATAATCAACCCCGTCTCCATGTAGGAATTAGTTCTTACATGTAAACTCATGTACGCCTTTTCCATACTCCCCAACGTACACTACGTACACTACATGTACGTACAGTGGAATCCGTCCATTGGCGGATCAATGGGTGGATCTAGAATCCATTTTCATCGAGACCTTCAGGCCACCGAGTGACTCAAGCACATAACCTCGAGCTAAACCCAGCCCTTTGCTTCCCGTAAATCTACTACCTCGTACAAAATACCACCCGGCGGATCTACTAACTCGTCAAGCTAACTAGCCCACATCCAATCTAGACGAGCACTGGAGTTGATGCATCAACCTTTGTGGCATTAGGTGGCTGAGGTATGCGAGCGATAGTCAATCCAGCCTTAAAATCTGTGGTAAACAATATTGGGGTGAACCAGCTTGCCAGGCAACCAGGACAGCCAGCGCTGCTAAGAGGCGGAGTGCACAGGCAAAGACAAGCCCCAATTTGCCCAAATATCGATATATCTATGGATGCTTGGCGTGCCACTTCTGCTGCCTCTGCTGCTTCCGCTAATGGTATGCACTGCCTCAAATTTCAAGGTTCTACCACATACCCCAATCGTCTTAGCCCGAGGCCGTGAAGCACGCAAGCTCGCTCCCGACCAGCCTTCAGGGAACAGAGACAGGGAATGACAAGCACCCAGTCTCATTTCGAAGTAGCATGGCCAAGTCACTCCAACCAGAGTCATCCGGCCAGGGCGCAAGTGCGGCTGGCTTCCCAATGAGGTCTGGGGAGGCAGCTGATTACCGGCTGAGCTCCCAGACCACCGGTGCAAGCAATGAGATTCGTTCAAAGGACCACCGTAAAACTTGCTGGACCCGAGATATAAAGGAAGCCCCCAAATCCTCAAGAACGCACCTTCTGGATTTACGTATCAGGAAATTTCAGGTCGAGGGGGTTTTCACGCCTCCTATGCTCTTTCCGAGACTCGCTCGCCCGTTTTTATCGGCCTCCATCCTGACACGTTCAAACCATATTGCGAGCATGGCACCCTCAACGAGAAGTCAAGCTAAAAAGGGTTCCTCCGGAAATGGGGTTTCGAAGCCCCCGCCGGCCACTCAGAAGCAAAAGGACTCAAACCGGCCCCGGGAAAATCATCTCTTGTAACGGACACAGCCGTGTATTTTTGGCGGGAGACGGACGCGGACTACGGGTTTCTGTCCCAATGGTACTACTGTCCATTCACGGATCCGGAGGACGACTCAATTGTGTATTTCACTGCCGAACAGTATGTTTTCCCTTTAATAAGCCTCGACGGTGGAGATGGCCCCGCGAGGGAAATGGCGCTTATTCACCATCACTCTAGTTACATGATGTATAAAAAAGCCCTCCTTTTCAACGATACCAAAATTGCAGCCGAGATACTACAGGCTCCATCACCTAGAGACGTGCGCTCCCTCGGCCGCGCCGTGTCCCCATTCTCGGAGGAAACATGGAATGCGAATAGGCTGCGGATAGTGACGGAGGGAAGCCTAGCGAAGTTCACATGCGCTGTGACCGAGGAAGGATTTACGAGGGGAGATGGCGAGGGCACAAAGGAGCTTCCCTCATTGCCAGGCGCCGGTGGTGGTGCTGGGGAAGGGAAGCGGGTCGTGGGAAAGTTGAAAGCTGCCCTTCTTGAAACTGGCGATAGAGAGCTTGTCGAGGCAAGCCCAAGAGACAAGATTTGGGGTGTAGGCTTTGGCGCGGAGAGGGCGGAATCCGAAAGACGTAGATGGGGTCTGAACCTTTTGGGCAAAGCCCTCGTTGAGACAAGGAACAGATTAAGGGAACAGGAGCCTAGTGAGGATGCCCAGGACAGCCGTCCCACGGTCCTTTGATTGGAGCAAGTGGATGGTATGTGAAGGTTCAACAAACACTCCTTTTCTTCTTGTTTTAATGATGTATTTGTTTTTTTCTTTAGCAGCTACGCTTAAAGACATCCATCCATGAATCTTTATCCGGTCTACAGGTAGGGTGCTATCTATCCCAGGGCCTACCCTCCGAGGTATCAAATCAAACCGTTCCTACATCCCCGCAGTCTCCCTACGGGACCAACCGCGGCTGCAAAGCCTTCATTTAACGCAACGGACTCAGCGCACTGAGAAAATGAATGTGTCATATTCCATCCCATATATCATACACGCATCCGTCCGACTTCGAGCATTTAGCAGGTGGCATCACCACCACCAGGGGCGGTATATGAGGTTGGGACAGGATCTTTAATACAAGTGTTAGGCTCAAGTCCCCAAAATTTCGCGCCATCACTTAAGCTTGGGGTCTGCATCACTCACAGTAGATATTGATCATGAGGCCAGGATCGGTCGGGGTGTAAGATCCGGGGAAGGAGAGCATCTGGGCGGGCTTGATGGCCCCGGAGCCCCCGGTAACGCTAAGCTGGGCACACGAAATGTAGAGCTGGGCGCCACCCGCAGAACCGGCGCTGTGGAGAGCAATGTGCTCGATGCGCAGCAGGTACTCGCCATCATCGAGGCACGAGGGTAGGGAGATGGGGACGGAGCTCAGGCCGGAGGTAGGCCACGTGAGACCGGCGGGGAGATGTTGGGGCCATCATGGGCGATCTTGAACCATACGGCGCCCGTGCCGTCGAAGGAGCTGACAGGTGTCCCCGCGGGTGCCTTGGCCATGTAGACGTTTAGGGCCCCGGGTGGGTGATGCTGGAACGCGCATTGAAGTTGATGGTGGAGCCGGCCTTGACCTCCATGGTCTTGGTGCTTCCGGCGTTCATGGTAGCTTGGTAGCACTAGAGTGAGACGAAAGAAGGGTTAGAATACAGCGGAAGTCCAGGACATCTTGTGGGTATGGCCTACGGTCATAGCGCCGCTCTTCACGTCGGTCACAGGGCCATTGCTCTGGCTGCGATGAGGTGTCAGCAAGGGACTTTTATCATCAAAGAGGCTCATTCTAGAAAACAAAAAGAAAGGGAAAAATGGGTAGGATAGGTCGTGAAAAACTTAAAAGGAGCGAGAGGAAACCATTGGCACTTACAAGTTGTCAGCCTTGCGGACGTACTCCCAGTCCTGAGTTGTCTGTCCACCATATGAGATGGATGGGAAGACATCTTGAAGCATCATAATGTTAGCTTGGCACTCTAGATGGTTCGTGGCTCTCTTGCTTACAGTGAGCGCTGGCGGCAGTAGCCAGGAAGAGGGCTGCGATCGAGAACTTCATAGTGAAGGTCAGGTAAGAGGAGTTAAACCAGGATCGAGGTATGAGTGAGTTGCATACGAAGGTGAGAGAATCAGTAGAAAAGGGAGGAGATAAGATGGTCTATATATATGTGCGTATATACATATATCCTCAGCTAGCCATCAAATTCAAGGAAACCTGGGTTTGAACGGTCCCACGAACGAAGGGAACTCGGGTAGTTTATAAAAGGAGCAGGAAGATACCATTGCCAGAACTCCTTCCATCCCTCTTCCGCCTTCATATCTACCTTCACGCTGTGTCCTTTGCCCCGCTAGATTCCGAATCAAGAAAAGGTTACGAATTCAAGGTGCTTGCTTCAACTAGATCCCCGGCCGAATGATTTAATCTCTCAATCTCTGCCCCTCCCCTCTGAGTGAGCCAAGGAGAGCGCCAGCATATAGGCGTAGAGTGTCAACACTGGGGCATGCCAAGCGGATATACACCACCGCATGGGTATATATTTATTAGAGCTTCGATTTTATTTCGACGAAACGAATCCGGGGGTCAGAGGGGCACTGGGGCACTGGAGGGGGCGTGTATTGCGCACCAAAGAATTGACGTCGATCACCATTGTCAGCTACTATACCTGGATATCACGGTGATCGCTGATCCTTTGGGCCGCGCGTGTCCCTCCTTCCCCCAGTTCAGTGATCAATTCATAACATGGATAGGTCACAAGCGGACAGAAGCCCAAAGGTCGGTTGGACGCCGGCAAATGCCTCAACAGCCGATCCGGTTAAAGGACGCCAGCGTCCCCGGCCTAACGCTCGTGAGCACAATGTATAAAAAACTCGACGAAATCGATGCATTTAAATGAAATTTATATTGCGGGAGGGTCGATGGAGGGCGTTTGACTGTTCGCTTCCTCCTTCTCGGCGTATCACTCCCGTGCACCAAGACAGAGGTGTCCTTGTAGGAGGCAGCCACGATCCATGGATGACTTTGTTCCCCAAGTTTCTCCACAATAGTTGATCCATGGATACGTGGACGGAATGGTTCTGTCTATTCTGTTCCCGTTGCTTCCCCTAGCATATATGCTTCAATATCGCGGGGGTGTAAGCTAGCAGGCGAGCCCGCTCACACAAGGAGATCCGGAAACCGGGGGTTACATCAGGCCAGTTCATTTTTTCTCGTCCCCATCCCCACGCTTCTGAGGATGGTGATATCTTAGGGTAGACGACTATCTTTTGAGAAAAATCAAATGGTAGATATCGCGTGAAGGCCCTATACGTACCGGATGGACCTATGGGGTAATCATATATCCTGTGTGATGGCTACATGTAGACTCTGGTTGCTAAGATGCCATTGCGGTCACTTCCAACACCCGGTCTCGCATCTTCTTGAGCCTCATTTACCCACGTGTATAGTTTAAAGAGAGCCCGGTATACTCTATGATAGATACAGAGTTGACATGGAGCTGGTCGAGATACGTTGCTTCGTAATGAGCACCCTAGCTAGGACTACAGCCTAGTCATTAGCCAGGTCGGACTTCTTTTAGTACGTGCATTTGACGTGCGGTCTTACATCTATGGATGGATGTTTGCAAGAGAAAAGTGAACTTTCAAGCTTTATTAATCGCAAGAAGCATCATTCATTCATAATTTTAGAGCAAAGGAAAGCACACCTGGAGGCAGCGGTACTTCTATCTTCCGGGGGCATTTACTATATACGATACAAATCAATCCTTCGCATTAGCGTGGATAGAAAGACATCATACCAACCCGCAGGAGCAAGACTTGGGTTATTCCTAATATATCTATCAATGTATGTGCCTGATGGGCGATTTATGAGAAGAGGGAGGCTGTTGAGGATGCCGCAAAACGTAAACCTGGTTTTTCGATTTCATGGATCAGATCCTTTCCCTAACTCCGTGAGTAAAGACCCCGGGAATCCAAGTTCGTTAAGAAGTCTAAACTTGCGACTCAAGTCTGCGCTCGTACCTTGGACGGCTACTGATGGGTCCTCGAGCTTGGGTAAGCCAGGCGACGAGAGTGTCAGGGATAAGAAAGCATCAAGAAGAAGACAAGCCCAGATTTTAACAGTCAACGCGGAGTTGCATCTAATAGGTACTAACAGGGGAGGTATTGGGAACGGCAAGTCTTGCTATGCGAATTTATGTGTGCGAGCAAGGTTTTATGTGGTTGAACGGCTCTGGCTGGTCATCATACCCATCGCCAACGAGTTATTTGAAGAGACATGGAGGTTGGTGAGATGACACACTTGGTACTTGGTCTAACAAACCCCCTCCCAAGCCCAAACCCAAACCCAAACTCCTTGTCATCAGCTCTATCAACGAGAGGCGACCACAGTATTATGTAGTGCTAATGACATTAGTGTGTAGAGCATCCGTTGACCATGAATCGGATTCCGTTGCAATACGAGGGCATGGCTACTGCACACTTGCTCGATCCACATGTGCTCGCTGACTAATGACAATACGTGGTTGGGTTGGGTCTGCTGACATGTCGGCTTGTCGTCGGCATGTGTTGACGACGCTGCCTCTCCAGCGATCAACGGGACCTCCGAACCACGAGCGACGTCGACTACGCTTCTACGTTCTCACTGCCATATATTCTACCCCACACAGCACGGCAACGCGACGGAAATTTATAGAGGCAGGGCCTGCTATTACCTGGTCCTTCGAGATCTACATTTACCCCATAACTACTTCTCTTGTCGTCAAGATGGTTGTATGTATCTTCCCCGAGGCCCAGATGGCCTCTTGACCCCGCGACTCCTCTCCCGCTGGAACATGGCTTGTCCTAGTTCTAAAATCTAAATCGACACTCAGTTTCTCAACATACTGACGTTCGGCCTCTGGTCAAAGCTTGGACGCCTTACCCACTACGCCTTTGATGCTGTGCTCTGTAAGAACCCCTCACCCTGGCGTGTATTCCCCCACCCGACTGCATACACACTCTCTCTTACAAAACCTTTGTAAAAGACCAAGGCTAATGTCTCTACCGTATAGTCTCGGCTTTCTTGGCCGGAGTAAAGCGCTCGACCGGTCTAACGTGAGTAGCCGAGATATCGACATACCCAACCTTTTCCTTTACCCACCAACGCTCTTCTAACGTCGTCCCCCTTCCTTTGGGAAATCCTAGACCTAGTTTCAAAACCGACAAGGCCTCCGGGGAGAACAAGGAAATGGCGAAGTGGATTGACAAGTACCTCGGTGTCGGTGAGTGGGTGATGGACCAGAGCATCGCTGTTGCGGCCTCGAGCGGCTGGTTTGAACGCAAGCGATGATCTCGAAGCCCGATTTACGTGACACGACGCCTATACCGAATCACACCAAGGTACCATCGGAACGGATGGTATACGGCTCCCATCACCTGACGTCAAGGTCTTTTCCTCGTTAACCTTGGGGATCAACCCACCGCCCTCACCACTGATCCGTTCCTCGAACCCGTGTATTTATGCCATATCTCTCCCACGGCCCAGGTAGGGGCTCGTTTGTTGTTCGGAAAGCAAAGGCGTTTATGGTTTATTCATGTAGTAGCCTGTATTGCCATCGTACGATGGCGTATATATTTTCATGCACTAGGCTGTTGCTGATGGTTTGTTGTGGAACTCCTTTGGTACTCTTTCTCTTCACTTGCTCTTCTAGTCTTGGGATGGATGAGCCAGGAAGAAAATCCTAGCGCATCCGAGGCTGCAAAATTAAAGCTGCGAAGGGAAAGAATATTCTGCAAAATTTATACGGACATTTGGGTATCAGAGCGCACTTTGACTATAAATGGATATCTGGTGACCGCGATCTATAAACAACCTAGCTGCCCAACGAGCTCCCTATATCAGCTAAATACTCTTGCGGGACTGAATTCTCGCTGTCGCTGCGATCGAACGGCGGGGGCTGTTCAATACTGGGCGACCTCGCTCTCGGGGTGTTGTGTTGCGCTTCTGTGGGCGAAGTGAGTAGATCCTGCGGAACGTCATCGTCGCTTTCCTCCCTATCGTCGTATCGAGAGTAGCTAGGCTAGGCTTGAAAACCGGGGACTCGGTTCTGACGCTCGAAACATCTGCGTCGGACTCGTGCGGTGCTTGGTCAATTAGAGTATCCTTAGCAGCCGAGCGCGTACTAACTTGAAGGACCTTTTCAGCTTCTCTAAATGTGTCAAGCTCCGCACCGATGGCACATATAAGAAGGTTCCACTGCTTGCCCTCTGCCTCCCGCAGCCTAGTATCTAGTCCGGTTATCACAGGGGCCATCTGAGATAGGATCTGATTGGCCATATCTTGGTGGTTAGGCATCTTGCCCTTGCCCTTGCCCTTGGTTTGAGCCGTGGTGTCTTCGAGGACCATGCTTTGAAGTCAGATTCATAGCTGATAACTAGCTCTGTGACTTCTCGCCACATACGCTCGCCGCTTTCAAGGGCCTCTCGCTCACGAACGACCTGCTCCCGCCGGCTCTCCAATATTTGGAGCTCCGATTCCCACCACAGGCGGGCCATTTCCAAAGTGCGGCGTTCGGGAATTAGGCGCAAGAACTCTTCGCCCCCTGGAGAATGCACCACGCTTTGTTCGTTTCCTTGCGGCTGATTACGTAGAGCCCAAAGCTCTCGGTCGAGGGTGCTACGGGCGGGTGACTCATGAGCGATGCAACGTCGGACTGCATCTCGCGGAGGGCGCCTTTGTAGCCACTCAGACCTGCTTCGCGGCGGTTCTGGACATCGTCTATCCTATCATCAACCCACCTCTTCTTATTTCGAAGCCCGATCAGCCGCTCCTCCAACTCTTTGATCTCAGCGGTTAGCGAAATTTGCTGAGTGGAGGCCCCTCAACTCCCTTCCGAGGGGCTCTTCTTCATCCTCTTCTAAGGCTTCAAGCTCAGTTGTTAGCCTCTGCTGTCTTGATGCTAGTTTTCGGGCATGAGCCAGCGCCATCTTTCTCTCCGATATGGCGGCAGCTATGTAGGCATCTTCTTCCACTTTCAGCTCCGCTAAGGCTGACATGGATCGTTGAAGGGATTGCCGTGCAGCACGAATGCCACCACGTTTCGATCTACGAGGCTGCCTGACAGGGATGATGTTTCCGTCCGGAGTTGACTGGATAGGGGGTTCAGCGACCTCGCCATCCTAGATTTCGAAGAAGCAGTCGAGTAGAATGTTCCCGTTGGCGTGCTACTGCCGCCATCGCTAGTGTTTTCAAAATCGCTAGTGCTAGCATTCGAGCGCTGCGGTCTCGTACCGCCTAACAGGGCATCTGTCTGCATGTCTAGCGCATGCTGAAGATCCTTTTCGACAGCCTTTTCGCGGCGACGTAGGTTGTGCCAGACGGAGTCTGAGGCCGGGTGCGTGAGCAGCTCAGAGTGTCTCTCTCGGTTGTCAAACAATACGCTGCCGAGATTTAGGAGGCTGGTCGCGATTTGCTTTGAGGGTGGTAGAGTGCTGTTCGCTGGGCTTTTGGCTCGGCCATGACGCCCTTGACCCTTCATCCAAACTGACCGGGCAATCGGAGGTGGTGGCCCAGTAAACAGGGGTTGAGTATGCGCAAAGAATTCCTCTTCGCTCCGAACATCGGGTGGTATTTCTGTCGTTCGCTGTCGAGGCTCTATCCGAGGTTTTCTCCTCCGCGTTAGTTCTGGAGTTTCGGTTGCGAGAAGCCCGTCAGTCGGTCGGGGCTCAAGCTCATCTAGATCGTAACCACTGGGCGCTCGCATATTTCGGGATTCGTGAAGTGGTAGGACCGGCCCCCTTCGAGTTAGGGATAGCCGATCAAATATTGTCGGCGATAGCGGGGCCATGTTGCCCTTCCAGGGTGAGAACTATAGTATGTCGCAAGATTTTGAATCTACGTTGTTACCTATTGCATCGGTTCCGTGCAACTGGTGCTGAAGAGGTGTCTTGACACAAAGAGGATGCAGACGTGAGTGTGCGATAACAGAAAGGCCGGGCGACGACCAAAAGTGTGCATGTGGTCAATAAAAAGACGGTTGAAAGGAAAAAGCACTGGGGTGTTGCTGGTTGTGTTGGAACCGCGGGTTCGTCGTTAATACACACAGATGCATCGTGTCTGGGAAGGAAGCATGATGGCGGGATTTGACTTGGAGCTCACGAGCTCCTGACATGTGCTCAACTTCTTGTTAGGAGGCTAGTGAGAGTGCTATATCAGGTGTAGCAGCTTTGCGGCGGTCAAGTACCCCCTGCACCGAGTGCTGCCTGTCAGTTGAGCTGGCCAATCACCAAATTCCGCTCCAGTTGGCACCGCGTGTGAAACCACTTAATCACCATCGAGTGATGAAAGATCGGACTCTTGATATCACGGATGGAGCCATTTATTCCATTTTATCCTGGCAATAACGGTGGTATTAATGCATTTACTCGTTCGTTCCGGCGAGGCACGCCTTCAAGAAGAAAAAAATGACCCATAGGTTGGAGCAAGGGTGCCGGGTCTAGTTGTGAAGTATGTGGAGATTGTAGCCATCATCTCGCCAGTCTCCTCGTGCTCCATAAGCGCGTGCTCTTTACTTAGCACCTGTGATCTACTTGGAGTGTAAAGCACCTCTATCTCTGATTTCTGTGCACTGCGGCTAGAAATGCTCTCTTCATCAGATGCTGATGGACGTATGGGGACCCACGGGGAGGGATCTCGGAGACCATTCGGAATCAAGTTAGAGTGGAGCTTGGGGCTGATAGATACTCCCCCTCGGGGAAGGCGGGGGTCGCGAAGAAGATCGGTCTATCGTGCTCTATGGATCGCATTCAGTGTTCAGTGGTATTGCAGCTCCGGAGGGTTTGGGGTCCCTGCAGCTTACTTCAGCTGATCTACAGTCTTAAAGATGATGCTGGTCGACGAATTGTTAATTCGCAGTTGGGGTCGTGAGGTTAAGGATCCATACATCCATCTTGACAGCATTAGCTCAGGAAAATAATAAAAAGCATCCATATCAGTCCCCGCATATTTTAAACAGCTACTACATATTGGAAGATTTGAGCTCAGACGTGTGAATGGAGCCAGGTCGAGGACTTCATTATTTCCTTGGCAAACCGTTTCAAGTGGCCTGTATTACTATTTTTTTTTTTTTTGGCGGTTATTGGAGTTAGTAATCCTCATGGTTAGTGACTTCGAAACAGTACAATAGAACATACGGATTGATCCAATGGATTAGATCCATCCATGGATGGGTGTATTAGGTGAGGGATGTGAAGGAGGGGTGGGTTGACTGGTGTTGCTCCTCACCCCAGCTGGTGTTCGATCATATGTGTGCGCTGGCTCCTCATAATTGTGGGAAGCTGATGGCTCAATGTCTTTTTCCCTAACCACCACCACCTCATCGCTCACTCGAACTTCCCAATAGACGGCCTTACTGGCAGCGGTACATATATGACACCTTTTAGGTATGAACGAACACCGGCAATTATCCCCCGCCATTTCTCTAGCCCACCAAGCGCGATTTCGCACGGCCGTCTCGACGCCCTTTCTAGTTCCCCGATTCCATCATCACAGCAATATTCCCCGCCTCCTCTGTGCCCAACATCCTACAGCCGGGCGGTTTGGGCCACAGACCCACCGGCGCCTCGCCATCCCACCCTGCTGCTTCTAGCCAAAGCAACAATTTGCAAGCTTCGATGAATCCTCAACATCCAGACTACCAGTCGCAGGGAAAGGGATCCAGCCTTGGGGTGTCCACCCATGCCTACTCTCGTTCCAGCCCCGCTGCCGCTTACGACAATGCGACGCCTTCTTCCTATGCGCCATACACTCCGACAACGCCCGGAGGAGTTGGCGGCGCTGGACCATCTCACTACATGTCCCCGACCGAACCAGGGAAATACGCCCCGCTAGGCCTTGCTGATATTCGGCCTCGCGCCGATTCGACCATGTCTGATGGCGTCCCGGGGTCCATGGCCTACGAATTTGCTAATGCACAGCCGACTCCAAGCAATTATCTCGCACCCTGGGCCCTATACGCGTTCGACTGGTGCAAGTGGCAAACCCATGGAAACTCTGCAGGCAAGGTGGCTATTGCCAGCTATCTTGAAGATGGTCACAACTTCGTAGGTTTTGTTCTATTGCTTGGTGGTTTCTACCGCGCCCGCCCTCCATATCCCTGAGCTCTCAGCTCACCCCGTCTGCCCGCTCCCTGTTACATCTCTCCTTTTCCCTTTCCTAATGTACATGGTCTGACTTTTGTGCCAAAACCACAGATTCAAATTTTGGACACTCAGATAGTTCCCACCTCACCAGGCTCCCACTCACTAGGGGTTCAACCAAGTGCCTCGACTTCACAAAGATCGCGGAGGCCACACACTCGTACCCTGTCACGCGGCTTCTCTGGGAGCCACCCTCTAATCAGAAACAAGCCACGGATCTTCTTGCCACATCCGGTGATCACCTTCGATTATGGTCTTTACCTTCCGACAACTTGGTCTCGCATGGGGGCAATACCATTACTCGACCGGCCCGGGACGCCCCGACCACCAAACTTACCCCCTTGCTCTTCTTTCGAATTCAAAGACGCCCGACCACACGGCGCCATTGACATCTCTAGATTGGAACACCATCTCTCCTAGTCTCATTATAACGAGCAGTATCGACACAACGTGTACAATCTGGGATATCCCGTCCCTAACTGCCAAGACGCAACTTATCGCTCACGACAAAGAAGTTTATGATGTACGCTTCTGCGCTAACAGCGTTGACATGTTTGTGAGCTGTGGTCAAGATGGGAGTGTACGCATGTTTGACCTGCGAAGTCTCGAGCATAGCACGATCATCTACGAACCCACGGGTAAGGACGAACGAGGTATGCTTTTTCTTCCACGGTTACTTCTCTTTCCTTTCCTACTCTAGGCGGGGAGGAATTCTTTTGCCTCATCGACACTATGCTAACTGGAACTGTAGACGCAAACGGTGGCCGGATCAGCCCTACCCTCGCACAGCAAACCATGGCCAATCCCCCTCCTCTCCTTCGGCTTGCCACGTCGCCCCATGACCAGAATCTTCTCGCGACTTTCGCCCAGGATTCAAACATCATTCGCATCCTCGATGTGCGACAGCCAGGCCAGGCTCTTCTGGAGCTCCGTGGTCATGGCGGGTCGTTGAATTGCGTCGAGTGGTCACCTCACCGACGAGGCACCTTGATTTCGGGAGCGGACGACTGCCAGGTGCTCATATGGGACTTGATGAACTCTGCGCCACCATCAGCGGCGAATGGGGGTGGCCAGCAAGAAAACCACCGAAGCCCCACTGCTAGTTGGCAGTGCGATTATGAGGTAGGTAACCTAGGATGGGTCCCTAGATTACCTGGTCATGACTCTGGGGAGTGGATAGGTGTGAGTGCTGGCCGAGGTGTCTGGGGTGTTCGGCTTTCATGATTTTCGACCCGGTTTATAGAGTATCTAAGGCACTGAAAAGATCTCAATTACGGCGCTGGGGCTTTAAGTGTTGGCCAATTTCCTTCCAGTGGTTCCATACTTATTCTTGATTTTATCCCGTTCCACCGTACCGGAATGCACACAGAGGCTCTAGAACAGGGACCGGCCAACGGTTAAGATCAACTTGGTCTCCTTTTGTGTGTGTGTGTGTGTGTGTGTGAGAGAGAGAGAGAGAGAGAGAGAGAGAGAGACATGCGACCATAGTATCTACGAATATCTCCTGGCGCTGTCCAACACAAGCTCTAACACCTAGTCAAGAGTTGTGGAGAAATTACCTCCACTCTTCAAGCCCAATGTTTGTAGACCTCCATGTCTTTGGTGCCAGATATGTAACCACCAGCCTCATGATGTTGTGGGGACCTTGTTTTCAGATCAACCTGGCAGTCTACCGAACTGGTCCTGCGTTTTCAAACCTCCCGGATGCAGCTTGCCATTGACTTTACATGTATATCTTTTACTAAATTAGGAAACATGGCCTTTATCTAATGAAGCTTGTATAATCGAAAGGCAGATAGGTGGGAGGCTCGTCGCTGCCTCGGCAAGGGTGGTGGGTGGATAGCATCACAGATGTGGTCAATTGCTCACGCTAACTTTCAAGGTTCCACTGGCCTTTGTGGGACGCGCTGGAAATATAATCGGAGAGGTTAGTCTCATGATAATACCTGTGACATTAGTGACATCCATCCTTGTCTGCATGCATTGAAACGATTCGCAACATCTCTTGCAGACTCCAGATTTGGCCAGCTATGACCGGGAGCTAGGTGGGGAAATGAGCCAGCATCAGGGTATCAATTGATTGAATCCACGGGGATCTATAAAATTGGTGGTTGAACGATTATTTTTCATGGAAGAAAGCGACATCGTCTGGGTGCCGGAGCAACCACGCCAGGAATTGCAAAAAGGAAGAAAGACAATGAGAAAACTTTGGAGAGGAAGAAGAAAGAGAAAAAGGAGGCGGAGGGCTCTCCAAATTCACCTGATTAGCATTAATTCATAGACGATGGTTCCCTCAATCCTCTCCCTTCATGTGTGCGTCTGTCAGTGATTGGACTTGAGCCATCAGTATTGTGCCGAGCTTTTTCCAAGGTACAAAGGGCCAACCATTGGCTGTCTGACTGTCGAAGCTTTCCATCCAAGTCAACACGTCGAAAGGCTGACTGACCAACTCGAAAATGTTAAACTGTGAGGAATCGTTTCCGTAGTGAACGAACATCCCATCTCCTTTTATTCGAATCCTTTTTTCTTTTCTTAATATTCTCGAGGCTTGAAACTGCACCTGCCTATTGTTGATCGGACTCCAGCCTCGACGATTTTCACTTCGTACCTTGGCTTGGCCCCAAGCCGAAACCTAGACCAACGATTCGAGATCCTCATCAGTTCTCTTTTTTCTCTTCACCACAGACGTGACAAAATAATGGCGCCGCCTGAACAACGCCGTTACGATGACGACTCGGAAGATGAAGATGATTTCAACCCTGCTCCTGCCGATATATCAGACGAAGAACACGATGCCGATAACCAGCTTCAAAGAGAGGCGCAGGATAGCAGTCCTGTAGTCGATCACCGCACTTCAAACGCGAAGGCCACGTCAGATAACGAAGGCTCCGATGAAGAGGATGCCCCTCGGCGCAAATCGCGAGGCAACAATGAGGAAGACGAAGATGACTTGGAAGAAGATGGACCAGGGGCCGACGACGATGATGAGGATGATGATGAGGATGATGAAGACGAGGATGAAGAGGATGTACACCAGGTGAGTCATAGATTTTGATAAGCAATGCTCCGACGAGCTAATGAGCGTTGCTCCTTTACAGGGCCATCGCCGCAAACGACGCCGGGATAGGCGCAACGTTTTCCTTGATATCGAAGCCGAAGTCGACGACGAGGATGAAGCTGAAGATGAAGAACGCGATGGTGAAGAGATTGAAGACTTCATTGACCACTCCCACCCCGATGATCTGGTTGATACCGAACGCCTCAACGATACGAAGCGCCATCGTGAGCTCGACCGGCGACGAGAGGTCGAAGCTGGGCTAGATGCCGAGAAGCAGGCGGAGATCTTAAGACAGCGCTACGGGAATCGCCGCCCAACTCGTGGCCCTGGAGACTCTACTGTCATCCCGAAACGTCTCCTCCTACCGAGTGTCGACGATCCTAAGATCTGGGCGGTCAAGGCGCGAGAGGGCAAGGAACGCGAAGTGGTTTTTGCAATTACGAAAAGGATCGAAGAGAGAATTGGTACTAAGAATGAGCTACTAATTACCTCGGCTTTCGAACGCGGTGGCACAACCTCTGTCATGAAGGGCTATATCTACGTCGAAGCCCAACGTCAAGCGGACGTCCTAACTGCGCTAGACGGAATCCTCAACGTGTATCCTCGTACCAAGATGGAGCTGGTGGAAATCAAGGATATGCCCGACCTCCTCCGTGTAACCAAAACCCCAACTCTTGAGCCTGGTGCTTGGGTCCGTCTACGCCGCCCAATGAAGCACTCAGGTGATATCGCCCAAGTCATCGATGTGACAGAAAATGGTCTCGAGGCTCGTGTACGGTTCATCCCTCGGCTCGATTACGGTGTCCGCGACGATTCGATGGCGGCCGCGGGTGCGGACGGGAAGCGAAAGCGGCCTTTTGGTCCTGGACCTCGCCCCCCAGCGACTTTTCAGCGAGGTTGAAGCGCGCAAGCGCCATCCTCGCCATGTTGTAGGCGACAAGAACATGTTTACATATATGGGCGACGAGTTCGAGAACGGGTTTCAAGTCAAAGATATCAAGATTCAACAACTCATCGTCACAGACGTCAAGCCAACCCTTGAAGAAGTAACCAAATTTGCGTCCGGCGCCGAAGACGGAACAGAAAATCTTGACCTCAAGGCCTTGGCTGCCAGCCTCAAAGATTCCAACGCCCTTGTGACATATCTCCCTGGCGACGTTATCGAAGTATACGAAGGAGAACAGAAGGGAGTGGTGGGCAGGGCAACCAATGTCCAAGGTGACATCGTTACTATCCAAGTCACGGAGGGCGAATTAACTGGCCAAACTATTGATGTCCCAGCTAAGGGCCTCAGGAAACGTTTTAAGGTCGGAGACCATGTCAAGGTGATCGGCGGCAGTCGATACCAGGACGAGGTTGGTATGGTTGTCAAGATCTCCGAGGATAGAGTTACTCTCGTCATTGACCAGTCAAGCACCGAGATCACCGTGTTCAGCAGGGATCTCAGAGAGGCCGACGATAGCGGTGGCCAAGGTTCGCTTGGGCAGTACGAACTCTTCGACCTTGTCCAGCTCGACAATACTACCGTCGGCTGCGTCGTCAAGATTGACCGCGAGTCGCTAGTCGTCCTTGACCAAAACGCCGAACGCAGGCAACTGATGCCCTCACAGATCGCAAACAAATTCCCCCAAAGAAGAATGCTGTCGCTGCTGACCGGAGTGGCTCTGAGATTCGCGTCGGAGACGTGGTCCGCGAGTATGGAAATCAGCAACGCCGTGGGAAGATATTGCACATTCATCATGGATTCGTCTTCCTTCACAGCCACGATTTGAACGAAAATGCTGGCGTATTTGTTTTGCGCGCGGCCAACGTCAATACGGTGGCCGCAAAAGGAGGCAGAGTCAATGCCTCTTCTGGTCCCGATCTCAGTTTGATGAACCCGGCCATTAAGCGCAGCTCGAATGGTGGCGCAGATGGAAAGATGGCGCCGCCCCCAGTGCCCAAGGTGCTTGGACGCGATAAAGCCATTGGCCAGACGGTTATCATCCGTCGAGGCGGCTACAAAGGTTTGCTAGGTATCGTCAAGGATACAACCGACACTACGGCCCGCGTTGAACTTCACACGAAGAGCAAGACGGTGACTGTTCCAAAGGACCACCTTAGCTTCAAGGACAAGAATACTGGCGCCCGTATCGACATTAACACCAGAGGACCACGAGCACCAGCCGGTGGTGGGAGCAGTAGCGGCTACGGCGGGAGCCAAAATAGGAACCCCGATTGGCAGGGCGGTGCTCGCACCCCCGTGGTGTCTAGCGGATCCGAGAGGACCCCTGCCTGGGGAAGTCGAAGTAAGTGCATCCAGACAAACGCAACAACTTGTATTGGAGGATTTTCTAACCTGTTTTTTGTCTGCAGCGCCAGCGCATAGTGGTGGTCGAACACCAGCGTGGAAATCGGGGGCGGTGATCTTTCTGGCGGTCGTACTCCGGCTTGGCAGGATGGGTCCCGGACTGTGAATCCTTACGATGGAAGTCGGACAGCATACGGTTCGGGTTCGCGAACGCCGGCATGGCAGTCGGGTGCCCGAACGCCCGCTGCGGATAGCTATGGCCAAGGATCTAGGACACCTGCTGCTTACGCCAATGACGCGTGGTCAGGGTCGAAGACTCCTGGATACGGCGGGGCTGCTGCCACCCTGGAGCCAGCGGTGCTGACAGCTGGGGTTACACTCCTGGGGCAAGCGGGTCGTCCCACGCCTTCGACGCGCCTACCCCCGGCGCGGGCATGCTAGGGGCACCAACTCCGGCAGCTCTCAATGCACCAACGCCGGGCGCTTACTCGGCACCAACTCCGGCGGCTGTGAGTGCCCCCACCCCGGCGCTGGTTGGTCTGGTGGCTGGGCGGACTCCGCGCCGACACCAGCGGCAGGTGCGCCCACTCCTGGTGCGAGTGCCTATTACGGTGCACCTACTCCCGGGGCGTTTGGGGGAGCTGCTGAGACCCCTGCTGGTGGGCGATATGGCGATGATGATGACTAGAATCCGCGAAGGGAACCATAGCATGGCTTCATGGGTTGGAGTTTGGCTAGCAAAGTTTCGAGCCTCGCGTTTCAAAAATTGTCTGATGATGGTGACAAAGGTTACCTTATGTCGTCGGCCTTTCGCAGCCGAAACAAGGGGGATGGGGCATTTGTATTCTACTTGATATTTCCCGTTGTTTCTTTCCCTTTCTCTACAAAATTTCATTGCGTACGTTATGGGTGGCCTATGTTTAGGCCTTAGCTTTTGATCGCCGTCAGGAACACATTTACATGATAGGGCGGGGTTAGAGCACGATCATCGTTAGCATCGCCACTGCCGTTGTTTTGAGGGAGACGGAGAAGACAAAATCGATAAGGTTTAATTTTACATAGAAGAAAGACAAACTGTGTTAAAACGCAACTTCTATACGTAAACTCGCTCATGATAGCCCTGCATGTGGCAAGCTATTCTTTGAAAATTCAAACCAGCATGTGGGGATGTCTTTAATGATGCAGGCGAGAATTCCACACCAGCGAGACGACTTTCCCATCCATCCCATCCGAAACCGCCACCACCCTCTTGATCCACTTGAGGTAAGGGGGCCGGCAGTCTTGGATCCCCGGATGGATACCGAAATATTTCCCTGTTCTCTAGCTCGAAGGGGGCAAGGTTTGCAATAAGCCCAGGCCCATTCAAAACCAAGCATTGAACGAACCCATAGGTCAAGCTTGCTCTGAGGCGGTCCGATGTGCCAGAAGTTGCTCACGGCTACTCACTAGTATATGCGCACCTCTTCAACACCATGTCACGTGACCACAACAGATTGCGTGCTGCGACCAGTGAGGCCGAGAGTCTGGCAGGACCCGCTGTGGATATCTTGAACAAAGGCGGTTTATGGTTGTCCTTGTCACGAATACTTCCACTGGCCAGCACGGCCAGTTTGGGGTCAGGTGTTCGTTGCTTGAAGAAGTGTAGTGTACATATTAATAAGGGCCTGTGCCTTGTGTGCCAATGTGCCCAGGTACTAGCCGTGGGTTGCCTGGATTAATGCCGACTTTAAAAGGGCAAAAGACAACTCGCCGGTCGGTACGGGGTACAAAGAGGATGGTATCTGTCAAGTACCGTGCACCTCTCCCTGAGCAAGAACTCAACTGTACCGTCCCAACACGGCAAGTCCCGGGATCAGGCATCTCCCTTGCCATCCATGCATTGGTTGAACTGGACCTGAACTTGAGCACTTGCTGACAACTTGCTTCTCTGCAGGCATTCCATGGTCCAGCCCAGCTCTTCCTTTTTTCTTCCTCTCCCTTCAACACAGCGGAAACTTGAACCATTCTTGAACACCTTTTCATCTCCCCACCTCCGAAAAAATTAGATTGTTCTCCTTGAAAAGAGGTGTAGAAATCTAATTGACGATGTTTTCAAGTAATGTCGCCCGCAGGGTGATTCGACCAGTTTCGCAAGCGCATCTCGGGCTTCCTCGAACGTTACGACCTTTTCCTCGCCGAGTCCCTCGCGAAATCCCCGCCCTTGCCATATTAGTCCCGCTTCGATCGATTTCTACCGAACCTCATCGGTCGGGGGCCTACAGGTGGGCCCCCTCCGGGCTTCAACGCGGAACAGGCGAAGAAACCTCTGTCACAAGAACAGTCCACTCCCCGGAAGGACGCGGCCGCAACCTCTTCCAGCAGCGCCGAAGAGAATGCAACAAAATCCGGACTCCAGCAGGGAACCCCTCTAAGGAAGATGAAGCCGCCGGACTTGAGGCTGGTGGCGCGAAAACGGATTCAGGGGTTGCGAAGACGGATCAGAAGGAGCAGAAGAAGCTTACTTTGATGCAAAAAGTAAAGAAAGAGGTACAGCATTACTGGGATGGGACCAAACTTCTCGCCGCAGAAGTCAAGATCAGCACCAGACTAGCCATCAAGATGGCGGGAGGGTATGAATTAAGCCGACGAGAAAACCGACAACTTCAGCGCACAGTCCAGGATCTGGGCCGCCTTGTGCCCTTCTCGGTCTTCATCATTGTGCCGTTTGCAGAGCTTTTGCTGCCCATAGCCCTCAAGCTTTTCCCCAACCTCCTACCCAGCACTTACGAAGGCCAAAAGTCTAAGGAGACCAAGGCCACCATGCTCCGGGCTACACGCAACGATGTCAGCAAGTTCCTACGGACCACGCTTAGGGAAACCGGTCTACCAGTTACATCCGCGACGACGCAAAAGGAAGAGTTTACCACTTTTTCCGAAAGGTCCGGACCACCGGGAGCAGCCGACGGCGGAGGACGTGATCAAAGTATGCAAGATCTTCAGGGACGACTTGACTCTTGACAACCTCTCCCGACCTCAACTCTACTCCATGTGCCGTTATCTCAACCTGAGCACGTTTGGCAACGACACTATGTTGCGATATCAAGTTCGCCACCGGATGCGCCAGATCAAGCGGGACGACAGGACCATTTCCTTTGAGGGCGTTGAAAGTCTAAACGTTGCCGAGCTCCAGGCTGCTTGCGCGAGCCGGGGCATCCGGACTTATAGCGTGTCGCCCGCGCAAATGCGCAAGGACCTTCAGACTTGGCTCGAGTTGCGGCTCAAGGAGCAAGTTCCTCGACTATCCTCGTTCTCAGCAATGCGTACATGTACTCGGGAGAGGTTACGAACCAGATCGATGCTCTAACTGGTGTCCTATCATCCATTCCTGAAGAGCTTTTCCACGAGATCGAGCTCGAGGTCCACAATGCGGAAGGTGCGGCGACTAACAAACAGCGTCTCGAGGTAATCAAGGAGCAGCAAGAGCTCATTGATGAAGAAAATGAGCAAAACGAGGAGAGCGAAAACGTGGGCATGGCTACGCCTAGAGACGTGGACAACATTGACGAGCACGACGAGCGGCAGATGCGTGCTGAAGCTGAGGCGGAGGAGAAGGGACTTGATAAGTCCCAAGTGCCTGAGATGGTGCAGGCTGAGGTGGAGTCTATCAAGGCGCCACTTCATGCCGCCAAGGTGAGCAAGGACGGCGACAAATAGGTTACTTGCACAGGCCCCCTGTTTCTTGCCGAAGTTCGGCTTTCAACGAATCGCTTCAACCTAGGGGACTTTCAGGCGGCCTTTTTTCACCCTACTAGCATTTTCACCACAAACCTTGCTTGTATTTTTATGGTCCCAATCCGGCCTTTGGGGTTCCAACCGGCAGACCGACGGTCATCTTTCTTCGTCCTTTTTTCTTCTTTTTTTCTTAACTCTATAAGAAGACACCATCGTCGCTAGGGTGCCGCGTCTCACCTCATTCCGTCTAACGACCTTTCTCTTTTTTCTCTCTAAAATTCCCTTTGGCGGGCCTTGCCATACAACCCTTTCCTTTGTGGCTGGAAAGAATTAGAGCCAGATGGGCCAAAGCTATAGATGTGCTCAAAGGGGAACTCGATTCTCCCCTGGGGATGGATGGTATACAGCCCCTTTTGTGACAATATTGCCTCCTTTTGGCATCTAGAAACGAAGAGGAGAATGGAGAAGAGCATAGACCTGGGAATCATTGATTTTTCTAATGTTTAGGAACCTGGCGTTTGAAGTTGTACAATTCTTTTCCTCCTAAAAAATGAACAAATAACAGAAATTGTGGACGAACAAGATATCTTATGTATAGCGAGTGGTGACTTTTGTTTCGTTTTCTTGTGCTGGCTTTGAAATCAATAGGCTTCAAACTGTAGTTTCTTTATATGTACCCTCATACGCCTCTGGTTCTGAATATGTCTCCTCTTTGCGCCTACATGAACGATCCTTCATTCCGTCCGTGTTCGAATGGAGTAGATCATGGTAGAGCAAATCCTAGGAGCATGTGAGAATAAGAGCCAAGATTCTGGAACTCTACTAGGCTTCGGCGCCCTCGGATAGATCAATGTCGTCGACGCGTGGCTCGTGCCGTTCGACTGGGCCTCCCGCGAGTCGCAGCTGCACATGTAGTCGGCTGCAGGCGCAGGGTGATAGAGGTAGGGATACTTTTCCTACCCCTCGTCACACATGTCACCATTTAATTCCCGGTTTCTGAAAGCAATCACGCCCGAAAGGTTTTTGCTTCTCCTATTTTTCTTTCTTATGTCTTTCTTCGTTTCTTGTCTTTATTTATTTATTTATTTTTAGGGAGGGGAGGGAGACAAGCTTAAAAATTTTTGGGGTGCCATTCTGAAGCGCCGACAGAGAGAGCCATACCTCGGTACCGTTGACCTTTAGAAATCAAACCTCGACCGTGATATTGGTGGGGTATAGATTGGAGAGTAAGATCTATGGACCCCCTCACTACACGAACCAGGCGAGCCAGCACGGGTGCTTTCAATGACGGATAGTGTATATGTGAAAATACTCTGCGCCCTCTGTGGCAGGTGCCCTAGAACATTGCATCTATATAAGAACGCGGTGGGTTTCTCCTTGTTAGCACTTCGCTTAGATCAATTCGAGAAAATGCTCCCCGGAAGCTTCCCCAAAAAAGAAAAAAGAAAAAAAGAAACAAAAAGAGGGGGATAAGAATACAGAGAAAGAGTGCCCACTTTTGCACTGTCTGTTTGGAGGATGGTTGTGTGCGCCCCCGCGTCCGTTTTGGGTCGGCTATTATTATTGTTGCTCCACGGCCATTCAAGCGAACTCCCGATTTTGTTGAGTGGACTTGATTCACACTGTAGCGAACCTGGAGAGGAATCAAGCTATCAGCCGCCCCCTTCACCCCTCGTTTAAACCGCTATTCTTCAACTGCATCCTTCAGGGACGAATTCGCGACTGGAGACGAGGAGTCAACAACGGCGAACCAGGACAAACCACGACGGCTACATGTAGTTGTTACAAGAGTGGCTTTTCTCCCAAGAAGTGCATGTGAAATATCTGTTGGCGCCAGGCAGGTATAGCTTCCAAGATAAACTAGACCGCATCGCATTACAGCAGCCCTCTTGCTGCCTCTTCAGTCTCTCCCGGTCCCTGCCTCTCTTTTTTGAGGCCTTTTCTTCTTCTTCTTTTTTTCTTTTCTTTTTCGCATTTTCTCCTTTTCTTTTTTTCTTTTCTTATTTCTTCTTCTTGGGTTCGGTTCTGGATATCTTACCTTGGAATCTTACGGACTATCCTTCGAAACATTTTATTGTCCCGTCTTTTGAATACAGAAGCCTAGCATGAGCCTGAGGAGGGCTGCCAGGGTTATTCTCGTTGGAGCGCCGGGCGTTGGAAAAGGGACGCAGTCAGATCGCCTCCTCACGCGGTTCGCCCAGCTTCAATCTATAAGTTCCGGAGATCTACTGCGCCAAAATGTCAAGAATAAAACCCCCTTGGTGAGAATTCGTGCGCGCTACCTCTGTAATGATTAGCCAAGTATTAACCTGGCTTGTACGCTGTAGGTATCAAAGTGGAAAATGTCATGAAAGCAGGTGGTCTCGTCTCGGACGACCTAATTCTCAGATTGATCTCGAACGAGTTTTTCAAGAGAGGCTGGTTGAAGGGCCAGGGTCCTCCTCAACTTATGACACTCGCCTCGACGTCTACCGCTGGACCTGAATCCCTCGATGGCTCCCCTGCCCAGGACGTGGTTGACTCTATCCTCAAATCCCCTCTACAACCCGACGAAGCCCACCTGCTTCCCGAGGCATCCGACTCCCCATCTGCCTCATTCATACTGGACGGGTTTCCGCGCACAGCGGCGCAAGCAGAAATGCTCGACAAGATCATTCCCATCAATCTCGTTGTCTCCATCACGACCCCTTTTGATGTCATACTGGAGCGCATCTCGGGTCGCTGGGTCCATGAACCATCGGGACGAGTTTACAATACCACATTCAACGCGCCCCGTTCTCCAGGCATCGATGACGTTACAGGCGAGCCGCTTGTTCAACGCCCAGACGACTCGGAGGAGGTGTATCGGGCAAGGTTTGCCAAGTTTGAAGAAACCAGCCGGCCGCTCCTGGATCACTATGCTAGAAAAGGCATTCTTTGGGAAGCAAGCGGGCTTAGCAGTGACGAGATCACTCCCAAAGTCTTTCAACAATTTGAGAAGATGTTCTGTTAGCGGAGCTATATACCCGTATATTGTATACTTTAGATGTGTTCGTAATCCAAGCTTTGAGTTTCAAAATGTAATTTTTCTTGCACTTAACCTCGTTGAATAGTCCAACTCGCTTCGCCTAGCATCGTGTGATGAATTCTGCGTCACCAGCTCCACGCCGCGCGTCTTCCAGGCCCCAGAAGGGCTGCAGCCTTGGGTCTGTCCATAATGAGGGGCATCAATGGTCAACAATGGTCGGTCCAGCTATCCTGCGCTCTCTCCCACGAGTCTGGTCAGGGCCTGTACTCGCGCCGATGGCTCTGGTCTAGCTGGGGCGATTTATTGTAAAGTAAATGGGGTTATGGGTACCTCGGTACTAAAGGAAGTGGTGGCAGCATCAATTGATCAGTGATGAATCAGATTGCCCAGGATTGTTGGCTCACAATTGACGCATTGGTTTGGGAGGCTGGATGGGTGGCGTGGATGTGGATAGACGAAGTACCTTGTACCCTCAGCTCAGAGCTTGGCAGGGCAGTTTAACACGGAAGCAAGCCATCAGAAGGGAAACAGTGGATTGATCCACCATCAATGAGTTGATCTCTGGCGATGGCATGGGGCTGCCAAGAACCTACGTAATCCGCATCCCCAGATCTGTGCTACCGGCGTCCACCTAATCAATTGAGCACCACCTTTGGATTCTTCCCCCAACCATGAGCTTTAGCCCATGGCCACGGTTTGTCCCTAACGACGTCCCCATAACCGATCTTTCCGGCGGTTTTTGATTTTTATCACCCTACGCTGCCGGCACACCCGATCCTACTAACTTCGTCGCAACCCCGTACTAACGTAACCTAACGTAACCCACAACGAATGTCATGGCTGTCATCGAACAGGATACCTTTTCCAATGTGTCGTGGCAGAGCGATCGCGGCGACCAAAGCCCTGGTTATGGGGCGGGGACTGGCGGTGGTATCGAGGCCGTGAGCGACCGTATGCTAGCAGAGGGCGGCAGCCGTGGCGATGACCTAGAAGGGCATCTATCCGGCTCCGAGAAGCTAGACTGTGTCGTGTCATCCCCCATCAAAGAGAACGACGGAACGAAAGATGCTTTTGTCTCCTACTTGATTACAACTCAGGCAAGTATATAAACGTGAACCCTCTCCCACCGCCGCAGCGCTTCTTGTAGCTGTAAAGGCACTTCACTTCATTCTACCCGACCCAACGTGCTAATTCAAAGGCTGCCCCGCACCTGGCTACCAGTCCACCTTTCCCTCCTTTCAGAAACCAGTGACGACTGTGCGCCGGCGCTTCACAGACTTTGTCTTCCTTTACAAGTCCCTCAGCAAAGATTTCGTAGCGTGTGCGGTTCCCCCATCCCCGACAAGCAGCGAATGGAATATGTCCGAGGCGACCGATTCGGCCCCGACTTCACTGCCCGCCGCGCTCACAGCCTCCAACGTTTTCTGGCGAGGCTCGCTCTCCACCCTGTTCTCCGCCGCTCTTCCATCCTTCACACCTTTCTCGAGAGCCCCGAATGGAACGCGACGATGCGGTCCCGCTCAACGCGAGCCTCAACGTCCTCAGACCACGGCTCCGGTGGTGTGTTCGACAACTTTGCTGACACATTTATCAACGCCTTTACCAAGATACATAAACCAGACAAAAGGTTTATAGAGGTCAAGGAAAAGAGCGACAAACTCGACGAAGACCTGTCACATGTTGAAAAGGTCATGGCTAGAGTGACTCGTCGTGAGGCGGATTTGGAAACGGATTTCAAGGACCTGGCGGAGCAGTTCCAGAGGCTCATCAGCCTAGAACCTGGCGTGGAGACTCCCTTAAGAGCCTTTTCCAACTCTGTTGAGGATACATCTGCGGGACTTAAGAAGCTCAAAGATGTCACCGACCAGGGCTATCTCGGCAGCTTGAGAGACATGCAGGCCTATGACCAAGCGCTCAAGAACCTGCTCAAGGCGCGAGAGCAGAAGCAGCTTGATTTTGAGCAACTCACAGAATATCTCAATAAGAGCACCGCTGAACGGGATGCTTTGCAGTCTGGGAGCCACTACTATAGCGCCACTGGCGGTATCACCGCCGGGGCTAGCGGTTTCATCCGGTCCAAGATTGAGGACGTGCGAGGGTGGACCACGAGCAGGCAAGGCGAGAACGCCAACGCAAGCTGGAACTCAGAATCGAAGAACTTACGCGTGAGGTTGAAGAGGCAAGGAATATGAGCGAGATGTTTGACGAGGAGGTTGTGCGCGAGGTGTCCGACTTTGAGCGCATCAAGAGGATTGAGCTGAAGAAGGAGTTTCGTACCTTGGCTGATGCTCACATTGACTTTTATGGCGACTCCATCGAGATTTGGGATAAGTACATCGAAGACATGGAGAAGGAAGGGCGTGCATTGCCCCCGTGAAGAAATGCGCTCCCCGTTAGATTATTAGAGGCTCTGCTGTGCTGTCTTGAAACCGGACAGCGATTCTTCCCTCTCTCCAGTCTTTCTCTCTGTCACTCTCCCTCTCTCCTTTATCCCGCTATCTCCATTATGTTTTACTCTACTCTTCCTTCCTCTTTGGGCTTCCATTTCCACCCAGGGAACAGCCCTAGCTGGCGAATTAGGGTGTTCAATGAAGATGATTTAGGATTAAGCTACCTGCCCAACCTCCGTCGGGTCAGAGGGGTTCCTCGGCTCCTACTGGCTGTGCCTCATACATGTATGTACTACCGGGATGCAGTCTCGTAAACATCCACACAAGCCTCCTATATCAACGGTCGAAAGCTATCGCAATTGGAGGCACGCTTTGTGGGCCCCCGCATAGCACAGCAAGAAGCTTAGAACAAGACTGGTAGAGGACAGTCGTAGACGCCAAAAAGGGACAAGTCGGCTTTCTATAAACTATGCTAAATATGAATGAACCCTAATGCAACATGAGCGACGACTTCAGGGAAAGAATGATACTAATACTAGCAACGAAGGAGCGAAAGAACTTGAAAAAGAAAATGCATAGTACAGATGTTCATTCCAGCTAGCGCCCCGAGTCCAAGAGTCTGTTCTGCTGAGTTCGATTGTAGTCCTCGTCGTCTTCATCATCATCCTCGCCGATGACATGGTGTGGCTCCTCCTCATCCCTAATTTGGGTGCTGAGAGGCAGACGCTCATCAGAACCATCTCTATACCCAACCTCGAAATCGCTATCATCATCGCTACCTCCGGCAAAGGCATCATACAACTCACCCCCACGTGTACGGCGGGATTGCCCAGTAGGATGGGATCCCTTCTCGCCACCCGCGTAGCCGTCAGGATCCTCCGCAAGAGGCTCAAATTCGTAATCTTCCCCTTGGTTATTCCTCAGTTGCTTCCGTCGAGCCATCCAGAGATAGATGCCCAGGCCCACACAGAATGCGATAATGAGGGCAAGGGCTCCGTAAATCCACACTTGAGCGCGGGAAGACACGCCAAAGCTAGGAAGCCACGAAACCCAAGACGAGGATGTTGTTGTCGCTTGCTCAGCACTGCCCTGTTGTGTTCCAGTAGGCTTGCTTATTTGTGGACGATTAGGCTCCGAAGAAGTAGCCGTGGCGGGGTCAGCAGTCGCCGACTTAGTAGGAAGAGAGACCGTGCTGGCAAGGATTGCGGTAGTTGCGATGAGGGCTGTGGTAGCAGTAGCAGCACCAGTGGTGCTCGCGATACTGGCGTGGTCGTTGGCGTGGTCGTTGTCATCGTCCTCCTGAGGCATTGGTAGTTTGACAACCTTTTCGGGATCGATGGATTCCCCCACAACTTCAGATGCCAGTCAACCCAGGCCCCCTCAAATTCGTTTTGCTTAGTATCCCTAACAACAATGGTCCACTTGCCAATGCCACTTTCGCCCCTGTTGAAACAATTTCGAATATTAGCACCAGGGTTTACTAAGTCAGGGGAAGACCAAGCTGAGGAGGAAGGGCTGCCAGAGAAGACAGTCGTGCTGGACCCAGCAGCATTGTGCCACTCGGTAAACAGACGTAGACGACTTACCAATGTGCAACACTCATAAAAGTCCAGTCGATATAACCAGTGTTTGCCGTGTCGAGTTTCCGAGTAGTCGCTATGTGGCTAATGACATTATCAGGACTGATCAGGTCTACACTGAGGTCTCCACGCCGAGTGTGGTTAACATTCATAGTAACCGTAACATGCTCCACCCGCTCAAGATTAGCTTCCTTTAACATCTCAGCCGTGATTTCAAAGCTCCCTGACAGCCCATCTTCTCCCTGAGGTATCGCTTTGTTGACCTGGATCCAGGGGGAGAAGAACCAGGCCTGAGGCTTGACCTTGGACCAGGTTTTGGCCAGCTCAACTGCACCGTACGTGTCGATTTTGCCGTATCCAAATGTGTGGCTAAACTGCCGCCCAACTGAAGTAGGCCGCCAATCAGCACCCTCATCATCAATTCTCACAGCCGTATTCATCAGAATATATTGAGTGTCTCGCCATGTGAGCTCTGGCCGTGCCTCAAGGACAAGGGCAAGGATGCCGGCGGCAAGTGGTGCGGCTGCCGATGTGCCTCCGTGTCCAGTGTAGCATTTGTTGGTACCAACGTCAGTAGTATGCTACGAGCAAGCGTTAGCTAGACAAATCACGACGTAGACATAACGAACAACTTGCCCCGAGTACCGCGCCGCTCGGGGGGCTCTTACAATCGCGTCGCTGCTCCCGCTGCTATAGGTGACCACAAGTTGGGCCGAGCAATGCTCAGAGTAGTACGGGTGCTTCCCTGCCCGATCCACTGCCCCAACTGTGATGCTATAGATAGAATTGGTGTAGCCATCGAAGTTGCAATTGTCTTCGTTCGCCGCTCCATTTCCGCTTGCAAACACGTAGATGGACCCTAGCCCGCCGCGGCCATCCTGAATCCCTTTCAGCATTGCTTGCCTGATAGGGATACCCGGCGCCTCCATGGAACGACCATCGTCAGGCGGGCCCCATGAACAGGAGTAGATTTGATTGTTTTGGTAATCGTAGGTCATGGCCACTGCCTCATCCTCATCGCTGATGAGCTTGCTTAAAATCCGCAGGCCGGACACCCTGGCCTCGTAAGCTACACCTACGCCACAGACATCGTTCCGTACGGCCGCGATCTCTCCAGCACAGCGCGTGCCATGATGATCATCAGATAGTCTAGGTCTGGGCTCCGGTCCAGGGTCATTGAAGTCCCAGGATCCCTCAGCATAGTAGTTGTCCTTAAGATCTAGACTTGACATGTCGAGGCCATCATCTACCATAGCGACGATACTTCCCTTGCCCTTGATGCCTTGAAGCCAGACGCCAGTGACGTTGACATCATGACCAACCTGGATCGTATTGAGAAGGTGCCATTGGTTTTTGAATATAGGGTCACTGATTTCAAGTGTGTCCATAACCTCTCGCTGCTTCGTAAGAGCAGAGGCATTCGGGCTCTCGATTCGGGGGTAAGCAGTGGCCTTATCGTCTTTGCGAGGTAGAAATCCCGCGGGGGAGGGGGTATCGTCCTCTTTGTCCAAGGTTTCCGAGGTACATCTTTTTCGCCATGCGCACGCCGTCTAGCACGCTGGATTGATTATCACGCTTTACCTTGCGCGCGCGTAGAGCATCGGATACGAGATCACTGTTGGATTTGGGGGCAGAAAAAGCATGTAGATGGTCTAGAACGCCCACTTGGCCGTCATACTGAAGGCCAAGTTGACGAGATATCTCCTGGGGAGACACACCATCATCTAGATGTAAGAGGTAATAGTCGTTCTTCAAGTAGTCGCGTGGGGTCTGGCGCACGGGTCGAGAGGCGAGCGCCGAGCCAACGAGACCGAGGCCGCCAACGAGATGGGTGAACCTCATCGCCGAAGAGTATGTTCTTAGATAATAGAGGCACTCGAGGTACCGCCGCCGTTAACAGGTAGAAAATCGTTTACAAATAAGATAGAGATGCCGCGGGTTAGGTGTACTGGAGACAAGGGGCTAGTCGCGAATCGCACCACATTAAGGAGAGGTAAAGATCGAAGTACGCCGATAAAAGCAGCCGAATAAGAACACGTTCATATGTATCGGTATAAGTTGGTGAGTGGAGCTAACCGGGAAGAAGCCGTAAGTCTGCGATAGGGGTGGTTTCGGTGGCGATGGGCGACCAGGTCAAGTCGAGGAAACCCGCGACCCTCAAAGGAGGTAGCCCGATCCAATACACTCGAAATATAAGAAGTGAGAAAGAGCGAGAACGACGCCTAATATATCGAGGGTGAAGGAAGCGGAATCAAAAGTCTGTCGAGAAAATACCGGCGATTCGAGCATCGGACTCTATGTGTGAGAAAAGAACTCGATGCTGTCGTGGCCTTTGGTGAGATGGATGGATGAAATGTACGTTGATGACACTACACTCGTGAAACCAGCACTCTGGAAGAAGGCTTCAGGGGGCTGTATACTGGCAGCAGGCCACAGGTGGCGGTTGGCATTTATCAATAGCTCCTTCGTACATATACAAGCAGGCGGAAGACACATCGGGTAGATCTTGTTTACCCCTGAGCAAACATGACGAACTCAACTCCTGCATCTATTATCGGCCTTCGGAATTTCATCAAGGGATTTTGAACTTGTTAAACATTGGTTCAGCAATTACACCCCATCACCGCTGACGAGGTCGTGAGTGAAAACCTTAGTACGGTTGGTTGAAGAAAGAAGAACTGATGGATATGTCAATTCTTCGCCATGTCACTTAAACAAGTATACTTACCACAAAGAGAGACGGTAATAAAAATAATTAACCAGCAGATTGAAATATCGCACTCCACAATTAGACGAGGTATAATACCTTGATATCATAATACAATATCCAGAGATCATCAACTGATCTACGGAGTATTTTGATCAACCACCCAAGTGAGGCTGAAGACGGAGTGGACACGAGGAGATATAAGCCACGAAGCTGCCCCAGCCACCACAATTTTGCTTTCCACACCTAGGTAATAATACCCACGTTATCTGGGTTGGTGTGAATGGCGTAATACAACATAGGTGTACCAAGGTAGATTTCAGCTCTTCATCTTGAGGCCTTTGGCGTGTGTTGTGAAGTAATCCCCAAAGGGCGTCTTGGAATTGTGAGACCTGGGGGACTCAGCACCAGACCTTATTATTATTTATTATTAGCGTCATGTCAAAGAAAGACATGGATCTTGAAGTGACTATTATTGTTTGTCTCCACCTCGCACCTCTCCGATGTCATACCTCGTGCATTGATGCAGCCCCCTGAACAACATTGAACCTTTTGGTGATCTTTGGTTTACCGCCTCCCGCTCCCCGCCATTGTTCTATGCCGAGATCCTCATATTCTTCTTTAAATCTTGGTCTTTATTGCTTTAGCTGTGGAAATACGGTAGATTAGGGATGGTCGAAAGTGAAACCAAGCCGGCCGAGCTTTGCCTAATTCTGATCTTCGAACTGTCAGCCCGAGGAATCAGCTTCCAACTTGCAAAATCAAGTAAGCGATGGTCGAGCAAAACTTCGAAATGATTGGAGTGGCGCAATCTCTCGAAGTCCCATTCTCTAACTCTCGACAACTACATATGATAGTGTAATACTCGACCGACAGTCAGGGCGGTTACCATGTATGATGCTACTGCATACAGCATACATACCCTTAGCCTACGCCCATCGGCAGGCATTGCTGGTGGAGCCGTGCGTTGACTGCATTTTATTTTCAACCCACAAGGGTCCGATGCCATTGACCGCCAATACGAAGCGACCCTCGAACACTTGGCTGGTGGCGGCCTTTGATGCCCATTGATCCATCAAGCCCCCAGCCTCGTGCTATTCTCCTCTTCCGTGTCTCCCTTGAAGTCAGCTTTTTTTCTCCTTCCAGGGATATAGGCCAGGCCGACCTGCTTTCCACTTCCACGCACGCGTCATTCGTCCAAGGATGAATAGAAAAGCCTGGGCCATTCCACCCCTGCCACCAATTCATCGTCAAGCGACATTTAGAGCTTTCATCCTCCCCAGGTTGCTGCCAACCATACATTTGTATTGTATGTGTCGCCATTGCATTGGCCGCCGTAGAAGCTCTAAATCTCAGCCCAATAATACCCAGCGCAAAGTCAGCTGCCCGACTCCACTCCTCGATATACGCCGCATAGACAAAAGAACAGCCAGTTGAGTGTACCGGCCGCCGCCATTCTTGTCACCTTTGCTATTCTCCGCGAGCCCAGTGTTTGGTTAAGGAGGGTGGCTTCCTACCTTACCCCGACCCAATTACCATGTCAGCGCCGTATTGGGGGAGGCTTCCCATTCCTGCTGGTGTTGTACCTCAGGCAGGGCCGACCCGGCACTCAGGCGAGCTCGTTAGTCCCATGGAGGATCCGCCTTCCGATGAGCGACCACGTTCACGCCGTCAGCGGATCTCCGTTCAGACCGCAAACACCGAAGCAACAGAATCCACCTTCAGTCCGTTCGCATCCCCAACTGCATCAAGCTTCCTTGGCCAAGGTCTTGCCCCTCGACCACCGTCATACCCTTACCGGAACACTCCCGATTACCCACCAGATATCGCAGACAAGCGTGCGCATCGCAGAACTAGGACGCGCGAGGACTTGAATGACCTGGAGTACGTCTCTGCGACCCCCAGCTGCTCCTGATGTGCCCCGGGCACCTCCTATAAGCTACCGCCACCCGTATAGCAACGGTAGCACACCGGATCCATATGCCGCCGCTGCTGCGGCCATCGCCAATGCCTCGAAAGCAGCAAGGGTCTCGATATCCCCACCAGTCGGCTTCCTAGATAGTCGAGAAACACAAAGCCCCATGCCACTGGTGCCTATTCCGCGAGATCAACCCCCATAGACGCGGGCCACCAACATACTATGACCAGCCATCAACCCCATATCGCCGGCGAGGTCCCTCTGCAACAAGTAAGGAAGGGGAGTGTGAAGGAAATTATAGCTGGAAGAAGCTTCCCCTTGATGTCTCAGCCCAGCCGAGGCGTACATCCACGGCTTCGCAATCTGATCGCCGCAGAAAGTTCGCAGACGACCGATCGCCGCTCCAAAGACTTGAGCTAACCTTAGACAGCATCTCGAAGGAGGAAAAGCGGGCAAGAGTTGAAGCTGCAGAGCAGCGTGCCCGGCAAAAGGCCTTGCGTGTCGCCGAAACCTCCAAGAATCAACCCATCGCCTCTCCGCAGCAGGTACGGTTTCGTGAAGCCACCTCAAACCATGAGCTAAAAGAACGGACGCCGCAACCGCAAATACCGCAGTCCCGTGCCATAGAGCTGGGTCTAATAGGCCCCCGTAGTCACCTGGTACAAACCCCTCCCATTAACGACCGCTCACTTACACCCTTGGGCCCTGAGGAGCCTGTTCCACTCCCAGAGGAATTGGTGCATGATGCCACCGAAACAGTCCCCGTTCCTTTGGCTAGTGGAAGAGAAATAGCGGAAATAGGGAGTGGTATAGGAAATATGGGCATGCCTAAGCGCAACTTAAGCTTTCGCGAGCGAGCTGCCCAGAAGGATATGAGGCTCCCAAATGCTATGCCATCCAACGCAGCTTCCACACCACCTGCCGCCTCTCGCCCAGCCTCCAATGGGACTTTCTCACTTACCCGAAGCGGGAGTAACAAGCTAAAGAAAGACCCTCCCGGCGATCCTTGGTATCGCCTCCGAGTCGAGGCCCAGCAAACCACAACAGAAAACCATGCCCAGCCTAGGAATCACCACTCAATCCTTGATCGCGAAAGCGTGTTAGTTGCCGACGACGTCTATCCACCACCTGATTTACGGCAACCCCCATGATCAGGACACCAATTTTGGATCTAGCCCAGCTGCAAACAGCGTCTCTAAACTAAACAGTCAGCAAGCACCCTTTCCTAGTATCCGGCGAAATGATACAGAACCAATCCCTCGGACGACCCAAACGACAGTTACTTTTGAGGATGAGCATAGAGTCTCTCGAGGTCATGCTAGCGATGGCGACTCGGGAGCATCCGGCCCCGACCTTCGCCGACCCGAATACACTCCTGGGGCCGGACTCTACCTCCCTCCCAAATTTCTTGAGGAATGGAAACAAGCCACAGTTGGAGCCTTGGGAGGAACACTTTTAAGTCTCACTAACGATTCTGCACCGCCTGTTGGCAAGGACAAGGCCTGGTGGGAAGGTGGGGAGGGTAGAAGGGGTATCCCCTCCCGCCCTCGTAAAGCGGAAGCCTTCGATGGCGAGTACACTGAGACAAATGGTAGGTTTCTCCAGCAAGTCATCCCGTTGCTAGCAGGGGGTTGCGTTAGACCCTCTAACCCGAAGGCCTCAATCACGTTTTCTAATGCTTCTTTGGCTAGGGCCCACGCGCTTTAAGCCGCAATTGTATCTCTCTTGCGGCCCCCTCCTTCGATACTGTGGTATTCGCCGGGAATTGGCCGCTAAATCGGCTAGAAACCCTACCATTGTTGAACGTGAGATTTGGAGAGGTACCATCATGATTGTTACCATGGACTCCGACTCCTCTTACGATATCACACCTACTCTCAGGCTCTTTGTACAGCCAATAGAGCTATTGCCGCCTCCTCCAACCCACGTAAATGGTGATTTGTCGCCTGAATATGTGGACCCCATCTCAGGTCATCCGAAGCTCGGCCGCCGAGGCGAGACTCTCTATGTGCGTCCTGTGGAACACCTTGAGGAGGCCAAAGACCTCTCTCAGAATACCACAGAGGAGGGACTCTATGAGAGTACTAGGAGCCCCCTGACATACCCCTTCCCACCGGAGTGGCGGATCTTCCTGGCTCTTACGCCAGCCGCCAAAAACGCATCGAATGTGATGGGGAGAAGGTTGCGAAATATAAAGATGTCCGCGGGTTTCGACTCCACGCTGAGAGAGGTCATACTTTCTGGCGCTTTAACATTGAGGTTGAGCTAGGTGATCAGCAACAGCGTGTAGCTTATCGCATCAACCGGGGCCCAGCGATGGCCTTCTGGGTCCCGATGAAAGGGAAAGCGATGAACATCATGTTCCATAGCTGCAACGGTTTTGGCCTTAACGTGGATAATAGTGATGACCTTAGTGGGCCAGATCCCCTTTGGCGAGACGTGCTCAACACTCACCAGGCTCGACCGTTCCACGTCATGGTAGGAGGTGGCGGCCAGATATTCAATGATTCGGTCCTCCACAGGTGCCAGAGATTCCGAGAATGGTACGAAACCCGAAACGCCCTTGAGAAATACAGTTCGCCTTTTTCATCTGAAATGCAAGCCGAACTTGAAGAATACTACCTCGCCCAGTACTGCAAGTGGTTTTCTCAAGGACTATTCAGCTTAGCTGCCTCGCAGATCCCCATGGTCAACATACTCGACGATCATGAGGTAATCGATGGATATGGCTCTTATCCTCGTCGCGCCATGGATTCCCCTGTCTTCTCGGGGCTTGGCGCTGTCGCATTCAAATACTACATGCTCTTCCAGCACCAGAGCGTTGTTGATGAGACGGAAGCCTCAGAGCCCTCCTGGATCCTCGGTGCAGCGCCAGGTCCTTACATTAAAGAATATAGCCGCAATGTGATTGTTGACCTTGGTTCCCGGATTTCTCTCCTCGCAGTCGATTGCCGTACTGAACGCACAGAGCTTGACATAATAGCTGAGGAAACCTGGGAGAAAATTATGGATCGGTGCTACAAGGATGTGAAATCGGGTTCAACTGAACATTTGCTTGTTGTCCTACCAGTTCCCATTGCGTACCCCCGAATGGTTTGGCTAGAAAACATGTAAGTGCCTAACCTTAATGTGGGCCATGCATATCTCAAGCCGTCGCTAATGATGATACTGCAGATTGAGCTCTCGATTGATGCGTCCCGTGAAAGCTGTTGGGAAGACTGGTGTGCTCGGGGCCAAACTGAACCAGCTCGATAGTGGTGGCGACGCTTTAGACGACCTCAGTGATCACTGGACTGCTAAAGCACACAAAGGCGAACGACGAGATGTCGTTGAGCAGCTTCAGGATCTTGCAGCCATCAAGTCCGTTCGCGTCACAATACTAAGGTATGTACCGAGATGTCCCTTATCTAACTACTTAAGGAGTCACTGACATTGTTCCTAGTGGGGATGTCAACCTAGCCGCAGTTGGCCAGTTCTACTCGCACCCACGATTTCAGCTACCCAAGCACAAAGATTTCCGTTATATGCCCAATATAATCGCCTCACCAGTGGTCAATAGTCCAGCTTCCGACCTGATTGTGGACATGCTCAATAAAAGGAACAAAGTACACCACTTCGACAAGTACACAGAAGAAGACATGATCCCGCTATTCTCCTCAGGGGTCGACGGAAAATCGCGGAATAATAAACGGCTCCTGCCGCATCGTAACTGGTGCGCAATCCGCGTTTGGGAACCGGGGAATACCCCCGCCGTCGCTGGCGCACTCTACCCGTGGTACGAGTATCAGCCCGCCTCCAAGCCGGGGGGATATTTCGCCGGCTTTCTAATCGGCTCGGGTCTACTCGTAAACCCGAAGTAACGACGCGAGACTCTCGGCCGCCAGTTTCGCGCTCGGGTTCAGGCGGCTTGTTTCGGTCATTTTCTAGGCGTAACTCTAGCGATTCACCCCGGCCTGCTGTTGTCGGAGGGAAGTTAGTGCGGTCTCTTTCTGCGAATAGAGTTGATTTCAATGCTCGGAGATTAGTAGGGCTTGGAAACCCCGAGCAGTTCCATCAGGGAACAAGGCATCATGATGCTAGATTGGATGACAGAGCTAGCGACAACCAACCAGGCGGCTTTTTAGATTCTGATCCCGCCCCTGACGCTGGCCCCTCGTGGACAAGCAGACTCCGTGGAGGTGGCGATCCTGAGTACGAACAAGGCGACGAGGCGGCCTTCACCGCCCGGCCCATGCGATCTGCCCGGCCCCTTTCGCCTGAAGATATATCCGGAAACTTTGTCCCAAAGCCATTTCACCGCACACCGACAGGGTTATCAACAAAACAGAGGAAGCGTGCAGACGACTTTGCCGTTGACTTGGAAGGTGGGCTAGATATTAGCCTTAATGTCGAGGTGAACCCAAAGGATCCTGCTGGGATAACTGTCCCGTATCGCATCCTCGTCCCACGGCTCTTCCATGACGAGGATGATGAAAAGAAACACAATGCACTTCTAGCATCCGAGCAGCCTTCAGGCTTTAAGAGGCTACTGAGTTTCAGGGAAACGGCCTACCACAAGCGCAAGCGACACACAAGCCGCGCATCATTATTCTCCCCGCAAACCTCTCCCCCAGAGTTGCTGCCGATAGCACCTAACGAAGAGAGATACGGTTATGATACGGTCTCTAGTGGCGACCGGTACGATAGCCAAGGGGACGTAAGGATGAACGCAAGGTGACAGCAGTTACTAGGTGCCTAGGTCCTAGGTTAGTGCAAACCTAGCCAGTTTCAGCCTTCTTCTCACATTGCCTTCCCCATCTCAACGTAGGGCCTTTGTCGTTTTCCCTCTAGGAGGAAAGGGGGAAAGGAAGGTTGAGATATGTTTGATTTGGTCAAATTACTGTTGGGAAGTCTTATTATACGGAGATCGGAGGATATACAGGCCGCTTTGCTTCCATGTCTGGCTGTTGTGTTTGTAGTCCTAGGCGTTTTCTTTTCCTTTCGCGCTATTAACTTGATAAATTCGAGGAGAGTACATGAGCGAGCTAGCCCTGGTCTACGTGCAGATCTGCGCGGCCAGTCTAAAACACGAGTGACCAAAAGACTTTTCTTGATAATTTGGCAGATTTTGGATTATCCGTGTTCAGGTTGTGTCTACCTAGCTGTATACCAAATAGACACATCAGGATGATTAGGGTGGCCAGTGAACGATATTTTCCGTTGGCGTAACACTTAGAATGAAAGCCAGTTACATCGTGATAGTTTCGAGGCAGATGGTAAAGACCCTAGTTTGCCGAGGTGATCAGTTGCTTCAAGGCTTACATAGCTCAAAGCATAGCCAACCTCTGAAAAAAAGCATAGGAGGGGACGACGAGCGTGATGTGAGCTCCGACACTAGAGTCTTGTTTCATATAACGGACCACTCCTTCATATCGATTCTGGTGCCTAAAGCAGCGCCCAACTCGCTCCTTGATGTTTGAATTCAGTTTAGGCATGATGACGCGTGTAGAAATAGACGGTCTAACATGCGTATTGCCCTTATTAGATGTTAGGTTGGATGCGGCGCAGTCGATCGATGAGGGCTTCCTGTCCGCTTTTGATGGTGATTGTTCTCACTGCCCATCTGCAGCCCGAGAACTTTCTGGTGTCCGGCTTCGACTCCTACCCCTCGTTTCCCCCGTCCTCCACGACCACCTTTCCCAGGTGGCGGTCGCACGAACGCAAAATCCACATTTATTGTTTGGTCCAAGAACTTTGTGCTGTTGGCACCGTCAATGGCTGCTCTTGCTTCCTGGAGAGTGGCATACTCCAAAAGAGCGTATCCCTACTTTACATGTCAGCGCCGCCTCCAGGAAACGTGAATCTTGAAGGGGTTTCCCAAAAAATAAAAAATAAAAACACCATCCGATAACTCAAGCGATGAGCGTCTACTCATGAGGATTAACAAACCTTGACGTAACCGCTTCTTCGATCCAAGTTTAGATGCAGGTTTTTATCTCCCCATATTCACCGAATCGATCCTGCACAGCTTCCTCGTCCGCTTCTTCATGGACATTGGTCACTATAAGGATCCAGCCCTCAACACTGCGGACAGCTTTTGCGCCGGTCTTGGTCTGCATATCATCGTCACGTACCCCTTGCGGCGCCGGGCCAGAATCAATGTCCATCTCGGCGTCTGACATTTTGATAACTGACTATTATTATGAGTTCGCGTTCGATGGAATGAGGTCAAGACCTCGTGCAGCCAAATCCTGGTGTTGGAATGTGTCTAGCTGTGCCTTGACATGGCTCAGTTTGGTGGGGTTTATCAGCGATTCTTGTGCAGTTGTGACCTCCAGAATCTAATTCAACTTATGTAATCATACAAACGCGTCTTCAAGAACAGGGCTCGGCATAACGTAAAATCTATCATCATCACACCTACGATGGCAGCTTCGAGTCCCCTCCCCTCAAAGAAGAAGTTGCGTTGCTCTCTAAATACTGTGTACCAAAGGTCGCAAAGCGAGACGGGGATGTTAATTTCGCCATTCATCGCCATTCATCGCCATTTCGGATACCGCTCGGCTCCCCGCCACTCCCAGAAGATATTGGTCGAATATCCGAATCATCATCATCAAGAGCTTTAGCGAGATCGTCAGGATCTTGCATCTTGGCGTCAGGATCCACGTTATCATCAATATCTTCATCCTGGTGGCTAGTCAGCCTCTCATGTTCCAACGACCCATCATCAGCGGACACCGATATTCCACGAGAGCCCCATTTGGGACGAGTAGTTCCCCTTGATAGACCACTTCCCCTTGTGGTCGACCAGACTCTTCGTCGTCATTTTCTACTTGCACATTATCACCGATGATACGACCAATAAGCCACCCTCGTCGATAATCCTGGGCGTCAACAATGCCCCCGTTTCGTAGCTTGACGCGAGGGCGGGTGTAGTAGCACTGATGCAAGTAAGATTGTTAGCGGGTCATATTGGCACGCGTATCCAAGGCCTCAGTCCGACAAAAGCTTACCCAGAAGAAATCGATGAACAATGATGTCTGAATAATGCCAAAGATCACGGCAACAACGTTGGGCGACCTGCTTGTGGGGTTGACCCAGCGATAGATCCAGTTGAGAAGATAGAGGAAACGATAAAGCCCAAGTGCAAGTAAGTAAAATGAGTTGATGACAGTTGGGACTGTGGTCTGACGGAGGAGGAGAAGTTGTGGAAGCACACAAACAGACTCCAATATAGTCGAAAAGTCCCAGAGCCATTGCGATGCACTTTGGTGCCTCTCAAAAATTAGCATAACAAAGGGCGACAGAATAAATGAGCCACCTAAGATGGCTGCGCCAATCTTCCAGGATATTTCGCGCTCCCTCGTCCTCGGGAAAACCCATTGCATAATAGCAATTAGATATAGAGAAGAAATGATGTAAAAGGTTTTGAAAAATAGATTCCATCTTGAAGGTTCGGTGAAGATATCAAGGTACCGCGTGCAGAAAACAATAGCGTACAAGATTTGCGTGATCATAGAAACGCCTAATTAGTGGACGCTCGGGTTAGAATTGAAGAACGGACAGCACTACACGAACAACTAGGCAGCTCATACCTTCAGCACTACGATTGCGGTGTATTGCATACATAAGTATGCCTTTTGATGAGATATGGGAGATATCTCCCGCAACTCGGAAGACCTAGTGAGTGGAAGTGTTAGAATTTGAAGGCAAAAGCGCGTGGTATAACGAACATTAAATGCGCCTGACGACATGGCGAGGACACGGGAATTAGCTTCAAACTTGACCAGGGCTCTTTAGAGCCGGCTCGAGAAATGCTAAGAAGCTTCTCCCTTCATCCAGGGGATAAGCGTGAGAGAAGAGTTGTATGATGCTGCAGAGCAGTCGTCGGTGCCTAGTCTCACTTGATAACTAAGTCATCAGGCAAAATGACAATGTAGTGAGGGCGTGTGGGTCACTTGGATGAATATCCTATCACTTGAATTCCGCGTCGGATAGGGGAACCCCTTGTAACCAACGACGAAGCGCTGGTAAGATCTGAATCAATGAGGTACACGAGGAGTGAAGGGTCAAACTGAAGTTGAGGAGCTTCAATGAGCTCAGCAAGAGCCCATCACATGGGATTTCTTAGTCATCGACAGTGGCCCAACCTGGAGTAGTGGGAGTTCATTTCATTGGCCAAACTACCCCACCGCGATACAGCGCATTTCGACGCGTCTCCTGTCAACGGAGAGTGGGAGTAGCCATCATCACAAGCCCGGGCGGTTTGATTCTGCTAACAGACTTTTTTCTTTGTCTTTTTTCCCCAGCTGTGTCAAAATCTTTCGAAATAATGGCTAGTAAGTGGGAATATATGCCATATATGTACGCTGAGATAGTTTCTGAACTTTGTTGCTTTTAGCCCGAGAAGATCGAATGCGACAGCGCCTTCGTGGAGCAGTGTATGTGGTAGCTATAATCTTTGTGTTGACGGCCGCCTAGTGTACCTGTCTAATAAATCATTTTTAGACGGCACCAAATCGAGGATATCTCATTTGGCTTTGACCTTCCAGAATTTGGACATGATGAGATTACCGAAGAGGTAAATCATAACGGCCTCCCACCAAGCCTAGCACCGACACCGATCAAACCCCGAAAGGCATCATCGCCGCGAAGTCAAGCATCTTCAGGACTCGAATCAAGAGTACCGAGCACCGAAAATATCTTTACCCAAGGACTGGACGTCCAGGATACAGATGTTGCTGCGGCTGATGAGGGACCAGGTATCACGGCCAGTTCTCACACAAGTGATGATATTCTGGCTTTGCTGCCGCCAATCTCATCTTCAAGGGCCTACCATACCAGACGCTCCCAGGCAATATCCGATGTGATAGAAGAAAGCCCGAGACATGCGCCCGGAAGTGGACATAGAATAAGCCTTCCACTAATTGAAGTAGGAGGCTCGTCGCGAAGACTGCAAACGCTGGTGGATGCAATGTCTGCGAACGAACAAGATGGGATAGTTTCCTCCCCACTTGCTCGGAAGTCAACTGGCAGAGCTTCTGGCGAGGCTCTTGATCTACTACCAGGCAACCTTTCGCCGCATGTTAATTCTACACACACGCAAACTGGCGACATCGATGAACTATCTCCACTTGCCGAAAAACCCTCTCTTCAGAAGTCCCATGTGACCGAGGACATTAGGGACCAGGAGGCTGCTAGAGTCCTTCTTAGGAAGCGCCCATGGAGATCCTCAAAGTCCGAACACCAGGATAGGCGGGGTCGAACCATTGCCAGCAGCTCCAACGAAGAGCACACGAGGACTAGTCGGAGTTCTCTTGAAACCTCTAATGTCGCAAGCATCATTCCTACTAATCCGGCGGCAAAACGTCGAAAGCGATCTCACCATAATTCCGCCAAACCAAAGCGGCTTATACTTAAAAGCCCGTCTTTGAAACAGTCCAATCAAATATCTACACCAACAACGCAGAATGGCGAAACATCGGCGGACGAGATAGGCAGCAAAAGCCACCCTGCCGTTGTTCCACTCACTGTGCAGCGTTTTCCTCGTACGCGGAAGTCACTTCACGGAGCGGATCATGATCATGATATCCTGTCTTCTGAGATTCCCTTTGGTAATCAGAAGGGTGTGAATGTTATCGATGTGCTCAATCAGTCCTGTGAGGAGGTCATTAGTATATGCATCAAACAACTCTTTGAGGCCGCACAGCGTGAAGACGCCCCATTTGCGCGGAAAGAGTTGCGAGCGAGACTCAGGGCCCTTGAGGATTTTGTTCAAGAGCTGCGCACGAAGTTTCTGACCCAGGTACTAAAACCGTCCGCCCATGGCTCTATCAGCAATGATACTGATATCCCACTTAGACTATACTGTTGGACAACCTTCATTCGTTAAGACAACGGGTGAGAGATGCAGAAGGGACGCGAAACAAACTGAGAGATAATATCTACCAACGCCGCCGTGATCGAGAAGATATTCAACTTCGAATCGATAGTGAGAGGTTGATGCATGAAACAAATCAAAAGATACTATCGGTAAGTTTGATTTAAATGGACATCATAGTTTACTACAACTTCAGCGTGACTAATACGAGGGACTCGTGTAGAAACGAATGGATATGTCTTCCGATTTCCATCTTATCTGCTCAAGCGCCGAACAGGGTAAACGGGAAGTCCGACAAAACACCGGCCTCCAATACTTACAAAAGCCAAATTTATCTCTCGGTCTAGAAATACATCGGATTGGCGATCGTGTCTGTAGGGTCGGCGATCGGGACGGACTTATGCATCGAGTGGCTGGGTTCAATCGCTTCTTAGAAAGGGCGGCTATCGAGCTTGAAGGCCGTACTTGAAACCGTTTGGCTTGGACAGCATGCGTGAAGGCGTGGTGCGCTTTCGGATCGAGGTCGGAAATGCTGCATCTTGTTGTCAAAGGTACGTGAGGTGGCAAATAGGATGCACTTATATTTTTCATGACGCGCGACTTGCGCGGATCCGCCACTATCATCTTCCCTCCCACAAGGGAGGCCACGATATACACTACTCAAAAAGCACCATGTCTTGAACCAAAATTTACTATGTCTAAATTTTGCGAAGAGCGGGGTGCCCCTTACCGATGCAGAAGTCTAAAGGCTGCCTACGCCCGCTTCTCCCCATTATCTTTCCCCTCAAGGCTAGAATCAGATCCAATCAACCCCCAGATATGATCACCCATTGTCGCTCTCCCTTCTTCTCTCCTCTGCTTCCGCTCCTCGTTGTCTTTCTCTTTGAGTTCTCTCACCTTCTCAGCCGTTCTTGACCTTGCCTCGTAGTCCGCCCTCAACGCCGCTTCTTCAGCAACTCGTTCATCTTCGGGAAGCCTGTCTAGCTGGTCCCTCCACCGGCTCGTCACGGCGTCATCTGGAACAGGTGCTTTTGAAGCAATACGAGGAGGGATGATCTCAAATGCAGGCACAGGAAGACCAGTCTCCCGAGCCCTCGTGGCCGCACTCTCATGCACAATCATTCTTTGGTAAAGTGAATCTGCGTGCAGTTGTATGTCTTCTTCGATTGTATTTTCGCGGCCAACATCGGCCTTATAACCCAGGACTCGAAGGAACCTCTATTGCGACGGTTAGCGTCTATGAAGACATCTTTCAGGGCGCGAACACGGAAGAACAAAAAGAAGAAGAAAAAGAAAGGGGGGCTTCTGGCTTAACCATCATACCGATTGCATTGTGTAGCATCGCTCGAACTGTTTTGCCTGGTCTCGACACATCTGCAACGTGTCCATCCAACTGCCCTCGATCATACATTTTCTCCACTCCTCTTGTTGAAAGGCACAGTTTTCAAGAGCTGCTTTCGCAATCATCGTCTTGCGCTCCTTGAAGCCATCCAGGACGTCCATTAGTCTTTCATGGCTGCTTTTCGCGTCAGCCTCCACGGCCTCTAGAGGCCTGTATGTTTTCCATAGACCAGCATAACGGCCGTCCTTATAGAGGCTTCCTCGTGGCACGTCGAGGTTGGCGTCCCGTGGTGTCGGCTGGGATGGATGACGTCGCACATCTACCTCAGGCTTGCTCAACTGAGCGTTAAAGGATGATTCCCTATCGAGAAAGTCGCGTAACTTCGGGTCTAATTTTTGAAGCGGATCTTCGGCGGACTTGCGCCCTGCTAAAGTGGTTAGCCACTCCATGGCGTTGTGGTTGAATACTTGCTCTTCTCAGTTGGTGAGCTGGAGAGGTCGGAAGGGAAAATCCAGTTTGTCACTGAAGAACCGATGCACTGTGGTTAGTCAATGCGCACTGTACTTATACATCACTCTTATTGCTTTCCTTGATGGTTCCACGCAAGAGGATATAAAAAACGGTTACAATTCAATCTGTCACCCATCAGCCGTATATTTAATGTTTATCCGTGAGGATGAAACCGTTCAACTTTAAATAGGGTTTCCGATGCACAAGCAAGGTTGGGGGCCAGTCTAAGTGAAAACGACAACCTTTTTCATGCCATATCAAATTCATAAGCTGCGTCTAGACACAGTACGCTAAGACCAGCATCGACCAGCAGAACAGACCGTCCGGGTGTAAAAACCATTTTCCTTTTGCTCCAAAGACATGCCATAAAAGGGATCCTTTTAGAACTTGCTGAACTTCTTCACCGCCTTACCAGTTCGGGGGAGCACGCGAAGAACGTTGAACCGCACCTATAGGAGCGCCATATTAGCAAAGGCATGGTAATGAAGGCCCCCGACCCAAAAGAAACGTTCAAGGACAAGGGACGGCACGTACAGTCTTGCTGAGAGGTCGGCATTGGCCAACAGTAACCTGGTCGCCCTCTTCAACACGGAAGCATGGGGAAACGTGGGCGGCAAGGTTCTTGTGCCTCTTCTCGTATCGGGAGTACTTCTTGATGAAGTGGAGGTATTCGCGGCGGACAATGACGGTTCGATGCATCTTAGTTGAGACGACGGTTCCAGTGAGGATGCGGCCGCGGATGGAAACGAGACCAGTGAACGGGCACTTCTTGTCTGATAGAGCACAAAAGAAAAGGAGGAGAAAAGGCCGAGATTAGCAAAATATTTCTGGCCATAGTTCGGCCTAACCGGTCGATTCTACGCGGAAATTCGCGCCATAAATGGGAGAGTTCAAAGTCTCGCACATACCAATGTAGTTGCCCTCAATGGCGGTCTTTGGGGTCCTAAAACCGAGGCCGACATCCTTATACCACCTCCTTCCACCTTTTCCGGGCCTAGAAGCCTTAACCTTAACCTTGGCGTTCTGGAAAATGTGAGGTTGCTTCTGGAAAGCCCTCTCGGACTGGACAGTCAGTTCGGTCGCCATTGTGAGGTTTCGGTGCACCGTGAAATGCTGATCGGATAACGACTCGGCTTGTATGAGAAACTCTCTTCTATCGACGATCCGGTCGAGAGTGGTCGAGAGGATCGTAGCCGCGAACTTGGAAGGTTGCTGTGTTGTGGTTGGTTAGTAGTTAAAGACTGGCAGTGACCCCCTCTGTCGAAAAAGAGAAAATTCGTGATTAGGGCAAATAAATGTCAGGGCAGTTTGTGTGTACAGCCACAGGAGGCTTACGAAAGACATGGGTCCTGGTGGCGCACTTCAGTTTCATCCTATTGGACCGATGTCCGTTGTCGGGGTAACACATATCTCAAGCAAGGAGCGCTATGATCCAATGTTGACAAAGGATACATGTAATGGTGTCTCCAAATACTGGCGCGTGCACTGGCCCATTAAGTTGGCGCGTCTTTCGACTCGAACAACCCACCCACAGAGACGTAACCCCCGCCCGAAATTCTTCCTTCAACACCATTTTCTTGTCGCATTAAGCATCATACATGCTCCATTCAATATGTCTACTCAACCGGACGTAAGAAGAAAGCGCAAGTCTCTTGGTGCGCCGCTTAGCGCGGCAAGGCGGACCGAAGAGAGAGAGAATGCACGTCGAAAAGGCTCACGGAGTAAAAGCATCGGCCCCGGAGGCCTTGATGCCCTCCAGCAGGCATCTGGGAATAGACGAGCAGTAGGTTCTTACCCCAATGGCTGGTCATCGCCCAGTCTGTTGACAAACGTCCAGTCACTCGCAGCGCTACCTAAATTTCAGCCACGCTCGATTTTGAAACCCACCACCCCAGGCGCTCTCAACAGCAACACCGAGATCCTTCTTGACCTAGACTTTGGAGAAAACGTAACAGCTACAGGGTCGAAGACTTTCCACGGCCAGTCCTACAATTTAAGCCAAGGGGCAAAAATCGCTTTGCGGGCCGAAGAGGAGCAGCAAGTCTCGTTGAAAGAGCGCGAGGAGCGCGAGAGGCGAGAAGCGCGCAGGAAATCACTTGCGAACAGAAGAGTCTCCTTCGCGGCAGAGGCGACATTACACACGTTTCACGAGATCGAGTACCAGGATCCGGCGGCCTATACGAACTCAGCGCGGCGTGCTTCAACAGCTACCCTCGCAACTTCTCATCAACAAACCACCGACCAGCCCGGAGGGGCTCTAGTAGGGGTTGAGGGTCATGTCCACCCTCGTGGCCCAGGACATCAACAGAGTGATTGGGAGCAAGATATAGACGATACCGTTGCCTCAAGTATGTACGGCTCTGACTCCGATCTGGGCGAATCCGTGGAAGAAGTGGAGGACCATGAGGACACCGGCAGCCCAAGTGACTCATCTGATGATGACGGAACTATGGTGACCGTCGATGGCGATGAGACAACATCCGCTTCAGTAGCCTCGGCAGACAGCTCAACCGTTGATGAGGCCCTTCGATTGGCCGCGCGGCACGCAGATACCCAGAAGCCCAGCGCCGATGATGGAACAGAAGTCGAAGAGATTATCCCCTCATTTGGCTGGGCTAAAAAGTCCGAAATGATGGCGCACTAGGGATGGAGACCCAAACGGAGCTTAAGACTATAGAACGTGACTCGACAGGGATGGATCTTGAGATGGAGATTACGCAAGCCATTGGGGGCATCATCAGACATGGCGTCACTAAGCCGGTTGACAATAGTGACATGTCAATGGACGTCACCAGGGCTTTCGGGACAATTTTCTCACGGAATGGTCAATCTCAACACAATATGGAAGATGAAATACCAGCGCCGTACATCGACAATATGCTTGAAGCTAAGTGTGACCCGCATGGCCAAGTCATAAAAGACCATTCACACGGGGTCGAAGACATCAGCTCTCAGAGTAACGAAGATATGTCGATGGAGCTAACGACTGTCATGGGTGGTTTGATTTCCACGGAGAATGGAGACACCCATGAACATGATGGAACCCTCGCCAGCATCAAGCGCAACCTCTCATATAAGGGTAGGGAGCTAAATCAGGCACCAGCCCTGCCATTTGATACCAGCCCAGATGACTCCGCGGAAACCGTCGGCATGGACATAACAACTGCACTCGGAAAGATTTTGCCGACCAGCAGTAGCCATGCCCTTGGGAGTGACGGTGCCTTCGAGGTGGACATGGCCACCACTCCGGGAGCCACGCCGCAACCTCGTCCTCAAAAGTCAAACTCGCCAACCCAAGTCGTGGCTTCAAGTCAAGATGTTCTCGGTGTCTCGCACAACCCAGTCATGGCATCATTTACGGACCATATTAGAGTTGGCAAGCAAAATGCACCAGATCACACTATCCCTAGAAATTCTAGTCGATCGCCAACTTCAACTGTCACCTCCCAGGTTGACAACGCTTTAGATGGAGCCGGCCCTCAACCTATATCCCCCAAGAAACGCTCCATAAGCCCCAACCAGCGACATGACGCCCATGGGACGTTGAACGGATTCGCATCACCCCAAACGCCGATACTACTAACTCCACAAAGCAAAAGGCTGCCTAAATTTGGTCTTGAGAAAGAGGGTCTCGGGTCGCCTCGTGTCTCAGCCCTCCTAGATCGCAGGGCCTCCATCGGCGAAGTATCTTGCAGCTTTACTCCTGGTCAAGGCCCGATCGGACGCAGAGTTGTATTCAACGAGCCTTTTTCTCGGGATCAACCACTGGTATAGAGTGCCGAGGGGACAAGGAACGCAACAGCGATCAAAAGTCACTGGACGATGCCGAGGTCACAGTCAATCTCAAGGAGATGATTGCGAGTCTTTCACCTAAAAAGAACCATCGTGGCCGAAAAAGTCTACATGTGGGGAGCGCTCGTGGCGTTCTTGGTAAGCGTCCAACGGAACTCGATGATTCAGAGGAAGAGAAGGATGGCATCAAGCGTTTGAAGGGACACCATGGCAGCCCCGTCAAAAACGTGCGATTACAACAACCCCCGGGTAGCGTAGCATCCATGCTCGAGACATCGGCGGTGCCCGAACCCAAGGAACCACCCGACGAACCAGGTATAACTTCTTTTGACCTTGGTGCTAGAAATCGCATTCATCTCCAGGACTTTTTGAACATGATATCCGTGAGCTTCATGGAACTCACTACCTCCAAAAGACGACAAACTCAAGCACCCTCAATGCTACGGGACTGCGAACACGACATCTCACTTGAGCGCTGCGTGATTTCTGGTGCATGCACTGTTCCAGTGCTTGAATTATATCAACATGTGAGATGCCTATCTAGATATAACCTGAACCCTATACTAATTCCTGCGCGATTAGTCTTGTCGAGAACTCAAGAAGTACATCTCAGAAGGTCGCCGTATCGTAAAGGAAATAGAGGTGGAAACATATCAAGACAACCCTCCTTTATTTCAAGAATATGCTTCTGCCACCCCCGAGTTCAAAATGCTCATGGACCATCAGTTCAAGAATGGCAAGACCCATGCGCGTCTCCTAAGCAAAGCAATGTGGTATGAGTGGCGTATGAAGCTCCAGCAGGGCCTGAGGGAGGGGCTCGAAAGAATCAATCACGACATGGATGAGGATATCATCTCTCTCGAAACCCAGAGACAGCTCATTGATTCCTCTCTCCCCACGCTGGCCTCGAAATACGAAAGCCTGGCAAGGGCACATGGAGACCTCGAGATCTACGCGAAGGAGCTTGCGGAGTGTGATCAAAATGAATTAAACTCTGCAAGGCACCAGCTTGTAGAGTTGGAGGCTAGTATTCAAGCCCGAAAGAAACAGATTGCGGAGCTTCGCATCCAGGTACAACTAACCGAGTCTCGGAAAGAGCAGATTTCTCTTCAAAAGGATCGGTGTATGGTAGATATTAAAGAAGCAGAGAAGATCCGGGAGGAATGCAAAGGGTGGACAGCCAAAGAAATTAGCGTCTACAAAGGTAGGGAGTAACCTTCCCCCAACATACGAGACATGATACACTTAACTCCGCTGTCACCTCGTGGCCTTTTTCAGCTAACACCCATAAAAGAAAAAGTCCAAACCCTCGAAAAACAGTATCACTGGGCAGTAACGGGAGTTGCCGGTGCCCGAATTACGATGGCCTATAAAGGCGAGCTTGTAGTCGCCTTCGACATAACCGATACGCAACATGGTTGGGATGATCCAACGGTCGAAGCACGGCGTGTGTTCACCAAATCCGATGCACCTACACGGCACCAGGAAGTGGCGCGGGATTTCTTTTTGCAGCGTATCCGTGACCACTCCCACAAGAGTGACAGGAAGTTGAGCTCCTTGCTCAGCTTGGCTGCGAGAGAGTGGGAGACTGCTAGGTGCATGGTTCGCAACATCAACGTCGCCGATACCACGTACCCTACTAAAGTTATCCGGACGTCAGGTACTTCCATTGAGGTTGTATCCACGTTGCTAGTGACCGAACTGGAAACGAAAATTGAGGTCATTTTTGCCATTTCAATGAACACTGCCTTAGGAAACACACAGGTTACCATCGAGCCTAGCGCGAGAGTAGTCTATGGGGAGGCCTTCAACTTAGGAAAGATGAAAGACCACCTAACATCGCGAATTAACCAGATGCCGGGGAGCATGACGTTCAGGAAACGTGGTGCAACATTCTTGTATCATTGCACAGAAGGCTCCTAACTCGGGGGCGCAAGGTAGATTCCTGAGAAGAGCTTTCTTTCATTAAGAGTTCAACAAGGCTCGTCCCTATCGTTCTAATGAGGTGGGCCGGGGCGATTTATGTGCCACGATCGCTTTAGCATAAATTAATATTCTTGGAGGACTGACTCCCTAAGTCGGCAATATGCTACAAGTGACTAGGCCCGCGATTGTATGCAGCCATGGGCCAAAATAGTGGATCTAAGCAGGTGATTCAGACCCTCTGCATCGAGCGAAGGCAAACAACTCGAGGGACTGAGAGGATAGCGCGTAGTGTAGTGCGTGTGGGTGATAACCAAGTGTTGAAATTTGTAAACTCCAGCCAGCCCCCGCCACCTTTGTATAAGACTGCGACCGCGGCCTCTTAGCAGCGGTGTCTCGAGTTCAAACACATCAAGGTCAGAACAAGTTATGGGTAGAAAATCATCTCGAATCAGGAGACGGGAGAAGCACCACCTGGTGCACTATGTTCCCCCATCGAAGACCCAATCTTCTGTCTCTACTACTTCCCATTCCGGAACACTTAATTCGCTTAGTAGTTTCTTCTTGAGCTTATCCGCCAACTTTATTGGTGAGGGCAATTTGAACGATCGAATAAAATCCGTGCCCTCCGCGCTAGCAAGAAAAGCATGAGTGGTCCCGTGTGAAAATCGCCCCATCATAGGGGTAGTAGTGGAGGGCGCCTCTTGTCCAGTGTTATCCGCCTCCGAAATGTCGTGAGAAGAGCGGTGGTGATAGAGTTTTGTCGTTTGGGTATGAAGCTTTTGGCCGATCAAGAGATTATAAAGGTTTCGCCCCATGTTGCAAACATCGTCAAAAGAAGCTCGGTCACCAATAGGTATATTCTGGGTCAGGCATGCCCACGATACGTCATACGCGAGAAGCGTGACACCTTCTAGAAAGAAGGCGTGTGCGCAGGGGTCCTCTCTAGCAAGTACAGGGAGCGGCTTATCTATAAATAACGGTCTCGGCCGTGAAAAGGTGCCAGTATCACGCGTTTGGCGATCAAGGAAAGCTTAGTGATGGCTCATAGTTGCTTGGGGTTGGTCCCGAGCTTAAAGGTTTGATGTTGAGGGTTTGCGAATCTCTATCTCCATGGCGGTACGAGGACGCTAAGTTGTAAATAGTCGGTTGAGGGTGATCGCGGCAGGGCATAAGTATCTCGGCAGGGAGCCGCAGTGCGAGATAGTGTGATGCCAGTATCAAAATGTGAGATATATGAGAAAGCGATGTTGAGATCACCTCCGGCGATAAGGCTATTTGATGTTTTAGCACGGTTCAGTCGGACTAATCATAAGAGACAAAGGAGAAGCCCACAGCCGTCGAAGTAACAATGAAAGATTGTCTTATACCTACCATTCATTGAAGCCAGGTCAACGACATCGATACCACCTAGTTTGAACTCATATTTCGAGGCACCTTTCTTCACCCTACGAAGTCCGTAGAGCCTGGCAGCTTCCATGCAAAGAAAGGCACGAGTCGCGGCAGTTTGATCTGAACAGCGGTTCCATCTACTTCGAACTAGAAGAGTCATGTTTTCAGTTTCATTGAAAGCCTTGCTCCTACGCGCATCGATCCCAGCTGAGGCCGAAACTAGATCTGATCGTCGCCGCGCGATGCTCTCACGCTTGGTCGCAACCTCAGCTCGAGCACGAGAGATGTCGGCCTGAAGCTTCTCGGCGCGGGCGAGTATCTGCTCCGTCCTGTCCTGTACCAGAGACCGACGGGATACTAGGTATTCTGAGGTAAGTTTCCTTGTCGGCTGCAATACACTTGATGTAGGATTATCGCATTTTGCTTGCGATTCTGAGACAAGCCCGTCGATACGGTTCTGTAGTGATTCATTGCGCATCAAAGCCCTCAACATGCGAAGTCGATTCTCATAACACACATTCCTCGCATCAACAGTGCAAAAGAACGGTAGACCGGTTGGATCCTGTGGACGACCACATATCTCGCAGAGCAAGGTGGGGTGAGTTGCGGACATGGGGCACTGAGTATGTCAATGTTGAGCAGAGACAACTGCTTCGATAGAAACCACGAAAATAGTGGGATGGAATGGAGAAAATACTTTGCCTCCCCACCCAAAAGAAGGGAAATAAAAGCTGAATATCGAAACCCAGCTCCGATGCAGTGAAAGGCAGCCCTTTCCACGACTATTGCTGGCCAAGTACCTAGTAGGGTGTCAGGTCGTTCGGATGATGAGTTGATAATCGGGGGCTGTATTGCTTATATGCTTGGCGGAAGCTTAATTGGGCCAATATCAGATGACCGAACAAACTACTTGATAAGCACGGATGCACGCGACCCTCAATTCGATGCCTCAGTGAATGAGTCTGGTCGATCCATCATTGAACGACTGGCGTGGCTACTGCCTGCAGCTTAATGTCTCCCCAAATTCACTTCCTCGAGGCTGGCCGCAATGTTCTCGAGCCTTCCAGAGTTCTAAACTAACTTTCTCACTGTTAGTCACTGTCCGTGCCATGAACCGTGCCTCCTCTTCAACAACCACACCGAGTCAAGGAGGGCTTGCTGAAAGGAAGCCCAGCTGGAACTGGCCGTTCATCACTTTGCCTATCCACTCCTTGTTCCCCTTCCATGCACCGAATAATATTAGACGGCTTGATGGACACGCCAAGTTCCTTTTGGCGCAAATCGAGAATGACCAACAAGAGCCTGTAATTTTCAGGCGCCAATAATTCACCAAGAGCGACCTAATAATTTGGTCTTACGAACCAGCCTTCCTTCCGACAACAGACTCACAACATTTATGCATGAAAAGGAAGAAGTAGCCCGCCTTATCATGTCTAACGCGCACTTTACCAAGGAGCTAAATAACCACCTGGTTTCTTTGAATGGAGCGACGTCAGCCGGAAATGCCCCTCCTCTACGCCCATCACAAGACTCGTCAGACAGAATGGACAGCGAATACCCGATTGTTCATGGCGACCAAACGGTAACTCCAGAGCCCGCCGTCGACCAGGCCGTTCACACATCACAGACCACGCCTAGCACTCCCGGCCTCCTACCACCGTTTGATTGGGATGACTTCCAGTGTCGATATGAGAGGGCCTTGGCAGAAGCCGATGGCCGTGAGCGCGTAGTTCTCGATGAATTTGAGCAATTGTCCAGAGTAAGCTCCCCTAGATAGTAGGATTCCCCAGGGCTAATCAAGTCGGTGCAGTATTTTCGAAACTGGGCATCGGCCTCAGCAACCCACGATAATGGCCGGGCAGAAAAGAGACTCCAAACACGGCAGCGATATGTGGCACTGTCCGAAGAGACTATGACTCAAAAGCAGAAACACTGTAAGTCCCCACTAGACTTTAAGCAGCCTCGTTATTCGTATGAACTCGCTGATTATGTCCCCCAACGCAGATGACGAAGTGCTCCGTGCATTTCAAAGTGCTCTGGCTCTTTTGAGCTCTAAATAAATCCGTTACGCCACACACACACCCCACTGACACAATGAAGATAGGATTTTACCCGCAATTTCTTGAAACTTCTTGCGGGTAGCCCCGGCCCTCCCTCCGTATATTTGCTACCAATATATCTTAATATGGTGATGGGAATGCGGCCTCGGCTGGATCCTTACAAGGGCAGTTAGTCAATAGGTGCTGTAACGCTCGAAGCATGAAATCGCAACTTCTCCCAAGGCTTCTTCGGGTGCGCACAGGTTCACAATTGAGCGCAGGAAACCACCCCTCCCCCAACACTCCCTATTAAACAATTTTGGTTCAATAACCAACTGACTTTGGTAAACCCCTTGACTCTCCTATGTATTAGCCTTGTTTCTTTGTTCCATCCCTTTATTGCAGGTGGTGGCGGGGCGGGGGACTCATCACCCGATGACACCACACTCGACCACCGAATTGTACCATTGGAGAAGGCTGTGAAAATGATTAGATAATCAGCGATCTAAATAAACGCTCGACGAAGATCACAAGTTCTCACCTCGCCCATCTGCGACCACTTTGATACCTTCGTCAAACGCAAAGCCACCCTCGCGCAAGCCGCGAACGCTGATGGCTAGAGCCAACCCTGAGATTAAATGTGCAGGGCTGCCAAGTATTAATACACTTTGGCGTCCAGGACGCGATGACATGCTGGTCCAGGCCTGAACTGCCTCAGGTTTCAAACGTATTATTCTTCTCTCACGGTCGCTCCCTTCCCTGATCATCATAGCTAACTTTTTTTCTTTACCAGGATGACCTTAGAGACTTTTTACCCTTCATTTCTCGAATGAGGCGTTACAGCTATTCCAACACCAATTTTGTCATCTCAGCTTGCAGGCTAAGCCTGAATATATCTACGTCCCTCATGTCCCTTTCTTTGACCAAAAACCATCGACAAACGAGTCAGAACAAACCATTTCCGACCACAGTCTAGAGTATTATGCCGATGGAGAGATACGCACCCTGACCGATGAGCAAATAAAGATCTTTAGGCACTCGGAATTATTTGCTCTACGACGCCAAAGCAGCGCCAACACCCTTGCCACCCAACATGTACCAGCACCATCGAATAAGCCCGTGGGGCCGGTCAGCTACAGACGAGATTGCGCCCCTTCGCATTTTACAAGGCGACGGGAAGCTAAAAGATTTTGGAAAATCGATTGACCAGGAAAAAGAGACGAAAACCCCAGTTAGCTCAGCATGCCAAACAGGAGCCGAAGGCTGATTTACGAAAACGGACTTGGGATATCGTTGAGCCTGGTCTTGACAGTCTAAATTATGATTGAAATGGTCTGCCTTTCAGTGCATTCTTGACTATCTCTCTTTGGTAGACACTCGTCTTGAGCGGACCCTTACCGGCTGGATATCCCTAGCCTGTGACATGCTAGGGAGGTGTTTTACGAATGGTGAGTGAGGAATTAAGTTCATCGTTCTATTTCTGCTTATGATGACTCATGTTGTCATCCTTATACGGACAGATGCTATACGCTTCTCAAAATAGCATCACTCTGGCGACCCCTAATCTTCTCTCTGAATCTTTCTTCGAACGAGCCTTCCTCTCTTTACTTGCCCCTATGCCGGACACTAATACCCGCTATCACTAGATCTCGGTATATCCAGCATGCAGACAGTTGACACGCTGGCTTGGGCCCATGCATTTCTCTAGGATTGGTAGTCTCGTTCTTTCAGCGCCGCCTTTAGGTCCAGTGTGGACATCGGCCTAGGTGCTTGGTCACGTGCATAACATCTGACCTCGCGATGAGATGCATCAAAATTGGGCTCTCCCGAATCCGATGTGGATGACCAATATATATAGATATATGATGGTGGGTAGTCCTTTGATCTGGTCGATGGGGCTGGTGGTGATCAGCTGAAAAGTCTCATCTAGGAGGTGGTTGTGGAGCTTTGCTCCTGAGAATACATGTCACTTCACCATCTTTTCAAGAGTTGAGACGTAATGTTGTTTAGGTCTCGGTTCTTGAAGAGGTTCTCCAGCTGCAAGCTTATATTGTCCTCTAATTTCTTGCTCTGATTAACACCGTCTATTGAACGGCTCTGACTTGCGACCGTCCACCCTACGTAGCAAAGCCGTTTAGTCAACGCGGCAATATAGTCCGATTTCCCACTTACAGCGCAGCGAAAAGATCCATCATCACACGTCTTGTGCGTCTTCAAAATTACTCTTGAAGCAGGTCCATGCCGTTATCTAGTATTTGATTCTTGCAAAGAGCCAGTTGACGAAGGCCATAAAAAGAGCCCTAGGAACAATTGATTAATGCACTGCAAGTACGGCCGTCGCGTACTTGATAAAAGGCACGGTATAGATTTGATTTGAAGTTGGCTTGAGGGCGTCACGTACTTCCTGGTTGAGGGTTATTGGGGCCGCTATCGAGGTACTTTTACTCTTCCTGGTGGCTCGGACACTACCTCCTCTGTGTGGTGTGAGCTTAGGTCTTCCCCACTGTGTCCGCGAATTTTCCGCCCAACCAAAACAATCAAATGTGAGTGCTTCTTTGCCCCGCCCTTCTTTCCACCCCTCATCGCGATCGGTGTGATTGCATCCATCTTTGCAACACCCATACCCAGACCTCGCCCTACGCTGTTTTTCGCGGCCCCAAGTATTTTCGACGCAAGATTTGTCCCCGTCACTGCGCATTAATCCCGGCCAACAGCACCTTGCTGCTAGCCACGATGGCTCGGGTATATGCCGATGTCAACCAGAATATGCCCAGGTCCTACTGGGACTACGACAGCGTCAATATCAGTACGTTTCCTTGACTATAGTGCTAGGCTCTACGCCTCGTAGGCGCGACGATTCTCTCCTCTCGCATACTTCTCATGAATGGCCATAGCTAACTTGATCTAGGTTGGGGTGTTCTCGAAAATTACGAAGTGGTTCGTAAAATAGGTACGCCCATATCCCAGTGCCCAATGCACTTTATATACGTCTTACTTGCCTACACTTCCATACTTCTTTCTGTCTGTGCAACTTCTCCGCTAATAACCGCAATATGAGTCTAGGTCGAGGCAAATATTCCGAGGTATTCGAAGGCATCAATGTGGTGAACTATCAAAAGTGTGTTGTGAAGGTGCTCAAGCCAGTGAAGAAGAAGAAGATCAAAAGAGAAATCAAGATCTTGCAAAACCTTGCAGGAGGGCCAAATGTTATTGCTCTCCTTGACGTTGTAAGGGACTCGCAGGTTCGTCACTAGAAAAATCCTCTCTCTTCCTACTCTTCTCTCTTGCTAGGACCCCATATTTCATTATGGTAAGTACTTGTTTATAACTGCTGACAATATGCTAGAGTAAAACTCCTTCTCTTATCTTCGAACATGTCAATAATACCGACTTCAGAAATCTCTATCCGAAATTCACAGATTTAGATGTGAGGTTCTACATCTTCGAGCTTCTCAAAGCCCTAGACTTCTGTCATAGCAAAGGGATCATGCATAGAGACGTCAAACCCCATAATGTTATGATTGATCATGAGAACAGAAAGGTATGTTCTTGCCCTATAACTGAGACCTCTTTAGGAAACGTTAGGATGAGCAGTCATACGGGGTTATTGGCAGTCTGTGTTGACCTCTATCCCTTGTGATTAGCTTCGCCTCATTGACTGGGGGCTAGCCGAGTTCTACCACCCGGGGACCGAATACAATGTTCGTGTTGCCTCACGCTACTTCAAAGGTCCGGAACTACTTGTCGATTTCCAAGAATACGACTACAGCTTAGATATGTGGAGCCTGGGGGCCATGTTCGCCTCGATGATCTTTCGAAAGGAACCGTTTTTCCATGGTCAGAGCAATTCAGACCAGCTCGTCAAGATCGCAAAAGTCCTTGGCACAGATGACTTGTTCGACTATCTTGACAAATATGAGATTGAACTTGATACACAATATGATGATATAATTGGCCGGTTCCCAAAGAAGCCCTGGCACAGTTTCATCACTACCGAGAACCAGCGGTTCGTGAGCAATGAGGCCATCGACTTCCTCGATAAGCTGCTTCGATATGACCATCAGGTATGCCAGTCAATCTTGTTATACCAAGCATTATACTAACATGCCGGTAGGAGCGTCTCACTGCCAAGGAAGCCCAAGCCCACGCCTACTTCAACCCCGTACGGGATGAGGTAGTCTTCAAACAAAATCTAGCTGCAAACGCCGCAGCGGCAGCGAGCGCCGCAGCCAACAATTGAGTAAAATGCCGTATACACTCACAACTTTGCCACTGTAATGTTAAAGAATCTGGTGAAGGGCAAACAAAGGCCGAATGCAATTCACAATCAGGATAACAGCAATCGTCCTTATTTGAGCGACATGCGGCAGACATTCCACTACTCCACAACCTAAAGCTCTGACTCCTAAGAACCCTTTGCAGCAGTACCGGAAAGCATTTGCGGCCCAGTCCGTCTGAGCATCCCCGTCCCTCACAGAGTGTCGGTGCTTTGCTTAACTCTGCCCTAGATGCTTCCTCTCTCTAGTCACCGCCCTTTCCTCAATATCTGCCTCACTTGTGTGAACTAACTGTCGTTTTCTTTCTCGACACGGCCTCGCATAGCTTTTCTACACGAGCGTATCCAGAGGCTCATTGACCACGATCGAATAATGAACTTTGGGACGAAGATCAGTCGCATTGCGTCGAAACCGTCCTCGTCGAAGGATTATTGGTGGGTTGCCTATGGTGGTTTGACTGTTTATTAATTGATTGACTGCGGATGGATTGTTCTATTCGCTGGCGGGAAAGCGTGTGGCATCCTTTTCTTCATCTCTTGTTCACTTTTTAGCAGAGTTCAAGTAATCACAACGGTCTTTTGCAGTCACTTGTACCTAGTATAACTTGCGACGGGTGGTCATCCCTTCAAGATTATTGTTTCATGGTACCACCATATATCTTACCTTCGGTTGGCCTTGGCGGCCGCGACTGAATCGCCGTACATCCAAAACGCAAACTTTGAGCATCCCGAAATGGCGAGATGGAAAGAGCCGATATAGATTCGGATGAACGGCAAGGGGATACCCAAAGCATCCGACGCATCATTCATGGCGGGCTCGAGTACTAACATTGCTCGCATGGGCGAGCAAGAACTTGCAGCACGTCAAAGTTAATTTGCATGCTTTGGTCCAGGATTCGTCCTGCGCAATTCCAAGCTTGATGCTGACGTCGCCAATACGTTCCCCGTCGATCCTGTACGGTAACTTAAGCGCCGGGCGCACACTAGACTCTGTTTCTTTCTCAACAAAAGTCCCGAGCTGCCTCACGAGCTCAAGAAAGGCTACCATAGCAGCATTAAGCTTTCGGTGCATGAACGTCAGCCCCAACGGGGTATCTCCCGATGAGAAGAGTTCTAATCCATTGCGTTTGGGGGCGGAGGAGGTGCTCGGGGTTCACGATCTGTTCGAAAACGGCTGGAGGAAGGCGCCGGGTATTCTATGCGAATTATTTTTGAAGAGCTTCCCAAAGGCTGAGGCTCAAAACCTGAAAATTTGAAATCCAGTTTCTCGGCAACAGTCACGAGAAGTAGTAAGGCATGGCCCCATGCAGCGTTAATCTCAGGCCAATCCACAGGCTTGCTGGAAAGGCGGCCAAGGCGAAGGCCGTTGATCGTTGCAAACGTTCCATCATGGCTAATGCAAAAGGTGTCATTGTAGACATTAGAGCGCTGCAATCTCTCTAGGAGTTGTGAGTCATGGTCAAACCGAGAGTTGACGCTGTCACGCTGATTCTGGAATTCGGAGAGCCTAAGGGCAAACTCATTCCGATCGCGCCAGAAATGCTCTTCCTCGACGTCGAGTGCTACTATCTCCTCCTCGAGAGTACGAATCTCCTCATCAACAAGCTCCTTGTCTCTTTCAAGCCTTAAAAGCTCTTCCATGGCTTGGGATTCGTCCATCTCAGCTCTCTTCAGGGCATCTTGTTGCAATTTAACATCGTCGTCGCTGGGTTCCTCTGTTTGAAGTTCTTTCAAGTACGAGATATAGGCATCTCTCTCCTTGGTAACAACCTCTAGCCTCTTTTGAAACTCGTCAATGAGGATATCTGTGCATTCCACACATACTGGATGATCAATATCCGATCGAGCTGACAATATCTCAAAAGTTTGTTCATGCGCTCTATTTGATAGGCGTCCTCCTTGTTATCTGCGTCACCGTCTGGGTGTATACCAGCGCTCCTATCGGCAATTGCGTGTCTCTGCAGGGCTGGGGGCGACCAAGACGTTCCAACTTGAGATTGGGTGAGATAAATGAATGACATGGATGGATCCCTGGCTGGGTAGTAAGCGCCGCCCGGAGTGCGTTTAAAGGCAGGCCCAGGAGCTTCTTGCGCAATATTGTTATATAAAGACATGCGCTGCTTTTCTATAGGCTTATCTTGAGGGGGGCTGGCTGTATATTGGTTGCCTTGGAGGGAGTGTTGTGTGATGAAGAAGCTGTCAACAGTATCAGCTAATAAACTGACGTAGACTAAACTGGGGAGAACACTAGAATGGAGGAATCACGAACCCACTAATAGATCGTATGCAGCCGGATTTAAGTTTTGGAGGGAACTTTCCAGTCTTAGAGGCAAGCGGCATTTCTGACAGTAGCTAGCCATTATGGCGGGATCTGGGTAGCTCAAAGTATGTGCGCTTCTTGAGGGTCTCAATTGTGCGGAGTTCGGTAGGATAGGATACAATCGTGGAAGGCGATGGGTCTTGTAAGAACGAAATGTCCAGCAACTCTATATCGCCTAAAGGAGTTGTGCGAAACTTGATATTTATTTCAGGAAGAAAAGGTAGAAATACTAGTTAGCCTCAACGTGGAGAGCTCGGGACATCCACTCCACATTTTGGGATGGTATGATGTTGATGGATGCGGAATTCATCATCTCCATCAAGTTCAAGACCGAGGCCACGAGCGGCCCATGCACAGTGCGATGTGGCTGATTCGATTCATGCACAACCTCACGCTGCTCTTTTGCATGTGCCGACCCCAATATTGACATGGCAACCGCAACAGTACTGTGCTTGCTGATGCACTTGCCATTTCCTGCTCGTTCTAACCACTCACGATATGCTTCAATTTTTATTCCAGATTTCGAAACAAATCCACATAGCACTTTTAACAAGCAACCTCTAGCATTATCATGGAGCGCCCGAAGAAACGGCCAAGATTAGATGCATTCACTCGAGACAAATCTGACGACGATGACGACGAACTTAACTACGATCCAGAAGAGATTTTACAGAAGCGGGATCCTGGGTTTCGACTTGCGCAGTCACGGGCGACCGCAGCTCTTCGCCTAAAGAGTACTTTTGAGAGTATATTTGAGAAGTACGAGCGCGACTTCTCTGGCGTAGGAGACGAAATTGACCTACATACTGGAGAAATCGTTGTCAATAACGGCCACTTACAATCAATGCGCAACGAAAAAGATGTTGGTCTCAATATCCCAACGGTTGCAATGCCAGCGCGGACGAGGAGCAGTGAGACAGCCCTTGACGCTGAGCCACTTCACATCGTCACTTCAAGAACAAGCAAGGATGAGGGCGGCTTTTCGAGCCAGGACAATGTTCATTTACCCCAAGAAGCCATAGCGCCTGTATCAGCTTCGAGAAGAATTTGTTCGAATCCCAGCTCCTCGAGGTTGTTCTCACAGCGAAACTCCCGCCTACATCTACACCAAGTCCCTCACCAACTTGATTGTTGCCCTCATTTTAATGCCCAACACGGATTAGGCGCTACGGAGCCCATATGGCAGGCTCCTCTCCTACATACCCAACCCCCGGAGTTCATCTACGACACAGTTATTTCCTGGCCGGTATATTCTTCCTGAGCGTGACGGCTCAGATTCCATCTGGGCCCCTTCTACCAAAGATGATGGTCATGACGATGATGATGGCCTAGAGCTAATCGTGCAAGGCCGCAAGCGGTCGGCACCGACCAGGCGGACCCCTCCCAGAACTACACCTAGCAAACTTATCAGAGTTCAATCTTCGGAGGCATGTAATTCCGGTGGGGAAGAATACATTTTAACAAACACTGCCATCGGACCAGCCCCATCAACAGAGGCTCAACTCAAGACCCATACAGCCAAGTCTATGAGAGTGAAGCGCGGGAGCGCATCAACGCGTTCGCCCGAAAGAAAGGTGGTGGAACATCCACAGCGCGTGGGGGGCTGGAGCAAAGCCAAAATTACGCCCTGCTAAAAGCTGTTCCACTAAGTCGGTAGGCAGTGGTGAAGAACCCGGGCACATCTGGCGTGGGATTTCTATACTAGATGGCTGTAAGGCTAGTAGTACCTTGCCACCTCTTTCAATACCGCGCCCACAGTCGTCTCAATCCAAGAAGATACAAGGGGGCAGCCCGCCTTCGAGCCCGTTAGCTCGTAATGAAGGGATGGACCGCCTTTCATCAAACACCATAGTAGTTGAACTCGCATCCAGCCTCTTATTGCACGACAGCCGCTATATTGACATCCCCGCGGTAGCCAATCAGTCTCCCGAGACAGGGAACACCGCTCCCTCAGGAGCACCCTCTCCATTCTCTCATACACAAGCTGAGCGGGCGTTGCTTACCCCTAAACTCAAGGCTTTCCCTTTGCCAGAGCAAGCATTTCAATATCCAGAAGTTCGGGTGACTAGAGAGGACGAGGCATCCGCGCGTATAACCTGTGTCCCGCCCCGATTGCGAGCTACATCCTCGCATATTGACAGCCAACAAGGTTCTCCTACTTATAACCTTAGGGATGAGGAGCCCGCCCCTATGTACAGAAATTCGGAGGAAAAACGGAATTTCCCGTTACCCAGAAGCCCAATATCCCCGGCTTCAGATCGGCTGATGGCGCCAGTCCTACGAGCCTTCCTGTGAAGGCATTGATCTCAAAAGACCAGCGTGAACACAAGATCCTCGCGCCTTCAAAGATTCTCAATAATGCACCAATGGTATCTATCCAACCCAATTCGTTGCGCACAAGCTTGAGGGTTTCGTCAACAACCTACTCGTTAGAGGAGGACCCCTCCCACTTGGTTGATTGCCAGCACCAACCTACATCATCCAACATGAAACTTTCCACATGTCCGCCGGGCTATCAAGAGGAATCTCAAATGAGACAGAAGATTTCTCACGACCGGTTATCGTTCTATCCGTCACCGCCACGATCTCGCACTTTTTCAGTTGGGCTACCTAACAGGAGGGTTGAATCGCCAATCATACGACGCCATCTAATCACAACTCCACCGCCCAAGTCCGATGTAACTCCTACTAAACTGATTCGGTCTAGTGGTCATCGATCTCTCACTTCGCTCGTTCCCAAGGATGACTCTACCTACCCATCTAGCGAATCTGAGAATGAGCTTACAGCGGCTCCCCGTACCGTCCACGTGCGTTTTAGATGGGGCTCAAGGCTGTATGAAGATTCGAACATGGAGGCGGACGTATATACAAGGTCTAGCCCAGCTAAAATAGGCCTGTCTGACGCTTCAAAGAGGCCGACACTGGGACGGTCCAGATCAAGAACCTCAGTGCATCCGCCCGCGCTCTTCAATACAGAGCGACCCGCCGCACCTGATGACTCCGTGGTGAGGACTCCTGGAGGAACAATTCGCAGATGTGGAGGTATCGACCTCAAATGTGGGAAAGACTTCTGCTTCACCTGCTCCTAGGAGATGACTCCCTTGCTTTAGCATCACAGTCGACAGCTTAGATTAACAAACTCATTTATACCAGACTTATCCAACGTGCGAAGCGTTGTAGCCTTTATGCTTCTTTTCTTGTCTCTAACTAGCCGCTCCAAGCCCGAGTTGCCCTGGAGATGCGGTTGTATAGCGTAGAGCTCCCCACATGATTATATTGTCAGTGGGAGACAGACTGACTTAACCGACTAGCCCTTTATATCAGAGTTTAGGGCTGCTTATTTTGGAAACTTTTTCTCTCTTCCTATCCGAGCCAGCTTCTACATGGACTGATCCCTTTGCTAACCTTGGCCTATCCTCCATATCACAATCCCTCCCTTGTAGCTGCTGCCACATGGAACCCAGGCATGATGGTCAGCTTCGCACCAACTAGTTGCATCGATCATGTCAAGGAAAACTATCAGCCTTTCCAACTTAATCAAGTAACCTTTCATCAATCCATTTAGACACCCGAGATCCTCGGCTTGCTTATTTTTGATAGCTTAACCCAGGTTACTACACCTTCTGCTTCGAAGAATTCGCGATGACTGGCCTAAAGTAGATCAAATAAGCTCGCCATTTGCTTACCCTCACAGACCGTAGGCGGAAGTACATACTTAGACTCCGCTTCACAGTCCCCAATGATGCCTTACGTCCGCGGGCGGGTACGGCCGTGATCATAAGTGGGTGAATTTCAGAATAAAATTTACGAGTAAAAGTAGGAACAGTTCCCCAACCCGAAGAAGAATCAAGGTTGATGAACGCGTTTGTTAGTCCAGCAGCGTCGTTGCAAACGGCATCCCATACATGATGCAAATTTTCGAATAATCCGCCATAAATCTTGTCAAAGTGCTGTCGGAACGCCTTCCACCTCTGGCATGTATCCCCTGTGAACTAGGAGTTTAGAGATCCCAGGCTTACAGACTTCGTGGCATCTGTATAGTCACAACGACCCAATAGCTGGAGGCTCCCCGCGCCCATTCCGCGGCGCCATTGCGCGAGCCAAGAACGACCGCCATCCATTCGCCGTATCCTTCGAATCTTACCTGACCCACAAATTGTTTTCCTCGACTGGAAATTATGTGCTCAACGCTTCGCCACCTGCAACAGCTAGCCCCTCCTAAACGAGGTATTTGGTGTAAACATGGTGCCAGCTTGGGTGTGGCCGCTGGATGTCAAACGTGAACATTCCACTTGGGTTAGAGGTCGCGACACTGCAGGCAAATTAGCTAGATTCTTTCGTTATTTCTCTACTTGGTGGCTGATATTATAAGAAGAAGGTCACGCTGCACATCATTGTCCCCCAGAACCTTGCAAACTGCTTGTCTGGAGCGCCTCTGAACTTCGTGGGCATTCGTCAATTTCAACCCCCACAAAAGGCTCCGTTGTAGAACATCTGACGTGTCTACCCTCTTAAGGTACGTTGACTTTCATCTTCGCCTATACATATGGCGAAGACGGACGCATACGTATTATCTAACGCGGAGAATGAAACTACTTGAATAGACCTTTCAGATCCTTCCCCTCTCAAAAGCTGTGGGCCCAGGGGTTCGTGATTGAGAGCCAACATTGCCACATACAGTTACGGAGACCCCGATCCTTAAGCTGGTGGTGTCTTTATATATCCACGAGTGTGCTATGGCGTGCTGTGAAGCCAAGGACAATGTTTATCTTCCCATCGTCCACTCCCTTAGTCCTGATGATCATGTTAACGTGGACTTGGTCGCCATCAGCCTTGTGTCTCTCACCTTGATATCCTGTCCCGAACCTTCACCCGAGATGATAAAGACTACTAAACCCCGCTAGTTACTGGTAAATATGGCTTTGCCTTTAGTCCCCACAATGGAGATAGTATTTGGGGGTGCTCGCGGTGATGGTCCATGATACATCATCTTGACGCACGCCCTCAAAGCCCCACCTTGTCCTTGCGTACAGGCTACCAGATGCAGTAGTAGTAGGCGCGGGCCAATGGGGATATAAAATCTAAATCTTATCGCCAGTTGCTGAGTGCACTCATAGTGTCGCATCCAAGTGCGGTAACTTCACCGTTATGAGAATGTATACTAGGAAATATTTATGAAAAAAGCCTCATTATAGGTACCATTCATGGATCTCTGTCTTACACCGCTTCTAGCTTCTCTTTTCACGAGAATCTTTGCTGCACTCGGGATACAA